CGCCTATATATAAATCGAATGCGCAATCGAAAAAAAAAGGCGAGAAAAATCCACTCGGAGTCGATTCCCGCCAGCGTATCCAATGTTCTCGCGCTTTAGCAAGAGCGAGCTTTAATGTCAAGTTTAAGCCGACTGCGCGTTTCGCCGGTTTCGCAAACTGACGTTTCGCGACGACTCCACCTCGACGAGATGCCTAATTTCGTGTTTGACTATCTCCCGTGTGTTTCAATCGATCATTCCTTCTCTCTTTGGACACGGTATCGCGAAATCGTACGAATTGCGAAAGGTAATAGCGGCGATCGAGAGAATCGTGAGAGAGAGAAGATCTCGAGGAACCTGCAATTGCGACACACGCACGCAATTACGCAACCTGCATATAACTCGCGTCGGATTATGCGCCAGAGTTACGTTGGACAGACGTACACACGCATATACGTACACGTACCCGCGCGCGCGCGCATATATTTACCATACCAGAGATAACCGGCGATACGTCAAAGTTAGTTCACGGTGTGCCGAGTCGTCTAGAAAGTAACATCGAATTTTTTCAAAAGACGAAAGATATATTTGAAGAGTTGCTGAGGAACGAAAAAGAATTTTTATCGCTTTAAATATTTTCTTATTCAATTAAATTAATTCTAAAATTGTTTAATTATTAATAATAATTTTTAAATTATTAAATTATTTATAAACAATTCAAATTTTAAGAGTATTTTAATTCAAAATTTATAGTTTATCCCATAAATTTTTAATATATCTCAATATTATTATTTTTCTCCTAATATTTTTTTAAAGTCGAATTAAGCGATCCAGTTTGTTCTAGCAATTTGAAAAATTGATGCTTTTTTTAGGCATTCTTTTTTAATATTAAAAATTTATTTTTTTGGTGTTTTATATATATTGATGTTTATATAAGTAGTACGTCTCATTAAATTTTGGACATTTAACTTTTTTATCGTGTTAAAAAATGAAGCGTAATTATCTGAAATGAAAAAACTTCAATTTTATTACGAAGGATATTTTTGGAATATTGAACTTAAAATTTTAAAAATTAATATTTAATATTTATCTGATCTTTTCAAAAAATGAAAAGATTCAATATTTAATTTTAAAACAACACTACTTCGTTATTTCTCAATTTTTTCTAATGAAATTCAGTATCCAGAAAATATCCCTGTTCTTTTATTTCAAACAATTATATGAGAAGCATCGAAAACATTTTTCAACACGCTTATACATGGCTTGTATTGAATCAAACAAGCTAGATACCCAAGATACTAATTTTTTTTAAATTTCAAAAAAAATTCATTTCTAATATTCTTTCCAAAAATCATCAAATTTTTCGTGCCAAATAGTCCTCAAATTGAATTACGGAATAAGATTATAAGAAGGATTTCGCTTTGAGGAGGGACAATATTGACTTTGAAAGACGAGTAGTGCTCGACGAGAGATTTTATTTCTTTTCACGTTGACGTCGTAAACACTGTGTTCGCTTCGCAACGGAATAAATTTGTCTCATCCGACCGCGGAGGATTTTTCCTCGACACCCGCGCGCTGTCCTTTACAGTATCGAGCATCGCGCCTCGGAATCAAGGGCGATCGATGTTTTCGAATTCCGTTCTCGTGGGCGACCGTGTTAAGACCCTGAGGGTTACGCGATAAGATTCAGTGAAGTCTCCATTTTTTCTTTTTTCTTTCTGAGGACGCCGCGCGATCCGATTCGGTTTCGGATTCAAGTTTCGATCATTTTTCGATGACACAATCTGCAAATCGACTAATCATTTTATAAATCTTTCCCACCAAGAAAAACAAAAAAAGTGTATATAAAAAAATTGAATGGAATAACAAATCATGTTTAATTCCTTTTGCGTAGGACCGATCCTTAATAATTTTCTGCTCCGAAAAGTCGACTGCATGTGATTAATGGCTGATAACATATATTTCATAAAATTTTTATAAGATTGCAAAAATTTTATAAAAAATGCCTCATAAATTAAAATTAAAATTAAAAATTAATCAAATGACAAATGTACAAATCTGTACGTTATTCCCAGAAAAAGAAAAGGAATTATATCCAATCAATCATGGTAAACACTTGATAATTTTTTTTTATTAACTATTCTCTTATTTTCTGAAAGTTAGTAAAAAATTGCATTATGTAATATATATTACCATACGAGCGTAATCGAATATTTATTAGCTTGATGCGATAGTAAACTAAGAGTCTCGATATCTCGCACGCTTTAGCGAAGAAAGAGAGGAGAGGAAAAAGATGGCCAGTCTGAGGAGACTCTCGTCAGAAGCGATCAATGGTTGATAAAAGTCAAGCGACTCACGCTCTGTGACCCAACGATACGAACGGCACACGCGGTCAAGGTGGCGTTTCGTAATTCAAGCTGTGAACCTCCGTCGTTGCTGGCACCTGGCATGCCAATTACACGCGACGCTCTCGTCTTTTTCTTGTTACGCACGGCCTATCGAGATAACCCACTTTCCGCCGAGCTTGGCCGATCGACACACGCGAGGACCGGTCTCTTTCTTTCTCTTTCTCTCTCTCTCTCTCTCTCTCTCTTTGGCCAATTAACCCTTCATCCATCAGACCTGCCCAAGTTGATCTTCGTCAATTTTCTTCTTTTATACAAACTAATATTTTCTAGAAACTTTATTACCTAATTATGAATGCGATATATTATATGCTCGAATGACGAAACTGGGAGAGTCATCGTAGCGACGTTAACTTTTTTAACGTGTTCAATCAAGAAAAATATATTCTATGATTTTAAGATTTAATTTTCTCGAATGGAAAAGAAACAATGTTAGATAGAAAATAACGTTTTTAAATCAAAGATTATAATTTTCTTAAAGTACAATTAAATAATTATATATTCTTGAGATGACAATTACAATATTAAAATAAGACTATAATATTGTTGAAATTTGAAAGTATGAAATTCTTCGACGAAGATTATAAGTTGTTGCGTATATACAATAAACAATAAACGCGTTAGTTAAGTATAAGTAAGTTTTGATATGAGATTTATTTTTTTCTGTGTTTAAATATTTAAAGAATTTTTGCTTTAAATAATTACTTTATAAAATCAGGCTGTCTACAAATTTTGTGAGATAATTCCCTAGTCTTCCAGATATTTTTGATCAAAATTCCATGTAAAGTTGAAGAATTTTTATAGATTTATTTTTCAAATTTATTTTTTTAAATTAAACATTTTACATCGTATACTTCTTATAAAAGAAACGATAAGAGCCATAAATTCCAAACAATTGCCATTTGCATAATATTTTCTACTGCTATCATTGAAAATTACAATACTGCGTACTGTATACTCTTTTGTTTAGCTGTTAAAAAACAGGCAGACATGTATTCGATATATTCTTTAAATTAAAAAAAAAATTCTACGAGGATTCTCCAATTATCAAAGAAAAATTCAAATTTTTTTAGGTGAAAACACTCCTGTGAATTTCAGTTTTTTTTCCAGAAAGTATACACTTTGCAAAATATTATGAAATGACGATTTTCTCAATGCAGTTTCACTGAACGTGACTCTCGTAACGCGTTTAATTGTAAGACTTGTTTATGCGCTGAAAAAAAGAGTTAGCTATAACTGTAAAGTAAAAAAAATTATAGTTGAAATCAATTTTCATAATTATCATTATCACAATGTTGGTAATAACCTTGTATTAGTAATATAACATATACATATTAATAACAATTTAAAAAAATAATTGCCGTTAAATAGCTACATTTATGACAACAATTTTTTTTTATCAGTACGTAAATTGCTATTTGCAAAACGCAGTTTGCAGGAGTAGAAAAACATGGACGATGCATTTATAAATTACAAATTGCGTCGCAAAGTCTACTTTTAACTAGAAAATGATAAAAAGATATCAGAGCTTTGATACAGGTATTCGCTGTAAATTAAATAATAAATCGTGGCCTATATATTTATATTAAAAGACATGTAAAAAAACTTGTATATTACGTGGCATGATGAGTCATCGAAAAATTCTTCGAAAATGATTTTACTTATGACGCTTATAAAACTATCATATCCATCATTTAACCATATAACCATCATTTGCATATTACTATTTGATGAATCAACGCAGAGAGAAAAAGTCGGATTAATTAATTCATCTTGTCGCGTGGCTCGCGATGACATTTCGTTCCGCGAACTGCGTCTCACAACACTTATCGTACACAGAAAAAAGGACATTTTCGTTTTGAAAATATATTTACTTTTAACATGGAAATCTTGAAATGATATTATATTGCATTAATTTATGGAAAATATAATTGCTTGTTGAATGAAGCCATTATATAGTTCAATAAAAAAAATATCTTATGATTTAAGATTTAATTTTCTCGAATGGAAAAGAAACAATGTTAGATAGAAAATAACGTTTTTAAATCAAAGATTATAATTTTCTTAAAGTACAGTTAAATAATTATATATTCTTGAGGTGACGATTACATTATTAAAGTAAGATTATAACATTGTTGAAATTTAAAATTATTAAATTCTTCTAAGAAAATTATAAATTGTTGCGTACATACGAAACAATTAATGCGTTAGTTTAAGTATATAAGTGTTGATTTGACACTTTAATTTTTTCCTGTGTAGTCTCTAGAGCCCGATAAAGACGATAAAATCTGCCGCAACGGGATGTCTTGCGACACGTCGCATGCCAGGAGCATATTGTTTCTTTTCCATTCGAGAAAATTAAATGTTAAAATTATAGAATATATTTTTCTTGATTGAACTGTATAAAATGGCTTCATTCAAGGAAGCAATTATTCAATCAATTGTATTTTTCTTTAATTAACGCAATATCTCATTTCAAGATTTCCATGTTAAAACTAAATATATTTTCAAAACAAGAGTATCCTTTCTGTGTACGTTTGTAAATCAGCCAGGGGTTGACCCAGTCGAGGCTCAAGCTCGACGACGAGGAGGAGGCGCGAGACGGGCAGAACTTACCGGCGTACGTGCTCTTGAAGCTCTCGTGAAGTTTGAAGGTGAAGGGGATGTGGACCTTCATCATCTCCATTTGCGGTATGCGCGGCGAATGCGTTATCACCCCGCCACCACCTCCACCGCCCCCGCCGAACATCAGGTCGTCGCCGTGGACGCGTAGCACCATCATGTTCCTGTGAACGAGACGAGAGACCCTCCTTTAGATCGGCTCTTTTATCGAGAAAGGTGTTTTGCTGTTTCATAGAACGGTAACCGTTCGACGTTAATCATCTTTTGCGCTCTTATAATTGTTAATTGCGTTATTAATGATTATCTAAAGCGTCGTGCACGCAACCTCGAGACCGAACGCGATAATTCTCGGGCTGCCAGACAAAGGATTGCGACAGAATTTTGCATAAAAACCGGGAAAGTTGTTCGCGCGCGTGGTTTTAGTTCAAGAATCATCAGCCTTGCATTGTTTTTAAGCGGTCGAAGCGGTTTCGAGATAAAAGACACTACCTAACGTCCTTCGAACGATTTTCGGCGGTGTTTATAATACAGGTTTTGAAACAACCGTGTGTGTCGTAAATGATGATTTCATAAGATTTATTTGTGAAATATTGTCAAATTTCCTTTCTGACATTTTATAAACCAATTAATAAATCGCCTTGAGATTTTTAAAATCATAAACTTGATAATACCTAACAAATAGTGTCTTTAAAATCACCACATTTTTTTCTATATCCTTCGTTATTGAGATATACAGGGTGTTTTTTAAGTGTAACAAATTTTAGGGGGGCTTCTCATGTAAACATATACTCTTACATCCCTTCCTGTTACACTTTTCCAAAAATAGGGGTGAAAATTAGGTTTCTATTTTTTCTCAAATTTGGAATATGTTAAAGAAATGAAATTAGGTGGATATTTTCTACTAGTAAAAAGGTTATTTATTAATATTTTCTTCAGCCTCTCGTATTGTTATAAGGGGCTGAAACTAGCAACCTCTATTCAATTTTTTATTACAACTTTTTAAAAATGCTTAAAAATTTCGACAAAAAATCATCCCCTAAAATTTTTCGCATTTATTAGGAAACACAATTATAAAGCAATAAAAGTAAAATTATTATTATATAAATTATTATTATAAATCTATTATTATTATTATTATTATTATTATTATTATTATTATTATTATTTATCACTCTTGATCGATCTTTACTCGATCGATCGCATCTTTGAACGATTTGATAGACATTTCCAAAATCGAAGAAGTAAGGAATAGTAAATAAAATCAATTCTTAAAAAAAATCCCGTTAACCGATGGAACGGAAAGTCAATTGATCAATTGGAAAAATTAGCATCGCGCGCGTGTCATTGAAAGTCAATCGCTAATTTTGGAGTTCCCGTCGATGATTAAATTTAGCAGTTAAGCAACGTAGACACAAAACCGAGCAACAAATATGTAGAAGCGATCGTTCGCAGTCAAAAATTCGAAGCTGCCAGTGACCTTGCGACCTTGAGACTCTAAAGAAATATACGTGCGCGATAAAATTACATCGCTGCGAAAGAGAGAGACCGACAAAAGAGGATCCTGATTCAGAGATGTTGATCGTCGAGGCGCCTTCTCATGTGACGAATTAATTGGCAAGGATAAATTTAAACCTTGAGATGTAAGGGATTAAAAATCAGAGAACAGGTTCTCTTTGTATCTTGAATGTTTCAAGCACGTACGCTTGTGTCCATCTCTCTCTTGCCTGCGTGTTTATTAGCGTGAAATTTTACAAATTGATGTTTCCATAACGTCGAAAATGTCATGCCATATCCCTCGAGATCGTAATCTTCTCGCTTGCTCGCCAACACTTCATCGAATTTTAAGCGTGTTACATGTGAAACGTGATATATCTATTATTATTATAAGTATACCTATTATTATAAATAAAATTTCAATACTCTGGTTAAAATCGGAAAAAATTTTCCTCGGTTAAAATTGGAAGAATGAATTTCTCTCTTTCAATTGCATCCCGAGAAGGCAATGGTTTTAATTAGCTTACAGGGCTTACACCCCGTATATTACTTTTTCGACATTTACGACTTGCGTCACAAACATCTATAAAGTTTCGTAATAAAATCTCTCGCAAGATATCGACATTAAAAGGGAAACTTTAGCATTCTATTTACTTGGTTGCCTGATGTCTATTATAAATTATATATATTATATAATACAGGATGTCAGAGGGCAATCTCTCGCCAAAAAAAGAAAGAAAGAATTAAGAAATTATTTCAAGCCTCATAATTCGATGAAAAAATACTTTATTATAGTGTTTTGAAAAGGGCTCTCGAGGTAAGCTACAAGAATGTTTTTTTTGCGAGAGATTGCTCTGACCTTGTATAATTAAATTGATTGATAAAAATTAATTGCGATCGAATCGCAATTGATCAAATAAAAAAAAGAACATTGCGTTTTTCGACAGAGAGATACGAATGTCAAACATTTCTCGACTGGAAAAGAGATGCTCGAACGGTTCGAAATGGGAACTTTACCCTGATTCAACATCTTTCAACACACATGTGTAAATCGCGAAAGCTAAAAGAAAAAGAGAGAGAGCGAGAGAGGAAGGAGAACGCGACGACGAGGAAAATTATTGCTCGCGATCGCGAAGAGTTTCACGATTTACAAATAGTGCGACTTGGCTTTCGAGACTTGGTGCCTACTTTCGAGACTCCCTCGAGCACAAAAGTGGCTGCGTCACTCGAGAAAATTAGAGACACTTGTCGTCGTTATCGTCATTCGTCATCGTCATCGTCATCGTCATTGTCATCGTCATCATCCCGAAGCCATCTCGATCAATTTGACTACACAGAGAAAAATATCATTCTAATCTATCAAGAAAAACGATTACTCAATTTATTTTTCTTTTTTTAAGTAATAGTTTTCTTCAATAAAGAATATATTCTTGATAATAGTCTTAAATTATACTCATCACAAGTGTTAGAAAATCTCATTATCATGTACTCAAAAGAAGAAATTATTTTCTCTTCAAGAATATTGTAAAGTTGTATCAAAGAAAAATCAAACTTACTTTACGCCAACTCTAATAAGCAAACCAAATTTTTGTTTCAATTTAATATTCTTGACTAAAATACTGCACTTACTAAAATTCAGAATATATTCAATTAAATTTAATGCTTGTGGTGAACTTATAAACTTATTTGCGGATATACAAATTTATGATATACTTAAAATAAATAATATTTACTTGAATACAGTATATATTTTTCTCTGTGTAGATTCTCGACTCTCAATCTCTCCTCCAGCTGTACGTCAAGCAAGATTATTGTCCGCGTGCTTTGACCTTTCTTCGAGTACAAAGAAACGCGAAATGAATGCAAAATCTCGCCTAGTTATCTGTTACTCTGGAGGCGTGTCGAAGGATTAAAATAAGAGAGAAAGAGAGACGTTGTGTCTCGAAATATCGTCTCGAGCGATCAGCTGATCAGACGATCGCTCATAAAACTTGACCCGAGACTCAAAAGCGATATTTTTAAAGTGTCTGAAAAGTAAAGAATAAAGAATATCCTATCACTTATGCATTCCTGCAATAAATCTATGCGTTTTTTTCCTTCTTTTTCTTTCATGCACAACTTTAAAACTTTGAGAGAGATTAATGGCACGATGACAATCCCGTCGTGAATTTTAATAAACTCATATCCATTTAATTGTCATATCGATCATCATTAATCTTATTAATCGAACCGATTTAAATCTATTATTCGAGAAAAAAAACATAAGTAGAAAGATATAAATCGCGCAATTATACTTGTCATTGTGTCTTGCGGTCTATTTTCTCCACCAAAGATATAAATAACTGATACAAAAATATTTAAAAAAAAACTTTTTTTATCAATTTTTACTAAGAATGATTTTATGAGATATTTAAAAGATATTTACAATATATTTAAAAGATATTTAAAAGATTATAAATCGCAATCTCTTCTCCAATTATTTTCGAATCGCATTCGATATTCGATTTTACCCCTCAAATTCAAAGTATACGATTAACATGCACTGTAACAAGGCGACTTCCTTTCTCGAGGAAACGACAATTATTCATTTAAAGGAAAGAGATAAGGCAGCGTCCGCGTCAGCAGACTCGCGATTAATTCGAAATTAATTAACGTCACGAATGCAGAATCGACTAAAGATGCACTCGCATCGCGAATAATATCACGTCTCGGGATATCGTGTCTTGGCTAAATTCCTCATTATGAGAAACACTGTAAGAAAATATTTACGGGCGTTAACCTCTCATCGCAGCGACGAGCCTTATCGCCAATTGATAAACGCTCGTCGTCTCGTGAAATTGTCGCGAAAACGTGTCTCAACGCGACTCATTAAACAACGCGATATCGCGACGTCACGAGAAAGACCGGGACGTCTCTGACGCATTAGCCTTCTTATCGAGAAAAGAATTACTCAAAGAGAGAGAGAGAGAGAGAAAGAGAGATAACATAAAGAAATGACATACATACCTCATGATAAAGAGAAAAACCCCGCAGAAGCATATGAGCACGGCGAGCACCGAGAAGATGTTGGACAGCTCCGCAACCGACACCAACATCGCCGTCATCGTCGCGTCGCGTCCGCCGCCGCGTCGTCCTCCTCAACACCGGGGTGGTCCGCGCCGCCCGCACACATGCACACACAACACGTACACGACGACACGAAGCCACACCACGAGTACCGTGTCCTCCTCCTCCTCCTCCTCCTCCTCCTCTTCCTCTTTTCCGCTCAGCTGTCAACTGTCAACTGTCAACCGGCTCGCGTTATCTCGTCGGCCCGCGTTATTCTCGGAGGCGCTTCGTGAGCGCGCCGTCGTCGACACCTCCGCATCGACCACGCGCGATGACGACGGCGACGACGACGATGATGATGGCAACGACGACACTTGCCTCAACTTATGCAATTGGCGCGGCAGACAGGTCGCTGCCGGCCGAGAGGCGACGCGTCACCTTCTCTGGCATAGTCGGCGAGATCGGAGCAAAGGGAGGGATGCGTAATAACCTGTACGCGAGCGGAACGAGAGACGGAAGAATCGACGGGTCGCGCGCCGCCCGGCGAATTAGACGAGACTGACTTCGCGCTGATGCGCTGCGCCCCACTTATGCGACCAATTTCGCGTCGGTCGTTAGCCGCGTCGCCGCGAGAGCGCGCTGGCGTCGCCGCGGTTACGAATCCAAGACAAATTTTATTACGATAAAAATATATATGATATATGATATAAATATATAATATATATGGTATATAAAAATATATATGATATATGATATAAATATATTATATATATAAATATATATGATACTCCAATCTCTTTGAAAAATAGTCTATTATTCAAATATATTAGTCTATCGATTATTAATATTTAATTAGTTTCCTTGTATTCTAATATTTGATTTTCGCGATAAATTATGTACAATGATTGATACATGTATAAACAACAATATTTCACAGTGTGGTAGGCATTTCTTAACCGTTTTGTTATTTAAAAACAGTGTTTTAATAAAATAATTCCCTCTTAAGAGAAACGATCGGACAAGTGATTTTATTTTTTTAATTATTTCATTCCTAATTTGTTCGATTCAAAGAAAAAAAAACAGATATTCGTAAAAGAAGGTGAGATAGTTAATTTTGGATGTCAAACAATGCCAATTATTTCTAAATATTGCGAACCAGCGACATCTGGATCGCGCAGAGTCGCTTCGGAAAAACGTTTGCACGTCGAATGATCGGATTCACCTTCCTCGTTTGCTCATTAATCTCGTCGTCGTATCTCGAGCAATCGTCGTCGTCGACGGGAAATCCGATAATGTCGAAGATAATCGCGGTAGATTTCGAGGTCTTCGGCATCGTGCAAGGTAAACAAAATGATGCGTCTCATCGGTACGCGTTCCCATTCTCTCACCTTTATTAACTCCATCAGTTTATAACATTGTGCTCTTTTTTAAGGTGTCTTCTTCAGGAAGGTGAGTAAACCGGCGTATATCAGAGGTTTTTGACGATTTAATCACGTCCGTCCGCGGTCCACGATAAGGAAATCTACGCCGGAAAGCAACTCTCCCTCGCGACATCTACCGAATGTCCGGCGCGTAATCGCGCATTGGTTACCTCATGTAGATATGGATCTTTTTTATCGATTTAATTATTCATGCCTTTGTCAACTATCGGTAACGATGAAATCTTGAAAAGTTTATTTAAATATATCTTGTTTTTACACGCACATATAGCAAAGCAAGAATTGACTTTGATTTTTTTTAATAATATATATTATAAAATTATATATATCAAGTATAAATTTGACAATCATGTAATAAAAATTAATTTTTTTAATTAATATGTATAAAAGATAGTCTAATAAATTAATAAAATACAAATAATATATTATATATATTATTTGTATTTTATTGTATTTTATTATATATATATATATATATATATATATATATATATATATATATAATTTGTATTACATATATTATCTATAAAAATTAATTTTTATTACATGTTTACACATATATTTTCACAGTAAAAAAATTCTCTGTTCGCTTTTTCTCTTTTAAAATACCTTCTTTATATCGCTGTATCTCTAGATACCTTATTTGTGTTTGCGACTATAGTATACCCAGAAACGTGGCAAGGAATTGGGTTTGAAAGGATGGTGTATGAACACTTCGGACGGTACTGTCGTCGGCCATTTAGAGGGGGAAAAGACTCAGGTCGAGGAGATGTAAGTTCTCGTTGAGCGACTGATAAGGTGCGATTTTCTCGTTCTCTCCTCTCAATCGCTCGCCTTTATCTTTTATTTCAGGAAACAATGGCTTCGTCGTACCGGTAGTCCTCAGTCGCGGATAGACAAGGCAGAATTTCGCAACGAGAAAGAAATCTCGCAGCCGTCGTTTTCGAATTTTGAAATTCGACATTGAATTAGAAGTAGCACCTGCAAGCAAGAGATATGTAAAAAAGATACAAATGCCTTCTATAGTTTGAACAATTCAAATCTTGCATAATGAAATCGCTATTTAAATAAATATAATGTGAAACATTAAAAAATAAAATTTTCATCCTCCAGTGACAGATATTGAAGATACTCAGGATCCAAATATCGTTTTCAAAAAGTAGCATTCTTTAGACTTTCAATATGCGAAACGATTCATCCAAGTAATTATTTCGTGCGAAAACCAAAAGAATTAATTTATTTCAGGAAAATTATTGCACGACGAACCAATTCCTCTTCATCGTTCAATCTTTTAAAGGTACGCATAAAGATCATTCTCGCTATTTTTGAAAAAAATGAAATGTCAATTCTTTTTTTTCGTTTAGGTCGATATTTCCATGCGATTCAATTCCTCTATTTTTAAAAACGGATCCAAGGTTTTCTTTTCAATTCGAAGCGATTCGCTTCCTAGTAGTCGTGTATATACACGGAGAGGTGCGGAGGAAGAATGCTGTCCCGCCAACATCTCGAGAGAGAGAGAGAGTTCCTCTCATTAGTCGACGAACGCGCGGCGAACGACACGGATCCACCAGTGAATGTCCTCTGCTCTTATCCATCTCCTTCGTATAACGTAATAATTTCTCTTCTCATCGAGAATGCGCCTCGCGTCATCGTAACTCAATTCCGATTCTGCAATCGATCTCGATCGGGTTACACGTGGGCAAGAAAACGATCGAATTCGCGGTGCGAATAGTCGACAGCGGAATGATGTTATGATCGATGCTGAGAGGAAGGTGAGCGAGCGGGAAACGAGGAGCAAGAGGAGCTGAATCAGCATGAGGTGTTTCGAAAGCTTCTTCAAGCGCACCTGGCGGCCACAGCAGGTGCATCAGGTGAGCAAAAAATAAACTTTCAATTGTCGTTGTTTCTTCTGTCTCTTTGACCTTATCATCATCGCAAAAGTGTAGCAATAATCAACACGATATATCTGTCGTTTATTTCGTTTATGATCGTTTCACCGAATGCCCGAAACACTTGTTAATATACGCCATCATTACACGCGCAATTACCTAACATTTTTTGTACAGCAAAATTTGACAAGTATTGTAGAAAGAGGCGCAATATACGAAATATTTGTTAATTTTGTCTTTCCTTATTATTTTGTTTTTCACTTTAACATTTTACAATTTATTTCTCCATCTGTTTCAGATTTCTTTTCAGTTGTTACTCTGTAGAGCGATAAGATAAATCGTTTTACTTTTGCACGGTAAAATTTGTTTCAGTTGTGACAAATCTTTATTTTTGTCTGAAAAAAGTGTTATGCAAAAAATGCTACGTTAAATATTTAACAGTGATAAGCGCGTTAAATAAGTGGCCGCCAAAGAATTAAGTATAATTTCTAAAATTTCAAACATAATGTAAAAAATTACTCGAAAAATTTATTCGATAAATTACACGGAAAGAATAGAATTATTTCGCCGCAGAGTTTTATCTCGACACTCGCGTCTTTGGTATGCACAAGTGCGTTCAAAAGTATTTTGTTTTGTTTTAATTTTTCTCTTTTTTTCCTTCATGCGACTCGCTTGAACGCGTCCGCATATTATCGCGCGATAAAAGTCGATAAAAAATTAGTCGAAGTGTCCGGATAATCCTAATCAGGCGACGATCATCATCAATCGACGATACATTCGTGATCGAATATCGAATACCGTTTTTTACAAGAGAGATTTCCTAGATCCTTCAGAGATTTCGACGCGACGATGTTCCTGCGAAAGCCACGCGATTCGCGCGATCGAGGTCGTGGCTGGTCTCGCAGAAAATAATGACAGAATTACGCAAGGTAGTCGCGATTATACATAAACATGAATACGGAATTCGCTCACACGATCATATTTCCTCGTGCGTAAAGATGCCTCTTTCCCCTCCTATCTTCCAACTTATCAAGCATTTACACATGACATATTTGCAGCGCAAACACGTTTTTTTTATTTTCTTAAACTGAATCAGCAAAACTGCCACTGCTCCTACCCAAACATTTATAAATCTTCCGGAAAACGTTTCTTATAATTTGTTCTTCTATCTTACATCTAGCTGACGAGTAAGATTTCACTGAAAAATCAGTCGTGATCGCACGCATTTGCATTTGCAAGATGTAGCTTCTAAAATTTATTTTAGATTACTATTTTTAGAAACTATATAATTAGTTTTTTTTATTATTCCAAATTTAAAACTATATGAACAGAATAATTTTAAAATTTTTTCAACAAATATGTGCTATAAATTAATTAGACGCATTTTAAAATCATATCATTGATTGAAACAGTCATTAACTAATTCATCAATTCTCATATGAATATTTCATTGATTTGCAATGCTATATTTATAACTGACTGAAATTACATTAATAACTATTCACTGCTTTTTTTTCATGACAATACACTGATTCCATCTAAGAGAACCATGTATTTAATAATGACATAATAACAATTATATAGCAATAATTAATAGTGAAAACTAATAATTAGTTAATGCTAATAATAATAACTAATTACTAATTAATGGATGATAATAACTTTGTTGCAATAGCAACGAAACTATTATAATAAAATGCAAAACAATAACGAAAACAAACTCGAGAGGAGGGGAGGAGTATTTAATTAGAGTCTTGTCTTTCATCAAGATTTTCGATGATGACTCCAAGAGGGGAGAAGCCGGTTTAGTAGCCGATTGGTCAGGGGTCGCGGTTGATAAGCGCTGATAATAGTTGTTGAACGGCCTACTAAACTGGTTAGTTCCTACGGTGATTTGCGTCGCGCGACACTGCGTTGCTCGTTCTCCAAAGTAAATCCTCCGTATTAATATTAGCGCGGAGATTGGCGCTGTCGAGAATCGCGCAGTTTTTCGAGGTTCATCCTCGCGATGCTATAGTATGATCGAGAACAATCGCACTATCGGAAAATATGGAAACATATTCGACGTGAGTATCGTCTGTGTGTCTACAGCTTGAGAAATATCTGCAAAATTAATATCAATGTAATTAATTGCGATATTAATACAGAATTAAATAAAATTAAAAACGCATACATAATATTATTTTTATTTTTTTTACTTTCCCAATTATCCAACTATTTTTTTCATACTAAACAATTTTTGTCAAACCAGCGAGAAAAAAAGGATATCCTCATTTTATTTAAATTACATTGTAATGCGCATTTAAATGTAAATGCAAATAAAATGAGGAAATTGTATATGTAATTTTATTTAAATCTACATTTGTGATGTAAACAGCTGATTCAATATATTAGTATTTTAAAATGCGTTCTTTTTATTTCCTACCACTAATTATTTATCCGTACTAATTGCATATCTTCACAATTGCTTATTGATGCGAATAATAGATAATTCAGTAAAAACCTAAAAAACGTTCTCGTATAATTTAATATATCGTTTATTTAATTTCTGTCTATTCTTATATGTAACAATGCCGGCACCGGTGATTACAGTATTAAAGTTAGCTGTGCACATTCGAGAAAGCAATTAAATCCGTCGCAAATGGGCGTTGTTAAAAATGACATGCTCGATCGCCTCTAATCAGGTCATTGACTGTTGTCAATCCTTCCGAACGGTGAAAGTCGTATGATTAACTAACGGAACCTCTCCCAAAAAAACAACGTTCATCAACTGAAATACAGAGCGAAAAGAAACTTTGACAATTTAATAAATACCATTCTATATTTTGTTAATTTTGAAACATCGAATTCATATTCAACAAACCCGAATTTGAAAGCTAATACTTGTTAAATAAATACTTGTTAAAGCTTTAAGATATAGTTTGTTTTTCCTAGATAATATTTAATCGTGCTTATGTTTTGTTAATCATAATCAATAAAATAAATAGCACTTTGAGACAAAAAAAATGTCCAATATACTTAATATCGATTGCAAAAAACGATTGCAATCGATATTAAGTATATTTATCACAACATGATGAAATAACATGGCAATAACTCGTTTTGCAACTTTAACCAAAAACTTCTCAAATTGTGACGTAATAAAATGATTTGAAGGTTGAAATCGTATTCGACATCAACAAATTTGCGGAAAATTATTCTTTCTGAGTATGTTTTGTTAAACTATATAATTAAAAAAATAATTGCACGAGGAAAAGATAAATTTCAGTAAAAAAAACACAATTTGTCGAGTAGTTATATAATTTTAGAAGTAAAATACTAACTTTTCATGAGGATATTATGGCTCTATTAGAATGTTACTTGTTCATGTTAGCCATCATTGACCAGTCACACATTGATCGTACATGACAGATGAAATCGATCGAAACGATACGAGATTATCTGGATCCCAGAATACGTTTCCTCTTATAAACTCGACGTACGGGACTGCGTCGCGTTCGCAAAATTTCCTCTTTCTCTTAAACAGCCGGATTCCTGAGGCACGCGTAATCACCGGCCGTTTTGTTCCTTTCACTCTTCAATCCTCACATCGCGTGTGTCGTTGAATTCACTTCGATTATCATTGCGATCGTGTTAAAAACAAATTAATTTATTAACTATGATAAAGGATACGAAATATAAAAAATATATAATAAATAATATATAATATTGTATAAGTTATATATGATAAAATGGAAAAAAGTATAGTTAAAGCCTAAATGCAGTTGTAAAAAAAATTATAAATAATAATTAAAAAGGAATTGACAAACACTTACAAGTAATTACATTTGGGCTTCAACTGAAATTGATTGGAGATTTAATTTTAAATAATGGAACGTAACTTTTTACCGCAATATTTTTCTGTGCTAATTCTCCAAAAGATAAATCCGAAACAGAAATCCTATCAGACTCCTCCCGGAAATTCAAAACCACAGGTAGATAGTCTTTATCCGGCAATAGACATCGGAAAGCCGCGTTTGTTGTTTCGCTTCCGTCATGTTTTTTCCTCTTTTTCCAACGATGTCATAAAAAATATCAGGTCATGAATATTATTCTCCTTGAACGTTATACGTGGAAGACTTCTCAATCGTTGAGATGATAGATAAGGAGTAGCCTATTCGCTTGCTTTTTCGATTCCATCTATAGATAAGTTGAATAAATATTTGGTAGTGTTCCGCAAGATAATTCTGGAACGCCTCGTACATATATCTGTAATAAAGAGATTATGATAAAAGGATTTTGAATAACAATATAGCGAGAAAAAAATATTGTTAAAAAGTTATAGTTTGATTTCATGAGTTTAAGCGATTTTCGAAAAGGAACAAAATTGTGCAATGACGATTGCTTATCTTCTTTTAGATGGATCCGGCATCGAGGTTCGAGCCGACGACGAAAAGGACGGCGGAAGTACATCACCATGCCACCGGTGAAGCGATGACGGAGCTGGGCGAGGTGAAGGTGGCCGCGTCGAGCAACATCGCGACGTCGATGCCACACACCAGCGGTGATCCGGCGCCCTGCAAGAACGGTTGCAAGATCTACAGGAGCAACCGCGACGGAGGTGGCGAGCCGCGCTCCGAGAGTCCTTGGCACTCGCTCAAAACAGTCTTCCTTGTCTCTGTGATCGTGGCGTTTCTCCTCTGGATCATAGTCTATACCCTGCTGGACCAGTACCGGATCCTGTGATCGCGACCATCCATTCTGTGATCTTGATGTATCTCTCGTGATTGCGATTTAATTGATGTCGCGCGAAATTAATTGGGCTACTCAATGACTGCAAAGTCCTGATTCATTGTGATTTTCTGTCAGACGATTTTGTATGCGCGATTAACGATTTGATGAATCGCACGATCTGTATGGCTTCTATAATTATTCTCTATAATTATGATAATTGTTGGATCTTGCGATGCGTAGAGGAAATTTTCTTGGCAGGAATGTGTGCTAATAATTCTTGATTTAATAACGGATCTTATAAGTTTATAAAATGGCTGTGCCGGATACTTGTTTCGACAGCGCGGTTTGCACTCGATGAAATCTGTAAACAGAGATTCAAAAACAACCGAAAGCTCAAGGATGGGGAAGAGAAAGGATCTCCGGCAGCCTTAAGCTTTCGTAATTAAGATTGTAATATTGTATATTTCGTACCGTTTTATAAACGCTTTGTATGTCTGTAAATATATTCGAATAAAATATGTTATATACGCAATGTATGCAAATTATTCGATCCTTTACATAGGTTTCGAGCGGATATCGCATGATAAATCGGTGTTCAAAAATTAAAAAATATGTACGGCAAACACATTGAGTTATAAATAATACTGAGAGAGATAGATAGATAGAGAGAGAGAGAAAGAGAAACGCGAATCTTGAGAAAATCTTCAAAAATTGCGCTGTATCTTAATAACTTTACAAATTAGTTAGAATTGATCGAAAAATTTCTTCGCTCTTTTTTCGTCACGCTAGTCGACGAACAAACTTTTCGGTCAAGATGATTTAACGATATTTTTGGCCGGGACTGCAATAGGCGAGACAACCGTAATGTAAGGGAGAGAGAGAGGTGGGATTCGAACAATTTAAATCTCGCATATTCCACGATATACATTTATACAGATTGGACTCTTCATGATTTCTCTTACATGTATCTTTTCCATCTGTCAAATCGAAACTACCAAGTCCCCTCTTGTCCCTTACAGTACCTGAAATTGTCGTTGGTACGAAAAATATGACTGCGCACGCGATCGAGCATGTATCTTGCGGGACAATCGCATGATAACGATCTTGGCGAATCCGCGGCAGGCGACGTTATCGTGATCGAAAACGAGGAACGGCCCAACGGATCAATCGGAAGCTGGCAGCCGTCAACAACGTCAGCGAGCACGCGAGATCGGGAGACGCACCCGATGCGACAACAGCATCCGAACGCGCAGATGCGATTGCGGAATGACGAGGTTGACGACGACGATAACGACGAGCAGGAGGAGGAGGAGCTGCCGGGCGACAATGTGACTTGTTCCCGTCCGTTTTGGTCTCTTCCTTTAATATACACGCGTATCTCTCTATCGAAAAAACTCATTTCAGTTTTCCGCGACGGAAAGACGCACGCAGCCAAGAATGATGCTGATCGGCTGGGACACTTTCCGTTCGAGGCTGATGCTGTTTCTGATCGCGTGCCTCCTCATCTGGGCCTGCATCTTCTTCCCTCTGTTCGCCACTTGAATCTCCCCCTCCTCGCGCTCTCGCGAGACATCGAGGCGATTCGATACGATATTCAACACGACCGCATACATACTTTCACGTTTACATTTATGTATATATATTACGTCCAATATATCATAAGAACTTTACATTTTTGGTATTAAATATTTACATGCCCTATTATTTAATCATAAATATATATTAATTTACGCTTAATGTGGCCTTCGCGAAGAGGAGATTATCCTCAAACGGCTTATCCCCAAACCATCTTCAATTCTTGTCTCTCGTAAAAATTAGCTTGTTGTAAAGTTTGGCTTCATAATGTTTATTCAATTGTTCTTAATTATTTATTATTGACGAATACGCATTCAAGATGGTTTGGAAGTAAGTTCTTTAGTAGCGAGAGAGATTTGGAAATGTGTATCTCTTTCTCGCGTTCGCATTCTCGCGACATGTTTTTTCGCAATATTATTCCGTGAATTGCCTATTCTTTTTTCTTAGGATCGGTCGCGATCGGTTTAACCAACCGCAACCTGGAAAACTCGTCACGAACTCCATCAATTACTACATGTACTTTTATTTATGGAACACTTTCGTTGTGTAGCATATCGTTATGTATGTACGTCGTTTTATCTTGCTTTTTTATCAAGAAAAATACTCTAGATAAGTATTTCTTGTTTCGCTCTAGATCAGAATAATATATCGAGTACTACTATCTTACGATAGCCTTTACGTATCTTTGGATAAATCGCCAGAAATAGACTCTTTAGTTATCTCTCTTGGATTCGAGAATCAGAAAAGAAATGTGAACAATACAATTTGTGCGACTCTAAAAGTTTTCAATATTCAATATATAAAATTATTCAATATATAAAAATCTGGTACAAAATAACAAGATTAAAATCTTCAAGATTTTCTAATTTTTCGTTATTTAAGGTCATTACGTTGAATCCCTCTTGATATGAGCTGTGATATACGTGTATAGCCTTTAATTAAAAGATATTATATATAATGACCTTTTTTTTCTTGAAAAAAACTTTAATTGTATTGCGCAAATTTTTCTGCATCGTCGAGTCTGAGAAAGATATTAGAAAGTATCTCGTTTCCATCGAATCGTCCTGTAGAGTCTTATCGTTAACAATTTTCCTAACATACACGCGACAGCACAATCATCCTTACAATCGACGGCTTATAAATACATCTGATAAATATTACTAATTTGGCATGTAACAAACGTGACGATGCATTTATATGCTAGCATTTGCAACCGGCACGTCGCGTCAAAGAAATTCTCGTAAATACTTATTACACGACCTATCGTATTCTATTTTCACAGAGTGTATTCCGCGAAATACCCGGCAAACTTTATCCCAAGAGTATTTTCAGAAAACTTTTATTGTGAAAGCCATCTCTTTTCTTTTTATTAAATTACGATTTTATAACTTGTTTATAATTTTGCAAAATTAGTGATGGCTAAAATCTTTCAAATGTTGCTCATAGGGCCATAGCATTGATTACATATACTTCAAGATTATTGAAATTTACGAGATCGTTTTTAATATTCAATTTTTTCACGATTTTTAACTAATTTAAATATTTATAAATATATAACGAATCTTAAATATAAATTTTATTAAAGATCTATATTTAAAATTATAAATAAATTGTAAAATCTTCTTATCTATAAGTTCGCGTTTTTACAGCTTAATTCGCAAATTGGTGGCTCGCGTTGTAGTGCAAAAGAATATTTCAGTGCTTTTATTAAGAGACACGCACGGATTGAAATGAAAAATTTATAAGATCAAAATTTGTCAGTCATTGTCAGTCGGATACTCCGCGGAGTACCCGGTAATTACGTTAGTCACACAACAGTGATCGATGGAAAAAGATTTCGAGTATCTAAATGTTCTAATATTAGCTTGGAATAAATACAAATGATGTGATATGATTTGTATAAAACGAGGGATGTTTCGATTAAATAAAATTATCGAGTATGTGCACAAGTATAAAAAAAAGATGAGTTAAAAGTATCGCGGGGCAAGAGTAAATGCATCTGGAATGCCACGATAGATAGTGTCTATTAGGGAGTAACCGAAATCATTTTACATTTACGACATAAAATCAAAATAAAACGAGATAATGTAATTTATCATCTTATGGGATATTGTTGTCGATATTAAGGATATTTCGAAACGATAAAATTTCACGAATAACTTCCAAAACGAACAAAACATTTTAACTACAGCAACAATAAATAAGATTTCCGTATAAATTAAAATTATTAATAATTTTACACGAGAAAAAGATAACATCCGAATTTATATTACTGAGCGTCGAGATTAAAAAAAAAAACAATTGTTTATATTCGTAGCCTTTGTATGTAAATAGAGTAACGCTTATATAAATCTGATACTTTTAAAATTATCGAGATTGCGAGATGAGAAGTCGTTCTGCATTCACGATTTAGCACATTTAGAGTTACACGCAACGTATTTTAAACGAAGAAATAATAAAAAATATTGTTCAAAGTTTCTAAATAGGGATTACAAAGAAAAGAAAAAAAAAAAAAAAAAAAAGAAAGAAAATCAGAAACAAGAAATCACTTATATTCGCGGCTTGTATGTCAGAGTAACGTGAAATGTTTTTACATCCATCTCGGTGCAATCCTGTGGTCCGATAATGCCATCACCGCCGGTGCGCGACGGCACGCGTGCCGTCTGCTCTTCGATGATCTCGTTGTAGCTATTGTCCAGCATCTTCTCGGCCGCCAGTTGCTGCTGCTGCTGTTGTTGTTGATCTACCGTCACTCGCACAATCTTTACGCTCTTGATCGCCTCCAGAGAACGCGATACATCTGCTGCCGCTGCCGCCGCCGAGCGAACACCTCCCTTCGCGCCGTTCTCCTTGTTGCGACGAGATGAACTGCGATGTAGACGCTGTTTCTCCCTAGACGAATTTCTTCGCAGACTTGGTCGCTTTACCGACTCCGCGCTGGCACTTAGGCCTGCAGCTGAATTCAATCGAGAAGTTTCAATTGACAAAGTTGAACAAACACTTGTAGATATGGAAGAAGGTTCGACTATTTATAAGAAATTTAAACTAAAAAATTGATTATATGCATCGATTATAGATGTGATTACGCGATAAATAAAGAAAAAAAAATAAAGAGATGCTTCCATTTTGCTTTTTTAATGTCCCTATTTATTAAAACTATAGACAAAATCTGAAAAATTGTAAAATAAAAGCGATTGAAAGGGAAATATTTGATCAGTATTAACCTTTTTCTTTTCAATTTGAAAAAAGAAAAAAAGAAAGAAAAAATTGTGGAAATTTACCAATGTTGCCAGAGGAAGACCGATTGGAACCACGTAAAACGTGTATCGCTGTGGGATCGCTATCCGTTCCCACCAGTCTTTCCCCCACAGGTGTGAGAAACCATTCGGATCTAGTTCGCATTCGCGCGGCTTGTCTCTCGTGAACCTGTCAATTAATACAGTTATAATCCAACTTTATTTGAAATTGTCACAAGTCTTACCTGTGGTAAGTAGCTGAGACTCTTGGTACTCTCGGCGTAGCGATTCACCGCGCGCAATTCGTCCAGGGTCATACCCGCCGCTGCGCGTCTAGAATGATGACTGCCGTTACTCGACGAACGACTGGGCGCCTGTAAAGTGTCAAATCTGCTATGCGTTTCGAATTCTTTTCGACGATTCATTGCGAGACCACTCTCGCTTTCTCTTATCGCGTAGAGAGTATAAATACCTGGAACAGACCGTTCTCTTCTAAACTAACCGAGAGTCGCGTGTAACTCTCGAGTAAGGTGTTTTCCGGTATCATGCCTAGCGACGACGCGAGATTCACCATCTCCGGCATGTGGATCAACGCCGGAGTTGATTGTGATTCCTCTTGGTGTGACATACCTATCGCATAAATTAGCAATTAGTAAGAAATTATTTTATAAAGTGATACTTAAAGTTACAGAACTATATCGAACCTCTTCTCAGCAAAAAATATGTAATCTCTTTTCTCGCATTATGTTGAAATTAATCAGTATCGTCTAAAAAAAAAAGAGAAGAGAAAAAGAAAATCCATCAAATACAAATTTGTGCAAAAAGAATTAAAATAGAAAAGAATGTAAAAAAATATAATTTTTTACGTTATAATTTGATATGACTGTAGTGAAGGACCGGAAGCTTTAATGTTTAATTTTAGATATATATATATACAGTAAGATATTATAAGATATTATAAGAGAGAGAGAGAGAGAATCTATTTACATTCTAAATTAAACCTTAGTCCCCATCTTTCACACTCGTGTTGCAACCACGTCTTTTCCGCTTCCAGTGACAATTGTCCTAAAATTTATCAAATTATATTTGAACTCGCACGGTTTAATTAAAAATGCGTCTTGCGCGTACAAAAACTTACTCGACACGAGAGTATCTGGCGGATATCTAAAACTGAAGATCCAGTCTTCCTCCACCTTCAATATTCGGCCGGTTATACGAGCGTAAAATTCATAATTATCCCTTCCGAACAGATTCGAAACGCCAAAATTGTCTATCATGAACTTGGTGACACGTGTGGCAATCTAAAAAATGAATTGATCGATTGATGGATGAAATCTTGACGACTTTTCTTAGAGAAAATAAATCTATGTGCAAAAATATTAGAAGAAAAAAAAAGGCAGAAGATATAAAATGAAATTGAAATAACATATCTCAATATAATATCGGTTCTCGATTAGAAATTATCTTAGAGTAAAATTAATTAATAAATTAAGAAGAAAAAAATTATTCAATTACGAGGATGACAGAGCAAAATAGAAATGTTGTTTACCTTAAACCTGAGAACATCCTCCATCTTAGCGGTCTTGCCGTCGCTGACGCAACTCTGAAAGAACGAGGGTGCCACGGATACTCCCAGGGCTTCGCTGGTCATCCCCGTGTGCGCCCGCTCGCTATTTACTGCTACTACCCTGAATGTTCCGAATAGTAACACCAGTAACCGTTGCGTATATATTGGCATGGAGGTAATTAATCTGCATGATAAAGTTTCTTCTCATTAAAGTCAGTTTGATAGAGATTGATGATTACTCAAAACCACAAGTATCAATCGCGAGAGTTCACCTGTGTATCTGGTCCCGTTGTTGTTCTATGCTATCTAGCTGAATTACGGTGAATAGCTGCTGTTCGCCTTCTTTCCCAAACACTCCGCCAGGTATCTTGCGTAAAAACTTCTTCAGAACACTAGCTATCGTGTAAACGCTAAAATTGTCCATATTGACAAGGTGTCCAGTTTGCAGAAAATGAATCAATTTCTTCATATTACCCTGGTGACCAGGCGCCCGAAAAACGTCTTTTCTGAGCGGAGCCTCCTTGTTTAATTTCAATATAAGGACCTGGAACAAAGAAACAGCATCATTATTGCTTGTAATTATAGAATGTACATGAATGTTTGATAATAATAAAACATTTGATTGTTGCTTACCAATAAGGGGCCAGGAATATCATTCTTACACACTTCATCCAAGGGTACTCCAAACTTGACTCTGTGGAAATAAGAAGTAGAATGTTAACTTTGAAGAAATGATAGCATGAAAAATATAACATCTGGAATATGACAAAATAAATCTCTCAATAATAAAACACAAGTAGAGTGCTTTTGGAGAGTACACATGTCAAATTAGAGGCTTTATGATGTATTAATTCAATGTTTGTTATACCAAATTGCGTTATCAAGTTATCTGCTCTAAATAGCTCCTCAACAGCTTCGTATAAAACAAGTTAATGCAAAGTTAAACAAGTTAAAGTGATAAATTCTGAGAATTACATCAGTATATTATAACAGCGATACACATAATCCTCTCAAATTCCAAGTTTACTTACAATTCTCATGCTCCTTTTCTCAGATCATCAAATATATGAAAATATCTGCCCGATACAATATTTGCTTTATATATCATTAAATATCAATTATTATGTCTGTGAAAAAATTTAAAATTCTTTTATAAAATATACTAATTTTGAGCAACAGAGAATATTATATCATATATTTAATCAAAAAGAAGTAATTTCTTCTAGTATATTTTTAACATATGCGTAAATTAAAAAAAACTGTCATTTTAATTAAAAAAAATATAAATATTAAAAATCAATTAAAATACAATAAAGGATGAAATATATTATTCTCAAGTGAAGAATATACAAACTTTTCCAGGCGTCTCGGATATGGTGGTACTGAGGAAGGATGTCCGCAGCTGGTTACAACATTTCCTAACGTAGCAGCGCGTCGATGCATCCTCTCTGTCCAGCTGCTCATTGTACAAAATCTAAGGATGGCAATGTCATGCGGACACTAACGTCACTTGATGCTCTTCTTGCAAAGAGGGCAGCTGCGCTTTCTCTATATTCCAATCTTCTACGCTTGCTGCTCATCCAATTGCTGAAAGCGCACAATCAAATTCCTATTAGTCTCACTTGTATTTCATCAATGCTTCAATATTACAGATACAGTATCAAGCTAACAAAAGTTCTCATGTTATTAGTCATTTCTATCAGTCAAATATTTGTTGCGCCATCCTATAACTTGGGAACTATTTCTTCACGCTGCATTCCATCAGTGATAAAGATAGCTGATAACTCAAAACTTTTGTCACGTCAAATATATCTGACACTATAATTTTTATTTGACGTTAACTCAAACTTTTACAATTCAATCAACATTCTAGCCGAAAATACATTTTTACATAAACATAAGTATAATTAATTAACAAAAAACGAAAGAATTCCAGTTAAAAAATAAAGTGATCCATACATCATAATGAATTAATAAAATAAATACAAAATTTTGAAAATAACTTGAATAATTTCGCGTTCCTCGGTAATTATTTATTTAATCTCGCCTGCGCAAGGGCCGTTCTTCGGGTATCGTGAAACGTGCTACACGTGATAGAAGAGAGGCAGGCGCGTACACGAGGGAGAAAAACTAACGAGAGTGCTCGCACCACCGGCCCGCCCAAAAGCACAATTGAGTTAACAATGTAAAAAGCATGGCAGGAGAGAAAGAGAGAGAGAGAGAGAGAGGGAAAGAAAAAGAGGGGGAGGGGAAGGAGGAGGAGAAGGAGGAGCGTCTCACCGGAGCAAAGACGACGAGTCGTCAGAGGTGCCGTCGTCGACGTGAGTCCCGGTGGCGAGCCGGATGAACCTAACCTAACGCGGCATCGCGACGACGACGACGATGACGGACGGGGAACTGACGGACGGACTCCCGCAGCAGCACCAGCCGCCAGCCGCGCGTCTACGTTTCCATGGAAATGTCGCGGCCGCGGTGCCGAAGGGGCGCCGACGGCATCGTCGCGGCCACGCCGCGCTCTCCCTCGTCGCACACCAGGTCGCCCTCGCGTCACAGAGCGTCGTCGTCGGCAGCGTGCGCACGGCGGCCGCAAGCGCGCCAGGTGGAGTGCATCCTCGCTCTCGCTTCACGTAACGGCGACCCGACAGGCCCGCGCACCACCACCCGTCCTGGTAATCATTGCAAAAAATCAATATGGCTCCAACCGGACCGCTGGCTCGACCATAGACGACGGGAAGGATAGATGGGCCCGGGAGTCGGGCTGTTCGCGCATGCCCGAAAAGTTACTATCCCGCAGCGGCCGCGATCGAACGTGATTGGTCTCTACTTTCGGATCCGGCCAATCAGCGTCGATTACATCGGAAAATCTAGTAATGTCGCCCAATGGACGGGATTCGATTGCCCACGTCGCCAATTGGCCAATTCAAAATAGGACTCTCTGATTGGTTAATCGTTGCTGGTTACCCCGGCTCGATACGATTGGCCGTGGTCAATCGGAACGTGGGCAAACGGGACGAGATGTAGCCAATCATTGTGTTTAAAAAATTTATCGACAAATGAAATATCGGCCTAAATGTACTACTCTCGATTACAGATGATGAGAAATGGCTGACAGTTTTACATATGTTCGCACAGTCGATGTCGGAGCATTAATTTTGCTGCAGCATTCAGTATTTCACTGCAGTATTTTAATTAATTTGGATGAATGCGATATAAAAACTATCAGTTAAATAACAAAAATGGAATGCAGATTATGTGGTAGACTATGGAAAAAAAATAGCAAAATTTCTTTTCATACGTAAGTATGTACGTTTGATAAATTATTATGAGATTTAAAACACGCGAGATAAAACACACGTGCAATTTAAGTGTACAAGATATATATATATATATATATATATATATATATATATATATCGCATTAAAATTCGAATTTAAACAAAAGATTTTTCATTCGAGTTTTACATCATTTTAATTCGCTCATATCAATGCTTTTTATACAGGATGTGTCATATAAAGATTACAAGTTTTCTCTGAAACCATTGAAGATAACGAGGAAATTCTTTTTGCCGTTTTTATGGTTTGTTGAGACCTTTCAAATGACAGACGAATATCCCCGACAATATCTTAAGAAAATGGAATTTATTTAACAGAAAACATAGTATGTAAATTTCTCCATTTTTAAATAAATTTTTTTCAAGATGACCTTCACGTTTACTTGAAATATTCTTTACTTAAGATATTTTACATAGTTAAAAAATTATGATGAGAAATATTTTTCGGTGACTCAAAGACAGATGTTTTAATATTTAAAAAATCATTTTATTTATTTTTTAATAAATATTATACTAATTTATCTGTTTCTAAATAATTTTGTATTGATACATATTTATGGTTTCCAAGTGATTGAAAAATATTTTTCGTTATAATACTTTATATGATACATCCTATATATTTATATTTTGTATGATACATCCTATATATCTCTACAATTATTTTTACTTTATTATTTTTTACTGAATTTAATCTTAAATTTTGATTTAATGTTAATTAAATTGAGTTTATTTTAGATTTATAAAATTACATGAATACTTGATATGTGTTTGATATATGTATATTTTTTTAGAATTCCAAAAAATCCTGTTCTTCGAAGACAATGGCTTGAAGCATGCAACATATGGGGAAAATACTGTAAAAAGAAATATCAGCCTAAGATATCTTCAATTAGAATATGCTCTGCGCATTTTGATTCCTTTTCCTTTACTCCATCAAAAACTAACTGTCAACGTTTATGTCTTAAACCCGATGCTGTACCAAAATTGGGGATATTTAAAGAAAAATGCATTCAAAGAAAATCGATTCAGTAAGTAAATTAGATGCATTAATAGTATTTTTTATCCGGGACAAAAAAATAAAATTTTTATCCCATTTCTTTATCTTGAAATATCTCATTGGTCAATCTAACATTACATTGTTCTAAAGAATAAATTTTGAAACGCAACCCAGCGAACTCATAGTACACTAGAATGAGCTTTCTTTATATTATCAAGGTCAGAATTATTTAGATATGTATATACTATTGTGTAATGTATATATTTAGATAGTATATGTATATACATTTTTTTTATAGATCTATCTTTTTTTTTAATTCTTTTTATATTCACACTACCTGAGTTACATTTTTCATCAGATAACGATGATACTTAAAAAACTTATGCATTTTATGTTTTATTTATAGATTTAAACAAGTGAAATTGCAAATGATTATGAATTATTTATTTTATTTTCAACTTGTAAGTGTTATATATAAGATTAATGTTTTTGATTAGGATAGTAAATAGAATCAACCAATCAATGACAAAGATAGTGATCCAACTGATCCAACATACAAATGTCTTTTTCTTGGATCATTCCATTCTTGAAGGTTCATTCTATGTTGTAGAACTCAATGACAAGAACTGCTCGCTATTCCCGCGATTCTTTGCGTTTTATACAGACTGTGCTCCCTTTGCACGCTCACGCGCTGTGAGCATCATTCTGTCTTTATTGCATCGAATATCAAACGAAGATAGAGCGATGCTTTCAGCGCTAAAAGCGTCAAAATAAACGCGGCCATAGTGTTTGTATCGCACAGATATAGTAACCTCAATGACTGTTTACGATACATATCTCGGAAGATGAAATTTATATGCATTTTTTTGTTTACCTTTATTATTAACGTCACACATATGTGCACGATTTTCATAACAAATGCGTTTCAACGATTAATATTGTGCCATAAAAGTAAACTTTTAAAAGTCTACTTTTCATTAGCATCATGTGATATATAAAAGCGGTAATTTGTTTGACTACATATTTCGAATTATATTTCTTCTTAGATATTACATATTTTTTGGAGATGTATAACATCAATGTGAAATTTTTTAAAAATCATGTTTATACACAAACATTTAATTATTAAATAAATTTTAAATATTTTACTCCTTTTATCAAATAAAACCCCCTTTGAATGAATATTTAGAATTTTTGGGTTATTGTATATTTTCAAATTTGATTTGGATTTTTATAATTTATCTTCAGCATCTTCATGATGTCAATTATTTTTATGTTTTAGAGATCAGAAGAATACTGAAACAAATTGGTATCTGGATAAAGTTTTTAAAGATCATTATATCACACATCTCGATGAGATGAATAACAAAAAAAGGGTAATCGAAGATGACAAGAACAGAATGATTCAAAGAACAGATGGATTCAAAAGAGGGTTGGAAGCGGACAAAATTCTTGGTTCGGCAGATGATAACGGAGAATTAATGTATTTGATGCAATGGTGAGTAAAAACGCACATCTCTCTAATAATATAATACAAATATAATATGCATGCTATAAGAGAATTTAAAATACATAAATATATAATTTGAAAAAATTATTGAAATCCACAAGAAATTTTTTACAAGGCTTCTTTTATACAGGAAAGGAACAGATGCAATCGACATGGTACCTGCTAAAGAAGCCAATGTAAAGTGTCCTCAAATTGTTATCCAATTTTATGAAGATAGATTAGCTTGGCACAAGACAAAACCATGTGTAAAGTAGATGTGCTTCCTCGAGAAAGAATCATGCACCATCATGTAATATATTTATTAAAATTGATTTTATTCTATGACAATTATATATAAATATTCTTTGTAAAATTGCAATGACTGCATCTATGTATGTATAATAAAATGTTTCTTGCATTTTTTTAAATCTTTTTTTTTTTAATTTTAAATTCCCATATTTAATTTCACATCTTTATAATATATCTAATTTTTTAGCTGCATTCATCTTCTATAGTGTATTCTTTCTCTTTTTTTCTTTTTCAATTTCCTTAAAATATATATATATATATATATATATATATATATATATATTCTATATAAATATATATTTATATAGAATGAGGAATATAATAATTTTATAACGTATTATCTATATGTATGCTTGTTATATTAGCAGTTATAAAAAAATATTTCTCAAACAAGATTTTTAAATTAATTGGTGCATAGAATTTATTATAAAACGCTTCTCATTCTATCTTTTATACATAATTTCAAACTCTCCTCTACACCCTCTAAAAAGGGAAGTGCAGCTGAAAAATAGATTCACGAGTAGAATCTACAACCTCACCATCTTTTTTTTACCATTTTATTATTGTGTTCGACAAAAGTAATAGATACGAATACAATGAATGATGTATACAATGTCTACACACGACGTTGCATTTCGTTACCAGCGCATCTCTCTTAATATAATAATTAATATGTACAGATTAGATCGCTGAATTTATAACGAATCTATAGGATCGTTTTATTTACAAAAATCCACTGTCGCCAATTACTATGCCAATCAGAGGTATCAATGAGGTCTTGAAATCTCTTAAAATAATGGGTTACAAGCGTGAAAAAGCTTTTAAAAAAAGTCGAATTTAATTATTTCCATTTTATGGATATTCATTAAAAATTTGTCTTCAAGTGCATTATCAATAAAATAATTATTTTGATAAACAAAAATTGAAACTTATGTTTTTACTAATATTTAACTCTTATATCGACAAGCAATTTCGGAATGTTAAAATTTCCAATCATGATTAATTTTCCAAAAAAATTTAAATTTTTCTATATTACGAAATATAATTGTATGAAAAATATTTGGTTCAACAGAAAATTTCATTAAGTTCAGAAGCTGTAAAAGTGGATTTCAATTCTTTTGATGAGCGATTTTTGCGACACATGCGACAAAAGAGAAAAACATAACGTGTAACGTGAATTGTGTTATTTACATCCAAATGCTAATGTAGCTAGTCTCGAACACCGCTCGAAGATGACGTTCGTCTTAGAAATCATAAAAGAAAAAAAAAATAAAAGAACAGGTCAAAAAGCTTCGAGCGGAGTACAGTATTATACATATCGTTCGCGCGATGAAAGAAAGATCAGAACTTTCGTGGCCGACCCCGTTTTCGAGGAGACGCGATCTTACGCGCGCTTGGACGGGCGCGTAATCTTCGTCGCAGCATCCTTGGCGTGTCACTATGCACTTTCAAATGTTGCAAAAACAGCATTCTGGACTTGATTAACTTCTTGCAAACATGACATCTGCGCAGTTGTTCTATAAACAATACGTAATAGTCGAATCAGAAAAACGACAAGGATTTATCTAATTTTTTCTATGTTAAAATTTGTCCACAACTATATTGCTCTGTAATTTAGATACATACCAGACTTCTTAGTACCGTGCTGCAAACTGTGCGCGTCCAGCATAGCGGAACTTGGAAACCATCGGCCGCAGTCCGCGCATTTGAGCTCTTTCTTCTCCCAAGAGTAATTACTCCTTTGCTTTCGTTTTCTCTTCACTCTGGCTAGCATACTGAGCTCGCTTTTCGATGTATCGTCATCATTACTCAGTTCCTTTTCCTCCTCTTCCGTTAAAGTTATTTCCTTCTGTTGAATCGATCTCCAGGATTTGTTCTGGATTCTGTTTTAAAAAAAAACCTTGATAAGTAATATATACTTTTACAATGGACTTTCATTAATAAATTATAATATACTCTATGGAAGCTAACAGATATTGAATTTTATTGGAAAAAGTAGGAAATACAATTGGTACAATTCTCCAAAGAAACAGATTAATAAGAACAAAAAGAAGCTTAAAGATCAATGAATGATAATTGTAAAAATAGTCGCGCATATTACAGAATTATATAAAAAAATATCAGATTTAAAAAATGTTACCATTTTTTTCATGTTGGAATGCAAAATAAAGAATTATCTTAGATTAAAAAAAATGAAGCAAATTGCTAAATAATAAAGATTCCTATATGAATGTTTTTTCTGGAAAAAAATAAAAATATATCTTAAAATGAAATATAGAAGATTCATATTTATCTCACATATTTATCTCACATATGATTAAAATTAATTCCACATAAGGGAAAACATGATTCTATATAATAAAATACGATATTGATGATATTATGGATTTATATTCCAATGAAACAAGATCGAACCTATGTTTTTTCCTCTGTGAATGCGCCGTGCGAACGTGACGCGCCAGAACCACGACCACATCGAACTTTTCTTGACAAATCTTGCAAGCATATTGCTTCCTGACTTTCTGACTTTCCTTCTTGTCTTTGGACTTCCTCTCATCGAGTCTGAGAGCGTTCGCTGATGATTTCTGGCAAATTCTAAGATGCGTGTCGAAAGCACGTCGATGTCGAAAGTTTTTGGAACAATGCTCGCACCGTATCATGCCGTTGAGCTTCGTCAAATCATCGGCGGATTCCTCGTCGTCGTCATCATCATCATCTTCATCATCATCATCTTCCTCCTCTTCCTCATCATCGCCGTTATCGGAATCTGAATCTCTCACCATGATAATCTCGTTTTCCTTGTCACTGGAATACTTGTCCTTGCTATCATCCAAAGTGATCTCCACCACGTTGTCCTTTGGCTGCTTTTCCTCTTCATCGGCATCTAAGTCGATCACTTCCACAACCTGTCAAATAAATTTCAACACGTTAGAAAATGAGAATTGTTAAAATATAAATATATGTAAAAATATTTAGACGCGCTTTAATATTATTGAGATGCAATTGGAGTAATTTGCAATTATCGAAAAAAAAATTATACAAGTTGAATATGCAAATTTGAATGTTAAAAATTTTCAGAATAGATGCGATAGTCTCAATTCACTAATCATTCTTATATAATGCATTTACCTCTCGCCGTTTCCGTTTGATCCTTTTTGTGTTGGGCATCGTGACGCGCATCTGTGTCGATAATCGACGTCGCCGCCTGCCGCGTTTTTTGTTGGTCTGTTCCTCCTCGCTTAACATTGACGCTGGTTGGATGATAATCTCAGCGTCGTCCCGGTTTACAGAGATCAATTGCTGCTTCCGCGATCGCTTAATTTTTAACTGTGGTTGCGGAGTGCTCGCTGTCATCGTCGTCGATGGCGGCGAATCGGTTAACGTATCGATCAACCGCTGTCGGTCATCCTCCGTGACAGAACCACAGTTGTTCGACGACATGTACAAGTCTAATTCGTCCATGTCTTCATTCGATGGCTCGATGCTTGAAGAATCGTGCATAACGTCCTGGGAAAAGCTTATCGATTCGTCGTCTCGCAACTTGCTAAATTTTTTGTCGCCATTTTTCGATGCCTTTTCACGAGAGGTCTTCAAATTTTGCAACGTCGCCTGAATTTCATCGAATGTCAGCTCCGAGTCTGACTGATGATCGCCCTCTAAAAGAATGTATTGCACGGTAGAGCGTTCCATCAGTTCATCCTCAGATTCGGCATTATTTTGATTCTCATCCGATTGTTCGGCTAAAAAAATGCGTTTTCCAATCTTTATATTTGGAAAAAAATATTCGTTACATGTGTATGTGTGAAATTTATTACATATAAAAATAAATTCCTTCTATATAGGAGAGAGAGAGAGAGAGAATAGAGGGAACTTATTTCTATATAATAAAAATAACTGATATATATATAAAAAATTTCATTTTTACCGATATTTATGGAATCGTTATCCATCATAAAATACGTAATATCCGATTGTTCATCGGCAGTGATATGAATTCTATCGCTTGCTGAATTATTCTTGATAGAATCATTATAGTTTTGGCAAGTTTTGTAATCATGTACCAGTCCGCAATCTTCTTCCTGCACAATGCTCTTTTCGCTATTATCGATTGATGTGTTACGAGTGAAGATTTTGTCATTCGCTCGCTCGTTGATTTCTTCACAATCCCCATTGTGATACAACACCGGCGGCTGAGTAGTTATCAGTCGTTTCTTTATCTGCGATGGTTTTTTCACCGTTCGCACAGCTCCTTCATTTATTAATCGCTCTACATCTGCTCTATAAGTATATTCATATTGTAATTTTTATAATCAATTTGCAAAAACAAGAATAGGAAAAAAAGAAAATGTGTAAATCTTTCTAATTGAAAAAAATTAATCTTTTAACTAGAATTAGATTAGTTTACTCACTTCATGAGAAATTCGAAATTGGTCGGAGGCTCGCCAGATTCATCGTAAACGGCCACGGCAAATATGTCGTCATAACCTTCCACAGCATAGAGAGCCAATTGTTGCCCTTCTGCGGTGACGAAAGTGGCGATCGTTTCCTCGTCGTTCTCTTGCTCATCCATCTTGCTCTCCTGTGCATTATATTCAATTGTTATACAGATATCTTTATTAAGCTAAAATTGATAAATTTCAATCGATTGGCTTAAAAGCAAATAGAGAATAACCAATTCCTAAATATATACCCTCAAAGATGATTCAGCAATTGTCTCGCAATTCCATTTCTCATCCATCAAACCTTCTGTCAATGGAACGGAAACTATGGATTCCTTATAATCTACAGTCACTTTGTCACAGGGTTCCAGATTCTCTTCAAAATACATAGTTACATCCTTGCTCTCAATTTTATCCAGGAAATATCCATTTGTATTCACAATTATTTCTTCGCTTACATCCTGCAAAATATGAAAGCTTTAAGGATATCAATTATTATTAACAAGATTGAATTTTTTACCAGATTCTCCTCAATATCTCTTTTCACTCTGCATTGTTCCAATTGTTTGTCTTCAAAGTTGACTGTTGCAATCATTCCAGTAGATATCATACAGTCTTCGTAAGCTTGCAGCTCACTGGTAAATGACATTTTTGAGAGTAGCTCAATAAGACATTATCATTATAGTTATAATAATAGCAAATATCTGTAGACACATGAATGCAGAGATATGTAAAATACCAATTAAATTTTATTTGCAAAAGTAAAAATATATTTTATATATATCCAATAGACATAGTGTATATATATATATATATATATATATATATATATATATATAAATTTTTATATCAACATTATATGCATTTTTTTCAAATTAATTTATATATATACGTACATTTTTTATTTATAAAAATGGCATGGTCAACGTTTTAATTGTTCCTACAGGCGACGTTTAAAGATTTTTCAACGCGAGTGCAAAGTCACAATTAAGTTTCCAATAAAAATTTTATGAAAATATCGTCGTTGCAAGTATCAGGGAGAATAACTGCGTTTCTGCTTATTGTTATCTTGTCGCGGAACGGATTGATAGATCCCTAATTACATCGTTGGCTCGCAACTCGAGTACGTTGCGTAAATGTAAATTGAAAGGTTATGTTTATCCGGAGATATGCGACAGAGATACGCGAGGAGAGGTGTGATAAACGGATGCATACTTGCTCACGTATACGTAAATACGCGCTTTGTCTCTCTACGAAAAGAGCCAGTGTCTCGCGACATGAGAGCTTCACAAGATTCGCAATAACAATATCGGGCAACGTAACGAGAGCATTATACATGAGCGGAAACCGCTTGTGGTGGCGAGAACAATAAATAATTGCAGTGTTGTCAGGACGCAAAAAAAGAAGAAAAAATAATAACAATTTCCACCAACTCGACGGCAAAAAGGCACTAGATTAAATAAAACCCGTATCGAATTACACGAGATTGGCCACATTCAGCGGACTTAACAGTTGGGCAACATTACTAGATTTTGTAACTCGACGCTGATTGGTCGGACCTGAAAGTAGGGACCAATCATATTCGATTGCTACTTACTAGCGGTTGAGTCCGCTGAATGCGGCCATTGAAATCTGACCAATCAGGGTTACAAAACGCAAGTAACAGAGGAAAATTTTATTCGATGGCTGATTTAAACCAATCGGAAACGCTTAAAAGAGTTTCGGAACGGCTAACGAGTAAAATTTTTCTCGGAGAGTACATTTTGGAACGTACCAAAGGACGAGGAAATTTCACCCTTGGCTCTGATTGGCCGTTCTCTTTTTATTTTTTTTCTTGTCAGAAAGAAATAAAAAGTGACATTGACCAATTAGAAATCAGACGAAGAAAATGTCTCGAATTGCTCAAGATCGATTGAAAACAAAAGGTCAAAAGTTTGTTCGATTTAATCAATTTCAGATGCAGCAAATCGTGTTCGATTGATCAATCGAAACGAAAACATTCTTTTCATCTCATCCAAGCTATTGAAGTCACTTTGTAGACCGAATGCTCGACTCGAGTTTCGCGACAGTGCGGTAATAAAATTTGTGATATGTTTGAAAAATATTTTTGTCATTTTTTTTTTTGAAATCATTAAAGTCGGAAATTTTCAAATTTTTTGTACGTTTATAAATTTTTTTCTATGTTGCAAAATAAAATTTAATACAAATTGTTGAAGATCGAGCATAACCTTGAGATTATATTTTTTTTTTAATATGTGAATGATTCATTATTAGTTTAAACAATTGATTGTTGTCAATTCGAGCTAATATCGTTTGAATTTTCAACAATATTTTTGGAATGTTCACAGTAAATTATTCGTGACAGATACGTGACTCTCCTCTTGCATGATAAAATGGAGCCAAAAATTGTTATAAACTTGTCTATACTCTTAATTACAATATTATTAGTATCATCGACCACACAAACTCAGCAAAAGAAGAAATCATGGCGCGATAAGGATATAAGAGACATGACAGATGCTGATCTAGAGCATTTGCTGGAGCAGTGGGAAGTATGATTGAAATATTATTCCGTTAGGGAGAAGAAAATTGAATAGATCTTTTGATTAATCTAATATTTCAGGAAAATGATGAACCTCTGGAACCGGATGAATTACCAGAACATTTGCAACCTACTCCAAAGATAGACTTATCTCAGGTAATAATCATTTTAATGTATTTACAAAGATCTATAGTTATCAATTTAATTGTAAAATATATAACTTTATCAGTTTTTTTTTATATTCATGCATAAAATAATTCAATGTATAGATGGATACTTCAAATCCAGATAATTTACTGAGAATGACAAAGAAAGGAAAGGGTGTTATGATGTTTGTGGATCTCAAACCAGATATTTCAGAACAGCAAGCCGAAATTGTGATGCGTATTTGGCAGACCAGTTTGCAAAACAATCATATAATTGCAGAGAGGTATTAATCTTTATTAATGTTTTTTAAATTTTTCTTAACTTTATATATATATATATATATATATATATATATATATATATATATATAGAAGTAAACTTATATATTTATAGAAGTAAAAAATATAATTATTATTGCCATTATTTTACTCAATTTATTATTCAAAAAACATAGATATATGGATTAAAAATTTGAAAATATTCAGTGTGTAATTATATGTGCAGATACCCAATTGACGTAAAACGGTCAATTTACATGTTCCGTGAAGGATCTCAAGCTGTTGATGCTAAAAATTACTTGCTACAACAACCTGAACTATCTCATCTCACTCTTGAAGGGCGCACATATTATAGTAATGCGGAGCAACAGGTAAGAACGTTGTAAGAATATTGACAAGTTTTAGTGTTTATACATTTTCTTATAAAAAATATATAAAATGATCTTGATCTCTTTAGAAAGCAGCCGACGAATCAATAAGAAAACAAAGTGCCAAAATAAGACCGAGCAAATCTGAATTATAATCTCAAAGCATTCCCACTTTTCTCAAACATTTTTTTAAGTTTCAATGATAATAATATTTTTTTTGAAATTATATATTTTCGATTCTTATATATAAACAAATTGTTTTTGGAAAATATTAAATATACAATGTGTATTCATATATTGATGTGTATAATTAATAAAATTTACACATGGCATTTAAAAATATTTATTGAACAAATAAATTCTAAAGAATGTGTGGAAGGATAACAACAGTGTCATACTTGTTTGGATTTATTTGGTTGTGCTGGTCTTACTGGCAAATTCCAACTGTGCATCATTCATCGCTTTGACCTCTCGCTGAAGTTCCTTCACCACAGTGGCAAGAGCGTGCGGATTCACTCCATTTTCGCACAATCTGATGCAGATACTCAGAGTATTTTCGTCGAGATTCGTGTTTAGCAGCTTGGAGATCTGGTATAAGGTTCGGAACGTCTTACGAGCGGCATTCACCTGGTGATTCACAGGTTCTGGCATGCTGGCTCGTTTCCGTTCCTTCCTAGAAATAGATAAACCGTTTGTTCAATTCATTAGCATTTATTTAAAATAACTTTATCATACAGCTTTTAATATATATAAATGTTTCTTTAAATCAATCATTCAAAAATATATTTTAGATTAGAATAAAATTACATTATTTAATGTCTTTGATTTTTTCTTTTTATTTTAAATAATTTTGAGATAATAATGTTCCCAAGAAAAGAAAATTAATAAAATGCGTCGTTTAAATGTAAAATCAATATGCAAACTATTTGAATATTAATTTTAGAAAGAAATTTTAAAAATTAAAATAATTTATTGAATTAAAATTCCTTATATTTTATTGATATCTATATGATGGATGAGAAAGAATAGTTTCAAAGAATAAAAAAATAGGTTAAGTTTCTAATTATTCAAGTTTCTTATTAAATTTAGAAACTTGAGCATTTAAATACAATAATAAGTTTTACTACTCTTCCTCACGATTCAAAAACTCACTCGTCAATGTTAGACAGCTTTATAATACAATATCACAACCATTTGTCGTAAAAATAGGATTGTCAGGTCCCGGAACCTTGAAAACAATAAAGGTGCAATTTCATTGACGCTAGAAACCAGCGGCAAATTAAAATCACTAGACTTTCTCTAGATATGGCGTCAAATAAAATAAAGTTCAGTTTCAACTTTTTCAGTATGTAAAGCGGCCTTTTCATTGACGCTACTTTTTAGCGTCAATGAAATTGCACCTTAACAGTTGGCAGCCCTACGAGATAGGCTGTGCAGCACTGCGCGTATATAAAATAAATTTGAAATCGCTTCTAGCCTAACCATCTTCACGTGATCGACTTTATTTGAATTGCACGGCATCGCATTGAATTATGATGCGGCGCCGATTTGTTCGAACGTAATTCGGGACATCGCGATGCTGTATAAGCGTCGAATGAGCACGAATTGTCACGCAAATATGATAAATCACATCTACTCACCGTTTACCGGCTGTTCCACAGGCCGCTCCACTCGCTCGCTTCGGGACGTCCCATTCCGATCTTGATGCACACAAACTCACACGATATCATCAACGCGCGACACTTTATTCGGCACTCCCGATATTCGCTCGCATCCGATAATCATCATCAAGGGTGCAAATAACGCGACGCGACTTCGCTCCATCTTCGCGATCGCGCTATCACTGAACTGTGAAAAATAGCTGTCGCGCACTTTCACCGACATATTATGAAAGTCTCGCGATCATCCTTGGACACTTTCGACGCTCTTTCACTCGCGATATTCGTTTAAAAACGGTTGAAAGACGCGAAAAATGCGGACGTTCGACGATCCGTGTAACTGCGTATGACTCCGAGTCACGTATGACGCGTATGACGTAGCAGTGACGTAGCAGTGACGTCGCAGTCACGCGCCAACATGGCGGCCGAACCAGTGCGCATTTGTTTCTGCGCACTGGTTCTGTCGCCATGTTAGCGCGTGATTGCTACGTCATACGCGTCATGGCCGCTCTCAGGTTTCTTTCTGCTTGTTATTGTTGATAATTTATTTAGTACTCGTTTGTTTCTTGAAATATCTATGTATGAGAAGATCCTTATACCCGGTATAAGTTTTTACGCTGTATACTTTCAGTATTTTATGAAAAATTATTCACAAGTGTTAAAATGGAGACTCGCCACAAACATAACAAACCTATAACAAAGGATACGAACGAGTTTTCCTTCAGTAAAGAGGAGGACCTGATTATGTTATTGAATGCTATTTTCAAATATGGATATTCAAATCTTCCTTCCACTATACTGCCAAATATGTCTGAGGAAGAGCGTCATTCTGCATTACAGTCAGCACTAGAAAAGGCAAAGATTGCTATTGACAAGAAACCTTCAGTAATTGAATGGTTAAACAGTAGCATATTTGACAATGATGAGTATAATATACCTATGGCATTGTTACTTATTGGATTGTACGAGCTGTGTCCATTGTGCGAGCAAAGAAATGAAAAGTGCAATTTTAGGTATGGTACAGAAAAGAAAATCATTTTAAATTTGTCCTCTCGTATGCACATTTTTTTTTATATATTTTAATATTTTCTTAATCTCTGTTATGTCATTTTTATAATGTGTGATTTATTTAATATAATTTATATGTCTTGTAAATTCTTATAATATATATTTAAATTTTTACATCCATAAAATTGTTAAACATTCAACAATAGAACATTTTTTTGCAGGGAAATATATCTCTTTCTTTACAAGATGACAACAAATCAAATTGTACCATATTTATCGCATGAGTCTGCAGAAATCTTATACAAACTATTATCAGGCTTAATAGATGAAGTATGGCCAAGCATACAGCCAGAGCTCCTTCAGTACTTAAGCAGTATACATATTTACAGCAGATCTGAAGTCAGGAGAACATATTCAGGAAAAAGTTAGTTTTTTTGTTTTGACTCTTATATTAATCCTTAGATACCTTCCTTTCTCTTATTACAATTTTATAATTTTTTTTGACAATTATTTCCTTTATACAGCATTGTATTCATTTCTCAATTAATTACATATAATCGAATATAAAATAGATAAAATACTTTATAAAACTTTATTATATTCATATTATAATTATAACATCATAACATATTGTCTACAATACAATATGTAATACAATTAATAATGCAAAGGTCTTTCAAGAGACTTCAAATGTGTGTTTGTTAGTTCTAATTCTAAAACTTGAGTATCTAAGGATTAATCTTAGACTAAGAGAAACTGTTAAAAATTAATTTTTATCGATTATTTCAGAAATACTGAAGAAAAAAGCAGCAAAAAACTGCTCATCCTAAAAGTATAAGTGATTTCAATTTTCGGCTATAATTTTAAAGTTCTTTTATTCTAAGATTTTTTAACTCTGAAGATTTAATATTCCAAAAAGGACTGTAAGACCCAAGAAATAGGTAATTATTATTTGTTTTATCTCGAAAGGTTATTGACATTATGTTCATTTTACTGAATCATGACTTATCATATTTCAAAATTATTAAACAAAAATGGATTATATCTCACGTAGTCAAAGTAATAGGAAAGTAGATTGCCTTATAAGAAATATATGTCGTCTTTTCTTTAATTTGTCAATATTTATACGTATTAATATTTTTTTCTAATTCGTATTGATTATATTTGTCTAATTAATTGTTTAGTATTTCCCAGGCATCATCTTCTGCTTTAGAGTTCCAATTTTGTTGTGCTTTATTGTCTGTTTCAAAACTGATCAATGATTCTTCTTTTTTATCTGCTTTTGACTGTTTCTTCGATATTACTGTTTTATTTGCTTGCTTCGTGTCATTGTTCCAATCCCAATCACAATTTGATGTATTGGAGAAACCTCCAGTAGAAATATTACTCCTAAAAATAAATAAACAATGAATTTTGCAAAATTTCAATGTATTAATGTGCAAGGATTTATTATCCATTTATTAATTAATGAGAAACTATGTCCTCATATTATTATTTAAAAGTAGAGATTTGAAAGTAATTTACTTTGAACTAGAGCTTCTCACAAGAGATGATTTTTCATTCGAGCGATTTGACTGCATCGAATCGCTATTCTGATACGCATTAGGGCAGTTAGAAGAATATTGATACAGATTTGTGGAATCATACTGTTTTTGTTGCTCCGCTGAATTGGTCCCGGCAATATCACCCCATCCTCCTCGTCTAGTTATGTCCCCTACCTATACATTATTTTCTCTTAAACTCTTAAGTTTTTAATTGTTCACAGACTTAATTCTTATAATTAATTTCTTAATTAAATCACAATTTAATTTTGATACAAAAATCAAATGATGATAACAAAAGATAAAGGAAATGAAAATATCTGTACCTTTGTAACCAAATGATTAACCTGGCTCCCGACGTCTTCTAACAATGTACCGTCTCGAACCTAATGTAATAATAAAAAAAAAAAAAGGAAAAAAAACGAAAGAGAAGGAAAAAATGAAAGAAAAAAGTGTAAAGTTTTTAAAAATTTTAAATTTAAATAAGTCTGATGTAAGATGGAAATGATTAAAAATAAATCTATGAAAATAATAATAATGATTAATATCACGTTTATGTCAAATAAGTTCATATGGGTTTATAATAATAAAAAAAAAAAAAGTAATACGTGAATAAATACGAGTGCGATAGTAAGTTATAATCAATATTGTTCAATTCTATTTAAATAATGTTTTTGAAGTAAACATTATTAAACAGAATTGCCAATATTATTCAATGTTACTAAATTTTGCATTTTTAAATTAATTTAGATTTTCAAAAATGTTCTCTGATTTTTTAACACTTGCCTTTTGCGTAGCGAGTCCTCCGATCTTAATAGCATTTTCGGTAGCTTTGCTCGCAATTTTCGACGCTGAAGAAGAGAATATTGACCAACCCTGCAAAATTAACAAATAATAGTTTGTTCAATTACATTTTAAATTTTAATAAACATTAAAGATCATACAGTCGCTAATGAAGAAACTGCAGTATCGAATAATTCCTGGGACGAACTTTTGGGCGGTGGATCCATTTGATAACCAAAGCCACCATATTTGCCACCTTGACTTGGTGGAATATTACTGAGAAAAAGTTTGAATAATAATTTCACATTAAATTAATAATTAAAATGTATCTAATTGTCAAATTCATTTTTTAATCTCTTGTTTTTTATATTGCCATTCGTCTATTCGTTCAATCAATAAATTTTAAATTTCGTGAGAGAGAGAAAGACAGAGGAATGTGCATGCTTGATGAGATATAGAAAATAGGAATAAACTTACTCTGGACGATTGGCGTTTTCGTTTTGTCTTTTCGCAAAAAAAGATTCCGTTTGTGTCTTTAGGCTGTTGGAATTCATATTTTGATAAGAACAAGACAAATCATTCTGATATGAATGCTCTTGCTTATTTTCAGTAAATGTTGAAGGCTCAAAATCCTTTGCTGTTGAACTAGTTGGGCTCCAAGATTCTCCTCGTGCCAATGTAGCGATCTAAGTGTCAGAAGAGAAATATATGCTTAAAAGATGAACAACATGGTGGAAAAATGAATGGAATAGACGACTAATTCAATGATTATCTAATCATATTTAAAAACTTTATCACCTTGTCTCTGTACAATGCTGCAGCTTTTGTATTATAACGCTGTGAGATAGACATAAAGTCATCCCAGTCAGGTTGACTTTCGAAAAATTCTCGAGCGTTTCTGTTACCACCGACTTTCATTTTTGCTAGTTCCACATCTTTCCATTTATCCATAGAGACAGAACGGACAAATGACAAGTGTACTCCTAAGCCACGATGTTTGCCCGAACATTCCAAACATATCCAGATTCCATATGTCACAGATACCCATTGTGGATTATGGCTGCTGCATTCAAAGCATTTCTGCAAAATATGTATACGAATCCATAAATCAGTTATGTATTACAAGGTCAATCATAAATTATTTATTTTATTATTTATGTATTTAATAAGTATTAAAAATAAACATGGGTCAATATTAATATATATGAATATTAATATATATATAAAACACTGAGATAAAAATTACATTTATTGGAAATAGGAATAAGCTAAAGTTTAATTGAAAATATCTATAATTAACTAATTAATTTTTTCAAATTGTCTAATTTTTCTTCATAGAAAAAGGAGCATATTATTCAGGTTTTATTCTATTTTGAAACTTACATTGTTCTCATCTTTCAACTTCAATTCACCCAGCATTCGTCGGGTCCGTGGACTAGCCATGGTCACATAAGTCAATTGTTGAAAGATTCTGAAATATGAAACAAATATAATGTCAATCAATGTGGTAACAATTTCTTAAATTTGTATTTTTAATCGAGGGCTTTAATATACAATATAGATAAAAGTTGATCAAAAATATACAAAAATTATTTTCAAATAGATGGAAAATCAAGTTCAGGTACTTCAATCATTAATAAGATCTAATAATAATTAAAATATGCAAAATAGAGAAAATAATCCAAATGAGAAAATGTATGATTTAAAATTTGAAAAATTATTTAGGAATTTCGCAAAAGAAAAAAAATAAATCTTCAAATTTCAATGCTCTCGAAATTATTTGACAGGGATCATACGGAAATATTTACCACAAAATCATTACATTATTGAACGATCCCTTTAAGGATGGGAAAAGTAGATTCTACAGAACAGACATATTGCAACGAAAGTCGGACACGATTTTTGTGCTTGGAAACGTGCTTGACATTTATTGACGTCATAAGAAGTTTGCAACTGTCAACCGCAAGAGGTCATCGTGTCTCTCGCATTTCGATGAATCGAAAGAGATTTTGAGGTGCAGTCGAAATGGCGTCTGGCTAATGGACAAAGATTTGCGCAAAATATCGAATTCTCTTTCGCGATTTTCGCAGAATTACAAGGTAAAAAACATATCACATATTTACACTTGCTTGTCATTTAATTACTTTTCTTTTTTTGGTAATAATAATGTTACATTTTAACCATAAAGAGGAAAAAAATTGGATACATTTTTTTCGATAACGAAATTCAACATTTGACGGTTATTTATTGTTGCTTTTCAAATATACGCGGCATGATTTCTGCGCAAATAAATACGCATAAAGAGCTTATTAAATTATTTTAGAAATTAATAAACAATCTCAATAAAATTCTCAGTAAAAGAATACAAATTCTAAATCAAATTTTGTAATTCATATATAAATTTTTTTATTTGTACAGAAACTTTTCTATTTCGTACAGAATTTGAAGATTTTAACCAAAATAATTTTATGCGATGTTTTTCGAAAAGTGATTTTCTATTTAATTAAGATATTAAGATTTAAAAGCGTTATATACTTTATATTAATATCATTATCATCATTCAACATATAAATATTTATTTTTAAAATATTTAATATTTACAAGAATATTATGAATTACGTATATTTAAAATATATCTTAAATATCTTTGTTTATATTCAATATCTCAACAAAGTACTGAATATACATTTCAATTATTTAACGATAAAATATTATTAAAATATTAAAAAGTTATGCAAGTGGAGGATTCTTATAAAAGTTATTCTATTTTTTTTATAAGATTTGAGTAGATACTCTCGAAAAAAAAGTTTCGTGATACTATATATCTGATTATATATGTATTATATTTAAACTATACATTATATAAATTTCCTGATATTATATATCTGACTATAAATATTTAAACTATATATTACTATAGTATATCACACTATATATATAATTTATATATCACACTATATAGTTTACTATATGTTGTTAATTATAATTGTTTATGTATATGCATTAAAAGTAATTAATTGATATAATAAAATGTATAAATAAACCATTTTGATATAATAAATATATTTTATATTAAAATTTCTTATATAATTAATATTGTATTATATATATATATATATATATATATATATATATATATATATCATTATAACAATTAACTTTCTTTCTCTCTCTCTCTCTCTTTCTCTTGAATATGAATAAAGTGTATATAAAAAAACACATTTTCTATAAATTACAATTATAATATAAATTATATGAATTATAAAATATATTACTGTTGTATATATCATAATATATTTAATATATTTGATACTTATAAAGAGCTGCAAAAATGTATCGATACGAATTTAATTGCTCTATGCAAGTGTATGCAATTTAATATCTTAATCTTTTACGCGGTTTTTCTAAGAAAAAACACTATTCTTTTATTAATATTTGACAATTTAAAATCTAATTAACTGAAACAGGAAATATGTAACAATAAATTATTTACAGTTGTCGACTATAACCAAGGCGGACTAGAACAACGCATACTAATAGGATAGCTATGGAATCTGGGAAGCTGGAAGATGCTCCATTTAGTTCCGAACAGACATCGTGTTTACAACTGGACACCAAGTTATCGAATTTCCTCTTCAAAAATTCCCAGTCGCAGAGACCAACTTGGCAGCCATCGTATCGCACTGGTTTTTCCGCCAGGTAAAACATTACTTTATTGCGATCGTTGCTGTCATTACATCTGCAACAGAATATAGATTTTCCATAAAGATTAAGATCCTTTAATATATTTAGAATAAAAAAAATTTTCGTTGCATACAGAAATTTAAAGTCAACTGCTGTTCATTTATTTTATCAAAGTCAATTGATTTAATTGACCGCTTTATTTAAATTTGATTACTTTATAAAATAAATTAAGAAAGAGATCTGATATATCTTAAATCAAAGTAGCACTTTTAATAATACAATTAAAAAATATAGAAATTAGAGTACAATTTATGAAGCAGTAGAATCAAGAATCTATCTATATTTAAGAGAATTGAAAATCTTGAATGTATAATTATAATGTATAATTATAAGAATTGGATAAAATATCATATATTAATACGAATATTAGAGGTACTTGAATTTGAAGCAGCAATAAATTAACTTGATCATAAAAGAGAAATACACACATTCAAATAATTGAAATGGAATAAATAATAATAATAATTTTTTAGTAAAGAATTTTCAAACAAAATAAAACGTGAAAAATAAATGTGTAACAAATAAAAGAAATATTCTCACTTGTAAAATACGGCGATGAGATTCGCGGCGTAGGATGATATCATAGATGTACGCCACTGTCGTCTAGCCATGTCCTTGTAATTGTAATTGGTCAACTGCGTCGAGTCCTCGTTTATGCCCATCGCAGTTAGGAGATTTTGCAGACTGATTATGTCACTAAAGTAGAAGATGCCTGTGGGTTCGCCCGACATTTGATCCCTCGCTATATTCCTAATAGAAAGAGACACATTTCTCATTTTTTATTTTTCCCTTTTTTTCCTATACAGAAATTTACAGAATATTGTATAATTATGTCAAGTTATTCTTCGCGTAAGTAATCCTCATCGATTTCTACTTTCAGAAAATTCAGTGTAATAAGAAAATAGAATTGGAAGAATTTAATAGAGATATCTAAATTTATATTTGAAGAGCGAGAAAAACAATGATGGAAGATTCGAATTTTGAATGGTACCCGAAATGTTGCATCATGTTGCGCAGAAGAGGACATCCTAGACGAGCATTGATATTTCGTCCGTAGCCTGCTTTATAATAGTAATCAAGATCCTCCCTATACTCCAAAATGCGGAGCTCTTCTTTGCTAAAGACGGCACACCAAGGTGAAAGTTTGGTCACGGTCCAAGCTTTCTCGTATCGACAGGCGTCGTACATTGCGTCGATTCTTTCTACAAATAATTTGACGAATGTATAAACTTTTCATAGACGAAAAAATTTCCATATAATTACGTAGAATGATTATATTACAAGAATTAATACAAGAATTAAGTTTAATTATTTAATTTTTTTATTAATACAAGAATTTAATTTTATATTTTTTTATATTTTTATTTCTTATATTAAATGATCGATGTAATAATAGAATTATTGACGTACCGGTAGAGATATTGTTTAGAAAACCAAGTCGTCGGCTGACATTCTTCAAAAGATTCTGAAATTCTGATCCAGCATCAAATTTCCTACGTTCCGTATCTTCGAGCGATTGTTCATGCTGTTTATCGTTTTTCCATACTCCGCATGTTTTATATGCCTGTTAAATTAATGAAATCAGATAGACAAAAGCAAAGAGAACGATATTATGGCTTAAAGAAATAATAATTTTTCTACTCTATAATTTGTTTATTAAAGAAATTGTTAATTTTGTTAAAAATCTTGATTATAATAGAGGCAAAGAATAACTTATAATATAAATATTTACCATAAGTAAAGTATCATTAAGAGGACTGTCCTCGGAAAGCACGGCTACCCTGCTTCCGAATAGACCCTCCATAAAAGATGCCATACTTTCGCGCGCTTCAGTAGCACGGAACTGAAAGAATATTTAAAAATTGAGAAAAAAACATTTAAATGTAAATTAATTAATTTAAATATAACTTTTTTATATTTTTTTATAATTGAAAAATATAAAAAATAATATAAAATAAAGAATATAGAAAATATCTCTTATTGTTTCATCGGTTTATTATTATTTATTGACTTAAATATTCTGTCTAGGAAATATTTATTGACGAATATCCAAATAATTTAATTTAATAATTAAATATTTATTGCGACATTCCAGAAAAAAAACACCTTGTAATTGGCAGGCGTGATATTGCTGGCATCGGGCAATAATAGTTCCGGAAAATTGCTCTGCAACCTTCTCGCCAGTAACCTCATGTCCTCCACCCCTTGTGGCGTCAGAACTTCCGCCCGCTGCGGGGACAAATAATCGTCCGGCTGCCATCTTCGCAGATTCTCCAGATCTCGATTGCACAAGTGACCCTCTGATGGCGCGAGAAAAGGACAGAAAATGAATGAGGAAACATTCATATGGTAAGCATTTTAGATACGCAAAATATCATTGATATTTACGACAATTTTTGCAAAAAACATCGCTAAAATTGTCTGAAATATCTACATAAAAAGATGATAAGAACAAGAAAAGAAACGAAAAGAACAAGAAAAGAAAAGTCGATTCTACATTAAAGAAAATGCCTACCACCACGCGTTTCATGATTGTTGAGTATATGCTCTTTGACATCGGTTAAAGCGACGATTTCGTTGATCTCGTCAACGGTCGGGCAGCGAGTACCGTGTGCTGCGAGCATCCAGATTTGCACCGGTCGACAATCTAAAATTAAATTATATATGTAGCTGTTGTTATATAATATATATTAGAAATTGTACTCTGTTATTTTTAAAAGTACAATCCAAAATGTAGGAATAATCATTCTTTATCGAAATAAAAGTAGAATAAGATGGAGACGTTATTACCAAAATTATCACAAATAAGATAGGAGATTTGATGTTTATAAAATTTGATTCGAAAATTAAATTTTTTAAAATTTACTTTCATCAAACTTTTGCAGATGCAAAACCTATGGACATCCAGTTGTTGCATCGAAAAATCTGGAATAAAATCAAGGCAAGACACGGATCAATCAATTTCCAATACTCACTCGGTACTATTTGAAACCGGGTCTTGCCACCGTGAACGAAATGATATGCAGTCTTTGTGGCCATGTACAGATACGGATCATCCTCATCCGCGAAACAGAAGTCGACGTCGCGCGCGACGGACACATGGACATTCGAAAAGGCCAAGAGCGACGTGACTAGCACTAACAACAACGCGCACATTATGTAGTGGAAACTGTCGTTCCTGCAACAATATGGTAATACTAATAATAAGAATGATTGCATCAAACGTGAATAAATAACATGCAAAAAATTTGCACATGATGCAATAATAAAAAAAAACATTGTAAGTAATTGCGATCGTTGATTATAAAATTCAGGGACTCGAAGTGCAATTTTAATACGGTTGACTGGTGAAAAGTTCTTTTATAAAAGTAATGAGATGTTTCAATTTTCACTATTTTTTTTAAATATTATTGCATTCATTATGTCAATCTTCTTATTTTAAAATGAATATTTTTAAAACTCATTGTTCCAGAGACTCGTTTCTTTTCAATCCTGGATTTGAATAATGATATTAATTTTTTCGCAATTTTTGAAAAGTACGCACTGCGCATCATATTTCTGCAACATATTTTGCAACAAACTTGCGCAATTGTACGGTATAAATTTTTATGGAAAGTTTACGTAAAATATATTTGCGTTTAGACAGTGATCTTAACGGAATGGATTTATATCGGAAGAAAAACGCTTTTCCTTTTTTATCCCGTGAACCGCGGAATAAACTTTTTGCCGCAGGTTGACTATATCGCGGAATATAATTTATTACCAACTTTGGTGAAGAAGCTAGCGTAACGTGACTCTGCCGATTGCATAACCGGAAATGTTCGCACGTTCGCTGCTCAAGTTTTACCGCGAGCAGATAAACCGATAAGTATTAGTCAGAAGATGATGACAGATTCTCAGAGTTGACTCGCAGTATCTATGCACTTCGAAAAATGATCTCTTTCAAATCCAAATATTAAGTAATTTAAAAAGGAAAATGACTGGACTTATTCCTAGAAAAAATTTCGAAGGATATGCAAAGATCGAACAAGAAGAGATTTGAAAGGATTGGAAAATTTCACAGGGTTTTGATTTTCATGAAAAAAATCGTTAACGCGAAGGCCAAGGATAGACCCCAAGTGAATGAGAGAGTAGAATTATTACGTCGTACATCGTAATGGTATTCTAACCGATGAAAACCGGTTTCCAGTGTACTCTTAAGGTTGAGGGGTTCTCGCTACATACGGCTGTCTTTGAGATTTTGTAATCGGCGGAAAATCAAAAATAGCTCGCACGTAACAGTGACGAATAACTCAATTGACAATGAAACGCGATTAGAGCCTTCTTCTTTCGCGCTGACGATTTTACTACTTTATTACTGCTTAGCCTACTTATGCTTAATTTCTTGTGTCCGCAGATACCACGCAAGTGCCACCATCGTCTCTAAGCATCGTTGCAAATTTCATTTCAATGTGAAATCCATTATCCACGCCCGTCCCGCTTTAAGCGTCATTTCGAGGATAATTTAATACGCATATATTCAGCGGATAAACAAGAAAATATTCAGTTCTTGTTTTTTACATAATAGAGATGCCTCAGAGGAAATCATTATTATGGAAATAGAGGTAAAATATACAAATTGTAAAGGTAAAATGTACAAATAACACGTTTGCTCTGTATAGAATTTCTTTTTAATTAATTTTCTATTAATTTTTTAATTCATATAATTTAAAATTTTAAATAACAGGATATCTAATCTCCGAATTCACGAATAAGTTAGTGTACAATCGATTGAAAAAAAACTTAATTGTTAGATTGTTAGAATGAGTGAAATCTCAAAATCACTTTAACGATTACTTTGATCGGGATGGAATTATTTAAGAACGAAGGATATCGTGATTTATAAAAGAAATCGAGATAATTACTCTTAGAAAGGAAAAGGATATTACGAAAGAAAGAAGATTGGAATAATTATGAAAAAGACTAAGAGAAAATCGAAGCAAAAAACGATCGCGAATAAAACTTTTTTATGGGAGATTTGTGGATGACTTCAAATTATGATGATCTAACATTGATTCTACGTAAAATATCGAAAAGATACGCTTAAATATCCTTCGCGATAAATTTGCGCAGATGCAGCGAAACGGTAATGACAGCATACAATAAAGGAATGTACGTCGCTGTTAGATATATAGCTGTCATGTATGATGACGTATGCTTGTGCGAGAAAGAATATGTAAAGATTATCAACTATCCGGAAAAAAGTCTATATATAAGTAAATATAAATAGAAATAATTATATATAAATGTCCATTTCCTATATTTTCTTTCTTTTCTGTAATCTCTATCTGTAAAGGAAAAAATGAAAAGAAGAATAATTGAAAAATAGTTAGAAATATAATTTTTGGCTTGTTTTTTTAGAAAAAGTTAAAATTTGAAGAAATAAAAAATGCTTGTCTATATAAATTTATATATAATTATATGTTAGCTATTTTTTCTCATTAAAATTATATTTTTAACTATTTTTCAATTTTTCTTATTTTTCTTATATAAGGACAGAGATTATACGAGAGAAAGAAACCATACACATGTGTATAATTATATATATTTTAATTATATATATAATTGTTACATATTTATTTATTACATATTTATACTTAGATATATAGATTTTATATAGATTTTTTTCAAATAAATAATGTGATTATTACTATGTTTCACGAACAAAAATATTTATTAGAATAGTACTCGAAGTAATGAAATCCTGATCGGAAGATGTTATTTGATGATCAATTAATGATTTTCGGCGATTGATCTTATGATTTAATATATCCTGATATTCCTGATATAGGATTCTTCTAGTTTCATGTTTCTCAGATACATATCTGTTGCAATTTCTAGATTCTTTAATTTCTTTCTGGGTTTATTACTTTAAATTCTAAAACTTAAATTTTTAAAGTTTATTATTTTGGAATTCTTAAATTGGATTTATCTTGGATTTTCAAATTTTAAAATTCTTGACTTCTTTATATTTTTTAAAATATAAAGATTCTTCTTCTATCACATAATTCTTAAATTAAATATTTCCTAGCAAAGTTTTCTTCGACATTTCCTGAACTTTTCATTATATTCACTGCAATATTTCTAAATCTGCGAATTCTTAACATCTTTACATCTTATTTCGTTTATTTTTGTCAATTGTTTTGAATTTTTACTTTTTATTAAATTTATCAATCTCTTATAGATTCATTAGTAGAATTTAAAAATAATATCTTTCATCGCCTTGTTCTCTTTTCAGATGTTTCTTGAACTAAACTAAATGCATTTCAGCAAAAAATACACTTCCGATCACGTATTCCGACAATAAATGGCGAAGCGATAGACGGCGGGGGCACGCGACAATTGTTCATGAAAGTAGGACGACGACGCTGGTCACGCTGGATGATTCTTAGAGCAGGAGAGCAGCGTAATTATATTCGTGTGTTTTACGCGAGCGCGAGTTCGTTCGTTTTCAGTGAAATCTGACAATGTATCGGAGTAGATCAGCGGCGATTGCAATCCTCGAATTACGCGATCGAAAGCGAACGCTGCGCACTTTCGTGTCGGATATAACTGGAATTTACGAGAAAACGAGAACGTGAACACGATATATTATTAACACGATGTATTTATCGTGCGATATATCATTTGCTATGCTTCTAATTAGATCATCATCTCGCATGCGTTGAAGCGATATGTTAATTTCGCATGTTAAGGTCGCGAATCGAGCGTTTCCGACTTAGGAATCATCTACGTACGTACGTAGATTCAGTGCGAATCCTAACGTTCAAAAGGCGAGAACTTGAGAAATCTGTAAATTTTGGAACGTTAGATTCAGAATATTAGATTCAAGAATTTTGTGAGATCACTTGTCGATGAAAAATTTAAGAACATTCTAGAGATAAAATTGAAGGATTTTTTTAAGAACGTGAGAAACTGAGTATCTAAGAACTTTGAAGTCCAACTGTTCAAATAAACTTACCATCAATATTTGAAAGATTGATGCGTTTAACAATTTATTATCTCTGTAGATTTTTTTAATGAGATTTTTATAGTCACGTTCGTAAGGTTCTAATTGTCAAAATCGAAACAATTTTAATTAAGAAGATATTAATAATTTGAAATTAATGAAATTGAGTGAAATTTGAAATTAAGTGAATCTAACAATAAGAACTGAAGTATCTATCAATTCAAGTATTTAATAATCAAAATATACTAATAATATATCAGTAATTAAATGATTAACGCATTTAAAATACAAAATAACTTTAAAAAATATTTATTTCAATAAAGTTTTTCATGTTAATTTCTCATGAAAGATATTTATAATAGAAAATTATGAACATACACTTATAATTCTTATTTAGATGAATTTTTAATTCAAATAAAAGAATATTTTTATAATAAAAATATAATATTTAAAAAAATAACCTAAATAAATTATTAATAATATACGTAAATTTTTAATTTAAATACATTCATTTGATTTAATTTTATATTTGAATTAGAAGTTCAATTAAAATTTACTTTTAAGGTTTTTTTAGTTTATTTAATTAGAAAATAAATTATTTCGTACAATTATTAATCATAATAAACTTCCTTCATTTGAATTAAAATTTATTCTTTTAGATTAAAGTGCAAAGATAAAAGATAAAATTTATTCTTTTAGGTTAAAGTGCAAACATAAAAGATAAAATCGAAGATGATCGAATACATACGGAGAATGTGGGAACGCTCGACGATCAAGGAACTATATCCGAGATGCTGCAAATTGAGATCAAAGATTTTTGAAACTTGAAAGGGCGCGGTCAATCACGAGAGATCGAGTCACGGAAGAGTGAAAGAGAAGCTTCACTTCCGACGTAAGGAATGTAAACAATGTACACCTTCGCGCGCGATCGCGAGGTTCGCGTTCAAAGCCACCGTTCGCTGCGGCGGTTCGTGTGGCACTGTCGCCCGAGGTCGTCGCGCCTGGTTGCCTACCGAACAACCGACCATATCTAGACCTAGCGCCTGCTGCAACTCTAACTTGCATCTCAACCGCGATCTCTTCGATCCGCGAGTTAGCGCGACCTGGTTTAGAGACGTACGGGCGTTTCTATCTCAATATATCGCGCTCGATTCTTGTCACGTTACGTGGTAGATTCCAGAGAAAAGTTGATCCTGCATTCCGTCTTTTATTCGCGGGTATTGTTATTATCAATGTAACTTGTCATTTTCTTCTTATTTAGAGTCATTTTTTTATTATTTAGAGTCTTATGTAGGTAAAATAGACTACTATAAATAGACTACTAACAGGAATAATTTATTACATAAGATACATAAACTTTTTGCTCACCTTGATATAATTGTTCCATCGTCGCCAGATGAATTACTAGATCTCTTTTATTTCTCTCTCTCTTTCTCTCGACTATTCTCTTACGACATTAACACATCACTCGCAAAACAATGCTAATTACGACCGCCCGCGCGCTAATCATCGAATCACGATAATCGCGCGGAATTCCCAACGTTAACACATGTGTCGCATATTTTGTTGTATTGTATTATATTGCACAAAGTATTTAATTATAATAATATAATTAAATTATAATTAATATTATTCCATCTGATGATTAGTATATTAATGCGTGTTATTAATTCGGAAACGAGCAAATTATATCTAAGTTGACAAAAACTTTCGCGAAAGACAATTCGAAACCAAGCATAGAGTTAAAGATGTCATTATCATTCATTAAAGATCGCAAAAACATAAAATATGCGAGATATGTTGCTCCTCGATTTAATTGCAAAACTTACTATTAAATAGCGATTATGTGTGTGTATGTGAAGTAACATTTTGATTTTTATATCATTCTTCGTAGAAAAAAAACATTTAATTTTGCAATATAATAATCATTCATAATAAACACCGAGGACACAACATTGAGCGTAGAAAGTTCGACCTTCGAGAGAGAAGAGAGAATAATTGTCCTTTTCGCTATCCCATAGAAAACCTAAAGTCGTTTCTATAGACTGACTGGTCTTTTCGATTATCGTAACTGTGACGATAATTTTGTGTCTAAAGAGAAATAAGAATAACAGTATATAAACAAAGTGAATTTCATAAAATTGATGTGTTAAGAAATATCAAAAAATATTTCAAAATTATATAGTTTAAAGAGAATAACTTGAAATTAATTAAAGAATATATTTCGTGAAAAAATAATTAAAACTAAATTAAATAACATAATAATTCAACAATATAAATACATAGTGAGAAATATAAAATTGAAATATATTGTGTTTCAAAAAATTAAAATATTTAAAATAATATTTCAGAAATTGTATACTTTTTAGTATGAAATATCAAATTCTTTAAATATAAGATATTAATTTAAAGAAAATAAAATAAATTAAAAAACATATTTTATAACGAAAATTAATTAAAGATAAATTTTATTTTTTTATAGAAGAAATAAGTTAATTTTATAAATCTTTCCATAAATTATGCATTCAGGAGTTTCCAATATATTATTTCTTAACGTACATTGTTTTCAATTTTTCCTCAATTTAGAATTTAAATGAATTAATTTATTAAATAATTATATATATTGCAAAATAAAATTTATGTCAATTACATCTTTTTTTATATACGTGCATTTTTATTTCCGAGATATATCTCTTGTGCGATTTATCTTGCAAGTTAATTTTGTCAGTAAGAAATAAAAAAATAAAAAAAGCTCATACGTATCTTTTGTAAATAGGATTTTCGTCGAGAAAAGGAAGATCCCTTCCCATCAAGAATATCAGCTGTAAATCTTCGAGGATGCAGCTTCCGTATCCGCACACACCTGTCGAAATTGAGTTTTTTCACGCGTCGCCGTATTTCCGATGCGATGTCGCTGCACAATTTTTCAACCACCGTATCATCATACGTGAGCTCATCCAAACGATTATTCATCACTGTTTTCACGATCTTGTCAACTAGATCGACCTTGAATGGATTCGGCGGCTCCATACGGTAAGTATTCTGATATTTTGGCGCCTGCAATAAATTACACTCATTACTAAAAAAATTTCTCTAATTTATTATTTAGTCTTTTTCACTTCCTTATTATGTATACATAGTTTACGCTTTATATGTCATATTTCTTATATATATATATTTTTTTTTTTTTTTCTAAATCTTGTATTCATATATGTAAGATGCCACCACAATTATGACTTTTTAATTTTTAAAAAAATTAGCTATATCTCAAGGGAAGAAAAACTATTAAAATTATATTAATTATTACAATTAATTATTAAAATTAAAAAAAGTTGCGATATTATATATATTAATATGGATTTTGATAATACAGTATGATTTGAGAGAACACTTTGTATATTAAATTCTTACCTCATTATCGTCATATGTCTTCTCATTCGCCTCATGTTGGGACGGCATAATTTGTCAATTTTTAAAAGTAAATCAGTGAACAAATCTTTGCTATTTCGAAAAAATATTCTTTTGAAATAATAATAACTAGCTACTTAGTTAATCCCTTTATAAGAGTACATGTATCTAAGGTAAACGACAATCAGTCACTTAGAAACGCCGCGATCGATAGAAAATAATAATGTTCGAAAATAAATGTTCGTCAGAATTGGTAGACTTTTTACTCTATTTTTTCACGCAATTCGTCATTATTATTTAAAAAATAACGAGTTATTACAATTTCCGGAATACTAAATTTTTTTACATTAAAATATAGTAAAAGTGATTTATTTTTTTATATTAATTTATTTGCTTATAATAAAATGTCTATATTTGTATAAAAATAAAAGAGATAGAAAGAATATAAAAGAAATATACGAGTAAAAATATATAAACATATTCCCGTGAAATTGATATTAAGAGTGTTTCGAAAAATTTAAAGTTATTTTAGAGAAACGTATTCTCTAGAAATATATTCTTTATACATATATTTCCTCGATAAGTATACGAGCTATAAAATCTTCATGTCTGTTTCTTCTTTTCTTTTCCTCTTTCTTCTTATATCAAAGAATTTGAGTTGAAATTTCCGAGAAGCTATATAAGAATACAAATATTGTATTAACACAGGAATATAATGTGAGATATACTTAATAATCTTCTTTAATTTTCATTGTACATTGTTTGTAATATTTCCATCGCCGATCTTTTCGATCTTTTCAAAAAAACGCTGCATCTTAATCATTATTTAACAACTCACTCTTTCTGTTAACATTTATTCTGTTAACTTTTTGTTAACATTTTGATACGAGCCTTAAAATACATTTTGTTTAGCAGTAATTAATTTTAACTTGCATAAAATTCGACGACGCATTATCAGTAAAGATAAAAAAATGTAAGTGCTTGCTTTAGAGATAGATCTCTGATGATGTACAGGCATGCATTTTGCAAGGAGCTTTCGAATTCTTTTGAAATCTCTCGAGATTTCTGAAGAATTCTGACAATTTTTTTTCTCAAGAAGTCCTCAGGAGGAATATGCAAAGACAAAAATGGGATAAATTTGTATCTTTACACCGTCAAACCGTACAATTGTATAATTATTTTTCATTAGTTTTTATTTTTCTACTAAAAAGTACTCAATCTTTTATTTGTTAATTATTTTGTAATAAACCATAGGCAATGACTAGAACATGCTTTGAAAATTATTTAAGGATTATGAAGATCTTTACAATATGTGTCAGTCGAAAGTTCTGTGGGCATGACTGTGTAAAGTTAAATATTTATCGAAAGTAGCAAAGTTTTGCTGCACAAAGAGTAGCGCGAAAAATACGCTCTCTAAAATATACATATATTCATATTACACATTAATCGACACGTCAATTCCACTTACAAATCCTAATGTATCTTAATATCACGACAAACTGTCGTTATATTTGCAAAATTTCATTTTTCATTATCTAACGTCAATGGCAAAATAATTTCATCGACCTATTAAACAATTATTAAATTAAAATCATTACTAGTAAAAAAATAATTACTTTACTTACGATTAAATTAGACTAATATCTTCCGCGTTTAGCTATTTAATAATACATCGACATTATATAAATAATTACAAGCACTTTTTAATCAAGAAGAAGACTCTTAAATAAACAATTAGTAAAATTGTGCGATAAAAAGCCTCGCTTAAATTTATAAGAAAAAATGATTTATAAGAAAGTTTAATTGAATTTAAATTTAAATTTAACTTGTCATTTTTATATTTTTATAAGAAAAGAAAAACTATGAAACAACGCATTAAACATTTAATTTAATGACGAATCCAAAGAAAATAATAACAGTTTTAATATTCTTCTCTTGATCATAAGAGACTCTTATTCAATGTTTGCCCTACATGTTTGCGAAACCTGCGTTAAAGTATTTCTCTCTGTGAGGTAGGCATTGAAATCATTTGCATCATTATTTGTTCGACAGCGAGTCCCGGCGAGAGAGTTCCTGATTTTCTGCGTGAATCGTCCTCGGTTTGAACCCTCGGAAAATGAAACGACGAAGAATTCTAAGACAGCAATTCCACTTCCGCCTGAATGTTCTGGCGCGCCTGTTCCTCCAGCTTGTCGCGAAACTCCATGGTGGCGAAGATGTTCGGGATCTGCAGGAAATTCTGCAACACCTAACGAACATAGGAATGTTCATACGAAGAATACGATCGCATTAAATCAATCTCTCTTCTTAAGATAATTTATAATAGGTAAATTTTCTTTCTAATTTTATAGATATTCTCTATTGTGCAAGAACATTTTTTTATATCAAGAGCTTACGTAGATTTTCGAAATTATATGGATTTGTAACGCTATAAATATGCAGGCGAAAATCTTGAATTCTATCTCATTATTATAGTATATTTATATTATATTATATTCATATTATATTTCAATATTTCGATTGCGGTCAAGATTCATCTTGCGACAATTTTTCTGCGATTGGAATTCTCGCAAACTCTTAATAAGCTGTACTTTTCGATTGTGTAGAGCAATTACCTTCAGTCGCAGTGCCGTGTACATGGGTTCGCTGAGAAAGGAATATTCTCCGCGTATTCGTTCCCTGTATTCAGCGTAACTATCCGGAGAGGAGCCGAGTATCGCCATGTCCAGGTCCAGAAAGTAATGAGCATCCTCACCACCGAATGCACCCCCTACTTTATGCGCCTCGGTGCTATGAGTCGCTGCCACTTTAAGCAAGGCGCATGTTTCTTCTCTGAGCTCCGCGTCCTTTTGAAAGGATTATAAATTACTTCATATTGTATTTATATCAATACAAGGTAGATATTTATTTTTTATCGCTTTTCGCATTCAATTCTGAAATTCTAAAATTTTTTTTAATAAATATGAAATTATTTTGTATATTTACAATATAAATTTCTTTTTGATTTAATCTATTATATCTTGTAACGCAAACTATATATATACTTATCGCATTTGTATGTTAATATACTTGGATATTTGATCTAAAATCGATGAAATATACCAACCAACGGAATTTCGGCTTCATCGGCAAAAGTATTGAAGTGTTCGAGATTTTTGTCTTCACCATCTAGAGCTTTGGGATCGTATTCAAAACTACAACAGAATTTTCAGTAAGGATATAAAAGTAATAATTTAATAATAAAAATGTATCACACACTCACTTTTGAAAGAATATGGCAAGCAGGACGGCACGTGGATTTTTTAGATTTCCTTTGATTTCATAGTAATGGTTCAACTTCTCCCTGAGCGAGTCCAGATTGTGGTACGTACGTTTCTCTTCTGAATAGATCTCTTGCAGACGCGTGAACCAAGCATCGCAAACCGCAGCGTCCAGACCTTCCGTAGCCTCTTTCCAACTGTCCTCCAGCGATACCATTGTTGCTGAAAAAAAATTGTTCTTAAATGTATGCAAGCATGAAGAAGATTTTATTAATTTATTAAACGCTGAAATATATATATTTATATTAATTTATTAATATATATATTTATTAATTTATTAAATGCTGAAATATATATTTATTGTATGAAAAAATCGATCTTTATCTCGCTAAAAATCATATTTCAGGAAGATATCGATGATTATTCACCGAAATATTGTAGATGACTTATTCATAACAAAAGTATTTGCTAAGAATTAACGTAAAATCCGCTTGAAATAAACGAGTTGAGAGATTTAAATGATAATTTTTGTAACAATTGGCAATTTTTTTTAATGTTCAAATAATATGAAATGCAATTATGAGAACTGAAAGATATATTTAAATATTTTATATTTTTTTACAGACACAAGTAAACAAAGATATTAATGCCGAAAAAAATCAGGATAAAGTCGCAGTATTTGATATTCGATGTTCCAAAATTCGAGAATCCGAGGAAGAGCCAGCACCGAGAATTCGAGAATCCAAATACATTTTTTCAATTTCCTCGGAGATCTGCGAGTTCCGCCTTATGTAAATGCAAATTTGGAGTATACTCGCTGTGCACTTACTTGTCCCTTTCGACGGACGAAGGAAGAAACCGTGGCACGTCGGGGAACAGCAGGAATTACCGAAACATGATTCACGATCGTGTTTCGCGAAACGACACTGCCACGCAGAGCGTTTTACGTTGCGTCGCCGTCGTTGGCGGACAAAACAGTCTCCTCCTCCACTTATTGATCACCCTCGACGACCGATTCGAACCTCTCTACATAGGGGGACCGCAGTCGCGTATTTTCATCGAGAGTACAAAAATTTTTCTTGAGATTTTTATATGCTCTGTAAAAGAAAAAAGATCTCGTGTTGTCTCTTGTGCAGAGAAAATTTCTATCGATACGATACTTTACCCGTTTTGGAATGATCTCGAAAACGGAGCCTGCATAGTGTTATAATTATATACAGTTCGATAAAAAATAATTTTTTTTTCTATAAAAAAGAGCCTTAACATTTTTTGTAGTTTTTTAATGCAATATTTATTATTATGTAATATTAATATGATTATTATTTTGAGAAATCTGCCATTAAAACTGCAAAGAAAGAATTATTTTCATGTATTTTGTCTTGTAGGTAATTATCATACATAATATCCTCATTATATTAACGATCTATATTTATATTTGTAAATATTTTTCAATATGTTTATTCAGATTTGAAAGTTTTCCAGGTCACTAAATAAGAAATCACATGAGTTTTTAAAATTTTTTGTTTTTGTCATTTAAATTTATTAACTTTAATATAGGATTTTCATATTCAACCTGAAAAATCTTCAAGTTGAAATAAAAATATTGAAAAATACTTTTTAAAGTCTTGTAAATCTGTATCATCGACTCTATAGTATCTATAAAAAGTGTGATTGAATTGAAAATATTAACATTTATATTTTTCAGATAAAAAAAAAATATATATATATATATATATATATATATATATATATATATATAATGGAACAATACACATTTTTTGAATTTAATAATAATTAAATAACAACATACTTTTAATTCAATAATACATTTTTATAGTTTATTTACATTTGCTGATTTATATAATCTTAACAAAGGATAAAATTTTTGAAAATTGAAATTTTCGGAAGAATTCGATCATTATATATGCTTTGTGTATATATAACTTGGAAAAAAACTCAATTTACATGATGATTTTTTTCCTCTACTACTACGCCAGCGTAATAAAAAAATTTATCGCACATAATAGATGAACATATATTAGCATTCAATCGGAAATTGTCTATAAATACTGAGATAAAAAGCATCTTTTCCCTCTCTATGTGTATTAATAATCAGTAGAGAAGCACGTATATCAAAAAATTAGATTGTGAGTGCATTCGAGAGCGAATATTCGAGAAAATATTCGCACCAATCGATTGTTAAATTCGATACCCGGCACTGCCTGTCGACAGTAGTTACCGAAAATGTAGCAAAATGCCTGTAAATAATATATTATTGTTCTACGTAACTTTAATCGCGCCAATTTCTATTGTTTTATTTTTGTACGGTTTCTTTCCGATCGCTCATCATGGCGACACGATCGCTTCGCAATCAGATGTTCCGAATTACATTGGCAATGTGAGGTAAATTAACCTTATTTTCGCGCTCTTATTAATCACGCAATTATTAATCAATATCGTTAATATTTGAATAAATTATTAAGATGAATTAAGTTTTTGTTGATATTTATATAAAAGTAATTCCTTTAATATATATTCAGATGTTATTTCATAACACTTATTATTAATTTATGTTATATTTATTGATTTATATTTATATAATATATATTAAAGTTAATATTTATTAAGGTTGATTTATTTTATCGCATGATATATATTAACGAAGTTGAATATATTAATATTGAATACTATTTCAATTTTTTTCTATCAAAATAGTAATAAATGTAAATGTATATTAATACACTAATTTAAAAAATACATATTTATGCACATGCTATTTTCAGCATAAATAAACATGCGCTATATAAACCGATAATAACAAGATTGATAATCATGGTGATCGATGGGATACGATGGGATTTTGTGGCAGGTCCAATGGGAAATATCACTATGCCAGTGACAAGTAAGCTCCTGGCAAACTCTTCTGGATGTTTGTTACAAGTCAAGTTGCAATCGCCAACAGTGACAATGCCTAGAATAAAAGTAAAATTATTATTACTTTTACTATTTATATTTTTGAAAATTACATCTAAGATTTTTTTTCTTAAAAAGAATTTGATACAATTTGCGTTTGCTTTTCAACACAGGCAATGATGACTGGTACAGTGCCAAATTTTGTAGATATAGTACTAAACTTTGGGAGTAAACCACTGCATAGCGACAATTTCTTGCTTCAAGCAAAAAAGTATGGGCATAAATTGGTATTTTATGGAGATGATACTTGGCTCTCTCTGTTTCCTCATATGTTTGAACGTCATGATGGCACTACTTCGTTTTTTGTTACAGATTTTACAGAGGTAATTAGTACATGTTACACTGGTAATAAGTTATATTATAAGTTGCTATTTTATTGGCTGTTTCTTAGGTTTTTCTGCTGATTATTAAATTGCTTATTAGATTGTTATTTTTTATAAACAGGTGGATAATAATGTAACTCGTCACCTACAACACGAGTTGAATTACAATGATTGGACTATGATGATTCTCCATTATCTCGGATTGGATCATATTGGTCATGTTGAAGGTCCATTTGGTGCATCGATTAAACCTAAATTACAAGAAATGGATGAGATCATTAATCAGATAGCTCAAAGAGTGCAATATTGGGTAATTAAAAAATGCCTTAATTCTCATTTTGTAATCTCTTATTTTTTTTCTGTCTATAATATATATTTATTTAGGATATATATTACAGAATATATTGGATATAATGTTTATAAGACATTACTTTGTGGATGTTATTGTGAAAATTATAATTATATATTTAATACATAATAGAAAAATATCTACTAGTTTCTATTAACTTGTTGGATTATCTTTAGAATACCAATGGGATACCTGCACTCTTCATTATCTGTGGCGATCATGGGATGAAAGACTCGGGTGGTCACGGCGGCTCGACATTGCAGGAAACCACGGTGCCGTTCATCGCGATAGGAGGGACTCGCTGTTCTCATTCGAAAGACGGTGAATCGATCGAAATCGAGCAAATCGATATAACGGCAACGCTGTCCTCCGCCTTTGGATTACCTATTCCTTCCGCAAATCTCGGCTCTTCGTTCCTCGATAGCATTTACCATCTTGATGATACCAAGCGACTATTTTTTCTCTATTACAATTCGAGGCAGGTGCTCGATCGTTTTCAAAAGCTCGTCTATCGAAAATCACAAATTGAATGTGAGTATTAATTTAAGAATTATTCATGAATCTTTGGATATAATAAGGAAACTCTGGGTATAAGATAAGAAGCTTAAAATTTTAGAAATAGGGAATATAAAAAATTTGAAATTTCAGATATTTAAACAGATATAATTAGAATTTAAAAAGAAAAATCTTTTTAGGATCTTTTAGTGTTGTAGAGTTTCAAAAAATTCTGTAGAATTATTCTATATGGGTTGTATCAAAAGATATGTCGACCAAAGAGGACAAAATTAATGTTCTTTCTGTATCCAACTTGATTATCTGTAATATTTTAGTTGCTGTTAAGAATAAAAGAAAATATTTCAATGACAAGTTGTTCGGTTTAAGAATATAAATATTGCAATCAGAGCATTCTTTGAATAAGATAATTCTTTTTAGATATATATCGGAAATATTTGGATGCTGTGAATTTACATGTCACTTGGTTGAAAACGAATGAGAGATCAAACAGGATGTTCGAAACGATTGTTTCATCTTACAATGCGATTCTTGTAGAAATGAAGGACGTTCTAATAAGCAGCATAGTCGAGTATGACTTTCGTCCAATAGTTCTTGCTGTGCTCTTTCAATGTCAAGTGAGTAAAATAAACGGATAATTCAAAGATTGCCAAATAAGAAATCAAGCTTCAGGATTCACAGTTCAAATAGTACCAAGTTTAATCTACAGAAAAGGAATCTCTTATATAAGAATACTCATATTTCTCTTACGTGTAATTTTAATAGATAGTCTTCCATGACAAACACAATTTCTTTTCAAGATTGATTTTAAGAAATCTGTTAACTATTTTATATCTTTTTTTAGATACTTGCCATTTTGTTTTTTGCACAAAACGTAATTTGGACTACGCATAAAAGACCCGTATTTTTCTTGATTTATTTTTCTTTATGCTTGGTAACATACTATTTTTACAATTCTGAAAATGTGACTTCGCTTCACCTGATGAATATATTCAACGTTTTATCATTCCTACTCATCATCAGTATCTTGTACATAAACTGTGATCTGTGCATAAACAGCAACTTATCTTTCATAGAGGTAAGAAATTTTATATATTTTTAAAACGAAATATGTGAATTAGAAGTTGTAACTGTTGATTAATAATGTCTACAAATTTATTATTTAATAATAAATAAATTTGTTATAAATTTAAACAAAAATACTTTAAAAATTAAAGAATTATCAGAATTGTTTTACATGATTTGAATAGTTATCTTGCTATGGTTTACATACAAACCAAAATATATACGATTCTATAATTTTTTATGACATAATATTTAATAATTAAATATAAATTATTAAATACTTTAAATTTAATAATAGAGTTTCTATTATATTTTTTATTTGTCAAGAATTAAAAAAAGCAAATAAATAAAATATTCTTAACATACTATATTTTAATTGAATTTAGCTCACAAGGAAACCAAAAATATGTAGAGTGTTTGAAGTCGGCGCATTATTACACGTAGCGAGCCTCGCCGGTAGCAGCTTCATCGAGGAGGAACATCAGACATGGTACTTCTTCTGGTGTACTATGATTTTGTACTTCCTCTATCGATGCTTCAGAAAATTGCTCGTATGTAAACGATAGTGAGTATGTTTTTTCCTTCTTAGGTTCGTTAAATGCATTATTTTTTATCTAAAAAAGATTAGTAATTAATTAGTAAAAATTTTAAAGAGAAAAAAATTCATATTTATTAATTTTTTCGATAACATATAATGTTTATACTATGAATTAAGTTATTCTATAAATATATTTTATGTATGTGAAGAATCTAATAATTATTTTTATAAGTTATATTATATATAGAATGAGAAATGACATGAATGCTGAATAGGATATTTTTTTCTAAAATCCACAATTCGAAATGGCGTTATTATTTTTTCTTTAGCCTGTATTTAAAAAATGACAAAATTTGAATCAGATTTAAATATCCATTACGTCGCAACTGAATCTTTCGCCAGTTAACGGTGTGGTATACAATAGCGATCTTACGAGCGATCTAAGGATGCGAACCGGAATGGATCGACGTTACAGGAATTCTAGGCATTCACGCCATGTAGAACTTTGCGCTAAGTTATTATTGGTACTGATAGGGCACAGAGTTCTGCGAAAGTTAAATAGTACCGGTGACAAATGGGCGCATCTACCTGACCTAGCTCGCTGGTTGAAAGAGGACGACAGTAAAATCGGGATGACATTCCTGCTTCTAGCTGGTGAGAGTTTTTAAATTTGACGGTGAGAGATTTATATACAGAATATTTCAGTTCTTCTAATGCTACATTTATTTTATAGCGCTTGTTCTTTTAATCTGGATAGCACACAAATGCGAAGACAAAGAATACAAACGGCTATCGTTAATATTTAATATGGCCATTGCAACATGTATATATCTTCGTCATATGGCCAACAATACTGTTCTGAGAATTCCATTATATTTTTCATCAAGGTAAATATAAAAAACTGTAGGGAATGATAGTTTTCTTTTATGTGTATCTTTTTGTTCAACTGTATTATTGATATAATATTTTGTATAAAATTAAATTTTTAAATTATTTGTCGTAGTAATTACGAGAGTAATAACAAAATACGTTTAAATTCCGTTTATTGTAGTGGAATATACGAAGTACAGATGTTTTGGAGAATAGCAGTGCTGTTTCTCATAAGCTACGGCTATCGAATGACTTTAATAATTAGACACGACAAACAACATTTCGCAAGTACAATGCTATTTTTCATCATCAATTTCTGGGTGATGATCTCGGCGATGCTCCATCAACCATACAATGTGATCTTGTTGCCATTGCAGATCGTTGCAAGCTCAACGATTGATGCAGTATTGAAAGAAAATAATTTAACGTTTGATCTCAGCGTCTTCATACACTGCTGGCTCGGCAATGTATTTTATTTTTGTCAGGTAGATATTCCCATGAATTTTTCAAATCCTCGATTCTTGTATTAATATATTAAAATTATATTTAAATATGAAATGGAATATATAATAATATGTTTAAATATAATAAAATATAATCAAAATTAAATATATCTTAAATGTATATCTATATTTAAATATATAACATTGAATTCTTAAAATAAAGTTTAATTATATACATAATAAGTTGAAGAGGTGATTTGCAGAAAAATTGTCAAAAATACCTCTTAATTATGTATAATTAATTTTGCTTTGATAAAAAGTTTGATAAACTAATTGAATTGTTATAATTTAAAATTCTAGACATTTATTTTATTAAGAATTAAATTTTAGTTACTTATTATATAATGTAATATGTGTATGATTAATGTTTCAGGGAAATTCTAATAGCCTTGCGAGTATAAACATTGCGGCAGGATATGTCGGCTTGCGTTCCTATATGCCTTTCATTACCGGCGCATATTTAATCATAAACACTTATTCCGCGCCCGTCCTAGCTTATTTTCTGCTCGTTTACCGTCGACAGTCAAGCGAGACACATTGGTAAGTCGCTTTGCGAGTTCTAAAGTTCTCTTTCAAGCAATCAACGAATCGTTACAAAGGAATGGATTTGTATTTATAGCATGGATATCGTTACACATACGAGCAGAACTTACATCGCATGGAGATTATTAACTATGACCGTTTATATGATCATCGTCGTTGGCCAACGTCATCATCTTTTTGTATGGTCAGTGTTTTCCCCGAAATTGTTGTACGAGGCGATGTATTCTGCGATGATGTGTTGTAGTGCATTATTGGCATTGATTGTGATTACACTGCAATCTGCGATAATTCCTAGTTACGCATCGTACAAGGATTAAGCCAACACAGGAATGACTTTTGTGTCTTTGACAAACAAATAAATTTATATTTTATATTTAATATTTTATTATTGCAATATAATTTATCTCCTCCTTAAAAAAATTCATTTTATTGCGACAAACTGAATTTAAGACTAATAAAATATTAATCGTATTAAAATATATTTAATGAAAATATATTAATAAAAATTCAAATATCATTTAGAATCAAATATATATCCTTGAATCATCAAAATTGTATAATCTTTGTTCTTAACTTTTTTTGATTTCTTGTTTAAACACTGACACACTTTGTGCAAAATGATATTACAGAAAATAAATTTGTGAAAAGATGAACAGAAACAAGATATGATATTATCTTGTCAATAAACAATGGAATGATGATGGAGGAACACAAGGAGAAAAATTGAATTTATGTGGAGATTTAGTTAATAATAAATATAAAAGTTAGCTAGAATATGGAGGTTTGTATGTTTGTATTTTTTAAAAAAACAAAATCTCGACAATCACATCACATTTTACTATATAATTTCTATTACTTTTCATAGAAAGTCGACGAATTTATACAATCAAATTATCTGACTCAGAACTATTTCACAACTAAAGGAACCTCGTACCAGCGAGACTTTCGCTTAACTCGAACTTTTTGATAGGACTTGCAGTCACAATCTCTCGCCGAGTACATTTAATTCGCTAAAATTTCCTAATCTCTTATAATCGTGCTAAACAAATAAATAACTATTACAATAGGAACATTTATGTACAAGTTAATCTACGTAACACTAAGATCATCAAACACAAGATGCCTCAGACTTATCAGGTACTTTCACATTGCTACGGATCCTGGAAAAATCTTTTAAATAAGTTTTTTAACAATTATCTTGAAATTTTTTGCTATTAAATTATAAAATCATTTTTTTAAACAAAATTTAGGGATCGATGGTATTTATGTATGAGCGTCTTAAAATCATGAGAAAAGTGATACGCTCCTATGATTTTTATGGCTTGTAAAGAAACTCACTATCATAGAAATTACTCTATCAAGCGAGCTTACAAAAAAATGTAATAGAAACTATTCCGTGATAGATATTGCATAAAAGAAATTCTGCACAACACTCGTTTAAGCTCGTAATTGATGACTCCGTCTGTTCATCATCGCCTTTTAAATTATAAATACACATGTCACTATAGAAAAATACCAGTGCTCTGTTTCTATCTATGTTTGGCAATATTAGACATGACATGGTAAGTACATGAATATCTCTTTCCGTCAAAACCTTTCTAAATCCTTGAGAACTTGCAACAATTGAAAAGTGTAATATTAACATAATTATCCCTACATATTTTATATATTTTAATGGTTCTCCAGATATATATTCAAAATGATTTGAACCGACTAATAAAAGTCAATAATAGATGAAAATGCTTAGATAATAGTTCTACAAATACTTAATTATACGATGCTGAAATTTTATAAATCATATATACATATATAAAATATATATGTATATTTATTTATTAATAAATTTAAATTATATATATATATATATATATATATATATATATATATATGTATATATATATATATATGTATGTATGTATGTATTTTAGTATTCATATAAGAGAAAATATAAAGGACCACGCTTCCACACAAACATTGGAAATCTGGGCACCGGTCAAATTTCTCCAAACTTTGGGATTTTTTAGTTTATGACCCCTCGATCAAAAGTCCTTATGGGCCCGAACCTCCAGGAAGTCATGGAAAAGAGTTATGGGGTATGGAAGTCGACGGAATATAAGTAATCGAGTATACACGTTTTTACGGGTTGAATCTCTTGAACTTAATGATATTCGGTGGGGCCTGGACCCATTTCTTTAACCACACCAGATCTTGCCTTAATTGATCGGTTATGAAATGTTAATATCATATCTGAATATATTCCTATTCACAGAATCTAATTCTGCGATGAATCCAGGTTTTCATTATAAAAACCTGGCTCGGCCCTTACTCGACCCTACCGGACCCTAGTTAGACTTTATAGCCAAGATTGGGCCAGACTATCAGATAGCCCTCTCCAAGTTCAAGAAGTTTTGTCCGATTAGTTATCATAATAGACCCCCTCGAATTCGAGACATTTTAAGGGTAAAAACGTGTATACTCGACTACTTATATTCCGTCTTCCATACCCCATAACTCTTTTCCATGACTTCCTGGAGGTTCGGGCCCATAAGAACTTTTGATTGGGGGGTCATAAGCTAAAAAATCCCAAAGTTTGGAGAAATTTGACCGGTGCCCAGATTTCCAATGTTCGTGTGCGTGGTCCTTTGTATTATATATATCTTTATCTGTGCTTGATCCTCAATAATCTGTTCAAGTTATCTTGTAATAGTCAAGTTACAATACTTAATATTATACCCGTATTTTTTCTTCTAAACATTTGTGATACTTTGAAGACAAATGATGTCGGGAACTGAGTTAAAATGGCGAATTCATTCCAAGCTTTGTGCCAAATTCTAGACGTGCTCTTTTTTGGTACCTAACGTTGACTCTGAAATGAGACAGAAACATTAATTTAACGAATTGGATGGTACCTTTATTTTTAATGATCAAAAATATTTAGAAATGATAACTTACTTGATTTCTTGCCATTTGATCAACTCGTTAATTGCAAATGTCAATGGAATAGAGAGCAAAAAAAATAATGGCACGTATATCGGAAAGTTCTCGATTCTTTTACCTTCTTCTTGCCAAAATCTATGGAACACTACTCCAGAGAACACCATTTGCACACATAGTCTGTAATAATGCAATAATTGTATATATCTTTTTTTTTTAACTACTTAATTCTACTAGTTCACAGGATTGGGAAATATGAATAACTTTTGCAAATTAAAAACAAATTTGACTAATAAATTACCGTATTATATAAGGATTTTAAAATTATAATAAACATTGTAAAATTAAAAATTGCGACTTTATCCTTTAAAAATTTAAAAATGCTTAAGAAAAGCTTTTATTTATATTTATAAAAATATAAGTTCTTTAAAAAAAAAGATTCAAAATTATTATGTTATATATTTTATATCTATAAAGATATTCATATAGAAATTATATATCTTTTAATATTGAAAAAAAAATTTGAGAAATGTTAATTTTATATGAGTGTATTTGATATATAACTCCTTAAATTTTGAATAATTTATTTTTATAAAATAACTTTCCCAATCCTAATTATTCAATCTGAATCCTTTGCTTACACAATAAACACACTGAGAAACCAAGTGAAATTATTCATAGGATTTTTCCTCCATATCGAGTATTCTCTATGCACAAAACTGACAGATATTGTAACTGAAAGAGAAAAAAAATTAATATTAATTAATAATCTTTGTGCATATTAATATATATATTAATTTTTAATGTATATATTATTATTACTAATATACATAGAAATTTTTCTTTTAAATGTTTTTTCAAAATAAAATCATTAATATGAATTTTTTCTCTTAAAAATAAAGGAAAAGTTTGAAATATATATAAAAACATGAAACAAAAGTGAATTTGTAACCATAATTATTTCAATTAATGAAAATTGAGAAATCAAAGCTACATGATTTCGCCTTTAACTTTATTTCACAAATAAAAAATAACTTTTGAAACTCCAATATACTAATAATATATTGTAATAATAATATGATATTGATGAAAATAATTACCGAAGTGCAAGACTATAAGGGTCAGAGCAAAATGCTGCACGACTAGGATGACGATAGGTTTGCTACCCCAGCCGCTCCAAATCTGGTCCCGTGGATCCGGATATATATACAGGCACTTGGAGTTTTGCGGCATGTAGACGGGGCAAAGGGACAGGAAGGAGATGCACTGCGACAGGATCACCGAGATCACCGTCGGCAGGAACTTGCTGCCGTAACACCACAGCACGAATAGCATAATCTATTTACATAATATATTCATATTAAATTCTGTTCTTTTTATTTCTAAGGACGCTGCTTGAACTAATTACAGAAAATAAGCAGTTTAAGAACTCCTTGAATAATTGGGGAATAAGAGTGATATTCTTTTTTTAAAATAGATTTTAACGCGCGAGATTCGAAGAGGAAATATTTCGAAATGAGTCTTATACTGCACATTTACTGCCTCCTCTCACCTCCCCATTGACTATGCACTGATTCTTCCCGGTCGCGCGTTGCATTATTGTCGAATCTATTGGCGTAGCGATCATGGATGTCGACAACACAGGAATGATGAAGCAGCACAGCCAAAGTATCTGATCGATGGAGAACAGCGGCGGTAGTAGCAAAAACGCTGACAATGTTTGTGTGAAGGCAAGTGTAACCGAACAACATAGCCAAAATTGTATGCAGTTCCACAAATTCTTCATGTAATGACGAGCCTATATATGTAAGAAAGGCTGAAAATGTAGGCACCATCTGTTCAAATATATGTTGAGTATAACGTACCTCCATAATGAGGTGGAAAATTGCCACGGGATCTTCGCGCTTCACACTTAGCGAGCACGCAACAGAGTTGAGTGTTCTACTGAGATCGACGGGAGAGATTCCTTGGTCTTCCGTGGTGGGCACTAGGACGGGTACTTTCTGACACACTTGGGGATACAATGGCTCCACTGCCACTCTGTGCAATTGATTTATAAAGTTTTTATAAAACTCTCGAATAGGCGAGATTAAGAATCGCGTTCAGAATCTTAACTTCATCGAGAGTTTTACTAAAGAATTTTACTAAATTGTAAATTATATGAAGAATAAAATTACCCGGCGTCAGCCTGCATGAAGATCGGCATGTTCTCGGCGTTGGCGGATGAGCCGAGCACACATACCACTTCACCGTAATCTTGCATGATGTGCAGCATCTCGCGGGTCACCGTGGTGTTGCAGTCAGTAAATAAAGACACGAGCAACGGTACGTTGTCGATTAGCTCTATATGTGGACGTATCTTGTCTATGCCTCTCGGCAGTTTTGCCTATTTAGTGCAAATAATCAGTTTTATGACATATTATATATAGTTAGAAATCATATTTATATAATTTAATCTAAAAAGGGAGATTGCCTACTCTATTGGACAGATCAAAATTGACCGGCGCGCTTTGCTCAGTGCTATCGGTGAGGCAACTCAAGGATCTCCAAGCTTCCTGACCCGAACCCAAATCGACGCTTTGCACCAGAACACTGTCCTCGCTTCTCATCGTGTCCTGTTCCCTAAAGTACACAATTCGCTCGATAATTAAATCTCCATCGGCTGCACGTTTTTAGACATCACTTCCTACCTGTGACTCATGGCGCTCTTGGCCTGTGAGGTCCCTGTGTTGTTCCATTCGGTGGTCTCGTCATCGAACTTCACTGTCGTGAAGTCCGTGTTAATGGCACTCGGCGCTGACATACTCATCGCTCGACTGTTGTTTAGATTAGTGCTAAAAAACGAAAGGCATTCTTTCTTGATGAATGCGTTCTTGATTTCCCCAAGTATCCTGATCGATAGAAACACATCAACGCAGATTGCCAGAAGCCAAGAGAATGTGTCAAGTTGTCGCAGATTTGGTAAAGCTTTCAAAATAACAAATCGTCGAAAATTTTTCTATCATGCTGTGCATTTTTATAATAATTTTAACCATAGAATGCATAAGAGAGTTTTCTGATTATATTTTCTTGTATTATTTTTTTGATTAAATCTTTTCATCTTTTAATAATATAAGGAAATTTGAAACCACTTCTTCGATTAGAACTTTTGAAATCCATTTCTACAAGCTTTTATTACTAGCTTACGCACATTCTAGGATTAATATCATTCTTTTAATTTTTTCTTTTATTTTTCTTTGATAAGTAAAGTTCGATTTTATAATATAAGCTGTATTAATCTCTACATGTAATCGGTGTAACATACCGAGGTAAGACACGATTAAGCAAGTGGCTGGCCTCGTCCATGCAGGAGTAATTAGGCTGATGAGATTGGGCCGTGGGTGAAGGAGTGGGTGAGGACATGGCTGCTGCCTGGCTCACCCACCAACCCACTGGACTCTCGGACCTGATATTGTCATGTGTGTGTGTGTTAGTTACAATCAAGTATATATGAGTGTGCATCTCTTCTTCTCGTATGAGTGTTTGTGTATTCACATGATCAAATAGCATCGAATCGCAAACTCGTTTCTGTCCCTTTGTTCAGGAGCATAAGTACTTAACAGAAGTGTGATATGAGACCAAGTATAAAAGGCTATCTCAAATTTTATAAAAAAAAGAAACTTCTGAGAATTTTTAAAGACAACTTTTTAAATAAGTTTTTTTTATTGTATCTTTTCTAATAAATCTTTTCTAATCTTTTCATTCATGTAAAGGAAAAATGAAATCCGAAGTTGCGAATGTTAGGTTTAAAAATATATTGAAAAAACTGAATAGTTTTTATAAGATAAATATTTTTCACTTGCTTAATATTTTTATGTTTTTTTATCGCTAAAATTGACAATGAAGAATGCGTACTGCTTATGTGCTTATCAGATAATATTTTTCTAGGTAAAAAAGAAATCCCGGTTTTTCCAGGAAGTAGACACCCTAGTATAAAGCAATTTTAATTATATACATGGAAGTTGCGATTCGATGCCTCGAATAAAAAATGAAATATTAGTATCACGTATCAAGTATTAGAACACTGCAGCCAAACGATTGTGTGGCATTATCTGAGATTAGATGTAAAACGCCTCGGAGAAGTTTTTCATCTTTTTTTTTTTCTCTTCATCGTAAAATACGATTTTAAATTAATTTTTCAATTCTTAAATGTTGATAGTCTTTAAGAAATTCTTGACTTTCGGAACAATTAATTTATTTTCCAGTTGTATTTGAATTCTCAAAAATAAATCAATTCCAAATAACATTGTTTTCTTCGAGACATCTTGCATAATAACGACATGTATACATGCAGCTCGAGATTAACAATAACAGAGGTAAAAAAGACGTATAGACAAACATATACGACGAGGGCATATGCGGATATCTCTCCAGCCATTGCTGTCTCCTGCAATACACGTACACATCTTACATTCAAGCCTCGTGGAAGTTTGCTCTCTCTAACGAGAATTAGAAAATTCACTAATCGTTAATATGCGTGCAGCCTTTTTGTATGATTGCATGTCCTGTCCTATAATTCTTTCAAAAATACTTTCTTTTTAAATCGTCTTCCTCTAATCTCCTCTCGAAATTTTCCTTAAATTTTTTTCTTAGAAAAGAATCTCTTAGTGGAATTAAAAGAGTTAAAAGTCGGATTAGAAGCATCGACGATCAAAAGAAAGTCACGAATATGCCCCATGAGAAGTTCGAGAGACATCAAAAGAGAAACGTCAAGTTCTAACGCATGATACCTGGCTCCCTCGCTAAGTAACGAGATGTGGCAATTCCAACCGCTCTCCAAACCCATCTTCTCTGAGAAGACGCGCGAGCGCAACTCGTTTTCCTTGCTAAAATGGACGAATCTTATGCATGCCCTGTCCAATTGTTCAATTAGTTGTACCTGTACTCATTAAAAAAATATATATATGTACATATATAAAACAAATATATATATAAGAAAAAATCGATTATCATACCATATCCGTTTGTGCCTGATATTGCATAGTAACCATGCCGATGAAGACTTGATTGCACTGAATGTCAAAGCAGCCTTCGATATCGCTCACATCGTCATCTTTATTTTCGTTGCACAATAAGGAATCTAAAAAAAAATAAAGCATAATTTTTTAACTGAAATATTTGTGAAATAAAAATTTATTTTATAAATTTATTTTCAAGAACTTTAATATAAAAAATAGAAGATAAATAAAATAATATTAATATAAAAATATATTGAAATTAAAGACTAGCATAAAAATAGCAAAAACAGAAGATTATTTCTGCCTTTCACTATTTTTGATCTTGCAATTATTAGATTTTTCTCATTCAATATTAAAAAAAATTATCAGATTAATGACTGCACCAACCTGTCGAATGAAACTGTCCCAGTATTCCTCGTACTCTAGGATCAAGAACATTTCTAAAGTCCCATGGTAGAGGGGTTGGACTCCTATGAGGTGTGTACAAGTGTTTACTGTCCGCAGGAAGCTCCAAATATATTTCGGACATCTTGTCCCTGATAGCACGTGTTAATGGCCGATAAGCGAACGCGGTGCAGTACGAGGTCAGGCTTGTTCTCTGATAAAAATCTTGCACTTTCTTTCTGCGACACCGAAAAGAAAAATAGTCAAAGCATTAGGCCTAATAGGGGACGTTTCTAAAATGTTCGGACAAGCGTTACAAGTGTAATTAGTTAAACATTTTAAAAAAACGTTTCGCAGAAATACGAACAAAGATATCAGAGAATCGGATAACAAAAGAATACCTGTCCGATGCGGAAAAAGGACAGAGATCGTGACCGTCCCAATATTCGATGCATGAGTCCAAAATTATGTCAGCAGTTCCTTGCGTTAATAATTGGAGGCCACCGCCGCTGCGCTCCTTCACGACCACAGCAACCATGTGAGGGAATGGAAACTTCAACTTTGTCGCGATGCTCAACGAACGCGCGAATTTTATATCCCGTCTGACCATTTCTGGTTGCTATCAACGAAATAATTTTAATTTTTTTCGAATCTAATCTGCTTTTATAATAAATATCCAAATAATCGTCCAAATAATTTATTTTTATTTTATAAGAATAAATTCTTTAAAAAACTGCTGCGAATAAAATTAGTGTTAAATAATTTAAATTTAAATCGATAGTTTTGTAATGTACTATCGATGTGAGTCAGTAGATGGATATAGGTGTGTGTGTGTGTGTGTGTGTGTGTGTGTGTATGCTCTTTGAAATTTTAACAAAGATTTATATTATACAATATTCGAAAAATTAAATTAATTATTATAATTATGAATAATACTTGCCACATGTCTAAATGTGTACAGTTGTTGCTCCAATTGAAAAATTTTTTGCGCTTGATCTTGAAAGCCGATTTGCTTTGCTAGTTCACACAGACATCTGGTAATATATGCAAATTTCAAACTTACAATTATCTCGTAATAACACTTAACAATTAACTCGTACTAATTTAATCGCAAAGAAAAACCAAACAGATACTATGCTTGAGCTATCTTTAAGAGTGAAGAATAACAAATGAAAAAAGTGTACCGTCTGTTCGTAACTGGGACCAGATTCTCGTTGTATAGAGCTTCGCAAGTTACATGGCAACAAAACTGCGTGTAATGCTCCTGCGTATCCATGTTGCAAGTATTGAGGAGAATTGCTAGACCAAGCGGCTTCAATGAGTTGAGATGCTGTCGCCACGAATGATCGTCGAATTGCAGTCGGAATGGCAGAGCGTGATCATGCGTGAGATCCAATACCTCGGCGGCGGAATGCGACATATCTGTGAAGCGTCGAAGCTTATATCATGCGTTTCTTTCACTCGGGAGACGTGCGGTACTTTCGACGGAGAAACATGTTATGCGTTTCTTTCGCTATATCATGTCTTTCTTACCGTGTTGTACATAAGACGTTCTATTGGAGTTTATCTTCGTCTCTTCGGATTCTTGGGTTTTATCCACTGTTTTATCCACGCTACCGGTACTGTAAAAGAATAAGACTGTAATCTTATCGACACGATTTTATTCCTCAATTTCATGCAATTTATAAGTTACGTTAAATTCCATTATCTCTTGAGGGAATATCAAATTCTTGAACTTCTAGATACTCGGATTCTTATATCCCAATTGAATGACTACAAGATGACTACCTCGAACTTGGTGATAAAGTATTATTCGCGTTACGGAGGAAAAATACTTTCTCCGCTGTGGGATTAGGCCATGACAGAAGTCCCTTCTTATCCACGCAACATAATGCCTGCAAAAATATACACAATATAATCCAATAACTCGATAAAAGTTTATTTTGATTATTTTCGATATAACTTATATATCTTCTGATTATTTTTAAGATCCAATTACTCATATTCAGTTAGGGAAGTATTTATAATCGATTCGTGCTATGATAACTTACAGTCACGGAACCTAAAACGTGCAAGATACTCGCAGATCGTGACATCATGTGCTCCTTGCCGAAAAAAATGTCGAAAAAGTATTTCTTGAGTTCAAGCCAATTGTACACTACATCTGGATGACTGGGACTATTGTCCGCATCTTCAAAAGGATCTATAAACTAAATTTAAAAAATCCATATTATATACAATATACATGTAATGTATAAAAGATTTATAGTTGTCAAATTTTTATGACTTTATTATTTCATTTGATGTAAAATAAAATAATTTTATATATTGTGTATGATAATATTATGTAATTTATTACTAATAATATATTACTATTATTGTAACATTGTATAATTATACATCATATACATACAGATATTATTTCATACTATATACATTACAATCTGAAAATAATTTTCTTAAATATCCCGAAAAATTGAAGTATTGATAAGTTTTGAACTTTTAATAAGTTTATGCGCAAATATCTAGATATTCATACCAACCTGAAGTTTTTTCGCTGATAAGTAGAGCTTGAACAATGCCTTAAAGCGAGCCATGCCAAAGCAATTGAGAAATATCCAGCAGGAGGGGAACATCAACGGCAACAAGGGAAGACTCACGGCGATCGGTTGCAGCAGGAACATTTCACTCCAGTGGCCAGTACCGAAATAGTCCGTCGGATACAAATAACGCAGCAGATTAACCACGAGAATAATAATCAGAAGTATTGGATAGGCCAGATGTTCAATACAACAGATCATAAGCAAATGACGCTTGCGATTATGATAAGTGACTGGTCGATTGAGTGCCTGATCCAGTGCCATTCGTAGATTCACCAGGTATGGCGTCTCCTGGAGTTTGTAGATCTTGTTTTTCAAAGGCACGCGAGCCTGCGGTGTGGAGAAGATTTCGTTGGCGCTGTGGACTGGTGGATTATAAGTTTCTTTAGCGTGCAAGACTGGCGCTTCTGGATCCTGAAAATTCGATCAATGCACAGGAGATTCAATCTCCTGAATAGAGGACTTGTGATTTACTTTTCTATCAAGTGACTTTTTTATGATTCTATAATAATTTAAAGTAACTTAAAAATTATATGCTGAAATGATGCATATAACGTAATTACATACATCATATGATGTGCAATATCCAGGTGCTTGTTGGCCTGGCTTCATCACAATTATGTCACCGGCTACCAATAATGCCCACGGCAAGTTGACTATTTCACCGTCACGATACGTCCATTGCAAGGTCAGGCAAGGGGATTGCGGACTGCATAGATGCGGGTAGTTCTCGGGCTTCCATCGACATGTAGAACGTGCAACTGTAATTTTGAGCATGCATTTTTATTCATGTATATCACAGAAAAATTGTAACATATGAATTGTCAGATCTATACAATTACTTGCAATTTAAATTTTAAGGGCTAAATTAATATTACAAATATAATCGATTGTACAACAAGTAAAACTGTAATGTAAATTTTAGTAAAATATTAAATCTCGAAATTTATAGAAAATTAAAAAATTTTGATATAAACCATATGCTTCTTTTTCAACATTTTTATAAAGAAATCGATTTTAAAGTAGTTAGGAATTAAAGTAAGAAATTGTACGCTATTCTATGGAATAAGTATAATACATTCTTTAAAAATACATACCATTAAGTTGGTTAAGAAGTATTTTCACTCTATGAGGAATCTCCTCGTGTCGTAATTTGTTATCCAACATCACTAAAATAAAATTCAATACTACTAAACAACAGACTATCAGTCCTTCGTATGGCAGTGTAGAATACCTGCAACGGCACACTCATTTATGGAATACAAGTGTCAATGATACTACTACTCGAGCTATTATTATCTGATAAGCAAACAAGACAGATGAAAAGTATAGCAAAGATCTTGAATAAATTTATATTTATAAAGTCAATTTACCGTGTTTCATTAAGTGCAAAGAACACAAACATGAGGATAACGGCATTGATCAATAGTGCAATTGCAGATGTCCAACAGAGCGTCGTATACTGGCTGCGATGATGCAAAGTATCCTTCAGCCAACCTCTGTATTTTCTAAATCATAAAGAATCATCACTGTAAAGATAAGTGTCATATGAATATATACTTGTACTTGAAATAATCACAATCGCTATACAAGATACTACTTATTTTTCCTGTAATCCTCTTCATACTCCTGCAAAACACGTCCAACATCACGATGCAGTGTATTCAAGGCCATTGTAGTGGTTAAACCTAAAATTTTCTTAGGTTTAGCTTCGACATTGCCGTCCTTCTTAGTTTCTTTGCCACTTAATCGGTCATTCTCCATTTTATTTCTATAAAATAAAAATAAATCAAGAGGTTAATTCAATCGTTGAGCCAATAAAGACGTTTACAACAGTCAATGGAGCTTAAAACAATAGTAAAACTAAAGGAAAAAAAAATTACGCATCAAAAATTTTAATAATACGATCGCTAATAATATCGCGAAAAACGATAAACTGAAAAACACAATCGAATGAGTGTCGAAAATACGATAAGGCTTATAACTTTACTTCTTGGGAAAAAAACGCTTTTGACATGAGAAAGAGAGCTTCTTCGAAGTTTTATCTATAGCTCGGCGAAAGTAGCATAATTTTCGAAATTTACTCGAAAAATTGCGACAAACAACACTCAAAAATACACAACTTTCATAGTTTGAGTTGACTTGACATGGCTCGTTATTTAGGGCGCGATTACAGCAAAGCGAATTTTTCGAGTCAAAAATTACAGATTTCTACGTTATCGATCGATGATACACTTTTATAAAAATGATTCGTATCTTTGCTATTCGCGAAATATGTATCACTAATCATGTAAAAAGTTAAGAAAAAATTAGAATATATTTATATAATATAATATGTACATACATAATCCAAATATATATATATATATATATATATATATATATATATATGTAAAATAATATATCAAGGCATATATATGATATATCTGTTATCGATGAAAGAATCCTACAAACATTAATAAGTATTGGTATAGCAGTACAATATCAACGTAAATCTGTGTAGCTGCGAAGACGACTTCATCGGGACCCAATTCTATTCTGCGTCCACCCATGATCGTTTGGATGTCAAAGTATAAATACTGAAAATAAAATGTTTGATTAATATTCGATTATCTATTCAATAATTTATTTTATTTCTTCTAAATATATTTTTGATTAATATTCGATTATCTATTCAATAATTTGTTTTATTTCTTCTAAATATATTTTTGAAAATATGTTTAAATATTAAATATTACTTAAATGTTTAATATTTAAAATTTAAAATATTTAATGTTGAATATTATTTCAATATTAAACAATTTGAAAATATTCTGATTTTTTAGATAAATTGAGATATACATAATGAATTATTGCACGAAGTTCTCAGAGAAATGAGAAAATTTAGAGATTAAATTAAAATATATTAAGTATTGCTAACTAAACAATTTTTTTCATAATATCCATCATTCGCTAACCAAGCAGAGTAGCAGCGTTCCGATGATAGCGATTACTAGACGTAAAACCATTATATGAGTGAACAGCAGGATTATTAGCACCGTAAAAATAGCCACGATCGAAACTAGCCCGATCACCATTAATAAGCCTGGTCTCATTGTCAGATCAAACTGTAATCAAATCATATTATAATGAGAATTTTATTTTTTTCTTTTCTTGTAATCTTATATATCTTGTAATCCTATTTTTGATGTATTTTTCACATTTCGACTAATGGGCTTAATATAAATTAAAAGCAGAAAAAATAAAGCTGAAAAAACCTATATCAATCTAAGCTACATTTACAACAAAACATTAAAAGAAAGATAATTAGGACATATTCTTCCCAGTATATAACATATATGAAATTGTTTATAGATTGTAAAACACATGATGCAAAAAAAGTAAAAATATTAAAAGAGAACTAATTAATCATTATATTTTAGTACAGACTTATAACCAGTTCTATAAATTAGAAAGCCATAATTATAAAAAAATTATAGAAAAAATTAGTAGAACATTTTTTCTACCTTGGAGAACGTTGCTATAAGAGCTATTATCGTCGTGACAGCTGCAGTCATGCCCATAACGATAAGGATTACTTCGATGTCGTAAAACACAGAGACGAAGGCAGCCAAGTACGACATTCCTAGCGTCTGCGATGCGATATCCAGAATTATTTCAATTGGATTAATTTGTATTGATCACTCATTACAAGAGAAAAGAAGAAAAGCTGAAATTGTGAGAAATTTTACCAGCAAAAACAGGCATATGTAATTGAACGGAGGTGTTCTTCTGGCGTGTACAGAACAAGCCACGGCACAATAAGCAACGATGAAGAAGACCCTATTGAAATTCAGTCAGATTTAAATTCACTAAATAATATATAGAATTTTTTGGATGTGTCGGTAATTCTATTAGAGTTGTATTAAGTAAAGGAAATAAATATAAAAGAGAAAATAAATAGAATTTTCTCTCCTTTATTTATATTCCCTTATTCATTTAATACAACAGAAACTGCTTTCATACAAATGTATAGAAATCTCTGTCTTACATGGCGACGATCCACAGATACCAATGCAATATCATAAACAACTGTGCTTCATATCTGGAAAATAATTCACAGGCAAATAATTCATTCATTTTTCATCAAAAGCAAAGTAATAAATTAGTGAAATAGAAAGGAGAGAAAAGAATAGTTCACAAATGAGGTATTAGAAAACTCTTCCTCGAATATACTTACACAAACATGAAGATAGATATGACGAGGATGGTGAATGTCAATTGTAATGTAAGGAGGCAAAAGACCTTGCGAATAAAACTCCGTCTAATCACGGCTTCTTTGAAATCGCCAATATACTCATCAGCATCCTCCTCCGGTAACATTTGTCTCCGACGCTGCTCTCGTACCCATGCTTTGTACAGCTCCAGGTTCTCCCTTTCTCTCAGTGCCACCATTTCATCAGTCACCGTGATGGTATACGGTCCCTAAAATTGGAATTAATTTATTAAGCTAAAAGAAATTATTTAATCTTTAATTACTAATACTTAACATAATTTTATACAATTATTATTTCACATAATATGGAGATTATTAGTGTTTCATTAAACGACATTAAACATGATTAATTAAAAGAAAACTTATTTGAAAGAATTTAGTGAAATATGCCATATAAGTGAAATGTCACTCACACTCTTCAGTTTCTGTCCTTTGATTAACGGCGGTAACTGCGGAGGACCTGGGATGTGTTGCGGAATCCGCTCTAATTCCTCGATATCGACGTCGTCGGACCGCATTGGATAGGCCGTGAATGATTACAGTCAGCATATATCAAATCTTCCGTTTCCCTGATTTTTGTGTACCGATAATATGTGTATAAATGTACCAAATGTATCCAAATGCACGCCGAATCTATCATCAACGCAATCACGATTAACAAATGAAGAGATAAATAATATGTAAATCACATATTCATGGTCGTATAATATTCAATACTAGAAGATGTATATAAATGTTAAACGCAATTAGTGCTTAGTACACTGATTTACGACTAATTTACAAAATGGATAAAAGCAAACAAATTATTATATAATAAATATATAAATAAATCTAAGATATACAATATTTCATTTTTTGTAACAACTTTTGTTTAATCATGCATTTATTTAAATTAAATATATTATATATCTTTCCTTTTACATTTTTAGCAAACATATAAGAAAAAGAAAAAGCTTTCAAGATATTAAAACAGATCATCTATGATAATAATAGAAATACATTGAAACTTAAATAAACTATCAAATGATAGAAAGATATCACAATTCGAAAGAAACAGAGTACAGATAATGTTAATTTTGTAATTTTATTACATGTTGCAACAGAAGTTAGTAAAGTAAATTAAATATATGATAAACGCAATATACACTATATATATAATTAATATTATATCATACATCTGAAATTAATATTGAAGTGCTTTTATCGTCGCTTTTTTAAAACTTCCATGAAAAATAACAACTCTATAAGTAAAAATTAGTTCTGAAAATATTAGTCAACTCAATTATATTACAATTTAAGTAATTCCATTTGATATTCATTGATTTATTTATTGTACTTAAGTAGCGTGATTTATTTATAGTGTACTAAGTAGCATAAAAACGAGGTAGAAATGTCACATCGGTGCATAGTTAGGCACTACAATTAGATGACAAAATTTATTACGTTTTAACAATGCGTCTATTCGATGTGTCAGTAACATTTGTAATATATTCTTTAATAACGTTAAAGTAGTCAGGAAGAAGATAATTAAGCATATGATTACTTTTGATTTTAATTTGCGAGAATATCATTCGAGTTAAACTTGTTGGATGATACGATTAACAATGCAATTAGCGATATATGCTCATATTTCGTCTGTAAATATAAAATATATATAATATCAAAGTTTTCAATAAAAAATTCTGCTTAATACTTCAACAAATGAATAATCTTTCCACTATTTTTTAATTAAACTTGTGTAAAAAAATATCAAAATACCTGTTTTGATATTTGTTTTCACTTGGTTTAACAGTTTAACCGTTTTGGCTTAAGTTATCGCACTTTAGGACGTTCAAACGATTAATCCTACTTTATAACTTATAAATCTAGCTCTTAATGATAAAATGGTAACTTTCTTGCGACTAAAACAATTGACTTGACAAATGTAGCTTGTGGAGAGAAATTTATAAATATGAATTTGAAAAAGAGATTAATCTCGTCTTTGCAAAATGTCTACATTATAGCTTGATGTAAAAGACTCTTATATAAAGTGTTTTATGTAAGTAAGATTTTATCGATTTTTTTCTTTCTCTTAAAAAAATTTCTTTCCGAGAAAAATGAATCTAGATTAAAATAAAAATTACTTCGAAACAACATATACATCATATTTTTAAAACTTTTCGATGAATCTTTCGCAACGATCTAACATTTTTTTTTTTCGATATCATAATACGGTAATAAAAAAATTTTGAACAACTGCGTGATAAAAAGTGAAAAAGTTACTACGTTCTTTCACGATTGTTTTCTCAATATGGTCATTGATGTCCTTTTTATACCTTAGACTGTTACGATTATCACGTGCACGCAGTATCAGTCTTATAAATAATAGAAAATGTATTTAGAAATTGTGCGAACTCGCTTATAAAGCGTTCCGAAAGCAAGAAAGCCTCTTTTGCTTCATTTATAATTCGAAGTTGTTCAAATGTTCGTCGTTATACTCCGTATTGGTTGATCTGCTCCTGTATTTTACTGCACAACAACTGTGGAAGAGATAAATTTGCAAACTGATAAAATATCGGACAAAAGAGACAATAATAAAATATGAGAAGGATTGATAAAAGATTATTTTGACGCGCGCAATACATGCGTACCTGTTTAATATTTTGATCCGTTATTAAAAGTATCTTTGATTGATCCGCGCTACCAAAAAAACCGCCGAATTTCTTCTTTTTGCTGGTGTCTTTAAGAAAGATTTGCACACCTCTCTCTACAATCTTTGGTGATTCGCTAAATTCGTTCCAAGTATGAGTCCAGTCAACCTATAATAATAAAATATCATAAACGTATGTCACAATTTTTGTTTGAAACTAATAGAGATATGGTAATTAATCAATACCAACCCGCCAACCACCAAACAGATCATTATGTTCGAGGTATGATAATCTTTTGTCAGTGAGCAACAGTACATCTTTGTTAATAAATATGTGATAGACATAAACGTCCGTATGTGCGTATTTTCCTTTCTCCAGCTCCTATAGAGAAACATTTCTTATAGAAATATATATATATATATATATATATATATATATATATATATATAATTTATCATTATGTATTAATTGTTAATTTTTAAAAAATTCTACATGCCAAATTTTAAGTTTATGAAATAAAAAATTTTTGGAAAAATATTGTATGTAGAATAATTTTATATTTACACAAAAAATATTTTATTATTTAATATCATTTTCGTTATAACATCTGGATTTTTCTTTATATTAATAGTATAAAACATGTTTTTAATCTATGTTATACGAAATATTTACATAAATGCTATATATAAATTAACGAAATATCCATTAAGAAATATCTCACTAATAATGAATAATTTATTAAAGCCAGAACATGTAAATATGTACTTTAAGTTTGATGATCAAAATATCGAGTACTTAAAACAATAGAATTTTTACCATCAATATCTTGTTGCCTTCAGCTTCTTCCTTTATGTAAGGTCTAACAAGACTGTCTGGTTGCAGAAATCTAGGCGATCGTACTCTCCTTGTCTCCTCGTTCAACTCGGTAGCTCTAAAATGGATTTTAAAATATAATTTTCAATATATCTTGTATAAATAATCGTACAATTTATACAATTTCAATTTCTAATTAATCTTATTATTCATCGATAAAATTATTAAAATTCTCTTTGCATGCTCTTAACAGATCGTACCGTTTGACAGCTCCAAAGGAACCGCTCGCAAAGTCAATAACGCCGGCAGTAGGTCTGGTAACGAGTCCAACGACACCCTTTCCGAATCCTTTGAAGAACCCTTCTACTCCTTCTTCTTTTGCTCCTGATATAGGTTTCATTACCACACCTGTTACACCGTCGACTACACCCTATAGAACGAAATGAATAAATCATTTGTACTAAGTGATTTAATTAATCTATACATTAATTTTCATGACTTTACCATTACTAAACCCTTTCCACTTCGAGCGAGACCTTCTTGCAAGTTGGCAGGTTGTTTGGTCAGCTGTTCTTGTCTCTTTCGCTGGTAATCTTTGTCGAAGGTCAGAGCAGCTATACCCTTGCCTGCAAAAAATACATATTATATAAAAAAAAATATCAAATATTGCAAGAATTAATACAATTCAATATCTTTTCATAACACAAGATTCTAAAAACATGTCAAAATAAAAATATTGGTAATGTCTGCAGTTTTCCACTTGAACATAATTAAAATGTTTTGAATGATACTGAAACGTACCCATTGCTCCCGTGATCTTCGACACTGCGCCCGCCATTCCGCCGACGGTATGGCCCAACATGCTGCGCACTCCAAGAAACAGACCCTCCGCGAATTCTCCCGGGCCCTGTATGGCCCCTTGGAAAGGTTCGTAGAACAAATCCTCAATGCCCTTCATAGTCCCGACCACAAGCCCGTACGGATTACCGATGACATCAAGTCCCAGCACGAGCACATAAGCCTGTTTAATCGCCTGGCCTGCATAATGAGTAGTCGCTTCGGAGATGAGCTGTTTGTTTGTCATGAATACATAGTTTCTCTCGAAATACGCCAATCTGTACATTAACAGAGAAATTTAGAATCTCAAAATCTAGAGAATATGAAGCTCTAGGAATTTAATTCTTAAGATTGAATAAGTTTTAAAAAGATTCTTAATTACGCTAAGATTACTACTGACAAGTGCAATAAGAGAACTTTACTTGAACACGATGTCGTTAATATCCGTTAGTGTCACACCTATTCCTTGCAACAGCACATTAAGCACTTGTGGCATTGCAGAGGGTCCACTGCCACTACCAGTCATCGAGAAACTGATGTGTATCTGCGAATAAAAAGAACGTGAAATTTCTGTCGTAGTAAATAAATAATATTTGCATTTTACATTCGTGACAAACCTTAAGTGGCGAGAAATGCAGTAGATCGAAAAAGTTCTTTTGCTCAGCCGTGGTAATCAGGCTGACGTGATACATGAGCGGTTCATTGACCAGTTTCATATCAGTACGGAATAATGCACTCTAGAAAGAAATAACTGTTTATTCTCTCGTTGATTCTAGATAAGTAAATAAATTTCAATGACCGTGACAAGACTCACCTCCTCCGCATCATTGACTTCGTTTGCTTCCAAAAGGCTCATTATCGCATTCAAAAAAACGATGTCCACCTTGATGTGGAACTCTTGTACGAGAACTTTAAAATATCGAAATTGTTGCACGGTACTATGCTCCAGTAGGCGTTTTACCATACTGAGTTCCGCAAAAGGTTTCATTACTGTAGAGAGATCAAAGAAACTTTTTTAACAAGTGCATAAGTATTCTGGCTATAAAATAAATTCGCACTGATGGCATTTTTATACTGTTTTATGATGATAAAATTCTAAATATATGAATATATCTATATGATGACTTGTATATAATATACATACATCTATATTAATATACATACATATATATTAAATATATGAACATATCATATATGTACATATACAGTAAATTAATCTTTATTATATTCGTATCAAAGGTTCTTATATAATTTATTTTTATAAGATATAAATGACATCTATAACTTTGATGAGATAAATACTAGAGATTACAAGTAAAAAGATTATTTCTCTGCAGACAATACCTGTGCTCTGCGTTACGCTCTTTGGCGGTGGAACCGGAGCCAATATAACCGGGAAGACACACTCTGATAATTGATTATCGATCTGCAGTCTATTGATCTTTGCATGCAACTGTACTTGATGCGCTGAAGTGCGGTATTGTAGCCAAAGTCCAGTCTGAAATGTACGTCGCATGTATCTACGATGTGGCTTCAACATTTCCATATTCAGATAATCCACCTGAAAGCAAAAGAAAGATTGTTATAATATCAATGTGGTTATTAACGCGTTTATATCGAAACAAAAATTATATTTTACCATTAACTTTGGCTCCAGCATTACCCGATAGTCTGCATCCTTGCCAATCTGCAATTCCTTAATGTATCGCTGATATCCCTCCTCGATGGCATTGACCTCCTTGGCGGTTAACGCTCGCCATCGGCCACCGAGGGACTTGCGGGTTTCCCATATAATTCCAGAACTGCATTATAGGAGAACTTTATTAATTTTTCAAAATGATATAATTTTACAAATAATTTTCACTTAATTAAGTGATCGTAAATCCAAAATTTTATTATATTATATCAAAATATTACTTGATATTGCGATATACATATACTCACCTAGCGATGCACATGTATAACAATTCGGATTTGGTAATATTGTTCACAAGAGAGAACCCAATACCGTGTATGTTCAACATTATTTCCTGATCGATTATTTCAAGATCACCAGCCAGCTGACAATCTTCGGCTATCTTCAGATTCGTAGTGAATAAAAGCACTCGTTGAGTACCGTCTAGAAACGACACGTAGAACAGTTTATCATTTACGTCCGGCAATTGGAAGGTACCGAGATTATCCTAAAAAGGAAATAAAAAGGAAATGAAAACGCATATTTGCGTTACTTTTACGAATACTTTTTTGTCTATTCTTTCTCTTCTCTCTTACTTTACGAAGATTATCTTCGATTTCCTTGCCGTTATTATCTTCCCAGACGATTTTTCGCGGACCTGCTGGATTTTCCCAAGTATAAAACATTCTGTTGTACGACTGTATGGACCTGTGGATACATGAAATACATGATCAGTTCATATAGTTTATATACAGAAGTATACAGAAACCGATTTATTGCACATTGAGTTTTTAAGAGATTTTTTAATGCACTTTCTACCTGACGTTGATTGAACCCTTCTCCCACAGATTGATGGTATACGGAGTATGATTGATGATCAGAGCCGGTGCGTTACCTGAACTATATGCTGACAGAGAGATGTAGACACCACCTTCACTGATTTGCACATCTACATTGATCCCTCCGTACTGTTAAATAAAAGATAAACTTGTTAAAAGTACAATATGAAAATGTAATATAGGATATCCATTCAAATCTTATAAGAGTAATTCTAATTAAGAATTCTCCAATCTTCTTTATATTTCTATTTAAAATTTCAAATAAAATATTTTAGAAAATTTTTAGATGCAATATTTTAAAATAAGTTTTATATTGTATGCACTCTGTTTCCAATATATTTTTCATTTATATGAAGAAAAAATGAAGTTATTTAAATTTTAAATATTAGATTTGATAATGTACTGAAGAAAACTGGATGACTTTTAAAAAGTATGCACTTTTCACTTGCATAAATTGTTTTCATTTCTTTATCATTAAAAATATATACTGTGTATTCAATATTTTACTAAATCATTGAATAGAGAAAGAGATATATATATTTATATTTTAAACAGATATAATTCACAACTTGATTCATGAATTTCTCATTATTTTCAAAAGTAAAATTATTAAAGAGAAAATTGTTTAAAAATTTCTCTGAGTTACAATAAAATTTTCTAATTTTTCTTGATAAAAGAAATACCTCGGAATTTCAGGTTTTCCAAATTTTTTCAGCGAGTAGACATTACCTTATTATCTAATTTCAATAAAGTTGTGTGACTATCAGTGTAAATGAAAGCCGCGGTTTTCTCGGGTTGACCCGCGACCTTGGCCCTCAAAGTTTTGTTGTCATGCTCGATTCGAGGCCACAAAGCTGCGCATTCGCCGGGAGGTACCTCCACAAATGCAGCAATAATTTTGTGTTATTATAAGATTATAATATGCAATTTTTCATTTACATAGTAAAATAATTGAATCGCTTATACTTAACATACTTTGATCATCGGATCCGCTGGACGATCGCCCTCTTGGCATTCTATGAGAAAATCTGCATTATTGATGAGTATGTAGTAGGGTGTAAATGTAATTTGTTTGGTCAATGAGTTGTAGGTCAGTTGATTATGTACTCCAATCTGTAATGAAAAGCGTTTTTTATCTTAATTTTTGTTTATTATATTTTTTTTTTATATTATCTCATTCAACTATAAAAAAATAAATTAACTGAAGAGCTATTATAAAAAATATTAAACTAAAGATACTAAAAATCAGTAAACAATTCATTCAATTTCTTTGTTATTAATAAAGGAATAAAAGAATGGGGGGTAAAAAGGGAGAAAAAAAAAAGAAAAAAAAAATCATCTATATTAGAACCTGATATGTCATTCCGTTGTATTTGCATGCCACCACACCCTCGCTGCCTGCAACGTCAATTGAGAATTTTTCAGACCACTCTCCGTCCTCCACTCTGATCATGGCCTTCTTCTTGCCAAAGAAAGCCTTCGAACGGAATGAAAACAGAATAGGTCCCTTAAAGTGCTCCGGGTGGTACAGGACATTCAAGTAATCATCCGTTGTCTGGAATGAGCAATCAATATGGATTAATAATCTTTATATTTTAATCGTTGGAAATAATATTTTCTATATCATGCAGTTAGTAAGATAAGTAACAAACGCCTTCGCAATATTAGCACGTTAAATAAATTTTGTCTGTGTTGGATGTGCTTTATATCCAGAAAACTAAAAACAGAAAAGAATCATTATGAAATTTGTGATTTAAAGATTAACCAAGGATTCAAGTATAAATCGAGTAAGAATAGAGAAGAAGATAAACAAAGGGAGACAGAGCAGTAAGAATGAAAACACAATTACACAATGATAATATAGTTAACAATTACATATAAAAAGAAGCGCGATTTACGTGTTTGATAAAATGCAGTTGTTAAGAATCGGCTAACATTAGGACCAACAAGATGGTAATCTAACACAATTGCGACGGTTAGTCCCAATGTGATAGATCGACTAGATCAGACGATTGTTATCCCACAGTAATAATCGAGTCTTGTGAACACAAGCACGAGAACAGCTCAGTATACTAATATTGAAATAAAGCGATGGGTCACCGCGCGCGTTTTCCTCCTCCTTCGTTGCTGATGGGGTTTCATAGTGGAAACGAATTTCTGAAAGATGTTTCCACGTACATTTTCACAAAATATAAATATTGATGTTTAAACCAACAATAAAATTTAACTCTTTTAATAATACAAATCTTTTTGACATAAGAGTTGATAGTTATTCATATTAATTTTTTCCATCGTCAACAATTGTATGGTTGAAAGAATCCGAAATAATTTTTGACGGTTAATTTCACGAAAATGTACTGAAAAAAATAGTTTTCGTAAAACAAGCATTTTTTACTTGCTTAATATTTTCACTTCCTTATCTATTAAATATTACAATAAAAAAATGTATACTGCATATTTTAATATGATAGTGAATATATATTGTAAACAGATATAATCCACAATTTTGCAAATCGGTGGATTTTTGACTGCTTGCAATATAGGAGCAAAATATTCAAAGCAAGAATTTAAAAAAAAATTCTCCGAGTACTAATAAAATTCCATGAAAATTCTGATTTTTTTAGATAAAAAAAATTCTAAGAAATTCAGGTTTTTTAGATTTTTCCATGAAATAAACACCCTATTTTTACACGAAAAGCACAATGAGATGCGACACGATAATAGGAAATCTCTACCTTGATCGGACTCGAGTGCTCTTTGCCACCCTTACTTGACTTCTGTAAAATAATGGAGTACATTGAATACAAGGTTTTGATCGAGCAGATGCAGCACTGGTTAATATGATAAAACATTGACAGAAAGGACATAAAAAAGGATGAGGATACAAGCATTATGATAGCATATATGATAGATAAGAGAGGTGCATATGATATAAGAGAAGTACATATTGATAAAAAATTTCACAAGGACTTGAGATATCTGGTGGAGGGATATAATATATTCTCTAAAAAAAAATTGCGAATTAAAAATTTCAGAAAAAAGTTTTTAAAATTTCAAATATAAAGAGATATTTAAATTGCAATTTGTCCACAAAGTTGCCAAAAGCAAATATCAGCACTGGGAACATACTCTGTAGGATAACATCAGGCCAGTCTTGTTCAACATCCAGAAAGGACAGTACAGCGCCATGACGATCGAACCATATTTGTAGGATGTATGCATTCCGAGATCCAATGTTACTTTCTGCGCGCTATCGAAGGACTCGAAGGACCAGACTGCGAACTCAGGTGGGTTTGCCACAATTTCACCTTTACACGACCAGTCCTTTTCCAGGTAATTTGGCAACTGTGAATAAACGCATTTATCCCGAATAAGTAATGCATGATAATTTCTTCAAATTTTATAATTACACTCGACAAGATAATTCATTCTCGATAAAATAAAAATTTATAATAAGAATTTAGAATTTCATAATAATTTAATTTTCACTTTAATATTTTGTCTTTTATTCTACCTTGATTTAATATTTTGTCTTTTATTCTACCTTGATAATTATACTTGATTTGACTGGATCGATCGTGGGCAGTTGCAAGGAAGCACTGGCTTCGAGTAAATTCTCCTGAACAATGCCTGGCAAAGAGATGATGATATCGATCGGCAGAAAGTTTTTCAGATATATGGATGGATATAGATGTACATTGTAGATGGTACTAGCCATGGTGTGACGAGTAGTATTTTCAAAATACACCTGTTCGATTTCTCCTACGGCCTGTGTAGACAAATATATATACATTATTTTATTTCAGTTATTTACTATTATGACAAATAATATTTATAGACTCATTACATATTAATTATTGTCACTTAATTAATTTGCAAATATCTGCATCATTCAGGCGATAAATATCAATAATATAAATATTGTAACCTGAATATAAAATGGTTCTGTGACATCCTGCTTGGATCGAGATTCACATTTTAGTAGCTTTGTCATGGAAACTGTTTTCTGTAGATCCTTCCAGATGAATGGCTCAACTGACACCATGTATCTAAAATAAAGATTAGACGATCATGAAAAAATTTTTATATCAAAGAACTCTTCTTTATTTTTAATAATAATAATAAGATTGTTTACTCAAATTTTGTAAAAAGATTTTTTGTCTGATTTTTTAAGTATGTTTGTTCAAAATTCCAAGTAAAATAAAGAAATTATATAGATGCAATATTTTTAAAATAAATTTATTTTAATACTCTTCATTCAGGTTTCCTAAATTCTTTCAGAGAACAGACATCTCGAAAATTTATATTAAGTAGTATTATAAAGATAAAAAAAGATGTAAATATACCCTTCAACACTAAAGAAGAGCCAATAGATGTTGGTCGGAGTGTACACAGCGTCGAGGGGTAAATTGAGCTTCTCATCTGGTGCCACCGTTCCTACGCACTCAACCTCGTTTCCGCGCTTCGTCATATAATAAACCGCTATCGGCTGCGCAAAATGATTGTGGATCTACGCACAAAACATATTGCGGAATATTAATTATAATCAATAAAAAATGTTTGCAATTCTTCTTCATTTACCTGAAGTATGCTTCTAAGAGTGACGATCGTGCTACCTTCTTCCACAATGACGTCCGATACAATGCCCCATTCCTCGGAGCCCTCTTTACGGTACTTCAAAGAGAAGAATCTCTTGTCCGCCTTCAAAACAGGTATCGCCAATTTGCCTTGGATACCTTTAAACTATTAAATTTTATTATATTATTAACTATTAAAATTTATTATATTTAATTATACATCATAAAAAATATTAGAATATTTTTATTTTTATTATTTAACTACCTTAAGATTGTAAATTAGTCTTAGAATTAGTTTTTATAATTTTCCAATTGAATAATAATAAAAGTTATATAAAAACTAGTAATATTTTTAATTATATAAATTAATAATTTTAATTATATTCTCTCTTCCAATAAATTTAACATTATTTTTACTTAATATTGGAATCGGAATTAATTCCGAATATTTATTGTAATTATTTTATTTTTGAGAAATAAATTTTGGGAGATTAAAAAGTTGAATCCTGTCATGAATTCCGCATGTTACATCTGCATATCAACTTACAGAAACAGTAAATTTACTATCCTCCCTGTCTTTCACGGTTTCTGCTTTTAACTGTTTGAGAAGATGTGTATCCAACTTGGATGTCTTTGGTGCCAGTTCAATCGACGCACCGGTCTCAAGGATTACTTCCATGTACGAATTGCTATCATTCTGTATTCTTGATCCATCATCGAATATCTAAAAAAAAAATACCGATATTAATATATAAATTTCAAATAGATAGATGAGTAAGTAAAATAGAAGCTTGAAAGATTCTTCTAACAAACCTTAAAGAGACTATGTTCCAAATCAAGTATCATTGGCAGACCAGTTTCGTTCTTCAGCATGTACGGCGCCACCTTCTTAGTAGGTCCTTTTCCACTGGCTTCCATAGCCGAGGAAAACGATTGGCCGAGTTGCTTCAGCACGTCCAAACATGTCTTTGTTACAGTTATCTCCAGATTGTCCTGTTGCCGATTAATATAAAACAAGGAGAAATAAGTACGTATTTCTTTCAGATAAAAACTTGACGATAATAATTTACGCCAATTTTAATTTACTTCATCTGTATAATTTCTTTTATAGAAAATTTTTCATTTAACTTGAACATTATAACATTTGAGTATTATATATATATATATATATATATATATATATATATATATTGTGTGTGTGTGTGTGTAATTTAATACATATAATTAATATTCAATATTCATATTAAAACCTTCACTTACAGAAGATGTGATGTCGATGGACATCTTAGTGGACTGATTTGGTAGTTCTTCAGGCTCGCTATCCGAAGTGGGACTAACCGCGCTAGCGCCTCTCGAGTCCAGTAATATATCATTAAATTGAACCTAACAAATTTAGAACAATTAATTAGCAAAAACACAACGAAACATTAAAAAAAAGAAAAAAAATTATGGATGCTAAAATTACCTTTGTCTTTAACTCCCACGGTGTAGAAACACGTTTGCCATTATCAGAACCTTCTATCGGTTCAATCAACGGTTCCCACAGAGCTAGGCGGCTGTTATAGTACGCCATGATTACAGACATCGTACAATCGACGCCCATCTGTAAAATCATGATAACAAATGTAAAGATTAACGAACAATTTTTATTTATACACGTTATTATACATTACTAAACTCATAATTAGATATTAGGAGTTTAAATTAATTAATCTATTAAAAAATTGGCAAAAATTAGTCAATAATAGTAGCTTTTAATCAATTTGTTGCATAACAAACTTTCAGAATATTTAAATTATGCTCATTTTCCTTTTCATAAGTCAGCAAGAGAGAAAATATCATAAATTTATAATAAATTATTTCTCAATCTCTATAAAGAGATATTTAATTTTCGCGATCAATGATTTACCGTTTTCGTGCTCCAATCATTGATGTTGCTTTGAAAGCCCACATGAAGCAGTAACATGGGTAGAGTTTTGTTCCCGACACCTGCCTCGAGAGTAAACAAGATTGTCGGAGCCGAAATAATTGCTAATTCGGATTTATAAGCAGTTGTAATTTCATCATCTGGATATGTAAACTCTTCAAGAGCTTCCAGCGCAATTTCTAAAACAAATTTATACAAATTGATATTTTAGCAAAATAATAAGAAAAAGAAAAAAAAAAGAGATGAAACAGAAAAAGAAATATTTTCATATGTATAATAAGAGTAATTAATGCAATTTATATATAACCTGTCTTTAAAAACCAATAATCGTTCTCCTCGAAGGGTGTGACAATCCACAATCCTTCATAATTCGGTTCGGCTTTAATGACTTCCTTGTCCTCCTCCTCCTTCTTTGTCATCGTGTGAACGACCTTATTCAATATTTCGATCACACCTATAAAAGTGTCATATTTTTATGAACTATTATCGACCAGCGATTTGGCGATCCACGAATTACCTGGCGAAACAGATATGTGTATATCTGTACAACAAATGTCCAAGTGAAGTCCTTTACCTTCCGGCGTGGAACCGGCAACACTGATGCTACATGGTTTCAGGACCTATAATGTTATATACTTATATTACTAGTTTAACAGATACTAAATCGTTTTACAATAAATTTTATTTATTAATTCAAAAGATTCTGATTCAATAAAATCGTTTAAGAGATTTTCTAGATTGACTCATTATTTAAAAGTAATGACAAATATTTCATTACAAAAACATGTAAAATTTATGAATTCTAAACTTTCTGTCATATCGCTAGAAGATTAAATATAAACATTTTATACTCTAACAATAAATAATTTATTATTTAATTTATAATATTATTTTATATTTTATACAGACATATCTTCAATACCTGATAGATCCAATCGGCTCTTTTCGTAGGATTATATATCCCCGTGAGTAGAGAGAAATCCTTAATGGAGCCTGTGATCACTTGGTGTTCTCCCATAATGCGCATTTTCAATAACAGCTCTGTGTTCAATATTATGCAATTCGAGTTGATGTCGTCCATGTCCTCGAGCAGAATAATATCCGGTTTCTCCACATGTAGATTCACAGTCAACATTTTGGGCGTCGGAGCAACTGGTTGTTGTGTCGGATGTTTTTTCTTTGATGATACCACCGATTCGCCTTTCGACGAAGACTGCAGGGAGGTTGTGGCGATAGTCTTGCCCGCAGTATCTACGTCGAAGAAGTCCTTGATCTTCATGAGGTAATCAAGGGACACGATAATACTGAAGGAGAATACACGCACGTCGGCGAATGTGTCATTCGGACTCTGGCGCACCGTCACATCCAGCATGCTTCTGGTATTGTACTTGGCATGCTCTTTGTCGAGGTGATCTTCGCTGGCACCGCCGCTCGGCATGCTGATTCTCTCCATGATTCGCACCAAAGAACCTTCTCGACTCTGTCGTGTGTCATCTAGTGTACAGTTCATCAACAGAATTGATGTGGCCAGCAATCCATCCGCAAATACGCGACCTTTCACGGCAAAATGCGTGAGACTGAAGCGCGCTAATCCATTCTCGGGCAAATGCAGCGGCGATGTTTGCGACTGCAGCAGCTTGGAACCGCCGGTAAATAAATTGATCACCAGGCTATCCATGATAAACTCGAACTTGACGAACGTGTGGGCATGTCGCTCCTGCGAATCCGTCGATGGCGGTTCTTGCGATGTGCTGACTTCGTATTTGTACGCCGGCTGAATCTTAACATGGAAGAAATGACGATGAGATAAAAAGAATCTTTTCATATTTATTAATTGATTTAATTAAATCTATTATTTATTTATGAATAAATAATATATAAATTAAATAAATTATTATATTATATTCATATTATTCGTTTTGTATTCACCTGTAGCTCTCCGCTGTATTCGGATTTCACAGTAGATGGTACAGGTTGCACAAGTTTCGAATCTTCGAAGGTCTCGCCCAGATTCTGCTCCAGTACCTTTAGAATTGTAGCATAATCTTCTTTGCTCAATAGTAGATTAATTTTATTCAACCTGCCCGACATATCAATGTCCGGAATAGCGGTGAACCAAGCGGTTGACAGATTACGCTTCATTAGCAGCGTAAACGTCACCGGCTCTAGTATAAGCACTTCGTTTTCGTTAATAAATTTCTCCGTATTCAGTCGGACTCGCAAAAGCTTCAAGTTCTGAAGCTCAATTTTCATTTCATCCACTATGGGACATTCGTTGGTTTCCTCATTTGTCGCTTCCAATTTCTTGAAGACGTTGCACACCTGAGAATATATACATTTCAAATGATTTTAATAATATTAAAGTTATATTTTTCATAATATTTGTATATTATTTAATATTATAATATATATTACATAATTAATAATATATTTTCAAAATGAAAAGATATATATTTAGTACAATATAGATATATCATTTGTTTTCAATTTTGAGGAATTTTAGCAGTTGTGTGTATGATATCAAATCAAAATAAATTTCACACGGTACCATAAGATTGCCCATATCCAACATTAAACTGTACTCGCTCTTGGAGTTCATCGGTACATATACGACAGGTGCCTTGATTTTGATACATAACTGGATGCGAGAGGCGCTTTCTTGAACATCCTTAATGTTTGTCCTCGCAGCTTCCGCCGCTGCCGCCGAAGCGTCTTTGATAGCTTTCTGCGCTGTTTGAAAGTTGTTCAAGAAATTCATCACGCTGGTAACAAACGCATTCAGGAAGACGATACGATGGCAACCCATCGTCACTTTGACGGACATGTTGTTTTTATCCACTTCCCATGACTCGATGTTATACATAACCGCTTGAATCTAATTGCGAATATGATTTGTAACGACCATTATACAAATAAAACGATAACTGTAAATATGATTATACCTACCTGCAAAGATTCGGTACCCTCTACGGCCACAATATCCTTGTACACGGAAGCAGGATTAAGATTTTTAATGCTGATGGAGGCTAAATCAGCATTCACTTGCGAATACGAAGACTTGCTGAGAAAACTAGCGCTGAGGCCCTCGATGTAGAGTGCGCTAATATCTCGAATAACGCTGGAGATTTTCAGATTAATCGAGCCGACCTTAGCACTCACTTTTAAATCGATGCACTCGACTGTTTGTCTTCTACGTCGTCCAGTGGATCTGGATTTTTGTCTCTGCATCTGCTCCTTAAAGAAACCGGAAGTTTCTTCTTGGATAGAAGCGAGCTGAGTTGGTCGAAGATGTTCGACTTCTTTCTTCTGAACACCTTCAAGCGAATTCATTCGGTCCTGTATATATGTGCTAAACCGTAGCAACTCAATGAGCGCCTCCTGATGCAATAACATGTCTAGCGAAGTGAATTCCAGTACTAACAATTTCACGACAGAACCGTGTCGCGTGATGAATTCTGGCGAGCGTTTATTTACATTTATGTACCGCACAACAATTAGATATTCATCTCTACCGGTCGACATCGGTGTATTCACAATGAAAATCTCTTGATCTTCATGCAGCTGTCGCAATTGCACGCCGCCTAGTCGCAATTGCACCTCTTGATCGTATGTACGCTGCAGCATTTCTGCCTCTACCTGCAGCACCTGGAATCTGAGGAAAACTAAATTCAAAAATTTATGTGAAAGTTAATTATAAATTCATTTATATTTAAAAGTATATTTTAAAATAAAATAAAAGTATAAAGTGTAAATTGCAAACCTGACAAATTCCGATTCCACATTGTCATCACGTTGCCTAGATATCGAAAGCGTAAATTCCTTCATTTCGAATTTCATTTCCAAATCAGTAGTCTGCTTTATCGGTACAGACATTGTTCCTTCTTGTTGCTTTCTCTTGTCGGCAATAGTGGATATCGTGGTACCAAGCTCTTTCAGTGACAATTGTGAGATGGATTTAGAAAGAGATGTTCGATGTAGTTCTGCGGTTTTTTCTTCTTCGGGCAGCGGAATGCTCTGTGCAATCGACAGCGCCTGTAGTAATCGAACATCCGTTATGTTCACGGTTACTGACGGCAGGCGACCAAGAAGTCGGAGTTTCGGCAACAAAGGATCGTCCATCACCAAACATTTATGGAACTGGATCTCTAATGTGGTCGGATGAAGTAACGTCAGGGAACTCTCGGTGCTTGCAAGAGCTGATCGCCATTCTTCGTTCGGCAATGAGACTAGCACCTAAGTAAAAACAAAATTTAAAAATATACTGACTTTATATTTTTCACAATATAATATATATTTAAAATGTTATTGCAATGAATTTTTATTGTATATACAAGCCATAAAAATTATTTTTATTAGTCTATTATTTCCATTATTTAATAAATTAATATATTTATTTAATTAAAAAAAAAATATATATGTGTGTGTGTGTGTGTGTGTGTGTGCGCGCGCGCGCGCGCGCGTACGCGTGTACACACACACACACATACATGCATACATATAATTTTTATATAATATAGTTTTATATAATTTTCGTAAAATAATTTTTAAGTGTTAACGCTTCAAATTGAAGATTAAAACTACCTGAAAGTTAACTATCTCCAAAACAAATTTGTCATAACTATGCTCCCTCAAGTGCAGAAGCACTTCCTCTTCGCTCTTGCCCATGCTAACTAGTTGTTTAACGCTGGCGCCAGCCATGTCACTCTTGCCATTCTCCAAGGAATGCATCTTTAAACTGCCAAGATTGACGACGATCAATGATTTTGAGTCTCCATAAAAGCCCCCATGCGGTATGATAAGTTGTGAGGCCTGCATATCCACTTGTATATCTAGGATTGAATGTTTTTGTATAGCGTACTCTAGCCCAAGCGCCGACATTTCCTTCAAGCCCTCTAATTGCTCCGCTGCTGCTGTCTGTAGCTGGTTTAGCGTCGAAGAGTCTTGCACCTAAAAAATTCTCATTGACATAAAAATATGCAAAGCGAGGAAGGAAAAAAAATTAGAAATATTTAGATATTTATTAAATTCGTAGAAAATGAATCAAGTGGAAATTGTTTCCCTAAGATTTTTTATCTTAAAATAATTATAAGAATTGCGCAAATGTGATTTATTTGTTGAAGAAAAACACAGAGGGATACCTTAAACATGTTGACCAGTTCTATAATGGTTTGTGCATCATAGATTATGTCGGCGGATCGGGACTTAACGATGACGCGATCGCCGCACAACTTGTCAATCGGATTTTTCTCGTAAGAAACCGACAGCAAGGCGCTGTCAGAACTGCCATGTTCTGGGTTGAAAAGCGAGGGAATATGGCCGTCTTGTGTCACACCCAATAGCTTCATATCACTGATGGAGGCGGTGACGAGAATCGCGTTTGCAGACGGTCGCGATTTAAAACCCGCTCGTACACCATGCAGCTGCAAGTCCAAAATGCACGAGTGCTCTTTATCTGTGTCCAGCAGAGAAATCTGTAGACCATGCAGATAGAAACAAGTATCGATCATTTCATATGTTTCCGGATAGTGTGCTGGTGCGCTGTTTTCTTGATAGTCGATTGCCCGATAAAGCTTCTCCTTCTCTTGCGGCGTCATCGCTTCCTCGAATCTGAAAATAAACATTATGATATTCTAGATAAAATTTCATCCCGAATTGTAAAGCGTTTACAGTAGCAAAAAGCTCCCAAGAATATTTAAAAGTTCGAGCTACACACCGAAGCGGATGTTTGGAATCAAACCTGCGCATAATAGCCGCAGCTGAATTGAGTTCTTTTGTTTCCTCGGCTTGCGAACTGTTCCACAGGAAGCCGAACCAACCTCGTTTCGCCTTCAGACTCTTTTCTCGCTCTGCCAGTCTCTCCACCTCCATCTCGATCTGTTGCCGTATGATTACCAGATTAAAGATGTCTAATTTCATTTCACAATGCGTCAATTGCTCCGCGATCTCCTTCGCAAGCTTCTTCGTCGTTAGCTTCGTTTGGTAGGCTTGGGCGTAATCGCGGCAAGTATCGCGATGCTGTTTCATGTGAATCCAATTCCAGTTACGACGATATCTTCGTACGGTTTCCTCGAGGACACAAGTATACGCGAAATGCCACCACTCCTTGTAATGGCCGCGATACGATGTCAAATTCGGCCGGTACTTTCGGTATGGGGCGGCTTTTCGCGCCTGATCGAGGCCTTCGCCCAGCCGTATCAAGGTCTGATACTGCCGCTTCGTCAAACCGATTCGCAATTTTTGCATTTCCAGATCCAGCCATACCTGCACACGAGAAAATATATAAAATTATTACTTAAAATATGAGTCTTATATTAGCTTTGAACTTGACAATTTCACAATTTTTAATTCTAATGTATTTTAGAGAATGAGCGTGCTTTTTAGTCACCTTGGGAATAGTGTAATCGCTATTGTCCGATTCGGGTTTGGGATTAAGTCTGAGCTTGGACTTGACGTTGATCGGTCCTAACAGATATTGATAACCCGTCGGAATATAATCCGTGGTCGCGATACCTTGACAGAAGAGATTGGAATATGAGGACTGTGGGCTCTTGCTGTACTGCTCCACGCTTGTGTTGAGATAAACGGCCAGTCCGTCCAGGCTACACAGTTTGAAGATCTGCGGAATGGCATACATATCCTTCAGATTGCCTGTCGTCTCCCACGAATCTGTGCAACTTTCCAGAACGAAGGTGTTCAAGGTGAAACCGACGGAAAATGGATGTTCTTTAAAAGTAACATGATCCTCGTATCGCACATGAATTCTCTTGATCTCTACATGAATGTTCTTGATCATACGAGCGACCAGCTTTTCAACCATCGAGTCGTCCAGTTTTTCTTGTGCTGCAAGAAGAGTTTTAAATTCATATTTCTACAAAAAGAAAAAATAAAAGTCTAAAAACAATATTATCAAAATAAATATAATTACTGCAAACATACAAATTTAAAAATCTCTATTCAATTAATTTATAAAAGAACACAAGTGTTTATTTACATTTTATATCTTCTAACTGCTTCCTCTTTTCTACTCTGTCGAGTTCTGCTCGTTTGGCTTCCAACTGCGCTTTGCTTTCTTTTTCTTCATTGTATGCAACCTGACTTGTAGGCACTACTAATATAAACAATTCTTCGACTATAGCATCAATCTGACCATTCCACATATCTTTAAATGGAATTTTTAGTATCAATTTTCCTGAAAGATACAGTACTTTATTATAGAATTTCAATAATTATTATATTACTATATATTATTTTATAAATTTAATTATTGCATAATTTATATGTAACATATATTGATATAATAAATACAGTTTTTTATACCTAAACGGCCATATTCCAATCTTACAGGAAGATCTAGCACATCTAATGCAGATTCTTTTATTAACAGATCATTTAATACAAGATCTCCTGAAAGTGAAAAAATTTGTTGCATGAAATATAATTGGATTAGATGCAAAATTATGTAGAATTATTGTATACATTCCTACCTCCCCAGAGACTGACTTTAAGTTGCGTATAGTCCAAGTTCTCAATATACTCGCCGATCACCTTGTTGAGGAGCTCCGCAATGATTGATTCAAAAACCATTTTGCCGTTTATTTTGTTCTTGCTCTGTTTTCATCAAATTCTACAGCTTTTGCGCTATCTTCTCTCCCTGACAATTTTTAAAATAAATTAAAAATAAATAAAAATATATTAGTATAAATGTACAATAAAATCAAAAGATGAATTCTACAAGAAGAAAAAAAAAACTAATTTCTAACATTGATAAAATAGCCGAACAGATGCAGTCTTCCAAAAATCACGATATATTTTGATAAGATAAAGTAAATGTCATTAGATTAATTTGTGAAATTTTTAAAGATACAAAACTGCACGTGAAAATGTTTAATCGCACGTGTCTTCTTCTTTATCTATAACTGATATATTTTATAAAAATATGTAACACGTTGAATACAATTGACAAAAATCGACTTACAAGATTCTCAGAGTCCCCTCGACGATAAAGGCGGCTGCTCCGATGACGACATAACCTGAAAACGGGTCGCTCGAGCTCGGGCCTCGGGCGATCAGCTCGGCGCGAGAACCGTTTGCGTCTTTTTTCGTCAGGTTACGTCATTCTTACGGAATACCATCGATCTCTCCCTGGCAACTAGCAACGTCGCTGGAATGCGATCCCGATCTTCTCGATTTCCCTTGACTTTCGTTGCTCTTACGATCAGTAGAATCAGAGCGAATCTCTGATTCTTTTTTTTCGTCCCAAGTCCTAACTTTTATCAATTCCTGAACATGTCGCGCGTATATCATCCGACGATAGCTTCTCGATATACTATCTTCGGGTGGAAATAATAGCAGGAAGTTTGGCTTACGTCATTTATGCGACACGCTTCCCATCATAACGCAGTCTGAAAAAAAAAAATTCATTTTTTTTCAACACAAAATAAAGAGAATCATTCGCATTTCTTGTAGGTTTTTATGCTGAATGCGATTCTGGTTTTCAAATTGCTCCATTATATTATATTAAGCGTCCAAAATAATTAATATTTTTTCAAAAAATTATTATAAAAGGTGTATTAATAAAATAAAAAAAATAAGTATATAAATAATAATACATAATTTAATAAAGTTCTGTAAAGACATACTAATTATGTGCAAGAAATATATGTATAAAATATAATTTTTCGTTGAATCTTTTAAATTACGCGCCACAAAATTTTTCCAATCGCGCTAGTTCCCGCCAGATCGACGCGCATGCGCGAAGCATGTTCCGAAATTTAAAACGAGTGTTCAAGGTGTCTCCATGAAGATCGTTTATCACTTTAATACATAGATGGTAAGTACGAATTTATCGTATAATATCGTGTGTATCCAAGTATTTATCTTTATTAAAATAAACGCGTGGTCTTCCTTAAATATTTTTAGGAATACTTGTCGTATATCGAAAAAGGAACAGTGTGAAACTTACAAATGACGTAATTATTCATACTATTAGCCTATAAATTTGGATTGTGGTTTTTCTGAGGATGTTGATGCTTGTACACAAACTGACAGGTAATAATAATAACGAATAAAATTAATTTGTTTGATGTATATTTTGTAATTAATTTAATGTAATTAATTGTTATAGTGAAGTCAATCGTCATATTAACATAATACAAAAAATACTTCAATATAAAATGAAAGAATTAGTGAGAGGGATTTTCAAACTATAATTTAATAAAACTTTTACTGCAAATTCATGACGAAGAAAATTCATTTTTCTTCGAAATTAAAGAAATAATAGATAAAATAGTACTGTTACAAAAAAAATTAGAAAACCTAAATCTAACACACGTACAATTGATGAATTGCTCAATATAATTTGTGAAGATATCAAATTTTTGAAATTCGAAGAACAAATTTAATTTTATTGATAAATTATTTGTACATTAATTTAGTGTTATTACCTTTTATCAAACATTTTCTATTTTTGAATAGAATTTTATATATTGTCTCTTTTATAAGAGATTATTATAGGAAAAAAGATTATTAAATAATCTTTAAAACTTATTGTGTATTAACATCACTTTATATTTATAACTATATATTTATAAAATTTTAACTATATACTTATAAAATTTGTATTTCTTCAAAAATGAAATTATAAATTTAGTATAATCAATGATTTGAGCATGTTTCGTGTTTCCTCATATTCATTTCGGTTATATAAAAATTAATATAAATCGCAAATTTTCACGAAGACTCAGCAGCATATATTATGTCAAAAGATCAAAAGATTAAAAACCAGATCCTTTTCATGAAATTCATAGAATATCATTATTATATGCATTCATAGAATATCAGTATACGCATTCATAGAATATCAGTATACGCATTCATAGAATATCAGTATACGCATAAACGCGACATATTTTTTCAATCTTATAAATTTCTTCGAACTTCTTTATTACGCTTGCTTAGGTTTCGTACGCTTATCATCTTCGAAAATAAAATATATGTGATTTCTTCTTTTTACAAATAAATTTATTAATAAATAATGAAGCTAAAGAAAGAGGTCCAAGCCACAGATTCTTCGAGTCATCCGAGCAAAATGCGCAAATTAGCTCGAAAGACTCTCCCTCTATTATTCCAGAGTTTCCTTCCCAGTTTTTGGTAGCAGGAACGACAAGATACCACAGACTGAAAATCGATTTAATTATATTTGCATATTCAAGAATAATTTGTATTATTCATTGAACATCTTAGATTCAGCATCTTGATTTAGATCCGATCTCCTCGAAATCCCGATTACAACGAAAAAATTAAACAAGTAAAGAATTTAGAATTTAAGCAGATAATATCATTAGTATCATTTAGTCTTAAATTTAATACCTCAATTATACTGAGATTATTAAAAAATGGAAAAAACTTGGATAATTTTTATAGAAATTAAAAATGTTTATAAAAAAAGGGATTTGAAAATTTAGACTTATATTAGAATTTGTAAAAGTTCTTACCAAACAGAAACGCGGCGAACAGCACGATAGGAATCTCACAGGCTAAATCGATCAGATAACCGAACACTAGGTTGCCAACCAAAGCGCCTAGCCGACCCATTGTTAGCGATAAAGCAGCCGCCATTACTCTGAAAGAAAATAATATTGGATTAATAAGTATTTTTGTTAATTGGAAATAATGAGAACTCGGTTTGCTCACCTGAGATTCGTCGGAAACATGTCGACGATCACGCAATAAACTAAAGAGATCCCAAGGGATGTAAGAGCCTCGAACACGCAGGAAAATATCAGATTCTGCGTCGAGTTCACCACATAATAAAAACCTATTGTCACCGCGCCGGAAACCACCAATGACACGACTGAAACAGATCTTTCATTTAAAAACTAGAGAAATTCGAAATTAAGATTCTAATTATTTTATATGAAAAAAATTTATGATTTAATATTAATAAAAATGATTGTATAATAGAGTTTTTTTTAAAATTGAAATAATTTTAATTATTAGAATTTAATGAAAATCTGTTCTGATTTAGTTTTAAAAATAAGGTATCTACTATCTCGCAAAAGAACTAAAATTTTTCCAAAATTTTTTTCTTTTGGAAAAATCAAAGAATTTTCAAAGAATTTATTTTACAAGACTTGAGTAGACATTAAAAAATTAAGATCAACTCGAATATTGAAAGAGTCGGAACTCTTATTTCTTAATTTGATTTTTAATCTTAAATTTTAGCTTACATAATTTGTCACTCACTCAAGAAGAATTTCGCGCCCAATTTGTGTACAAAAATGGGTAGAATAATGGAGCCAGGGATGCATGCCAGGCCGATATACACGGTATGCAAATAAACGGAGGATGCGATCATTGTATCATCGCAACCATAGGGATCGAACAAGGTCCCATTGTCCGGTAAAGCAGACACTATGCACACCGATGTGGTCTCACCGGGTCTCACGTGTTCGAACTGTTCGAATCTATTAGGAGAACATACAACGTAAGAATAATTGATTAGCACCAAAATATTAAATCAATAAAGAAACAAAAATTGAGATGTGTTTTTTATATTTTTGAACTTTGATATTTTGAATATCTAATCACACACGTATTTTCTTTTCGTGTAATTGTGTTACGTATAAAAAAAATTTTTCGATTTAAGAAAATCCTGGCGGAGAGGTTACCTGGTGAATAATTCGGGGAACCAAACCATTAGAGTGTAATAGCTGCTGGTGAGACCGAATTGAATAGCGCAGGCGAGCACCGTGTTGCGCAAATAAGGCGGCTTGCAAAGTGCGCTCGTCAGATCTCGTATTTCCGTGAAGAGGACCTTCAGATCCTTCCGTTTGTGCAGCTTTAGTGATCTGGTACTCTTATCCTGATGCTTCGTTTTCTCTTGTAGACATTTCACCTGAAGCGAGAAAAAGGAAAAAAAATCGTTAAATATCTTGCAAAGTAATATATCTTATTTACTTAACAGTCTCTTAACGTTTATTAAATATATTTGATTAAAATATTTAATACTGTTACTCTGTAATTACTTGTAAAACGGTTCCGAGTAAGAAATTTAGATGTGCATTAATATCTTGATTATCATTTCCTGAATTAGGGAAGCATAAGAGAATTTAGAATCACATCTGAGGACTTTATCTAAAGACTTACTTTACCTAAAATAGAGAAAATATTTATTATTTCTATTATAAAGTTAAGAATCAAAGTACTGTTACCGGATAGGTATCAGGATCGGCGCCGGTGTTTCGCGAGTAGATCCATTTGAACACCTCGAGAGCAGTATCGGCTTCACCGCACTCCAATAGGAATTTGGGACTCTCCGGAAAGGCGAAGAGCCACAGGCCGAGCATGAGCGATGGCAGGGCGCAAAGCGCGACGAAGAGATTCCAGGATTTAAAGTAGAACGTCTCAGTCACGTACGTAAAATCCATGGGGATGATTAGCCAAGCGATCACTGGAAAACGATTCGACCGTGTCTTCAAAGAGAGCTTAACGAAAGGATTAACGAGTGATGTAAGATACTTACGCGGTAGGACTATCACACCGACCGTCCAGAACATTTCCATCCAGCACAGAACGCGCTCGCGGTACTTTGTGGGTTGAAATTCTCCGAGGTACGGGAAGCAAATGCCCATGGCTCCAGTCACGCTGATGACCGAAACTTTTCGTTAATATTTAAAAACAACATAAAGTATCTGACAAGATGTCTCTTTTATATATCAGATGTGCAAGATCTTAATTTTGATTTTCTAATGATATATGTGCAAATTTTCTGACGAATTCAAAAATAATATTTTTTTAAAACTATAATATTCTTCAACAAAAGATTGAAATAAATTCTCAAAGATTGAAATAAATGGTCATTTTTGAAAAAAAAATCGAAATCAAGATCAAGCGAAAGTAATTTTGCAGACACTAACGCGAATCCATTGAAGAATCGGAAGATCACGAATAACCAAAAATACTGAACGAACGAGGATGCGACGCCCACGATACCGTCCATCAACAATGTAGCAATTAATACAATCTTCCTGCCCTTTGTGTCAGCCAGGCATCCCCATATATACGAGCCGATCACCATACCTGTCAAAATATATTTCAATTTATAAATGAATTTCTCCTAATGAATCTTTTTAAATGAGTATATGGTCATCGATAAATTTTAGTTATAAATATAATATACTGTAAGCAGTCTGAAATTTCACTGAGAAAAGTTAACGATAATGATTAATTTTTCGATGAAACATTACTGCCATCAAATAGCAAAACGGAGGAGCAGACTATGAGTATTTTCACTGAAGATCAACGAAATACTCACTGATCTTCGATAAAATCTCGCGTTGCTCTACTTCAATCAGTGATACTTTTACTGATTCAGTGTAAAAGAGTGACATCCGGACACCGACCTAGCATCGGAGAGGCGGTCAGCCAACCTTTCGCGGTGGAGTCCATCTCTAGGTCGCATTGCGCCGCCGGAAGCACGAATGAGAGTATCGTCACGCCGATCGCCGTGTCCATGTAAATCAGGCCGCAGATGGCCAACAGCATGTAGTGAAATCTCCCGAAACCTAACAAGGATAGATATTAATAAAATTGTGATATAAATCATTTTGTGAGCGCGAGTCTTAAGATCTTGGATGAATTTCTTGCCTGTTACGGTGATTGCATGCTCGAAGTCGGCACCTCCGTCTGCCAGGAAGTCGAGTCCTGCAATAGAAAAGAGAAGCGTAAGTCATACATAATTAAATAAATAATTAAACAAATAAAATAAATTAACAATATTTTAAGAAAAAGTTTCCCATCACTTTTGCATAAAATTTTGAATTCACGAATGATTAATCACATGATTACTCAACGATCAATAATAAATCAATCATTTCTAATTTCCCTCTAGGTCTCTGAATAATTTAGAATTGTTTGGAACCGAGCAATCTCTTAAAATTATCGGAGAAACCCACCCATGATCGCCGCTCAAGTCGCTGGACGTCCTGAAGGTGCTCGCGCGCCGGAGATTCTCTTTCGGGGATGTGCCGTCGCAATGCTGTCGCTTCCTGATGTTGTTGCAATTGCCACGATATTCTTCCTGACGAAGCTCCGCGTTCATTGGTGAACAAAAGGTGGTATCCTGCCGGCGTCGCTGCCGCCAATTCCACCCACCTCCCGTTCGTACGTTGTCCGTCTAATGCGAGAACCCGCGCCGATCGAGGACGACAACTTGCGAATTGAAATCTTCGAGAGGAAGAAGGAAGAGGAGATTTCGATGAGTAGCCCTTACTTGTACGGACGCGATCGAGCGAATGATCCATGAATCGGCGGCGCGCATACCTTGATTTCCGGAGCAAGGCTGAGCCTGGTTCCAGATAAGATATCACTCGCCTTCGCGAGGAGAGGGCACTTTGGGAAATTTTACGATTTTTCAAATAATAAATCGTGACAAAAAATTGTAATTCAACGGTATAGAAAAAATTGATTATATATATAACTAAAAAGAAGGAGATAAAAGATGAGAGAAAAATTTTGACGACATAATTTAAAATTAGATTCAATATTAATTTATGTTTCTAATTTATTTTTTCCTACGTATTCTTTCACACGACTTTATAAATAATTGATAAAGTCATGTGAAGAAATATTGAAGAGATTTTATATTAAAACACGAAATGTATTTGAATATTTCATTGCCTGGAGGGTCTATTTATATCTTATCTTTTTGTTTTTTTTCTTCTAATATTAATTAATGAAATGAATTTTTTTCTGTTTTTTTCTCTCTATCAGTTACAGTATTTTCGTTGAGTCTCGACGCGACTGTTATGTAACGAACGTACGTATAACAAAATGTCTAATACGAAATGATTGTTATATTTATGACGCGACACGTACGTAATTTATGATTCGAGTACGCGGAAGTCAGTTTATTTGATTGTCATTATTCGTCGTAATTTCATGTAAAATTATGTCGTACATGTGACATGCGTTTGTTACGTCATCAATTTATTCAGGCTTTAATTGTGATAAGATACAACGAGAAATCATGTCTTGCAGCATCAACATGATATCAATCTTTCATATCAAATTTTTAAATGTTATATATATTAGTCATAAATTGATGTTTGTATTAATCATTATATATATATATATATATATATATATATATATATATATGTATATAATTAGTTTGTGAGACTATATTTTTTCACGATATTTAATCTGCCAATTAATTAGTTATTCGTTTTTATACATTATATTAGAATTTGTTTTAACGAGTTTTAACGTTCTTTACAATTCTTGAAAACACGAGATAGAAGAAAATTATTCTTTAGCGAGATAATTAAAAGTATATTTATTGTGCAAATATTTTTTTATTAATTACGTAATAAATTATTATCGCATATGTATATAAAATTAATATTATATGATAATTAATTATTTTATCGCCATTATATCTGAAAATGATTTTTAAAGACGTCAAATATAGAAGTGAAAGATTACAATCTATATGCAAGAATATGTTTCAAGATTACAAAGGTGATAAATTAATACAACGAGAATAATCAATTACTTTCTAAATCTCATCAATTTTGCAGAATTATAGATGAGGTAATTCTTGGGAATTTCTACCAAATCATCTGGGATTTCGCGGGATCACCGAACGCAACGTCGAAGTCATCCGCACGAAATTTTACAGAGAGTCACGCTCCTTGAACGTGACAGCATGATACGCCGATGACTTACGATACTCGTAAAGAAAAAAAAATAAAGCTCGTGTTTCGTGATGTTTGAGAAAAAAATATCACCCGGCTTAAAATCATGACACGTGAAGAATCTTCGCGCTCCCGTTTCTTATTTGTTATTTGTTTGTCGTGCGTTCTCTTCTTGGTAAACAGCAAATTTATCTGTGACAATCGGTGGTCGTGGTAGCCGATAGGGAAGTGTTCAAATGCCGTCCTACTTATACATTCATTCCTCTATCGGCTATCTATACACGATTGCTTCCAAATTTATGGAATTTTCCACGATAAGGCACGATACATGAAAACAATGTAATAAGTATGAAATAATTGCGTTTTTTCTTATATAAAAGAAACGTAATTATTTCATACTTATGAGTCAGTTCAACGTACAATGTGTGTCATTTATTCGCGACTGATAATGCGCCTGCACATTTGGTGGCGTAAGATTTTATTTGTCGATCCGTGAAGAGACGATTGATTTTACACGCTGACTTGAAGATTCAAGAATAAATCTCTATTTTGAATCGAGGAACTTTAGTCATCGTCTTCTTATTCCAAATCGAGTGTTATTCAGATTTTCATTTTTTTGATTACCGTGCTATATCTTTTAATTCTCAACTAAAGTCGATAGTCTTGAAACCTTGTTTCGAATTTTCGTCGAGAAAATATTAAAACTTTCTAGTTTTTCTCAAGTTTCTTCTCAATTCTTGTTTCCTTTTTCGAGAAAAACATTCATACATAATCAAATTTTTATTAATAATTTTTCTCACTTCAAATTTCACTTTTTCTAAAAAAAGAATGCAAAAATTATTTATTATAGAAGAAAAAGAACATGTAAATGAACATATTTTATGTATAATTATATATATTTTTGATTATAAATGCATTTAATTTATATTTGATTTAAATGCATTTTCTTTATCGCGTAATATTTCACATTATGTTTTTAGAATTTGATGGGAGACATTAAAATTTAATATTCTTATTTATGAGAGATATTTATGGGAAATTACATAAGATTGATGAAACTTTAAAAGATATGTGTAAGGAAAAATTGGTTTTTTTGGCATCGAAAATATATGAGAATCATATTCGTAATCTGGTTTTAATGCTTGAGAATAAGATGGGAATTTTACTCTAATCAATCGATCGATCCGTACGACACTTAGTGTTGACAAACACGCATTACAAACACACGATGGACACGTGCGATGTATTCGATTGCGATCACGAGTAGGAGAACCAAAAATAGATTGTATCGACGTAGATGCATGCGATTACGATTATTCGATGACGCACTGTTTAAATTTAAGCCGATAACGACAATTTCCATCATTTTGGAACGATTGATTAATCATGTTATCTACTAATTGCACAATGATGTAATTAATCGGGAAAATACAAAGCATAATCGCGACACGTCACCGAGAGAGAGAAAGAGAGAGAGAGCGGGAGAGAGAGGGAATTATCCGATTGGTAGTGCGGAAATTAATCCTTCGTAATACGATCATTATCATGGTAAAGATTGCTCTTCTCTGATTATCATTTCATTATCATTTTGGTAAGACATATCGTATTATATTTCTTTCCACACTTTTGAATCTTTTTGATATTTTCGGTAAATAATGTTTGATAGTAAATATTGTCGTAAAAGATCATCTAGTATTTTTAATATCAACCTTTAACAATTTTTAACAATTTTTATTTACTTTATTACTATTATTTTTTGTAAAGAAAATCTCTTTATTATAAATATTTGATTTAATACTTGTGTATATTTGTTAATTTGGCGATAAAATAATTTATTATCATAATTAAAATAAATGAAAAAACTTGTAGATTTTTATTATAAATAAATTTGTTAAATTTTGTTATATATATTTCCCCTTTAAATTTATAAAAAATATATCTGACGTTCAGAGTATGCTTATCGCAAGTTTGTCAGCTCATATATTTTTTCCATTATTTCGAAATTTCAAGAATATAAATATAGATCCCTATTTTCAAATTCGATATTATTTGAAATAGCAACATAAGCGAAACAGAAACGCATCTCTCACCCTCATCACAAGTATCACGCCGAAGAGAATGCGAGAGCTGTCGATTTTGACGTACGGAACCACGGAATGCTCTTCGGGATCGTCGACGGGGCGCAATGTCCTTTCACAGGCGACAGCGGCCTCGGCACTTCACCACTTTCGGCGGCCGCGACCTTTACTGCTTTGAGTGCGAGCGCGATATTTGGATGAATATGGGCCAATGGCAAGGGAACGCACAGGGTCGACGATAGATTTTTCAGCGCCACGATAGAGGCCTCCTCTAAAAAATCAACAGATTGCATTATTATAAAAATCAAGTTGGGAAATCAGTCGTTCTTTTTATCAAAGTTTTCTTTTAAATAAAATTACCGATTCGATTTCTTTAAAAAAAGAATAGAAAAACTCTCTAGATAAAGAAAGATGCAAAGCCATTATCGATTAACTGTCCGAAAGAGAAAGAGATTGACAATCTGATTTTTGTCTCACTTGAAAAATATACGCAATATGAATGGAATAGATATACACGTATATCTTGTATCACATATGATACAACTTGCGATGAGTAAAATAAAAAACCCGTTAAATCGCTAATCTCCCAAGTTATCTCTTCCAAGTTGAAAGTGAAAGAAATTAAATAAATATATAAATATTGATTTGTTTTTTTCTTAAATTTCAAGTCTTATCTAATTTTGCCTTATCTATTTAATCTAATTGTAAGTCTTAATGATTGATAATTGTGTCATTGTTTAGATAAGTGTCTAGTAGTCTTGAATTAAAGATTACCTGGATAAGTTGAAAATAATTCCATCGCAAGGAGAGATAAAGGAGAACAAAGGATAAAGCGCACTTAGTTTTAACATCTAATAGGTTGTAACTTAAACATTGGTTAGATATCTCTTGAGTTATATGTGCGATGAAGAAATTGTAAAAGCATATGCAGAATCACAATTTCCTAAAATGTATAGAAAGAATTAGTAAAATTATTTTTTTATTGTAATAAAATTATTCTAAACTAAAAATACATCGAAAAACTGTTAAGTTTTTTTTATTTATGCAGATAAAGTCTTGATGACCTTTTGTGTACTTTCAGTTAGAAAAATATCATTAGATCATTGACTTAAAAATACAACTTTTTTGATTAATTGCTAAATAAATATAGATTAAAGATGTTGCATTAACTTTTTTAATAAATTGACAAATAAATATGACCTAAAATTGTTAAAATCTTTTCTTGCGAGAAACATAAAGCTTTTCTGCTTCTAAAAAATGGCCCTTTTCTTTCGCCAGCTCTGTAATAGTGATTGTCGAGTAACGAGACATTCGAGATGCCTTAATTAGAACAAGCAAGGTATGAACGAAAACTATTAATTGCGACTCTATTGTGTCATTGGCCAGAGTGACATGGCAGGTAGTGATATATGCATACATTCTGCAAATTTTGTTAACATTGTGGTCATTATGATTCTATTAATAAAAATAATAAAAAATCTTCTTTAACTTTAATGTTTTTACTTTATTTTCATTTTCATTAAAAAATCGTTTATATGTGTGTATACGTGTATGTAAATGTGTGTGCATTTGATATGTAACTCGGTTTTATAACAGTTTTTAACAAATAATAAAAATTTATAGTTTTTACTATTTGTTTAAAAACTCTATTTCATTTTTGAGTAACGGTTTGTTTTTTATAAAGTAACTTTTTCAATACTGACATCTTTTTTCTCGCATTTAACACCGTCGTTTATATCAGCAACGCGATGACGACAATGAATATCGATCTCTCGCATGTGCTTTAAAGCGCGTAGAAAATAGCGCGAAGCGCTCTCCTGACTTGTAGACGTAATTTCCTGCGAGGAAATTGTATCCTGCAATAGTCCGCGTTCTTTCAAAAGGCCGATGGGAGATGGGTGGTTTCAATCGGCTTCTTTCTCTCTGTCCGTCCTTCGGGAAGAAATAAACTCGCGGCTTATTATTTCTGAAACATTACGGATTGATTTTAGACTTTAGATTTCTGTAAAAATTACACGGAGATTGAAAAATTAAAAAAAGAATAGAACGTACGCGTGTATATATATATATATATATATATATATATATATATATATATATATATATGAGAAAGAAAGAAAAAGCAAAATCGTTATCCACATAAATGTATATTTTAATTTTTAAACATTGTTACCTTGTTGACATTGATAATTTTTCAAAATTGAGTTTTCTAGAAAGAAAACCTTGTAAATATATACAAAAAATTTTATCCCTTATTCTTGTACGAGAAAAATGAGACAAGTTGCAGACTGAGATTGCGTTGCACATTTTTCAAGTTTTTTTACGGACAATATAAAAATAAATAAGAGAAATAAATAAGAGAAAAATAAAAAAAAGAAATTTTAAAAGCTTCCAAGGTGCATGTCTCTCGGTTTAATTTTGCGGTGGCGATCAACATTCTAAGAGAAGATTCAGAAAATTGAGGCACTGTTAAGGCATCTTCGTCTTCATCCGTGATATCTAGTGCGAAGCAGCCACGAAGACCTACAAAGCGCCTTTCGTTGCGTGAATGGCCTTGGTCGAAGCTGCGTATTAGGCGATAAACTGTATCGATCCTATTGTCTCTATAAAACTCATTCTCATCCGTGTATCTCTTTTCATTTTCCTTTCCATAATTTATTTATCTAACGAGGCAAAGAGAAAGAAAAACAACGAAACAAACGGACCCTCGTATTTACTCCATTTCAGACGTATTTACGCGTAATCGGATTGCGCTCCGAGAGAGATGTTCCTACCTTATTGGACATCGCGTAAACCTCCTACTACGAAGAAAATTGCAACGGCGAAGAATCTTTCGATTTTTGCTGGCACAGGCAGAGGTTCGCTCTTGCCGCGATATTGATGGCAAAAGATCTTTTCTTTCATAATTGAAAAATTGTGATAAAATAATAAAAATTACAAGAGAAATTTTCCTTTTCTATATCTTCAAATATGAATTCCATAAAATTAAGGATATTTTCGGATCTGCGATTTGTTTAGAGATGCCTATATGACGCATAATTGTTCCTGAAATTAAATTGCTAGTATTAATTTTATCATAATATAAAATGTATATAAAACACATAATATTATAACGTATATTTTATAAAAATAGAAGAATATAAAAGAATATTTTATAAAAATAGAGAAAACAAACTGTGCTAGTCTGTATACGAGAAGCTCAGTCAAGAACGCAATCTGTGAATGCCTGTCCGAGATTGCGCGGGCACTTCTCGAGCTTTCGTGTTTGCTCGCCGACCAGTCGTCTCTCGTCCGTCCGCGTCCGCGTCCGTGTCCGAGTTTTCTCGCTCCAGTCGATCGCGATGTGGTCCAGACGACTCGCAAACAATTCGTCCTGTTTTTGCCAAAATAGCGTCGACTTAGGACAATTTAGACCAACAGTCATTCGTGCTTATCTTATTATTTAAATTATATACGGATGATAGTGCGTAATAAAAAATTGTTAAATTGTCGAGTCTTCTGAAAAAAAAAGAACCAATGTAATTTACATATGTAATGATACATTATATAATAATACCAATTATATTTATGTATAATCTATGTTAGGAAATTAAAATAAAACTTTAATTACGATTTTAAGATTAATTTCAAGATTAATTTGTGATTTGTTGGAAAATAAATAAAAAATTATCAATTACGATTAAATTACGCATAATAACGTATAATAATAATTTAATTAAATTACGAAATTTAGCATATCATATATTTTTTCATGATCGTCTTTAATTATATTTTTTAAAGATGTTTTTTAATTAGTGCAAATATAAATGTGATTAATAACATTATTTCTTACAGCTGATGTTTGTAATGACATTTATACGCGAGAAAGAAAGAATATGAAAATTGTTGTCATCAATTTTGATCATCTTATTGAGGGATGATGTATTCCGTTACTATCGAGTGTCCCCTTATTGTATCATTCATCCTGTATCGTTCGAAATAAGAATCGATCATGGACAAGTTACACGAGTATGAGGGATTCGCGGGTAGAATTCACGGTGTCCGCGAAACCATCAAAGAACGATGGGGCGCGTGGAAGGAATGGAAAAACGGTTTGAATTTGGATCAAGGTCTGGATGGACTGAGGCATCATCTGCGGGGGCCCCCTAAGCTGGAACGCACGTTGGAAGACTATTCTCATATTTACAGGTGAAAAGAATTCGATATACTGCAACAGAGAGAGTATTTGATATAAACATAAAATCAATGTACAACATTATAATTATATATAATTGTTCTTTTATGTGCATCTGTATAATCAAATGCAAATTAATTTCCAAAATATTAAAGAGAAAGAGAAAAAAAGAGATAGATTGATTTCTATATTTTAGTATTAATATTTTCGAAGCTGTAAAAAGAGAGCTTATTTAGTTTAACATATATATGTTTTTAATATATTACTAATATATTTTTAATTTATTCTTATATGTTTCTATATTCTATATTTTTGAAATGGAGTTATATTCGCAAATTGTGACATATACATGGAATGTTTATTTTCATCTTTTAATACGAATAATTCAAAACAATCATAAACACTTAGTAATAATAAAACTTTCTTAACTGCACCTAATGTATCTTCTCTATATATTAAAAATATATATGTATATATATTAGAAAAGAGTTCTACCTACGCGATGTAAAGCAATAACATGGTATGTAATAATATGGCAGAGTTTTACGGGATTTTTTTTTAACAATCTCAGGAGGAAAACCCGTGCCGAATTGATTCGAATTTCGACGGCCGTGATGGGGATCGAGTTTTCGTACGCGGCGGAAACTGCCTTCGTTTCGCCAACGCTATTGAAGATCGGTGTCGATCATCAGCGTATGACGCTGGTGTGGGCATTGAGTCCTCTTGTGGGCTTCTTCGTGACGCCTATCCTCGGCAGTATAAGCGACCGTTGTAAATTCAAGCATGGCAGGAGACGACCCTTCATTCTTCTCCTGGCCCTCGGAGTTTTCATAGGCAAGTCGCCAGTTTGGCATGTTTCGGTATTAAAAGATGATACAGAGGATTATATGTGTGCTCTAAAATAAATGAATTTCTTACAGGCCTGATTCTGGTGCCGAACGGCGAACACATTGGCTACGTATTCGGCGACACACCATCTCATACAAACGAGACGATTCCCCTTGGACATCGCACAACGGCAAAGCTGGCCGAGGAGGCCTCTGAATCCATTGAAAGGGCTTCCTCGCACTCCTGGGGTATCCTCTTCACGATTCTCGGCACGGTGCTACTCGACTTTGACGCTGATGCTTGTCAAAGTCCCGCGAGAGCTTATCTCCTCGATGTCACTATACCCGGTAAGGTACTCAGATATTTTCTATAAATTTGATTTGATGCGAGTCTACAATTAAAAGCATACAAATACAATCTTCTTTTTTTAAAATATGCAGCTACGAAAGGCATAATTTAATTATTGTATATTTAGCGAGCCAATTTATTTTCTTAATCTCATTTTTAAATGTCTTTAAAAATATCTCTTTAATTTTTGTTTTAAATTAAACTATATAACTCTTCGCTTATCTTTTAGCAAACTCACACAAATACATGTTTTAAAAATGTAAATTTAATTCTATTAACATCTAAAATGTTCAGAGGATCATGCTAAAGGCTTAAGCACATTCACCATAATGGCGGGCTTGGGAGGCTTCATGGGCTACGGTTTGGGCGGCATCAATTGGGACGCCACTTCGCTCGGTGTTATGCTGGGTGGACATGTGCAGGTGACCTTCACTTTGATCACGATTATCTTCGTCGTTTGTGTCATATGCACAATCACCAGCTTTAAGGAGATTCCACTCGAGATACTCGAGAGAGATCAGTACAGGCAGACGGAAGAGTCGAAGGTGGATTTTATTTTTACGTAGTGTTTTATTGTTTTGCGAATATGTAAAGATTCGAGATTTTTTCCGTTTACGTTATAGACATCGGGAGAAATCCACCGGACGGAGAATAAGCAAGACGAACGCGAGAAGATCATCCACGAGTCGAAGACATACGGTGCCCTCGATGTTGAATGCGAGACAGAACCTCCGAAGACGGAAGTAAAGTCATAAATTATTAATGTTTAATAGTATATTTACCTTAGTATATTTCATTCTCGAATTATCAATCAAGGAATTTGCCCCCGACCCGCAACTCTTCGATCATTCTGAAGAGCCAGTTTTCAAAGGTAGTCACGTCAACTATGGCTTCGAGAATGAAACAAATCCTAGAGCAACCCTAAAGGAGTATCTTTTGTCAATCGTCTATATGCCACATAGTCTTCGTCAGGTATATAAGTCAAATATCTGAAAAATAATTTTTATCTTCCTCTTTTTTTCCTTTCTTAATAATATACATTAATATTTCATATCAATATATAAATTACAATTTTTTATATAATTAAAAAACATGTACCGTTTTCCAATTTTTACATCGAGCAAATATTTAATCAAAAGATCTCATGGATCTTTCTAATGTTGATTTATCTTGAAGATTTTACATGATTTATCATACCTTCGATCGCCAGGTATGTTTGACGAATCTCTTCTGTTGGATGGCACACGTATGTTACTCCCTATACTTCACGGATTTTGTGGGCGAAGCAGTGTATGGCGGAAATCCGCGGGCACCCGCGGATACCGACGAACGGGAGCTCTACGAGGAAGGAGTGCGATTTGGATGCTGGGGAATGTCTATGTATTCGTTGTCTTGTTCGTGCTACTCGCTTATCATTGAGCGGCTGATTGAGCGTTTTCGTGCGCGTAAGGTATAAAGCTTCGTTTAATCGAAACCAGTATTGATGATTAACTCTACATTCGAAAGGCACACAAATCTCCATATCTGGCAAAGAATAATATTTATATAAAAATATCTAGGTTTACATCTACGGGCTACTTTTCTATAGCGTCGGCATGCTTCTGATGGCCTTGACTAAACACCAGGTTGGCGTCATCGTTTTCTCATGGACTGCCGGCGTCATGTACTCTACATTGTTTACTATGCCGTATCTACTGGTAGCACACTATCATACGTCCTCGACCTTCGCCCTTACGAGTGACGAGGGGGATGCGGTGTCTGGCGGTTTTGTACGTGGACTGGGAACCGACATTGCCATCGTCTCTTCTATGGTGTTCCTAGCGCAATTCTTGTTGTCTTGTTGCCTTGGTACAATCGTCAGCCTCACAGGTTCCACTGCGGCGGTAGTATATGTGGCCAGTATTCTGGCGATGTGCGGCGCAGCTTGTGCTGCGCGGATCATGTACCTTGACTTATGAATCTTGGTTCGTCGACCGATCAAGATTTTGGACGTTAAGATAGTTTAATCGTTTCATCTTGCCAATTATATTTTAATAAACTGTTAATTATCATTATATGAAACAGCCAAGTGTTTCAAATATTACACACTATTGTATTATATATTTTAATTATCTAAATATTCCCTTCAAACTGGTGTATAACTTGATTAATTATTAGCGGACGGAATTAAAAGGACGGATGTGCATACAATATATAACATGTAATAAATAAACGATCAATGTATAAATTCAATGTACACGTTTCACGTGCGAAGATTATTGATACATTTCTCCAAAATGTCCTTTCTAATCCTCGGATAATCCGCGTTTTGTTTCAATACTTCGTTGCACGCATCAATCGCTTCAGCGTAAGCCTTTGCTTTAAGGCAGCAGTAGGCCAGTTTGTAACCGATTGATAGTTTTGTTTTACCACCGCATTTCCAAGCCTGGGCATATCTCGTCGCCGCTTCTCGATAATTCTGATCCTTTTCGGCAATGTAACCTGGAAATAATATTTACATCGCGATTTATTTTAGACAATTAAAATATGATAATAATAATTTCTATTTCTATTTTATAATTTCTATTATATATGTTTTAATTTTACTTAACCTGACAGCTCGTGAGCTCGTACACAAGTGGCATTATGCTGCAACACCCGCTTCAACAGCTCATTCGCCAACTCATATTTGCTGGATTGCACGTAGATATCCGCCAACAGTAACCAGCAACGTTCCAGATACTCGGCATCTTCAAATGTCCAAACATTTTTGCTGACGCGCTTCAGATGATTACGAGCGCGTGGCGTTTGCTTCAATAGGATGTGAGCGGTGGCCATGCCGAGTGCGGGTCCTACGTGATCTCGCAAAGTATCTTGACTAGCTAAAGCGGTACAATCCTGCAAGGCTTTCTCAATGTTAGACTTTTGTTTGGTAGCTAGCAGAAAAAAGTTGCTGAGAAGCTTGTGAGTCAGTTCCTCATGAGGGCTTCCTTTCGGATTTAATTCCTTGAATAATATATTTGAAAAGTGTAATAAATATTTAAATTATTGAGAACACATAAACAGAATAAAGTTTTAAAAGTTAAAAATGATCAAAACCTGAAGCAATCGATAGGCCGTTCTCAAAGCCATCGTTCTCGAGTCCTGATACTCTGCATCTTCGTCATTGAATGCTTCGTTCGATAATGTGGTATCATCGTCGGGATCCAGACAAATCTCGATCATATTGTAAATCGCCTGCTGGCCCCACTCCGGGTCGCGTCGCGCGAAATTGAAGTTACGAAGAGCGGAATTCAACTTACCCATTCGCCAATCCAGCAATCCGGCGCAATAGTAATAGCCAGCTTCCACATTGCCGACACCCATCGCGGTCTGAGCACGTTGCAACCACTCATCAAGATCATCCATAGCACCTACAATAATAATTAATTTCTATTAATTGTATGTAAAAAATAAAACAATTTAACAAAGGAGAATATGAGTTTTTAAAAAATTTACAAAACCTGTTCTACGCGACACTTCTATCAATCTTGCTAAAGCAGTCCAATAAGTGGGTTGGCGCATCAGTAGTTGTCGAAAGTGGAATGCCGCGGTCTCAAAATCCACCTTTCGGAACGCGAGATCCGCCATCATTACGGAAGCGGCCTCATTGTTAGGATCAGCGTTCAATAAAATGGAACAATTTTGCGCACACCGGTCTAAATTGTTCATCTAATATAAAAAAAATTCATTTATATTAATATTTTCTTATCAAAAATCAAGATTAGACAATAATAATTTAATAAAAAAAAATAAAGCTCTCTTCCGCTTATTCCATAATTTTTCTGTTAATTTTTTTATTAAAGATCGAGAGATATCAATTATAACAGTCAAGATATTTTTTAGAATCTAACGAAACATCATTTATTTATTCACCTGCATATATAGTTTCGCCAAAGAGAGCAGAGCATTCATGTCTGTATGTTTATAAGTCAGTGCCTCTTTGTAATACACGATGGCTTCGTCATAATTACGTAAGCTTGATGCATAATCGGCCATCGTCAGACAAATATTTGCCAGCGCGTGTTTCTGATCTGTGACATCCGGTGAAATGGTAAGACGCTGAATGTATCTGTGTTGATTATCCTTTGCTTCTTTTAAGGTAAGTAACGCGCCTTTAATATTTCCCGATTTCTCACGCACTTTCGCGAGTAATAGCAACTCCTGTCCTCGCGTTTCCAAACTCTGCATATCAGAATCGCTTCGCTTATCTAAGTAATAAAATATAAAATTACACACATAATAATTCTACTTTCATTAAATTATATCACATAAAGTTAATTACTACATTTTTATATAACAAATATGAAGTAGAAACACAATTAAAGTAATTTTATATTAAATTTATGTATTAAGTACATATAAATACATTTTAGTTAAATAGATTTAGATTATTAATTATTGATATATTGATATATTGATATTATTGATAGCATTATAGTTATTATAAGTTAATTTGTATCAGTTTTAAGAAATTACCTTGTAACTCTTGTACCAAGGTTGCTTCCGCTTTGTCGTATTGTTTCATCTTCATGTACAACTTGGCTAAATCTAATTTCAGAGTGGTACAATTGTCCTGTTTTACTATGTCCTTGTAATAATTGATTGCTTTCGCATATTGATGTGCTTTGACGAGTGCTTTTCCCATTTTATTCGCAATGTCTACCTTGTCGACTGGATTCTGTGAAAGCGCTTGCTCATATGCCTCTATCGCTCTTTCGGGCTCTTGTATGGACATGTAGGCGTTGCCTAACATACTGTACGTTTTCGACCCAGGACAATGTTCTACCAATTCTCTAAAAAATATATTACGATATTAGTGATTTTTATTTTAAATATAAATTTTATACATTAATAAAAATAATGCAAATCAAAGTTTCTATACCTGAAACATTTCGCGAACGCCTGACGATCTTTCCTGTAATTTAAGTTGATTTCGGCAAGTTTAGTGTGCGCCTGCAAATAATATGGTTGTCCTGGATAGATATTTTGCAAGCAGTCAACAGCGTTCTCCAATTCTCCCATGTCCAGGTAAATGTCGGCAGTGCTGATGGTAACTCTTTCTAGCTCGGCAGTGCCGGCGAGATTCAACTTCGCTTCCTCGACGAGAGCCAATGCCTCGGCGAACCGTCTTGCCTTACTGTACGCTGCGATCAGTTCCAGATATAATGTCGCTCGATCTGACGCGGACATGTCGGATTTCTTGTTGGAACCGCCACTCAATTTAGCTAATGACATGGCCATTTGACAGCTCTTAATGCAATTCTCCAAGTCGCCAGTTTGTCGCTGTACCATGCCAATGATCAAATGATAGACTGGCTCGTCCCGAATCTTAAAGTTATAACTCAAGCCAACTTCTAGGCTCTGCGAGGCGAGCTGGTACTTGCCCTGATATGCCAGGATCTGAGCCATTATGAGATGAGCTTGCGCGTTGGATGGTTCCACTGTATCCAACAATCTTCTCAGCAAAGTCAATGCGCCCTCATAATCGCCGCTTTGCATTCTGGCCTTGCTGAGCAATAATAAAGCTACGCTGGAACCCGGACAGGCCTCCACTAGTTGTTCTAGCAAACGAATGGTCGGTTCTTTTTCTATTGCACTACCCTGTTTAAAAAGTTTAGAGTTAAATAAAAAACAGATCGACATAAAACTAAACTTTATTAAGCAGAGTAATTACCTCATCGCTCATCGGTGATTTGTTCAAAGAATGCATCAACCGTTGCTTTGCAATCTCAAGACATAAGTCCGGTTTAAGCTCGCTAAGATACTCATAGCCATATACAAGACCCTCGCAACTCTTCAATAAGACGTTTGCCGCCGCATCGAGATAGCCGAGTGCTTTAACATTGTCTTCATTGGAGGCAATCTTCGCGGACATAAATAACAGCCGCACATTCGTCGAATGCGGTTGTATCTCCATCAAGATTTCCACCTACAAAATATAACATGCAGAATAATCTTTTAACATTTATTTGATCAGTGTTATCTACTTTTTATATTTAATTAGAAAAATTCTATTTTTAAACACATCCATTTACCTGTTGGCGCGCCTGTTCCAGATCCTCCGCGGATCCCTCCAGCAACTGGCAGTGAGCCAGTCCCATGAGTGCTACGAAAGAGGATTGATCCGCGCGAATGGCGTTTTTGTACCAGCGCTCGGCATCCTTAACATTGCCCAGTGCAATATGTAGATCGCCCAGCTCTGCCATCAACTCTGCGTTGCTCGATGATATTGCATGTAACATCTTTTCAGCCATTCGCGCTAGTTCCGATAGGATTCCGTGATCTTGGAATGCGATACCGGAAAACAAGCGTAGATTTTTGATTAGTAAGAATTCATTCTTCGGTTCAGCGAGTAGCAAGTTGCGCAGGAACAACTGCAACTGTGGCAAACCCTCGCTAGGATTGCCGTCTCTGCAGAGAGCCACAACTGAGCTCGTCTTGATGGCATCTAGATTATTTGATTCAATCGATAGCACTCGGTTTACCATTTCTAGTACCTGTTCCCAATCTTTCGCGGCTAACAAACATTTCATCTTCTCTACGAGCGGTAACGGCAGCTTAGGATAACGTACGATAAGAGAGTTCAATATCGCGATAGCATCAGAATATTTTCCAGTATGTTGTTTCGTCTTTGCAGAACCTAATAATGCGCTCAAATTTCTCAGTTCTTCGTTTAAGACCGAATCGAAGAAGTTTTCTGCTTCCAAACTGCCTATGCTGGATCTCAAACTACACTCTAGCCATCCTTTAATAAGTAAAACATTGATATTCGTAGGTTTCAACTTGTATGCTCGGTCCGCGTATTCTTTTGCTTTGTCCGCACGGCGAGCGAGAAATAATACGGATGCTGCGAGGTACAATGCAATGAAGGAAGCTTTCCTACGCTCATCTCGTATTCTATTTTCCATCTGAGTCGCGGTGCTACGCTCTGCATCAACCAGCGCCACGTTTTGTACAAGTAACACTGGTAATGTAAAGTCTGCATAGTTTAGCAAGCTCGAACTCTCTTTGATAGCCTCGTGATTCTTGCCAACAAGGACGTATGCTAGGCAGAGCAGAAGTTTCAATCGCTCACTATCTGGATAAGCATCGTGTGCTTGTTTAGCACTAGTTAGCATGCTATTGTAATAATGCTGGCGACAATGCCATTCGATTAAAGCTATGTATTCTGTTTCTTCCATTTTGTTTTATATCCTCTTATAATTCATAATAATAAATTTTTGAACCAATTCTGAAATAAAATATAGATGGATAAAACAAATTTCTTGCTTTCTATAAACTATTGAATATATTAATATGAAGATGTCCAATAATATATAAATTTAAAAAAACTTAAAACTTACATTATCCTTTTTTCTTTTGCTTTTTAAAATCCTTAACATCTTAAATTTATTTTCTTGGCATTCTAAATTAAAAATTAAGAATTAATAATATTTAAACATATAATTACATATAAATTGAGTAGTAATTCAGTTTTAAAAAACTCACATTGAATCATTAGAATTTTAAATATTTAGGATCTCGTTAATAATAGAATCCAGGCTTGTTGAATCTGGACAAAAATACAAAGTGGACCAATAAAGTGTTTCTTTAAGTCAGAATTTTTTTACTGCATAATAAATACTTTTATAGGTATTCTCGTATCTTAATATATAATAATTGTCTACTAGCATATGTAAATGCTGATAAATCTGAAACATATACAAATTTTCAAAACACTTGAAAGCATTTTGCATTTAATTTTCAATTTACAACTTTCATACCTTAGCTGAGAATCATATTAAACTTTGGCCTATATATTCAGCAAGAACAGTGACAATTATATATTTGGAATCTTTTCATCAGTTTGCTTGCTTCAACGAAACCGGTCATGATTTGAATGTAGCAATTCCTATTTATTTGTTCGACTATTACCGCAATATTAATACATTGATATAATGCGATACAAAATCGTGACAAACAGAAATACAGGTTATATCTGTTGACAACAGTTGTTGCCGTAGCAACCACTACAAGTGTTGCAAAGATCTGCATTATCGGCATTTCTTCAAATTATAATAATTCTTTTTTTGATAGTTTTTACAAATATTATCAATATTGAAATATATTTTGTTCTAAATATATGCTTAAATTATTGTGAAAATAAAAATCAATTTTATTTGTAGTTGTCATAAAATTTTCAAAGCGCCACTTAGAGTGAATAGAAATTTATAAAAACTAAAAAGTCTGATTATATTATGTACATATAATACAAGATTTAATTAATTACCTATAATTATCTCATTAGAATGTTATATGTTAATTTATATAATATCTGATTATATTGTTGTCAACATTTGTCTCAATTATGTCTTGTACCAATTACAATTATTTATTAATTATTTTCACATTTCGCATTTATATTTATTCACATAATATAATTATTACATTTATTACTATTTCTGAGAAAATGTCGTTCACTTGATTAAATGCATTTAGTTGGTTATCATGTTACTTGAAATATTTCAGTATTTAATCAGATATTTAACTACTTCAACCAGATGATTTAAAAAAATGAACTAAACAAAATTAGTCAAGTTTAACTTTTCCTCTCGATGCATATTTTTGCATATATATTATAAGATTTAGAAGATATTTAGAAACGTTATTTCAGGATTTTTATTTTTATTTTAATGTTTTATTCATAACGATATAATGTATAACTACATTTAAATTTCAACTGAAGAAGTATTGAGATGATTGGACTTTTTTAATTTCAAAATTACCCTTTTTTGGTAACTTCTTAAAGATCTCCATTGAAATATCATTGTCTCTTTGTCTTAGAAGCCTAAAATTTTAATTAAAGAATATGTTAATGACATTAGTATTTCATTTTCTCTTAGTTTGTTACAATTTTTACATGTGTAACTTGATTTTTAATCTTTAAATTTTTCTCGTCAACTCGCAACTTACCTCTGATTGCTTGTAAAGTACTTTGCATATCGGTCAAAAAGGAACTGAGACAAGTCTTCGAGAATAGGCTCACGGTGAAGCGCAATGAATTGCTCTCGACATATCTAAAGAAAATAAAATGTTATATATTAATGCTTTTATTTGAAAACAAAATCATAATAAAACCTGTATGCTCTCATAATGTTGCTTACTCTGTTCATAATATCTACAGTGCATGCATGTGTCCAGAAACAATCATGTACCGACATAAACGTAATCCCCGCTTGTTCGCAATACAAGCTCGTCAGCATCATATGACTAGAATCCAAAGAATGGATGAAATTCGGCGGAAAGGCATTCTTTTGCTTCATAGTATCCGGCTTCCTGCAAATGGCGTATATTTGTATTATGTATGAAAATTTGATGAAAGCGAACGAGAATAAGTACACGAGAAATAACTTCAAAAAAAGTTCTTGCGATTAGATAGTATAATTTTAAGGAATTATTACGTGAAATTTTTATCTTGTAAACTGACATTTTTCATAAAATTATACAAATAATTTCATAATTTTTAATCAAAGCTTTTTATTCTTTTAGTGTAAGTAAAGAGATAAGATCACATTACAGTTAATAAGTTATAATGTAAAATATCAAAATTAAGAGGAAAAACAAGCTGTAACACTGCTGTTATGCATTAATTAAATTATTTGCGCAATGATGTTACTAGTAATGTAAACTTATGAAATAAAAATTTGTCTGTTATTTTTTTCAATTCTATCCATAGACAAAGATTAACGAGGACTTACCTAACAAGTTTATTCTGATTAGCTGATTTCACACGCTTGAAATACGGTTGCAAGACCGGAAGACCTAACGGCGTCACCCATTGCACATACTGATTACATCTAGTTGAGATGACGCGGGCGCAGTCCGTAAACCAATCCTGAATCTCTTTCGCACCCGTAAACATAGTTCGAAGGGATTGGAACGTTTTTTCGACCAGGTATAGACTGCCGCTCCAAGTGTAATCCTGATTGAACTCTTTCAAGTCGCTCAATTGCCGGGCAATCTGAAGTCTACCGCCAAACTTTGTAACACCATACACCGTGGTCATCACTGTTTGCTTGATGACCTTTCTCGTGACGAATCCTTCCAAAGCTTTGGCTACTTTATCGCCGGCTTCCGCGTCAATCTTCCTGTACTCATCAACCATATTAGCGACGACGCTATATACATCCTGCGGCGTATTTGACGGATATAAATTTACGCTTTCCGCTCCGATCTGATCTCTCCCGAGAGCGGCGTAATGTTGCAACCCGTTGCAACTGCCGTCTTGATGAATCGGTAATCTGCAGATGTACTTTTCCACGTCCGGGGACTGCAGGGCATTATCTATTTCTTTGCATGCCGCCAGAGTCTGCCACGGTTCGTCGGACTTAGTCCACCACATTTCTCCCGTCAAGGGATTTCTCGCGCTATCTACAATCAAGTCCAATATCTCGTTTGCAAATTTTAACCGTTGGTCTATCGATTCTTTCTTTTTCATACCGGTCAAATTTATCGTATGAATTTTCAACCAGTCCAGACCCTTTGGACCTAGAGGTTTTCCCTGAGCAAATAAGAGAATCGAGCGACTCAAGTCTGAAGCGAGATGAGTCAGATGAGGTGGCACCGGATAAGCTCTGCCTCTAAAATCTAGATTGTGCGGCAACCAGAATACCTTATCTCTAAAATGATTAGCGACGGATAACTTGTAAAGAGAATCGCACCAAAGTGCGTACATTTCATTCTTCTTGCGCCTGAGTTGAAACGCCAATTTCATTTTCTTACTTTTATCTATGTCACTTGACGTGATTAATTCGGACAAAGACGGTAGCGACGAGGGTGATTGAGGTACGTCCAGTTTTTCCGAACCTCCTTCTCGGAAAATCTTAATCAGAATATCCAACATGGGCACGTTGATTCTCCATGGAATAGAACCGAGTTGATTCAAACAATCGAACGCAGGATATAATTGTTTCATCGGTGTATTTCTTAACAAGATTGTCGGTGTCATATACGGATCGCGGATGAAACTTGTTTTGGAAAATAGATAGCCACCGGTATCTATATCAATCCAGGGACGCGGTGGCGAGCACGTCGGCAAAAGAACTGTTTCAAAAGTCAACGTTTCTGGATGCGAATCTTTGTACAATCTGTGTAAATAAGGATGCGGTTTGATCTCCTCTGTTAAGAAATTATTAGTCTGTTTTCTAAAGAGTGCGTAGAATGCAGGTATTTGCCGCTCGGACGTGTCAGGTTTGGGTACATGAGAAATTTTCACGTCGTTCAGGATGATTTTGTATAGAAATTCGCCAACGTTCAGTAGAACGTTACGAGGCCATTCTGGCACAATCATTTCGGAGCAAATACCAGAGTGTTTAGCTTCCTGAGCGAGTTGCTGCCACTTAGTACGTCCGTTACTCTTGTCAACGGACTTTTTCTGCATGTACCATTGCAAATATTTTTCGTAAATTTGAATAGAATTTTCTATGACACCGGCTTTCATCTTTCGTTGAAACTAAAACATAAAGTTCATTAGATAAGCTTGACTAAACAATACAATATTTAAGAATATTCTTTTTTGCACACAATTAAAATAAAATATATTAGAATATAAAGAAATAAAAAAATACATATAGAAAATGTGCAACAACTATAAATAACATAAAAAAGATAAGACAAAACAAACAATTTTCATATGTGCTATATACCTGATATTTTTTGTAAATATGTGTTCCTAGTGCTATATATAAGTTCGTCATAGAAGTGCTGTACGCGTCGGAGAATCTGGTCAATTGGTTAATTTCACGTAGAATCGCATTAATGTACTCTTTCTTGGGCAGTACTTGCAAAAATGGGTACAATGCTTTCAAATCGGGTTTCAACATCAGCTCTTTTTGTTTCTGATAAGCCAAGTTTCTCTCAAAAGCATGCGTCACGACTGATTTCCAAGATTTTTCCCATTCAGCAATTCGTTTGATCTAAATAAAAATGCATCACAATTAACTAATTATTTTTATATTTTTATAAAAAATTATTTAAATGTATGTGATTTTTATCACAATTTCTCTCCAAATAATTAATTTTATGCATAAAAGCATGTAAAATCATTTATTAATTACAAAATTGGGAGAAGCAAATATTAAATACAAATGGAATTAATTTAAGAATATTGAGAAGAAATAAGCATAACAGTAACTAATAAAGATATAACATTGTTTTAAAAAATTAATTACATGAATAATCTTAAGAAAAATTAAAACTTCTAAAATAAATAATATATAGATTAATAAAAATTAATATTTTGAAAAACTAAATTAAAATTATATTTAAGATATTAATAGAGATTTTTAATAGAATCAACTCACAGCTTGTTTTCTAACGTCGGAATCTCCGGTGAATGGCGCGATACTGTTCACTTTCAACTCGCATTGCTTTTCCATATCACTTTGTATACACACCATGTTCCGCAGTTCATTCATGTCTGTTACACCATTGGCTGGACTCCGATAGCTATCCATTACTAGATTATGTAATAATTTGCAGTTGTATGAGCTATCAATTTTTCTATATCGTACGCGATATTGCGGATCTAAAAACTCGATACAATAAAGAACGGCATTGCGTTGCATCGTGTTCATCTGCGTGTTCATTAAATCATCAAAAGAGATCTTTCTCCGACTCATATCCCCCGTCACTTCTGTCGCGTATTCTGCAAGGAATCATGTGAAATTGTAAATTTAAAAAAATTATTTTTGAAAATTATATTTTAAGTATAGATTTTGTAGTTTAGATATCATCTTCAAAAGTCATTAATCCACTTACCTGTTCGTTTCTCCTCATTTTTCATTCTTCCGATTATCTCGAACAAGAAAGCGTACGTCCGCGGATTGGGTTCGACAGAATTTATCTTCATTAATCTATAAATTTCGAGAGCTTTTTCTAAATGCCCGTTAGAGACGTAAGTTTCCATGAGTAGATTATACAACGCGATGATGGAAATTTTACTATGCTTGAATTTATCTTTGTTCAACATCAATATCTTAAAGGCTCTGTGGGGCATTTGGATCTGTATATAAACATCCATGTGCGCTCGTAAATGAGATATCAAGTTTCGAGTAGAGAGAGAATCTTCAGAATGATCTTCTTTCTTTGGAGCAGTAATCGCAGAAGGATTTGAAACCTCGTCATACTTGGATATCTGTGTACTGAAAAAATAAACTGTATATAAAGAAAATGAAAACTTTTAAATAATCCCAATTATACGCGTACTTACAGTATATCGATTTGGCTCTTATCTTCATCGTCACTTTTATCATTCTGCAATGTATCCAAGAAAGTGGAATCCTTAATTAACATAGTATTATCACTCATAGCATACTCTTTTAGATCCTCTACAACAGTAGATTTGTCTTTTAAATACTCATCAGATTCCTCAAGTATGTTACAATGCACATTGTCTGTCTTGTCTTCCTAAAATTGACATCCATTCAATACTTGTGTGTATAAGAAAATAGAAGTTAAATATAATTTGTACTTGAAATTATATTTCTTTCTTTTTTTTCTCATCTTTTGTCTTAAAGAAGAGATGGTAAATAAAATTTAACTTACTTACAGCGTAAACCAAATCTTTTTTAGAATCAGCTTTGGTATCTTTTGCTTGTGTTGAGGTTGTTTTCTTATCGAAAGAAAAATTAGGAACCTTGTGCAGTTTGTCCAATGTTACATCGGGCTGACCGACTAACATGGACACATGAGCAGAGTTTAACTTGCGCACTGCTGCTTTTTTACTGTTGGTTGTTTGATCTGTTACTAATATGATAAAATATAAATTATATATTTATTATTCATTATAATTGCTTATTTTTTAAAAATATATATCTATTATCTGTTGTACATTTATTTTTCATTCTGTATATAATTATATATTATTTAATATATTAATATACCTTCCATTAACTCTGCATATTTCTTAGAGCGACGTTTAGTCTTCTTCTTCCAAGGAGAATGCAGTTCTATTGCATCAGTTGTTGCATAATGGCGAAGCAATGTGTATTTCGTTACTAAAAGTAAAAAATTTAAAATAAATAGTAATAAAAAGCAATAAAAGCACAAAGTATACTCTTTATTTATTCAATTCTTATATTATTTCTCATCGCTAACAAATTTATCTAGAAAATTTAATGTATCTTAGCTCTTAGTTATATCATTTGTACAATACTCCTTCATTCATTGAGAAAGAAATTTAAGAAAAATGAAGAAAAATGAAGAAAAAATTGTTTTCAGCATCTAAGCTATCAAATCAAATTAGAATTGCAAAAATTTTCTTTAATATAATGAAGAAAAATCTTTCCATAATTTTAATGAAGCGCTATATTTTTTCAGGAAGATGCTGAATGCATATGCAATAGAAGCAAATAATTTTCAGTGAAAAATTGACAAAAGTTTCTGTTAATTTATGACAGTGCTCTTTTATACTAATTTCAAATAATAAATTTAAAGTAACACATCTTTTTTCATTGCAATTCCACTTTGCTTGTCAACTGAATCAAGAAAGTTGTAGTAGAAAAGACAAAAGCTTTAATAAGATGTAAGATGTAAGATAAAAAAATAAAGAAAATTCTATAAAAAAAGACGAATATTTTATTTGCAATCGCGTTCTATTAAAAAATGCACAATCACACGTGCTACGTACGCTTATGAGATTTGAGGTGATAAAAATTGCAAAAAGAGCAGACTCGTATCGAGCACTGCGCGATCGACACCACGCGAGCATTCTGCATCGAAGTCTTCATTAAATTGTACATTTTAACGCGATTTTCAATTGTTTTTTACGGATTATCGATCAAGAACACAAAATAATATTAATAATATCGAACAATCTAACCCAAATATGAACGCCATACCGCCATATTCGCGACTGAACCAGACTGAACTCAGGTGCATTCACATCTATTTCGGATGACCACGATTGACCACGTCGCCAATTGGCCAATTCAAAATACGACTCTCTGATTGGTCAATCGCTGCTGGTTACCCTAGGCACAGTTCGATTTAATTGGCTCCGGTCAAATGAGGCACTCCCTCTATTTCGATGGTTCCTATTGGTTCCTATTTCCAAATTCGATTTTTCGCGAGTGATGTAAGACGGAAATATAATTTGAATGATGTTGTGATCGTTTGGCGGACTCGATGGAACTTTCTACAAATATGTTACTCTATTAATATGTATTTGGTTATTAAAATTAATATCTGTATACGAAGTTTGAATACCTGTATAACCGAAGTTGGTTGGACATCAACAGGAAGTGAAAGGTATTCTATCGCCAACAGTCATACCACGTTGAAAAACACCAGTTCTCGTCCGATCACTGAAGTTAAGCAACGTTGGGCATGGTCAGTACTTGGATGGGTGACCGCTTGGGAACACCATGTACCGTTGGCACCATTCTTTTTTTGTTAATTTAAATATCAATATTGATACAATTTTTTTATTCACTTAGTTTAAGATATTTTTCCACTCTAAATATAAATTTTTGTCACATATATCTTTTAAAAATACATCTTACGTCACAATTCTTTATTATTTTCACTTTTCGCATTTAATAGGGATCGAGAAAAAGAGAGAAAAAAATAAGTATCAATCTATCCTGTTCCTATTGTTGTATTCGATAATATTCGAAATTATAAATATGCTAAAAGTGTGTTTGATCAATCGTGTCAAGTTTTCTCTTTTTTTTCGATTGATCAATTTAAATGCTCACGAAAAAAAATGTTCATTTACAAATGAACTTATCGACACCAGGTACATCATTTGACAACTTACTGACTTTAGATACATCTGCTTCCTGTTTTACTCCTCGAATTGATTTTATCGACTCGATATTTGTTTACTTTATTTTGTTTTGATTCAATGCTCACTTTTAATTTTTTGCACCCAGCGTAATATTACTTTGTGGTATTTTATTGGACAAACAAACAAAAAGTTGCAACCCTTTGAAAATTTCTTAAATTAATATTAAGATTGTCATGAAATTTGAATTGAATTTTATTGAATCATAGGAAAAATGTCAACATTAGATTGGATTTCGAGGTTACATGTATCCAAAATCACAAAATGTAATTTTGCGAAAGACCATTTCGAAACAAATAAGGTCACACATCCTGTAAAACTATAGAGAGAAACAATCCTTTGGCATTTCGTATACAATGCATTACAAGTCAAGAGGAAAGTGACGTCAGAATTACGATGAATCATCGATCATTCTAACAGAAAGTAGACTTTTCCCCGAAACAATGATCTCGAAGGAATCTCGGTAGCTGGTGGTATTTCCCATTTAATTACCTTTACATTAGACATCTTTTTCCTCCTTGTCTTTTTTTTTATGCAAATTTTTCCTTTGTATGCCGAATCCTTAATCGCGATTTCTATCTTCATCTAGCAATTAAATAATTAAATTGCATTATTTTTAAATGATCAAGTGTCAATTAATTAAAAATAATTATCATTAATTACGTTTAATTAAATAATGATAATTATAATTGTATTTTATTCAATAATATATTAAATATATTTGTATTTTATTCAGTATAATACATTAAATCATACAAATTATGTGCAAAGGAAAAAATGATAAAGATAAAGAGAGAAAAACAGAGAGAAGAAGCAAGTAATCCACTCATTGTTGCATTTTTGCCTTTTAAGTAGAATCAAAGAGTTTACATTTTAAAAGAAAGTGAGAAAAGAATAAAAAGAAAAGAATATAAAGCATAAAAAGATTTACAATTGAATTGTATATAAACTATTGATAAAAAATATGATAATATTTGAGTTGAATTGAATTCTTATATGAATTTTTACTAATAATTCAAATCAATTCGAGACTCCAATAATACAATTGAAAATAAAAGTGGGCTGGAGTAAGTGATTCTTGTGACCTGAGTATTTGCGTAATATAAATGACTTCTCGTGTAAAATTGTATATGTTGCATTTTTCTTTGTGACAAAGGAATACAAGTGTTTTGACCCTCAAATGGATCTTCTTCAATGATGCAAAATGAAGAAATTATCAAATATAATTTACCAAAGTAAGAAAAACATTAGGCACAAAGATACAATTTTGTTAATAAACAATATTCCCAATATGTTCGTTGAGATAACGATCACCACGTTACCACGTTAACAAATTTTTGGTAAGATTATATATCTCTCTATCTGTATTTATGATTCATATCTTGATGAATTACATTTCACAATATATTTGCACTTTATAGGCTATTTGCTGGATATAAATTAACCACATTTGTTAATATACGCATGTCTAATCACGATTTTTTTTTTTTTTATTCTTTAAGCCTACTTTTATTTTTACTCAACAATTCACGTATTCTTGATGTCCTTGCGCGCACGGGACCTTGCGTGAACGGATTTCACTGTTAAAAAAAATACTAATGCAATATTACTTGCAATATACAGGAGTGTTTAAGTAGTAATTTGAGTTTTTTGTAATTTTTTTCGAATAAGAAAAATCCATAGGTCCCGAAGAAAAAAAGAGAAAGACAGAGAAAGAGAAAAAAATTGCTGCATTGCACAATCTGCTGATTTGAGAGTTATGATATAGTAAATAAATATTGGTACTGTGTCAATCAAGATTAATTATCAAAATTTATTATTATAATTTTTATTTTACAACATGTCGATTAGAGATAAAAATTTACTCAACCACCGTACGATCTTGAGAGAAACATGAAAAAAATTGTCGAGGATAATTTATGGTGGTATTTATTCTCCTCTAAGTCCTCGATTCTACAGATCTGGAGGGAGATGTGTCTGTTCGCGGGAGAGCAAACGCGGCGAGTGAGCTAGGACGGCTAGGAAACTCGAACGGAAACGCTTCGCGAAAAAGCCAGTGCACTGGAGGGAGACGTCCTTGCCGCGGCCGGCGTTATGAAACGTATAAAGGAAACCGCTGTCGTTGTCGCAACCCAGACGCCCAGACCGCGACCCGTCCGAGCCCAGCCGTGCCATGCCCGCCAACGAGGACACCTCCGCCAACGACTTCGCGTTCAAGCGGATCAAGCCCGAAAGGGCGAATCCTGCGGAATCTCAGCCTAAGATGTCCAGAAAGGATGATTCATCCACGAATCTGATTCTCTCGAATTTCACCGCATCGGTGGAAGAACGAAAGGAAGCCGAAAAGGGCGATTTCCGCAGCATACCGTGTCGGAGCGTTCACGAGAAGCTCTTCAGGGACTTTTTCGAGCTGATGTTGCAACGAGCGGTGTTTCAGGTGAATTTAATATTTATTTATTCGTTTGTCTGAACGATAAATTAATTCTTGTACACGATTGTGTCTTGATCTTGCGCGATCAAGAATTAGAAATTAAGAAACGCGCAAGGACACGGACAAATGATTGTTTTAATTAGACAATAATTGCGCGATAAGCGTATAATCGCGGAAGAGAATACTCGGAACAATTGTGAAATAACGATAGCGTGGATTATACAACTGGTAAATGCAACTTGAACACTCGATAATCATTTCTATATTATTTTACCCACCTGCGTATGCAATACCTAGAGACATTCTCTCTGTTTCTCTCTCTCTCTCTCTTTCTCTGTCTCTATTTCTCATAGTCTATAATTTTATGTGCTTCTTGTAATACAATTTCTACTCTACATTATTACAACTACCCGCTCTATATATTTCAGCGCACTGTACACATACAGATACAGATCTTTTTTATTGATTGTACCTTCTTTATTGATTCCGCCGTTTGTGACATGAAACATTCTTTCTATTCCAACCGGGACGGAATTCAGACGTTTATCGCTTAATTATTTATTTACTATTTGCAAATCGTTCTTTCATGTAACCGCCCTTTTGCTGTTTTTCTATCAATTATTTTTTTTTTATTCAGTTTCAACATTTGCTAGTTTTTGTATTTCATTAGTTATTCTACTTATTATATGTTACCACTACAGCCAACAATGATAAAGCATTATTTCATCCTGTTCTACTTGCATATGTCGATATTTGCAAAAGCTGCGGATTTACCCTATCTCTCGCTATTATCATTATTATGGCGATACCATGAAATCACATTGATTTCGCAAAAGGAGAGTGAGTCATTGATAAAATAGATTATTCTCCCGGTACTTCTGCCACAAATTTGTACCCGTGTATATCGTTAGGTAAATAACTAAACCCTTAATAGCACAAATCTTTAACGATCCTCTAATGATCGCGAACGATGAATGTTGAAGATATGCGTTTGATATATGATGATAGCGTAATGATTGCATTTTTATGCAATGCTGATGTAATATAATTTATTTGTTAGGAATTGCGATGGAACGTGATGGAATTTACATCGCTCCTAGTGATGTGTAATAGCGATAGTAGTAATAATTACTAGTAGTAATTATTGGTAGTAATTGCGAATGACAAAGCGACAGTTAAAGCGATCTATTGATCTCATTATCATACGCTATTACATGGAAATTAAACGCAAAGTGCATACATCATATACTCGATCAGTCTTGATATAAGGAGAAAAAACCGAAATTTTCGCTCAACGAGAATTTGATGTTTTCTAGTCTCTCAATAGAGAACGTAAAATCTTTTGCCACGATTTCTTTTTATGTAATTTTTAGACTTTTTAAAAATTAAAAAAGAGAGAAGAAGAGAAAGCACACATTAGGCAGGCTTTAATTATTTAAAATCAAAGTTATTTGAAACGAGAAATTAATTTTTTAAACAAATCAAAAAATATTATTAGAAAGAAAGACTGTAATTCTTTATAATCAAAGAATTTTAATTCTCACAAATCAAAATTATATATTTGAAACAGAAAATTAATTTTTTTGAAAATTGAGAAATCATTAAATTTTTATTTTCAGCAACTTTTAGATTGTTGAAAGAGTTGTTAGTATTAGAGAATTTCTTCTTTAGGACGATTTTTTGAAAAAATTATTTAACAGTTCAAAATATATTATTATTTATATAAACAAGCACGTGTTTTGTTTTTTAATTTTCGTCCATGTGTCTGCACGTTACAGTCTACTTCCGGGGAGGAGCGCGTGGTCGAGTGGATTGATCCTAATAATTTGCGATCTGTGGTCGATCTTTCTCTGCCAACCGAGGGAGTTAGCCACGAGGAGCTGTTAACGTTAACGCGCGATATCATCAAATACAGTGTGAAAACGGGTCATCCGCATTTTGTGAACCAACTGTTCTCCAGCCTGGATCCATACGGATTGCTAGGTCAATGGCTCACCGATGCGCTCAATCCGTCCGTCTACACTTACGAGGTATCTCCGGTGTTCTCCTTGATGGAGGAGGACGTGCTGCGAGAGATGCGCGCCATCATCGGCTGGCAGGGTGGCGAGGGACTCTTTTGTCCTGGAGGTTCCATGGCGAACGGATATGCCATCAATCTGGCGCGTCATCATAGGTGATATTTCATCTCTCTCTTTCTCTCTTCTCAATTATTTCCTAAGATAAATTATTAGGGAATCTGCCGTTTATTTTATTTTGTCAAATTATTTTTTAATTTATTATTTTTTAAGTAATTTAGTTGTTTTATCAATTTATTAATGTTACTATAATTTTAATTAATTATAGATACCCAAACCTGAAGCAATCCGGATTATCGCAAATGCCGCGACTAGTGGTGTTTACATCAGAGGATGCACACTATTCCGTGAAGAAACTCGCCGCCTTCCTAGGTATCGGTTACGACAATGTTTATCTGATCAAAGTCGATTCGCGTGGCAAGATGGTAGTCACCGACCTGGAAGCTCAGATCGTTCGAGCCATCAACGAGGGTGCCGTGCCACTTATGGTATCCGCTACCGCGGGCACCACTGTGATGGGCACCTTCGATCCTCTCAAGAAGATCGCCGAGGTTTGCAGAAAGCACGGACTATGGTTTCACGTGGACGCTGCGTGGGGCGGTGGTGCCCTCGTCTCCAGAACGTATCGCGGTCTCCTGGACGGCATCCAGCTCGCCGACTCTATCACTTGGAATCCCCACAAACTACTCGCCGCGCCGCAACAATGTTCCACTTTGTTGCTTCGTCATGAAGGTCTCTCCTCAACTAACTTTTACATTTTTCTTTATTTCCTTTTCATTTAATAAAAATAATTAATTATTAATTAATTAAATAAAAATAGTACTTTTATTTTATTAAAATATATGTACTATTTAATTCTAATAAATATTCTAATAAATATTTATTAATTAAAGAAAGATGTATTTTTAGTGCATGTCACAAAATATCTTTTTTTTTTATTTAAAAATAAGATAATAATTTATATTATCGAACTCTGTTTCTAGGTTTATTACAAGAGGCGCATGGCTGTGGCGCGAGCTATCTCTTTCAGAACGACAAGTTCTATGACGCGACCTTCGATTATGGCGATCGGCATGTGCAGTGCGGTCGTCGCGCTGATGTCGTCAAGTTCTGGTACATGTGGAAGGCAAAGGGTACGCGCGGTCTTGAGGCTCACGTCGACTGCGTGTTTGCGTTGTCGCGTTACTTTGCCGATCTCATCAGGACACGCGACGGCTGGCGATTACTCGCCGAACCGGAGTGCACCAACGTCTGCTTCCGTTACATTCCATTATCGAAGAGACACTTGACTGGCCGTGAACTCGATCAGGCGCTGCACAAGGTGTGTGTGAAATATTTATTATTTTCAATATTATTATTTCCATTTCGTATTTACATTTTTATTCGAGAGTTTATATATATTTCTTACTCTTTTATTTTTTATCCATTTTATTCCGAATGGTATCGCGTGCAGATCGCGCCAATGATCAAGGAGCGTATGATGCGAGCGGGAACAATGCTGATAACGTATCAGACGCTGAGAGATATGCCGAATTTCTTCAGACTAGTATTGCAGAATTCGGGATTGACAGAGGCTGACATGAAGTTCTTCGTCGAAGAGATCGAAAGACTCGCTGTAGATCTTTAATTTAACCGTTTTTAATTGCAGATATTGTAAATATCGATAATATGTATGTATTTTGTGTATTTTACTAGTGTAAAAAATAGTTGCATTTGTGGTAAATCATTAATTTAAAAAAAAAAACAATTAGTAAAAATATTTTTTTTTCTTATTCAATTTATCAGATTACTATATTTTTTAATTAACATTTCTTTTTTTTTTGTTAATCTCTATTCATATTCTACACATATGCATAAATTGAAAATGTATTCGCAATCAGAAAGTTTAGAATAATTAAACAAAAAAGCGACAAAAGACGTATAGCATTATCCCTTTCATAAAGAAGTCAAATCAAACAAGAAAATAATTAAGTTGAAACAAATTACGTAAGAATGGGAGGCAGCAGAATATAGAAACCTGATTGCAACATATATAACATTCAATTTTTTTTTCTTTTCTACATAATATGTATCATATTACATAATATGTATCATATTATGTCTCATGACAATAATTACGACATATTTACAAATATTTTTAAGGTCTCATAGTATGATTTACATTCAACAAATTTTGATTTTCATCATATACTATACAATTCAATAACTCTGTGTAATAACTTTTAATAGTGAGTCATTAATCGTAACAAAAATATTTCACATTCGCGACGTTTGGACCGTAAATTAGTCTTTATATAGATATGCACGATCCTTTAGATAATTGTTCCTCGTTAATCCTTCCTTCTATATTCGCAATTCTCTCCGCCGAAAGCTTATAAGAGAATTTAACTATACTCCTTAAGGAACTTGATGTGAAATTGCTTCAGCGCTTCGAGCATCGTTTTTATCTTTTCTTCCTGAGGCAGTATTGTAGTCCGGAAGTGATACGTGCCAGGTTTTTGACCAAAACCTGAACCCGGAATCACGCAGATTCCGGTGCTCTCTAGCAGCTTGAACGCGTAGAAGACGTCTGGCTCCTGACCTTTCGCTCGCGCCGCCTCGATCGCCTTTGGCGGCAGATCTAGGCGCGGAAACACATACATTGCGCCCATCGCTGGATTTGTCTAAAAAATATTGTTAGAATATACAAATATTGTTAGAATGTACAATTTTAAGAGCGATTAAGAGCAGCTTTTCTATCAGTTACTTGAAAAATCAAAAGACCTTATATCCTGGAATACTGTTAATCGTATCAACGACGAGTCGCGATCTCTTCGCTAAAGACCGCAGCGTTTCCTTCTTCTCTTTTTGAAATTTCTCGTACGATGGTTCATTCGGCTGTGGCGGATTCACCACAACATCCATCACGACTTGGCCGAGTACGCTCGGACATAGCATTGCAGAGATCGATTTCAGCAATACCTTCATCACTTCCGGATCCATGTTGATGATTTCGGCGTAACCACCACGAATCCCGCACTCGCCCATGTATCCTGAAAACGAAATATAATTCAGTTTTGAAATTTCTTGAAAAATATTTACAAGTCTGATTTAGATTTAAAAATCCTTTGATTAAACTGTTCAGTGTTGCAAACTTTTATGATAAAAATAACAAATTTAGCTTAAGATGGAGTGTTCCTTAAATTATTAAAGTTCAATATTTTAACTAATATTAACAATTTTTAATGACTTTATTCGTTTTTTTACGCACCTTTTGAAATTGACATAAACGAAGCAAGCTCCATTTTCGAATACGGTTCGCCCATCTCTGTCATGACCTTTTTGAATGAATGAAACGCGCTGTCTTTATCATATATATTGTCCTGGTAGACTTCATCGGCTAACAGGAACAGATGATTCTTATGGGCGAAGCGAATAACATTTTCAATATTAGCGCGAGTCAGTACTTGACCGGTTGGGTTACCAGGATTGATCACTACCAACACTCGCGGATTGCACGTGCCTTTATATTCCTTCAATACTCGTTCCAATTCACTAATTTCTAGTGACCACTTGTTGTCTTCGTCGAGGTAATATCCGATCTGCGCGAGACCAAATTCTGCCAAAGTTGCCGAATATAAAGGATATTGTGGAATCGGAACCAGTACGCCGGATGGTTTGTTGTCAATTTTTTCGTTGAACAGTTTCAGGAATGACTGGAAAGGAAAATCAGATAAAAAAACAGGAAAATAAGATGCAGTATTGGTTTTCTTTCTTCCTTTCTTATCCAAAAAAATATAAAGTTTAAAAATTTCAATTCTTTAATTCATAAACATATACATATATATATATATATATATATATATATATATATATATATATGAATATCTCTGTATATATACATGTGCTTCAATAATAAAATTTTTATCTCTACTTTTGATGCATACATTTGTTTCCAATAGCACATATCTTTTATTATGTATTTTTTACCAGAAAAAATTAGAAAAAAAGCTACATTTAAACAAAACTTTAAATCCGCGCATACCTTGATACCGTCAGAGGCACCATTCGACAAGATGACGTTGTGATAGTCGCAAGGAATACCTCCATCACGTTGTTGGATATAGTGCGCGACGTGCTTACGAATCACTTCGATGCCAGCCGATTCCGAATACGAGCCCACGCTACCGCCCTTACAACCGTTGAGGACTGTCCGAGCGCGTTTTTTCGCATCCTCAGGATAGCTCGGATCATCCAACAGATTCGGCGAGACCGCCAAAGTCAACACCTGGCGTAGAAATGTGATGGGCTGCTGGCCCATCGCATGAGCGTCGCCCACGTTCGCTTTGATCACCTCATTAAAAGGTTTCTTAGCACCCTGCAAGAAGAAAACACGATATTAGATATTTAATTGCAGTTTTATATGATAATTTTTTTATTGATATAAATAATTGTCAAAATGTTTTATGACAATCACAGGTGACAATCACTTTTTCACCTAAATTTTAACAATATTCAAATCATATCAAATTTCATGTTAAAGAGATTAGAAAATACAATACGAAATATTTAATTACAATTTTATATTTTGATAACAATTACAAATTAAAATTCTATAAAAACATAATTCGATTAAAATACGATTTAATCGCTAATTCAAGGAGTGTATTAAATTATGTTTAATTTTTTGAAAAAACCCGGAATTTTATTTTCTGTACTGTTTCGAAAATGTGAATATTTTTTTAAAGATTTTAATTAAATTTATTTAAATGATATTTGAACTAAATGTAATTGTTGTCAACATTTCCATTAAAAAATATTTTAAATTTGTTCTTAAATACTTTTCACAATTTGAATATTAATTTAATACAATATAATTCTTTTCCTCATATTGAAAATAACATGTTTTTATAAATATATATGTCCCTTTAACTTAATTTTATTTTTATTTTTATTTTATCTACTTTTATTTTAATTATTGTTTTCGTAAAATTTCTGTAATATTCTTTAAACATATGAATGAAAAGGCGAAATATATTTGCTCTTGTAAACTGGCTAAATTTCGTTACTATGTAATTGTCTCATTTACAGATATTATGCAATTATGTGTGAAATTGAGAGAAGTGCGAAAATGTACATTCATGAGTTATGTAATTATGTGTGAAACTGAGGAGAAGCGCGATAATACGCATTCAATGACGACGCATCTGCGATTCATCGATGTTAATTATTTCAGTGCATAGTTACTCAATGCGCAATGAATAAAATACTATATCTCTATTGTTTTTTCGGTAAATTTTAACATTAACATTAGTGGCAAGCCGATATTTCTACTTTTAAAACGCATGAAAAATGTCTTTTCGAAATGTCAAGAGTCACAAAATCAGCAGTCACACGGAAACACGTTCTGGAAAAAGACTACCAAAAAAGTATACTTATTTTGAAACATTTTTTGTAACGACGAAAGATAAAACCAACAATGCATCTGCGTTATCTTTTAAAATTATTTTTTATCTTTCCGATAATTTTATTACTCAACTTTATTGGCTGTACAGTCTTCGCAAAATGTGATCGAACTGAAAATATTAATATTTATACTTTCCGCATAAAGATATGAATATGCAGATGTAAATGAAACAGTTAAATAATAACAGTTAAATAAATTCTTAATTCGATAATACATTATTTGATTCATTTCTGACTTTTGTAATATTCTAAATCTATTTTTTTCGGAGGACAAAGAATTCTTAAAATTTTCGAAAAATTCTTGGACATTAAATTTAGATATAATTATATATAATTTGATATAATTTGAGAAAATATTTCAATAGCAAAGAATGCGCACTAAAAATTCAGCATACTTTCACTATTTACAAAAAATATAATCTGAGTGAGTTACAAATTTTTGCATATATTATCTTGAATATTTACAGTACTCTTACAAGAAAATTGAAAATTTTATCATTATTTTTCTTACTCTTTGTAACAATATTATATGTTGCCATAATAATATATGTAAAAACTTTTTATTGAAATAATTTTTAATCTACGTCGACCGCTGTATTAAATTTTCTCGTGTTATGATGCGTTTTAGATGCAATATAAAATATTTACAATTTCTTTCATTTTCTTCGAGATATGACACATACAACCTTAACACGATATTTCTATGCGACTCTACTGATTCTGATAAAACGGATAAACGCAATGGCGCGATAAGCACTGCCATATGTTCACCCGTCATACATGTATTTTATCGATCGAATCAAAAGAGTAAGAGAAACAATCAGCGTGAAATAATTGAAAAATATTATCATGGTTTTTCTAATGCTGGATACATTTCGTTACACGTAATAACCGCAATTACACGATTACAATATATTTTGTACGCACCGATACGTTATCAGACATTCCGCTCTTAGATAACAAGTAATTGTACAAATAATCGTACGAATCATCATCTAATGGTTCCTCTCTTTGGCAACATAATAATTGAGATATACATCTGTTTTATTCTATTTTTTTATGTTTAAAAAATGGTTCCCCTCTTTGGCAACATAATGATTGAGATATACGTCTCAATTTTATTCTATTTTTTATTTTTAAAAATCCAATGAATCATCCAACTGAGTGCGTAACTGAAGGAGACTATTTTATCTCAAACCGTTTGAAAAAAATAAAGGAGGAAAATATAAAAGTTATTAAAATGATGGAAACATTACAGATTCGAGGAGTAAAATTGAAGTGGAGTTATAAATAAATCTTCTTTACTTTTTACGTGTAGAAATAGTTTTTTAGATTCCAATCTTATATATATATATATATATATATATATATATATATATATATATATACACATATATATTTTTTTTGCTCATTGGATTTACATCTAGTCTATTATCGAGCTCCATTCAACATTTCGCAAGGGTCTCGTTCGACGAAGGTCCAACTAGCGATTATTTCCCTTCTCTTTCTCCTCCTTCTTTCTACCTTTGACACTTGGCGTTTCACCATGGCAACCTCGCGTCTATCACCAAGCGCGCATCCTCTCGCCCTTCTTCCACCACTCTTCACCCACTCTCTCATATCCATTCAGCTTATATTCATTCTACCGCATCATCGTGCGTTCTTACGCGATGCACTTGTCTTTCCTCCCGCATTCGAAAAACAAATCAGCTTGGACGACAATATTTTTATATCGCTCTCGCTCGTGCCTGGACTCGCTCTCTCAGTTTCCCAGTCGTCGTCACCTTACCTTACCTTTTGTAGCTCCTTCTCGAGCTCCAACGCCCTGATGAGTAGCGGGCCGCGCACCGCATACTCCATCTTGCGCAGATTCACGAAGACGTTGTCCTCGGTGAGGACCTTGCCGCACGGGCCCGCTGCTGCGCTCGCTGCCATGCCGCGAAACGAAGTGATGGTCCGCTTCTGCTGGAACAGCGCGGAGGACACCGGCCCGCCATCCGTCATCCCTACCCCTCCACCGAGTAGCGCCCCGCCGGCACCCTGTCTCGTCGTCATCGTCATCGTCATGGTCTTGGCCGACCAGCCGCCGGCGATCACCGCGCTTCGCAGACGCGGGTGCGACATGACTGGGATTATTCTCCCTCTTCCAAGACTCGTCGCAAAACTTTGCCGCACTCGGCGATTTCCTCGTAACGATGTTTCTTCGCGCCTCTCCTCGTTCCTACCTCATCGCTCGATCCAGGGGATCGACGCAGGAAAATCACGCGCACATCACACGTCAGCTGGGCTGACGATTACAGCTGATACGAGGCGCGGAAAGGGAGAGGGAGGGGGAGACACGCACGTTCCCGAGCCTCCGCGACGCTGTGGAGTGTGGAGTTCGATACAAGCGGCACGCCACCTGGGTCACGTTACACGCGTCGTCGAGATGCGTCCGAGAAGATGATGACCCGCGCGAATACGAATCACCGTGGGAAGCGATTCGCGGCCCTGCAAAAAGAGACGCGGTTATCGATTAATTTATTCGTTCATCAACGGGCAATATATTTAGTCTTGAAAAAAAAATTGAAATCCATGCGCGAATGAAATGTATAATAAAACGTGTAAAGGAAGATCCCATACAGCATAGAATATTGCAGCAATATTATTAATATTGTTGTAACATTGCGGCAACATTGCAATATTGCCGCAATATTACTGCAATGTTCTGTGCTGTATGAGATCTCCTACTTTTCCATTTTCTTCGATATCACAGACAATATAAATTAAATTGATGATAAAATTGTAGGACACTCTACATATAAATAATGTCTCTCTCATTATACGATACTTTAATAATGTATTCTGGAGGTAAAGTAACGCATAGAAAAATCCTAATACGAAAATATCGAAATCACGTTATAGTCTGTGAGTTATAAACTGTCAAAGCTTACAAGAGGAAATTCGCGCGTTCAGGCTCGTAACTACAATTACACATGTACCAATCTGTCATTCGTTATTGATTTTCAGGTCAATTAATATATATACAACTATTATAAGTTATAATTGTTACAGGCGAAATATTAAAAAAAAAGATTAAATTTTAAGAATACTTAAAAAGATATAAATGTTTCGCGTACAATAGTTATTGCTCCCCGTTAGTAACTAAACTTGTTAATATTATCTATTCTCCAAAATGTAAATCCAATAGTCACGCTTAAGAAACAACAAAGTAAAGTCAGCTGTGCGGTAAAAATCAATATGAACGGGAAATCAATAAAGATGAGAGATTGTTAGGCACAGTTTTATAAGTATAGTTACAGGCCTGAGCGCGCGAATCTACGCGATGTCAAATCATGATCACTTGTGACTTTGATATTTTTGTTTTTAGGATGTTTGACTCTCCATCTCTTCGATCCTCAAAATACGCTGTTAAAGCATTGTATTGAAGCACGACGGTTGCGAAATATCCCGTGCATGTTATATACATTTTTATATACGAACATTCTGAAATAATACATGTATTCTTTGAGAAATATGCACGAAAAAAAATAGCTTATAATAATTGCTTAAAAATAGTTTTGTAATAATACCGTGATTGGATTATGTGTCGCGAATCAGACCGTTTCTTCACGCCTTTCGCGAAGTTACTGGATCGCTCCTTGAAAGCGCAGAGAAAGAGCGAACGATCTGTCGCAAAGACGCGCGCACGCGCATCTTATTTCTCGTCTCGTATGTTTTTCTGTTCCGAATCAGTGATGTCCGAAGCGAATTTAAGTAATTCGTAAAATCCACTCGAATTCTATCAAAGATAGATCTCATAAATAATGACCTTTCTCTTCTCTTAGATTTTTCGATTGTTTTCTCGTCGTGATTCTCTTAATTAAGTGCATGTTTAATTTTTTGACAAATAAGATAAAGATCGTCTCTTTTTTTTAAATAAAATCTAAGCCAGGATCTAGAGACCATTTTTTTAATCATCGACTTTTTGATTATCAATGAATTTTAGATTAGATTGTGAGAGACATTATGTAAGGGATAAATGCACATCAGATATATGACGAGCTTATAGAGCCGAAATCTGTTGGTCTTAACCGTATACTTTTTGCTTCTTTTTTTCTATCTTGCTCTTTCCTTCGATATCTCTATTTTTTACGTCAAGCAATATTTTTTATCTGCGTCGTGCAGAAAAATATTGAAATGGCAAATTGATATCATCCTCCAATTATCTAAAAAAATCATATTGATCAAGACAAGTAAAAAAAACAGAGAGAGCACAAAATGTAATTTTAATTGATAAATATATATTTATTTCGAATGTAGGAAAATATAGAGGAAAATAAGAAGAAGAATCTAGAAGATACAGCTAAGAGGAGCAGATTTCGTATAGATTCCAACGCAATTGAGATTAACAGAGAATCATCAAGTGTCAACCGAAGGTCGCGGTCTTTGTACCATGAACTTTAAATAATGTAAGATTATATGCTGGATATACGCGCGCTCATGTCTCCCATTTCGTTGAAAAAATGTGAAAAAAGGAAGGCAGGAAAAGCTGCGCGCACGCACTATCGGTCGCTGATGACGAAAATAATAAACACTCTGACCATCGTCGATTGATCGCGACCGAACGATTGACTCCCGGTTGACCGACTATCACAACACTCGGAAAACATTATATTCCAAAGGCCGTGGATCTATTTGCGCGTCTTTTATAGCGATATATCTATCATATAATGCGATATATTCATTGTTAAAAATAGTCGACGCAAGTTCGTTAATCGAGGATTTTTGCAAGACTCACCTATCGCTCACGACCAGCTTTCGCTTTGTCCTGCATCCGTTTAATAAGACATGCGATTCCACATTTTCCCTTTATTATTCCTCATTCATATTTTTAGAGCCGTTATTATGTAAGTGCGCGAGTGGGTGAGCAGGTGGTATATCTCTTCCTCTATTACTGACCCTGCCAATAACAAAATTCGTTATGTACGAGAGAATTTGAACTAGGCTTATAAACTAAGGAATTTAATCGCGAGGATTTAATCTCCCCGTTATTCGATCTCGGGTGATCACTTCAATGTTCTCGCGTTTTACGACTTAAAAATGATTTGCGAACCGACAATTTGCGATAATTAACACCAGAAATTGACTGAGATGTGATAAATAGTCAGCGGTGAAAATATGCTTCCGCGGAAAGATAATTAACTCTGATTTGATTCTCTCTTAACAACAGTAGGTAATAGTCGAGACGATAAATAGTTAATAATTAACTCCGAAAAATTACGAGAGATGACAGTACTCGTATATTTCTTATGATTTCTTTCTTATCGACAATTTATAAAATTAAAAAATTCTCTTCCTTATCGACAATTAAATAATCCAACTTTAATCTTATTATTTATTTTTAGAATAAAAAGTAAAAGTAAAAAGTAATAGACATTATCGCGTAAGACAAATTACATTTTCCACATTTACGATAAAAGATGTGCGTTTTTGAAATTTGGAGCGAGAAATAAAAACTGTAGCTAAAATAAATAAATTGAAATATACATATAAAACATAAAAACGAGCTCTATTTTAAATACGTCAAAAGTTTATCATAATAATTACAATAATTACGCACAATTACATTTAAATATTGTGCATACTTGGGCGATACAAAATATTTTCTTATTTAAAATTTTTGTTTGCTTTATATTTCAATTTATTATTGTGTAATAATAAAAAAATAATTAAATTTTACTCAATGTAATTTTTTTTAAACTGGTTGGAATCTGAAATATGAAATATCGCGGATTTCTTATTTCATTATCGATATATCGATTTTTATAATAAAATGTATGCTTTTTAAAGCAACAGCTTTTTGATGAATTGATAAGAGTATCGATTAAAATGTATTTCGCTGGTGACACGCGAGATTCGACGTGGCTTTGCATCCTCAAGGGGATTTCCCGCTTGACGCGACGCAAAAACGCTCGTTCTCCTGTAACAGCTCAACCGATCGCTATTTTTGGCTTGCGTACGTGCCAAGTTCGCGCAACGTTCCGTTCGTTCTCCGCCATCGGTTATTCGCTGTTGTAGCGTACGATTCGCTCTTTTAAAATTTAAATAGCTTTATAACTCGCAAAAAAAATTTTCACTCGACAATATTACAGGAGAAACTACTCCTCTCTAATTTATGCGGTTTAAAATGAATGTAATTTTAACAATTGATCGTTTTTAGAATTAATTTCGTGCCGTTTCATTGATTAATTATAAGTGACACGTGAAAAAAATCTAAAGTAAAATTGTCTATTTTACCGGATAATTTCGAATACAATAGAAAAAAATCGAAATTTGTTTCTTTTTCATGAATCAAGAAAAACGTTGCATTTTATACGATAATTTTATAGAAAAAGATATTTTCTTCGCATTCATGTACTCGATCATAAAAGTATTTTTGCACTAGCCTCTCTCTTACAATACGCGAAAAATATCAACAATCGCGGATGACTAACGTCAAAGTTGTTTCCTCGCCACATGGTCGAGCGGGATATTCCCAGATGACAGTTAAAATCGTTGCGCGTCAAGTGCAAACAATTCGCAGGAATTTGGCAATGGACGAGACAACAGCTGCGTTTGGCGGATGTTGTTATTAGCAGGTCATTGGTACCGCATTTTTTCCCGAATATTGTGCGCAATATCACAAAAAAAATTTCCATCGAATTTCGAAAAGTTGATATCGATAGAACGTCCTGCCAACATTTATTTCACGCTCGAAAAATTAATTCGAATATCATTACATCGCTTCTGATTTCTGGGGAATGAAACGAGTGAAGTGATATAGAGTAGACTTTGTATTTTCTCTTTTCTTCTGATTAATCTCATAAAATAGTCACACACTTTCGCCGTATCTATCTTTGTCACGCGCGCTTCTTTCTCTCACACACATCTCACATATCAGAAAAATATACAAAATTTCCGTCTACCTGGAAAGTAGGATCGGTGCAGATGCAAGGGAGAGAACAGAAGACAGAGTGTCATCATCACGAACGAGAAATCGAAAGAGAGCTTCGAGTTTAAATCTGGACACTGTTGATTTTGATCGAAAATGACGATTAAATATCATAATTATAAGTTCACTCTACATTTTTGTAATAATCTAGTTATGATTGTATTTATGGTAAATTTTATCATTAAAAAATCGATTGGTGAATTTTGAGAAAATTTTTAAGAATAATGTACATCGTCTTCTATACTCTGTAAAAAAGACATTTTTTAAAAAAATTTTAGAATATACTTGTATAAATATAGGCCTTCGAACACGAGGTTTGAATCTCTGACATTTCAAATTGATTTTTCTCAAGCATCGCGTATCTGATACTTTGAGAATTTCAAACAAACGTTAAATCTGGAGTATTCGTGTAGCGAGCTTCGCATATTCTTTGCGAAGATCAAAGCCAAATTTTCCTAAGCGAAAATATACATGATACATGGCCATCGTCTTTAATTCTAATCGCTTTATAATTTTCACTATTTTGATGTGATAAATAAATTAAAATTTAATTGCGGTTTTGATAATTCAAGATTCAAAAACTGTTTACATGTACATTTCGTTAATTTCTTAACAATTTAAGAAACATCCCAGATATCTTTGAAATGGTAAATATCTTCTTTTCAATTACACAGATATGATTTTAACCACAGCCTGGTTAAAATTTGAAATTCTTAACAAAAATAAAATATGAATGATACAATTATTTTAAGTGCAATGTATTGCATGAAACTGTCCTGTACAATTCTAGAAAGAAAAAAATGTCATCACGACTCTAAAGTATGTACATATACGCCTCATATACACTTTGTGTTGTGGTGATGACACGTTGAATGCGCGTGCGATATGCGGCCAATTATTATTAGCGTCAACAACAAACATACAACTCGCGAACAAGAAATTATCTCGCAGACAGACATACAATAAATTAATAATAGGCATCCTATTAAATCATTAATAGGCGTACAATAAGAAATCAATATTAACGTATCATCGTCGTTACGTGTACATTCCACGTAATACTGTACCGATTATATCAATGCCGTTATATACTTATTGAGCAGACCAATCTGTCATTCACTACACGTGCGGAAAGCGCGGAAAATATGCAGGATGGAAGTCAAAATTTTTTTTCATATCGAACATGTGTTATTTTATTTAAAATACTATTCTCTTTTACGCTCTAAAAAATTCGCAAATATTGTACATATCTTATTTATGTAGGATTGCGAGTTTTGCACGTAAATTACTTTAAATAAATGTCTACGATGTAATCTGGTCTGCTCGACGAATGAGTATATAGCGCGCTTCTCTATTTAGTAGTAAACTACTCGCGCATTTTTCTTTCTATATATAAGATGTCTCCGAAGTCACGTGCTCTGGGATTTTGATTGTTTCTTTTAGTCTATACGAGAGACTAACGACTATGCGACTTTGGCGCGCGATTTCGAGTTCATCTCATATAAATCAGACCCGTCGTCTCGTAATCGTTCATCATCAGTCCGTAAACGATAAATAAGTTAGAAAAACGACAAAGACTGTCATTTCGACGGAAGAGAAAGATTCGCTTGTGCATATCTATGCGGGGATTTCTCCTTCTATATAGATGCTTGTTTGAAAAAATACAGACGGAATACAGACGCAGTCTAATTTTTAGAACACTGCGTTGTCTCGAGAAGACCGTTTCCGCAAGAAAGCCGACTATTCGCGCAAACTTACGGTACCGTTTGCTCGCGTTTATTCCGTTTTATAAAAGAGAGAAGGCCTCAATCCTAAGGCAATGACGAGCGTCTCGCAAGATTCGTTCATTGCACGGCTCGCACACGACTAGTTTGATCCTAGTTGGCATTGGAAAAAAAATTAGAAGAAAAAAAGAAAAGATATAGCTGCCGCGCTTAGCGTTCAACGCCTTTACGTAATTGTCGAGTCACTTTATGGTGCGATTATTCGATGTCTTTCGAAATTCTTCCGTCGTCCCTTAAGAACGCACGAAATTCTCTACTTCATCAACAATCTTCATTTTCATTTTTACAACTTTTTCTCGTCGAGTCTTATCCCCACACTCTCTATTTCTTCGTGTCCTCCGTCGAGGGCGGTGGCAGCGGAATTGCTTGCTCGGACACTGGTTGTTGCTGCTGCTGCTGCTGCTCCTTCTTCTTCGTCTTTTTCGCCTTCTTTTGCACCTCCGGCGATTCCATCTTTTCCTTCTTCGTTTCCTCCGTCTGCTGTTTCGGTGTCGTATCCTTGTTTTGTGTCGCATCACCATCTTTTTCGTTGCTCGTTTCCTTCTCGTGTTCCATCGGTGCATTAACCTGTTCTATATTTTCTGCTGTACGATTTTCTACTTTCTGCTCATTTTTCTCATTGATCTTGATATCCTGTTGAACGGCGGGAGCGACATTCTGATTCGTGGATTCGACAGCTGTTGCCGCATTTTCATTTTCCGAAGACTCTTTCGTCTACGCAAAAAGAGAAAACGAAACAAGACGTTAAATTGATAGAACGATTCATTAAAAATATTACAATAGAAAAAATAATGAAGAAAAATAAATCAAATGATAGAGTCTGGAATATAAAACAAATTAAAAATAAATTGCAATTTATTAGAAAATTTTATATAATATCGATAATGAAACACTTTGAAACATCTTTCGTTTCAAGTTCTTACACGATTTCTTACCTTCGTCGGTGATGACGGCGCTGGCGGAAGTGGTATCGGTTCGTTGGCCTGCTTCTCCTGCTTCACATCCACATCCATAAGCTCAGGGACTTGCGAGACCTTTTCTTCCTGCTGGTCCTTTTGTTCGGGACATTCTTCTTCCTCTCGCAAAACAGGTTGCTGTTGGCCGGTGAGTGGTGCCTTCGTTTCCAGTAAGCTGATGGTATCCTGTATGGTCTTGATAGCATTCTTACGCGCCTGCCGCACATTCTCCCGACCTTCCGTCTCGATGTCGTCCAGCTTGAGTAGTTCACGCGTCAGCATCTCGTCCAAATAAATGTACTCCTTGTCTTGTCGAGAGCCACCGACGTAACGTCGCACCTGCTCTGCCAGATTATCTACTTCTTTCTGTACCTGAGCGACTTTCTCCAAAGGATCCTTTGGGGCCGGCGGCGGCTTAGGCTTCGGTATTTCTTGCTGCTGCTGTTGCTGTTGTTGTTGTTGTTGTTGTTGCTGCTGCTGATACTGTGGCTGTTGAGCTTGCTGCTGCTGTTGATGATACTGAGGCTGCTGATGCTGCTGCGGTTGCTGCTGCTGATACTGCGGCTGCTGTTGATGATGCTGCGGTTGCTGCTGGTACTGCTGAGGTTGCTGATATTGCTGCTGATGCCGTCGCATCTGCGGTTGTTCAAAACTCGGCTCGTAGAATGCGTTTTGAAAATGCGACGGTGGCCACTGTTGTCTGCCAAAGTGTTCATTAAAGTGCGACGGTCTGTGAAAGTGCGGCGGCGACGGTTGCCGCTGCTGATGATGGAACGCGGGCGGCGACGTATCGTCGGTGAGCTTCGACATTACAGGTTCGTCACGACCCTCCACGAAAATGGGGATGTGCCGGACGTTGCTAGATGGTTTGCCGGGCGATTGGGCGCGCTGTTGTTGATTGTGCTGCGGTGTGATGTCCACTCGGGACACGAATCTCTGTCCTTGGCCGGGTACCGACTGTTGCTGCTGACCTTGGCCGTGTTGTTGCTGTTGCTGCTGCTGTTGGCGATTCTCCGGTGGTGCCGACATCGAGCGCTGACCGCGCTCGCTCTTCTCCGGACTCGTCTCCATGTTGCGGCGCCGCTGCTGCTGGCCTATGTCCACGGTGTTGCGCAGACCGTATTGCGGTATCGCGGACGACGACGTCAGGTCTGGCTCGCCGCCGCTGTGCGAGCTAACGGCGCTCGCGCCGCTCGCGGCGCTGCTACCGCTCGCTTGGCTACGCGCGTCCTCGTCCACTTGATGCTGCTGACCCGATTGTTGATGTTGTTGTCCGTCGTTAGCGCTACCACCAGAGTCGCGACGCCGATGGCGACGATCGCGCAGCAGGGAGCCGCCAAACGGCCAGGGCGGGCCGCGTAGATGCTCGGCGAGCTCGGGATGTCGCGCCGCGAGATCGTCCAGGTGCGCGCGGATGCCGTCGCCTCGTCGACGTTCGAACACGTCGGTCTCGTCGTCGAACGGAAAACCCTGCAACGGTAGAAATTGCGTAAAGTTGCGTATCGACGTATAAAATGATACTAGAGAAAAAAATGCTTTGTAAAAATTTATTTTGAAACGAATTTTTTTTCAATATATATAGAAAGAGAGAGAAGAGAGTATAAAGATATCATCTTATATTATTATATTAGATTTCTTCATAGCTTGTACATCGTATACCCTCAGCTTTGTACAACTGCCGAATATCGTCTACAGCCCAGCTTTCGCTAGATTCAGATCCACTGGGCATTAATGACCGTAATTAGGCGTGACATTCAATATCATCGTGTTCTTCGATCCGACCAGTAAGCGAGCAAGGGCGCCCCGAAGGGGAAATTGCGCGTAATCGGGCACGAGGTGACGAATCCTCCTTCTGCGACGAATCGAGGTCACATCACGTCGTCGTTCCACTTAGCGGGCGGACGGATGGGCATTATAAGAAAGTCACAGTCGCGAAAGAAAAATGGAGTAGGTGGAGAGGAGAGAACGTGCGCTTTATATACGAGCACCTACGCCGATAATCGGATTTTCCTATTTTCGGCACCACGTTGCCGGCTCCCTGCGGCTGCCAGCGCTCGCGAAATTCGCAAACGCACCGCCGTTGTCGCCTTCGCTCTTTTCATCTGTCAACCGTGATAATTTGTGACTTGATGCATAATAATGCTATTCAGTGATTTTCGAGCTTTAATTCTGCATCGGTCTGACAAATTTGTTTACAACTACATTAGATTAATATCTTTATCAAAGCTACAGTGTATTTAAAAAATACAATTAAAAGTGCGAGGATAAACGAGACACGTTAATAAAATTTATGTTTTATCTTGTCGACAAAAATAATTAGTGTCTCATCCATCATGCTTAATAAAAATTGTTACGAGAATTCGAATAAAATTGAGACAGATATTTTTTATACATTTAGAAGAATCATTTTTATTAATTAAAATAATCTTTGAAATTTTTTTATCTAAAGGGAAGTTTATTCTTTTATTACGTAAATTTGTCACGTTGAATTATTTCATCCGGCATTTAAAATAAATAAATAATTTAAAAAAAGAGAAGCGATCAATTCTTTGCAGCTGTTAGAGCGATTTACGAATGAACATAATGTTTTCGCATTTTTTTTCTATTCTTTCAACCGGAATAAATTTTTATAAGATTGAGAAACTGATTTAAATTTTTCATCTTTACTAATAGTGTAAATTCCGCACAGATTTTTGTCCTATGTACATGTAATGAGCGCATTAGAAATAAAATCCAAAATAATATATTATCCACACGATATACGTCGCCTCGAGAAACTCAGTGTTAAAATTAAAACATACAGCCTGCAGATCTAAATATTGAGAACTGTCACGCATACACGCGCATCCAAGTAAGTAAGAATCTCGGAAATGTCAAAGAACATTCGACCGGAATAATTGGAATTGAAAAAAAGAAATAAATAAAAATCTCTTTTTTCTGGAAAAACTTTTTATTTCCACCGGATGATTTCATACGTAAAGGGGGAGGTGGGAGAGAGGGTGGGGACGATTGTGCTCGGTGTCCCATTCCCTCTTTATCCCCGTCCTCGTCTCGGAGCACGCGCAAATACGCCCACGCGAGTCGTTCGTCACGCGTTCCAGAATCACCGAGACGCGAAACGTCATCCGCGACGCGCGGAAGTATAAGATCCCCCCCTCTCGCCCACTTCCTCCTTCCCCTCTTTCCGGTGCTCGTTTCCTCGGGCACGAAATCGCGATCCGGAGCGATCGAGATTTTCGAAAGGGCGTATGGTGTACGGTGTACATGTCCGATAACGCGGCAAAATGACGTCACGCACGGAGTCGCCGCGCCTTTCGCGACGTAACGTGGTACGTACATACGTCACGTAGCCGGTTATCGATCACGATAATAATAATGGCGAGGCTAAATGAGTTCGTGACGTCACGGATGCTCGATACTTTTGGCGACTTCCCGCGGTAATTCCTCTTCTCGTTCCTCGGTCTTATCTTTCTCTCTCTCTTTCATATGTGCGTGATTTCGTAATACGTTTGATACATGTTAATTTATTCGGATAATTATTACGACGGCGATATTATCTCAATGAGACGATAATTGAGATTTTTCCGAGCGAATAAAAAATCGACTCGGTATAACATCTCGATTTTTATCTTCCAACTGCGTGTTTTATCGCCGCGAAAAATACGTCGCGTTCCACGTAAATGCTATTTCTGATTTCCACGCGATCTCGGTGCGGAATGCGAGAAGGAGCAGACGGAGAGAAATAGAGAGAAGGGAGAGAGAAGAAGAGACAAGAGAGGGGGGGGGAGACGGAATAAAGCGCGAAACGTATGGAAATATCTCGCGCGCGTCGCCGATTCCATTAAAAGGTACGGATTGTCTTCCCAAAAAGGAGGCTCTCGGTATCGTTTTGTAATCGAGACTCGACTCATGCAGCACGAAATATTGCGGGGATATTCTTAGTATTGCTGCAACATTGCAGAAACATTGCAATATTGCCGCAATATTAGACGAGTTATCGCCCATCCAGCACAAAACATTGCGGCAATATTGCAATGTTGCGGTAATATTGCTGCAATGTAACAACAATGGTCCGTCTTGGGCAATGACGCGGCGAAACATTTATTTTACCCACTCGACGAAAAGACATAAATGTCAAATTCGCGAGAAGATTAGGTTAGGTTAGGTTTCCTCGGAGCAAAGGTAAAGAGAGAGACCTACGATTCGAGACTGTCGGCGTCGTCTTCTCGGTCTCGTTGTCTCGTCGTCTACGGTCTCGCGGGAGGAGGAAAACGAGGGGGAAAAAAAAGGTGGATGTAACGTCACTTACGGGGAACGAGCGGTCCAGATCGATCTCCCGTCCGAATTTGGATGCTGCGTCCACGATGACAGGCGAGTCCATTTTCTGGACCTGTTTTTCGAGCCCGCGTCCGCTTTTGGATACGTGACACGAATTCTCTCTCTCTCTCTCTATCTCTATCTCTCTCTTACTATACAACAGCTAATTCTTTCTCTTTCCTCTCTTTTTCTCCGGATATCGGGATATATATTTCGCAACTCTTACCGTATGCCCGCGCGATTCTCGAAAGCGCGACTGGAAGGTCGAGAAAAAGCTCTCTCTCGCGAGATTCTTCTCGAAATCTCGCGCCTTCTTTCTCTCTCTTGGCTTTTCCTCGTCTCCTCCTCGCGCTTCTGCCTCCGGCCGCGATTACATAAGCCACTGTACACTCGGTCGCGTCTCTCTCTCTTTCTCTCTCTCGCTCGCCGTCACCGGTGTACTTTTTCAAGGTCGACTCGTCTCTCCCGCGAGAAAGAAAAACACGCGTACGACGCACGTGTCAGCGTTTCGGTGGCTGCGCGCGCGCACACACGACCGTCACGGGCGCGGACGACAGGGAGACTGACAGCAGGAGCGGGCTGCGGCGGGCGACTTAAATGCGCGATTACGTGTGGATCGCGCGCCCCACGTGATCGCCAGCGAGCGGAGGCGGCCGCGAGAACTTGCTAGAATCTTCTCGCGTCTAATCCCCCCCCTTTCTCTCCTTCTCTCTCTCGAAATGCTAGACATCCGACAACGAGAACGGGTCCGTTCGTTTTTTAACGATGCGTTTTATTCGCGTTCTTATTAAAGTTCCTAGGGCTCGTTGGGCAGGTAGACCCTTTTCGATCGAAAGCGAGAGAGAGGGGGAGACAGGAAGGGAAGGAGAAACGTGACTATATTTTTAGATGGAAGGGACTTTGCATCGCAGTTGAATATTTATGAGTTCCTAGTAACGAGCAGAGTTTCTTATCGCGATGTATTTTCCAGAAAAAATCCGACGATCGGTTAAGGAAAACAGACCGAGAGCGAAATAGCGATGAATGAATCGCAATATTATGCGCGGGATAACGAGTTCGGCGAAAATGACTCGACGTTTATGTTATATATATATATATATATATATATATATATATATATATATTATATACAGATAGAGATGATTCCTCGTCGAAAATTAAGGGGGGTTTTTCATGTAAACATTAACAAGTTGTAATAAAAAATTGAATAGCAGTTGCTAGTTTCGTCCCGTTGTAACGAGAGGCTGAAAAAAATACTAATAAATAACCTTTTTACTAGTAGAAAATATCCACTCGATTCCATTTCTCTAACTTGTTACAAATTTGAGAAAAAAATAAAAATCTAATTTTTACCCTCAATTTTTGAAGGAGCGTAACTCCACTGGAAGAAATGTAGGAGTATATGTTTATACGAAAAACCCCCTTAATTTTCGACAAAGAATCATCTCCTAAAATTTTTCGCACTTATTAAAAAACATCCTGTATATATATATATATATATATATATATATATATATATATATATAATCGCAAGTCAATGATATAACATATCGTAATCATAAACGGCGATTTTTTTTTTCTTAAGCCCACCGGATATATCAATATCGAGCATCCGCATCTCGAAAGGCGTCACGCGTCGAGCTCGTTTAATCGTTGGTGGAATCATCGATAATGACGATCGATGATCTACGATGATCGATAGCGGTGCCAGGAGAGCACGAGCCGCGAGAAGGTGGCGCGAGTCCACCAAGCGAGTCGGCGAAAGGCTTATTCATTTGGAGAAGAGAGGGGCGGAAGCCGGCGCGTGGCGTGAAATTCGCTTAATCCATTAAGGAACCGAATCTTTGGTCGAGTACCGTGATTGTAAAATTGAGTAATTATTAAAATGATTCGCGTACAACGGCCTTCTCTTCAAAATTTCATCATAGGAATGAGACATTGAATAAATAAATAAACGCTAACTATACATCGCGATATTTTTTTCGGACCATATCATTAATAAAATAGCAAAATTGGAAAATATAATTGCAGTGTCCATATCGAATATAAGAAAATTAATAATGTAACGAATAACGACATTTATAAGAAATTATCATTACGAGTATATATTTTCAACATTATGTTTCCACAAAAACAAATAAAAATATTTCTACTTTTTATTAAAATATAACTTTTAATCCACATTGTAAATCAACGAAATGGAATTTTTATTTTTAAATGCGATAAAACTATGCAATTTTTATAATTTTTCTATTACTCTTTCGAGATGTAACACATGCATCTAAACCAATCTAAACCATTTCTGAGATGCTAGTGTTATCGAATCATCAAATTGTCGAGCTAAATTATTCAAAAGAGCGAGCACAATCGCGCTCTTTCGTTACGCAAGGTACGTTGTGTAACGCGACAAAGTTTAATACGTTAAACGTGTATAAATAACGCTAACGTGTGTAAATGCAACTCTTTATTGCCAACCGTACGTACAGCTGTGCGTAGATCCACGACTCTTTACGCGCTTTATCGCGAGATGTAAGCTCACGAAAATCATACGTTCCTTGTAACTTCCAGATTTAATCTTGTCGGAAGAAAATTAATATTTTATTCCATGTTTTTTCCGGATTCATCTTTCTATTCGCGATATTTTTAAGAAACTTCACACCGAGTTCACCCAACGTTTGAATGTAAAATATGCTGGCTTTTTTCAAGAGACACACGAGAGAGAAATTAAAAAATACATGTCCTTTTTATATTTTACAATTCATTCCGAAAAAATTCTCCAAGATGTAAATATTTTACATTCCAGACAAATATTAGATGAATCATTCGTGACCTTCCTTCCGGGACGCGAGATAAAAGAAGACTTAAAGGGGAGATGACGAAAAGAACTGTCGGAAACATACACGTATATAACCAATACAATACGCTACAATACAATACGATACGCTTTACGTAATGAAGCACACTTCTTTCCCTCTTTTTCTTTACCTATACATCATCGTTGCGCATATAACCGAATCACCTGTCTCGCATTGTCAACACGCCAATTAGCATATCTCGTGCCGCAAAGATCGTTTCCCGGAACATTATCGATCGCGTCATCTCTATTAATCTCCGCTCTCTTCTGCTGATTGTGGACTGGATCGTGCATTGGTTTTTGGCACATTATCGCGGCGAGAAATATGAGAAGTAGGAAAGAAAAAATATATTTTAAAAGAAGAAAAAGAAGAGAGAGAAATCGAATCGATCGTCCACGCAGAGAAAAATGTTTACTGTATTCAAGTAAATATTATTTATTTTAAATATATTCTGAATTTTGGTAAGCGCAGTATTTTAATCAAGAATATTAAATTAAAACAAAAATTGGGTTTGTTTATTACAAGAGTTGGCGTAAAGTAAGTTTGATTTTCCTTTGACACAACTTTACAACAATATTCTTGAAGAGAGAATAAAGTCTTCTTTCGAGTACATGATAATGAGATTTTCCAATACTTGTGATGAGTATATTTTAAGACTATTATCAAGAATATATGCTTTGTTGATAAGAAAACTTAAAAAAAGGAAAATAAACTGAGTAATCGCTTTTCTTGGCAGTAGAATGGTATCTTTTTTCTGTGCCCTCTCAAGGAGACATACAGCTGTTGAGACATTTATTATTATCGTTAAATTTTAATGTTTGCAATTTTTTTGTAACGTGATTTTCCGACGCCCGCGATATATCTCTCGTCATCGAAAGACTCGGGAAATGTACACGTGAAAGAAGGGTCGGAAATGCCGTTTCTCTCGGCGAATCGAGATCGATAGGGGTGGCCTACCCTCGAATATGTGCCTCGTAAAACTCGTTTCGGGAGGGTTCATTTAGACGGGACGATATCTCGCTTCTCAAACCTATTTACGAACGACGATAAAAGGCTCTTTCGCGGGATATTAAAGTTTGGGAGTGCCTGCGATCGATATATTTCCGTTGCGGCGATATTTTCGATAAAGCCAAAAGTTTCTTTCTCTCCTTCACGTATAATAAGGCATAAAAAGAGAGAAAAAGGGAGCTCTTTAATTGCTCCAATAATAACTGAATAATCTTTCTCCAGAGATAACGATAAATGTTTCAATTTTCGAGCATCGATATATTTATTACAACTATTTATTATAATGATTATTTATTACAACGACACATTTATGCAGTTTTAATTAAATAAGAAGGGGAGAAAGAGACTCGCGCGTGAGTCAAATTCGACCTGTATCTCCGCCCGCGAAAATATAAAAGTCTTGCGGGTAGTTTTTTTGTAATCTGAAAATATCGCGACGAGAATAGCCGGAGAAAAAGTGCCCGCGAATCCGCAACGTGACAAAGATCGTCTCGTTGCCACCGAGACGATCGTCGGCAGCGATTTTAGGACGATGCTATAAATACACGAAGAAATCCGCCGCGATTCGAATCTCGCGCGCAAACGATAAACGATAAACCCACAACATTCTCGAGTATTCTCGCATCGATGTTTGTCAATATACATCCGTGTTCGTACGTAAACAATGTCAATGTTTATATCTCGCTGCCACTATATTCTCGGAAAATTCATTTCCTTCTTTTAAATACCCACATATTTGTTTAAATGTAAGAGTACAAGTATGAAACGCGTTGGGTATTTGTTTTCGAGTATCTTTGGTGACGCTCGAGATAAAAGTGAATATTAAATTGAAAGATTCGCTTCACTTAATCGAAAAAATGGAAAGAAAAAGGAGGCAAAAAAGAGAAAAGGGAGAATAAAGGTCAATGAAAGAGCGCCTTGGCATCCGCGAGCAGATATTCGAACGTGATCGTGAATTCCAAACACACGCGCGCGCAAGAGAAAAGAGTAAAGGGAAAACGGTCACGAAATAAATATTGTACTCACTCTCGGAAAGTGCGGGAAAGGCCGATCGAAGGAGTCGCCTCTGGTGCGCCTGCTAGAGTCCAAGAATGCGTCCTCGTTGTCCTCGTTGAACCTCTCCTTGACTTCCCGCAGCAGCTCGTCGTCGGGTATGCCCCGCAGCCGGTCCGCGAATTTCGGCGAGTCGCGAAAGTAAAACGACATTGTCGATGACGCGGCGCGCCCTTTCGTAAATTTCTCAAGATTTCAGCAAGAGTTATTCACTTTCTCCCTCTCGTATCACAACCGTATCACGTTAAACGACCTCTCCGCGCGAAGGCTTGCGCATCACTGAGCGTACGCCGCGCCGACGCCACCGACGAACGAGGCGTTCGAAACAGTAAAGTCACTAGATTAACAAAGTACCGCAATTTTCATCTCAATAAGATAAGATGGAGCAAAAATGGCGTCCGATAGTGCAGATAGTGCACACTTTGTGAAGCTATCTATACTAAGTACAATTTTTCTAATCTTGATCCTGGTTTGTCCTGTGTCTTGTTGTGTGTGAGGTGAGAAAACTCCTTCTGTTGCGCAGAAAAAGAAGAAAATATCAAAAATGCCAAGTTGTTGCGTGGAGAAATGCAACAATCGCAGCCTATATCTATATTATCGGACGCCATTTTTGCTCCAGCTTATCTTATTGAGATCAAAATTGCGGTACTTTGTTAATCTAGTGACTTTAAGATCGCCTAAAAGCAGACTATGGCTGCGTTCCAAAATTCACTACCAATACTGAACATGTATAGTTTACGTGACGTACACTATAGATTTCCAGTACCAGCAGTAAATTTTGGAACACAACCTATGACAAAAAAAGAGTGAAAACTATGAACAACTTTGTTGTTTGTTTTATAGATTTTAAAAATGGCTTGTCGTATGCTACATATTTAGAGTTGTAAATAATTTGATAAAAAATGTTCAATCTGTAAACAATGGTAACGCAAATGAAATATATCATTGTCTCTAAATCATTATATGTAATTAACATATAATGTGTATTTAAAATTAATTTATTAATTTAACTCTAATAAAATTATGAAATTTTTTTCAGGTATATTATTGTTTAATATTGTTTAATTTATTGCTTGTCAGTCATTCACATTTATTAAAAATAGTCACTTTATTAAATAATGTGAGAAACTCTATGTTCTTTGCGAATAGTAAGTAGAACTTTTATGGATATAGCATTTTGATAATAGTTTATATTTACAGTAGAAAATAATTTGTATTTCACTGTGCTTTTGTTCTATAGGACTTGAAGATGAATTATGAAAGGGTGTGACAAGTATCAATAATGCAGGAAGACGCAGAGGTAGAGCAAGAAGAGTAGTGAAAAGAGAGAGCTCCTAAATAAGGAGCAAATTAATGGCATGGGAAAAATTCCGATACAATTTCCTGGTCTAAACACTCCTGTGTTTAGAGGAAAAGAATTAATTCAACAGCAAAAACTTATGGAATTACCACAAAGTCAGACCAGACCAATGCAAATAAAATTATCGCCATTGGAATGTGGTTGGACGAGTGTTACAATGGATGGCAGAAGCATTGAATCAGATCTTATTGGAAAAGATTAATATTTATGCTGTTATTGGATTATAATGATTAAATCAAACACATACGAAAATCATGTGACACGATGTCTATTTTCAATTTTTTTTTTTGATGTTTCAGTTTTAAATATTAGAATCTTATATAATTAATATCTTTGTTTTCTGCAGATACATTTGAAAGTTTTGAAACCTGGATTTTGGAAAACAAAATGATAACTTGTATGACCAGTAATTTAGCACGTAAGACTAGAATCAATTCATTTATAGTAACTGGGAATGGAAATGGACTGGCTGGATTTGCGTTATCAAAAGCCAAAGCATCCCTAAAGACGATTAAAAATAGGCTGTCAAAGATTAAAAATAGGGCTGGTCAAAGATTAATGTATATTCCTACATATAAGGAACACACTAAGAAAATACTTGTCAATACTATATAATATAAAATTTATTTCTTCTCTTTTAATATCACTTTGTATTTTTCAGTGTTACATGATTTCTTTACACAGTTTGAGAATATAAAAATATATTTGTAAAGAAAATTCATGAAGGATAATGGGCTTTGTCATCATGCGATAAAAGCGTGTTGCGAGATAATTGGCATAAAGGATATGTATGCCAAAGTACAAGAAGGAATGTAAAAGCATTCTTTGGTTGGTTTATTGCAATAGGTGTGAATATAAAGTATTTAAAGGCATATTATACTTTTTATTTAATTATATTAGAAAGTAATATTTTTTATTTATAAAAATATATATATATATGTTAGACATAAAGCTAAAAAAAACGTGGATTGTGTCGATTAATTAATTAATTGTTTTATTTAATTATCAATTTATATATGTATATTATTAACAATGATTTTTTGTTTACTTAAACTTTATAAGGTTGTACATAAGAAACAATCTTTTTTATTTAGTATTTCAAGCATATTTTCATAGAACTTTAATTTAATTATTATATTATTAAAAATATTGAACAAAATAAAGAATTAAAGCTGGCTTTCTCTGCAGTCTCATGGCAGATTATATCAGAAATCACACTTTAATTATTGCAATATATCATGAAACAAATCAATCTCAAAATAATGGAAATATTTGCAGAAATATCAAATATGTAATGTAAATATTTTTTTGTATGCGATCTATTTTTGATTCTATCGATGTTTTCATAGTGATGCACCTTGAGCACTTTGCTTCATATGTTTGCAATAAAAATATATTAAAGCAAATTATTTTGCAAATTTATTATTCTAATTTTTATTTAGAAAGACTAAGATTAAAAAAGACGTATGCATTTTTTTCAGATAATTCTATTGGAAAAAAGGCATCAGATAAAACTTTCCTGCACATTTTAAATGTGCCAAAAGATTTGCTCTTTATTCCACTTACTGCAATAATGTACACTAAAAATGATAGCTCTATATTAAAAATGATAGATCTATGTTTAGTAGTTGGAAAGAAAGAGAGAAGAAATGAAAAGTGCATCTAGAGAATTTAAAAGAATAAAAATCTAAAAATAATAATACATAAAAATTAATATTATGTATTTTTTTCATGAGGAATGTGGGGCGCACATTTATGCATTTATTTATTTAGATGAGATTTACTTTAGAGCACATTCAGTATTCAACTTTAATTTTATTTTCTCTTTCTCACGATATATAAGTATAACATAATTACCTGTAAATGCTATCATTTTTGTGTGCTTACAGTGATACAGAAGCAACATTACAAGTACTATATTTACAGATAATATCTATATAATAAAAAAAACACCAAAAATCTAATGATGAAAAACGGATAAATATTGTAGACCAGCATAAGTATCAACCAATTATTCCATCGCTCTGTTTCATTAGAGTTGCAACTTTCTTTTATATCATAAATATTATAAATAAGAAAAAGATTTCTACACGTTTCAAATAAATTTATATATTTTATGTATGTAATACTGCGCACAAATATTAAAAGGTGATAATATCGCAGTTATAATAAGATACAATCTTGGCAATGTAGTGATTTTTGGATCCTACTTAAAATAATTTAATTTAATTAATTTTTGGGAAATGCGCACAATACTTGAGAACAAATTATTTTTGTGCCATGTATTACCTGTGTAAAATTCCACACACTGTATCATATTGTCTGCGATATATGAAAAGCTTCATCGATGAAATATGATTGAGATATAAGAAAAGTAATATAGTACTTGTAACGAATAACGTTAATGTGGAATACATAAATATTTTATATTTTAATTTTATGTAATCGAGATGATATAAGACACTCATGATTACTTTAAAAATGTATCCACAAATATCATGTAACTTCAATAGCTGCACATACGTCAAATTAATCCTATTACGTTAAATGAATCACAGCAGCTTGTTTTAATTTAATCTAACCTAACCAATTATATTATATGCTTCTCATTAAAATGTGTAAAACTGTACGTCGCACATTTAATACGATTAATATACTACGTAATAAAATGTAATACACTAATGAAATAATTAAATATTATTTTTGAAAGCATGATAAAATCCAGGCAGCATACGCTTGTGTTTACATTCGACATCCAAAGACACTGAGAGGTTAGGTTAGGTTAGATCAAACAAATTTATCGTTTAACAGTTGGCAGCCCTACAAAATAAATTTGAAATCGCTCCTAGCATAACCATCTTCACGCGATCGACTTTATTTGAATTGCACCGAATCGAATTATGATGCGGCGCCGATTTGTCCGAATGTAATTCGGGACATCGCGATGCTATAAGCGTGCATATAAGCGTCGAATGAGCACGAATTGTGCACGCAAATATGATAAATCAAATCTACGCACCGGCTGTTCCACAGGCCGCTCCACTCGCTCGCCTCGGGACGACCCATTCCGATCTTGATGCACACAAACTCACACGATATCATCAACGCGAACGCGCGACACTTTATTCGGCTCTCCCACAATATTCGCTCGCATCCGATAATCATCATCAAGGGCGCGAATAATGCGACGCAACTTCGCTCCATCTTCGCGATGACGCCATCACTGAATATCGTCAAAAATCGCTGTCGCGCGTTTCCATCGACATACTATAAAAGTCGCGCGATCATCCTTCGACACTTTCGACGCTCGTTCACTCGCGATATTCATTTAAAAACGGTTAAAAGATGCGAAAAATGCGGACGTACGACGATCCGTGTAACTGCGTATGACTCCGATTCACGCGCCAACATGGCGGCCGTATGACGCGTTTGACGTAGCAGTGACGTCGCAGTGACGTCGCAGCACGCGCCAACATGGCGGCCGAACCAGTGCGCATTCGTTTCTGCGTATGGCCATTCCTGCGCGCAACTTTGATTTCTGAATATTGTTTACGGCTTTAATTAATAGCACATAATGATAAATATATAAAGATGGAATCAATTAATCATATTGGTCATATATGTAGATTTGCCCGAAGAAATAGAAAAAAAATTGAGATATATTTTTAATTTCTTTTTCTTTTAGTAAAGGATGGAAATGTCTATTCATAGGCTTGTTCTTTTTTTCCTCTTTCGCGCAATTTCGATTCAATATATAACGTAGAAAATTCATAGTATATTATGCTAATGATATGAATTACGAATGATTCGATTGTTTTATCGAGCTTTTCCAAAGTCAAATCTTATAATATTTAGTTTTGCATTTTAAAAGACTGAGAGCGATTCATATACAGAGTTTGAAGAGATATCCAATGAGATACGACAAATTATACTTGCGTTGATTAGTATTCATCAATACCGAACTGTTAATCACGAATACGTACAATACTTTCACACATTTTTTTCGCAAAGAACGATATACGAAATGCAATATTTCGCGCCTCGCGTTTCACTCATGCAGCCATCTTTCTTTGCTGTTTAGTATCGCCATCTGCATTCGCGTTATATGCCAGAATTACGTAGTCCAGATACTTCGACTGCCGGTAAAGTCATCATTTTGTGCATGTCGGTAAATTGTTAGAATCGCGTCGCGCAAGCATGATTTTTTTATTTGTAACATAACAAAATATGTAATTAAAAGTTCATGTAAAACACGTGTTTTTAATCAAATTACATATACTTATTCCGTTACTCTAATACTTGTACGTTAACAGATTTAGGTTACACACATTGCATAAAGCTTCCAGAGAAAAATATCCAGAAGCACAAATATTTTATTATTTAAACGAAAATCATGCGAAGATGAAACAATTAAAGAAGCCGTATAATCATTGTACTTTTATGTATAAACGTTTCACAAAATAAAATCTTTATAAATGAAGTGTTACATTAAAAATATTAGTATAAAATTAAATATCCATGTGAGATTAAAAATTTTTTGTCCTTTTTTTTTCTTTGGAATTTTTTGTACTTTTTTTTTCTAAAGATTCTTTAAGCGAGAACTGCTTCTTTCACAAGACTATTGAACAATTTGAATATTTGATATTTTTTTAGTAGTTTAAATTTCGTGAAAAAATTCGAGAGAAAATTAGATTTTACCGTATTACTGCACATATCGATTAAATGCTATATCAAATATGTAGTGTAAATATTTTAATTTTTTTGTATACGATCTATTTTTTATTCTATCGATGTTTTCATAGTAATGCACCTTGAGCACTTTGCTTCATATGTTTGCACTAAAAATATATTAAAGCAAATTATTTTGCAAATTTATTATTCTAATTTTTATTTAGAAAGACTAAGATTAAAAAATACGTATGAATTTTTTCAGATATTTCTTGAAAAAAACGCATCAGATAAAACTGACTTTCCTGTACATTTTAAATGTGCCAAAAGATTTGCTCTTTATTCCACTTACTGCAATAATGTACACTAAAAATGACAGATCTATATTAAAAATGATAGATCTATATTTAGTAGTTGGAAAGAAAGAGAGAAGAAAAGTGCATCTAGAGAATTTAAAAGAATAAAAAACAAATCTAAAAATAATAATACATAAAGATTAATATTATGTATTTTTTTCATGAGGAATGTGGGGCGCACATTTATGCATTTATTTATTTAGATGAGATTTACTTTAGAGCACATTCAGTATTCAACTTTAATTTTATTTTCTCTTTCTTATGATATATAAGTAACATAATTACTTGCAAATGCTATCATTTTTGTGTGCTTACAGTGATACAGAAACAACATTACGAGTACTATATTTACAGATAACATCTGTATAATAAAAAAAGCACCAGTCTAATGATGAAAAAAGGGTAAATATTTTAGACCAGCATAAGTATCAACCAATTATTTCACCGCTCTGTTTCATTAGAGTTGCAATTTTCTTTTATAATATCATAAATATTATAAATAAGATAGAGATTTCCATACGTTTCAAATAAATTTATATATTTTATGTATGTAATACTGCGCACACATATTAAAAGGTGATAATATCGCAGTTATAGTAAGATACAATCCTGGCAATGTAGCGATTTTTGGATTCTGAAAATAATTTAATTTGATTTATTTTTGAGAAATGCGCACAATACTTTAGAACAAATTATTTTTGTGCCATGTATTACCTGTGTAAAATTCCACAAACAGTATCATATTGTCTGCGATATATGAAAAGCTTCATCGATGAAATAAATGGTTGAATATGATTGAGATATAAGAAAAGTACCTGTAATGTAGTAATATAGTACTTGTAATGAATAACGTTAATGTGGAATACATAAATATTTTATATTTTAATTTTATGTAATCGAGATGAAATAAGACACTCTTGATTACTTAAAAAATGTGTCCACAAATATCATGTAACTTCAACAGCTGCACATTCGTCAAATTAATCTTATTACGTTAAATGAATCACAGCAGCTTTTTTTAATTTAATCTAACCTAACCAATTATATTATATGCTCCTCATTAAAATGTGTAAAACTGTACGTCGCACATTTAATACGATTAATATACTACGTAATAAAATGTAATACGTTAATGAAATAATTAAATATTATTTTTGAAAGCATACATCATCATACAATTCAGGCAGCATACGCTTGTATTTACATTCGATATGCAGACACTGAGAGATTAAGTTAGGTTAGGTTAGGTTAGGTTAGGTTAGGATAGGTTAGCTCAAACAAATTTATCGTTTAACTGTTGGCAGCCCTACGAGGCTGTGCAGCACTGCGCGCGCGTACAAAATAAATTTGAAATCGCTTCTAGCCTAACCATCTTCACGCGATCGACTTTATTTGAATTGCACGGCATCGCATCGAATTATGATGCTGCGCCGATTTGTTCGAACGTAATTCGGAACATCGCGATGCCGTATAAGCGTCGAATGAGCACGAATTGTCACGCAAATATGATAAATCAAATCTACTCACCGTTCACCGGCTGTTTTACAGGCCGCTCCACTCGCTCGCCTCGAGACGTCCCATTCCGATCTTGATGCACACGATATCATCAACGCGAACGCTCGACACTTTATTCGGCACTTCCGATATTCGCTCGCATCCGGTAATCACCATCAAGGGCGCAAATAATGCGACGCGACTTCGCTCCATCTTCGCGATCGCGCTATCACTCTATTGTCGAAAACGGCTGTCGCGCACTTTCACTGACATATTATGAAAGTCGCGCGATCATCCTTCGACACTTTCGACGCTCGTTCACTCGCGATATTCGTTTAAAAACGATTAAAAGACGCGAAAAATGCGGACGTTCGACGATCCGTGTAACTGCGTATGACTCCGAGTCACGCGCCAACATGGCGGCCGTATGACGCGTTTGACGTAGCAGTGACGTAGCAGTGACGTCGCAGTCACTCGCCAACATGGCGGCCGAACCAGTGCGCATTCGTTTCTGCGAATGGCCATTCCTGCGCGCAACTTTGATTTCTGAATATTGTCTACGGCTTTAATTAATAGCACATAATGATAAATATATAAAGATGGAATCAGTTAATCATATTTTGGTCATATATGTAGACTTGCCCGAAGAAAGAGAGAAAAAATTGAGAGATATTTTTAATTTTTTTTTTTTTAGTAAAGCATGGAAATGTCTATTCATAGGCTTGTTCTTCTTTTTCTCTTTTATGCAATTTTGATACAATATATAACGTAGAAAATTCATAGTATATTGCATTTATTTTTATATATTCACAACTATAATATTCGCGCGATCATTTTTTGACATTTACAGTACTCGCGTACCTTGTTCTCGATGTTCACTTTTAAAAGAATAAAAAGAATTATATATAAATAAATTGTCCGAAGAGACAAAGAATTGAGGGATATTTTTAGTTTTTTTAGTAAAGGTTGGAAATGTCTATTCATGATAGAAATGCAAAGAAAGAAAATTATTATATTTAAAATAATAATTTCATATGAAATACAAATTAAAAGTTAGATTATAGAACCTGACCTTGTAAAAGCGTAATAAAACAATCAAATAGTAGACAGAGAAAAGACTAATTGTAAAAGAAAAAAAGTTGTTAACTTAACTAAACCATTTAACTAAATTTTTATCTTTTTAACTGGAATATTTAACTATTATACATCTAATATGACATTTATTTAACTTAAATATTTCAATATTTTAATTTAAAAAATAATAATTTAGTTAAACGGTTTAGTTGAGTTAACAACTTTTTTTTCTCAATGTACGTGTGTGTGAGAGACTTTAAAAATATACTTGGATATAAATACACTTATATTATTAAACGATTAATACATCTCGTGAGGTTTAATAAATAATTAATCAGTGTACACTGAGAAAAAAAATTGTTAACTTAACTAAATCGTTTAACTAAATTATTATCTTTTTAATTGGAATATTTAACTATTATATATCTAACATGACATTTATTTAACTTAAATATTTCAATATTTCAATTAAAAAAATAATAATTTAGAAGTCAGAGGCGGAAAAATTCCCTTCTTATAGCAAAAATTGATATTTTTTTTATACATTAAGTACTTTGTTTCAGTACTTTGTTTAAATTTAAATTTGTTTCTTATACTCAACTAAACTTCCAGCCATTAAACTTCCATTTATAAATGGAAAAAAAATTATTTAATACATTTACCAATTTATATTATATAAAAAAATAGTTGTTTCTTAAACTCTTATTTACAATTTAAAAAATATCACAATTAATGCAAACATAATACAAATGTCTATGACAAATGTAAATTAAACTAAAACGATTTATTTCGGATTATTATGAGCAAGTTAAAAACAAAATGTCTTGTCGCGACGCGTTCAGGGTGAATAAGAACGACGCTGCTTGAAAACTTTCGTCACGTCGCGTCATGACGCGCCGGCTGACGCGGCGCGAGACGCGCTCAGTGGAAACTCGGCCATAAGGATGAAGAAGCATAGACTTGTTCCGATTGGTCAATTAAACGCTTCGAAAACTTGACCAATCCGAATAAAGGAATTTTTGGTGTGTTTTCATCCCGATTGCTCAATCGAAAAATTACCCTAGTACAAGGAGTGAATTTTAGAACGCACTCTGAACACTGCATGCACTTGAAACTGCACCCAATTACAGGAACCGCAGTTGATAAGTTTGTACAAAAACGTTAGCCGATAAAGAGATATTGCAATATTGTAGAATAAATGATTGAAATTCTTTAAAAATTGTTAAAGTAGTGCAAATTATTATTTACTTAATTGTTAAACAAATTATAGGTAAAAGTGAAAATGAAACAAATATATGATATTTACAATAAATAAATTGTTGCCAAAATTTTTCAGGGACATAATCGGAAAAGAGGAACAATGTAATTCTATACGTTTTCACCTTGATGAGCAGTTTTTAAGTAAGATTTGGATTTTATTAAAAATCATTATTCGATTAGATCTTACACATTTATTGTGGTACTATTATTAGAATCTTATTTTGCTGTATTTTATTGTACATACAAATTATTTGATATAATTTGTAATAATTATTCTTTTTAATTATATAAGTCAGGATTATACAAGCTCCCAGATAGCATGCAGAAAATAAAGTATGATATTTCCCAAGGAATTCAGAAAATGCACTATAATGACCGAAGAATGTCCAAATTGTGGACAACTTACAAATGCGTCTTTTTCAAGACTCGTAAAGGATAGCTGTGGCCATACCAAATGTCGAATATGCTTGGTAATTGAGGAACATGGTTGTAAAATTTGCCAAGCTGAACATCATGGCACTCAAGATTACTTGGGTACATAAGTTTTCCTGGAGTTTTGCCTTTATCAGATTTTTCTAATTTGGATTTATATTTTTGGAATCATTTCTGTTTGTAATAAGTTTAATATATTGCAGAAAAACCATGTTCCATGAATGGAGATTCAAATGATACACACAAATCATCCAGTGAGGAAATTGTATTACCATTAGAGCTAGTTATCAACAAGGATTCCAAGTCCAAGGAGAACCATCCTGAATCTACTTCTACTAAGCGCAAATCAGCATTAGATCTTCATTATGAGAATGTCACTTTTGACAAAGATGGAGTCTACAAGTTTGCTACCAATGATACAATTATCAATAATGATTCCAACAAGTTATACATTCCAAAGATAGAGACTCGTAACACAGTATTGGACACTTGTTCCCATTTAAAAAGTAGAAATGATCACAATTCTGCAAGTTTACAAAATCCTCATGTAAGAAGACAAATTCCAGTTTTATTTATTTATTTATCATTATAGAAAATAACTTTAATTGCTACATGTAAGAAATTAAAAGCTGCAATTAGGAAACAATTATTGGTAGAAGAAAGTGATAATTTTTTGTTGTGTTAGCTAATTAAAAAATTTTTTTCTTGTGTAATCAGGCAGAAGGAAATTTCGAGGAGACTGTGGAAAAGAATAAGGATATCAAATGTCGGGATCGCAGTCATATAACAATAATACCAGGCACTCCAGAAAAATATAAATGTAACGTATGCGGTAAGATCTTCCGTAACAAGAAGGGCAAGTGTTATCATGATGCCTGTGTGACAGGCGTTAAACCGTATCAATGTACCTTCTGTGATAAGAGCTTTGTTAAACGTTCTCACTTTGAGTATCATGAGAGGGTTCATAAAGGTCACAAACCATACAAATGCAATCTTTGCGAAAAGGCTTTTCCCCAGCAGAACAAACTCAACAGGCACATGTTTTCCCACAGCAGTAAGCATACTTGGAATTCTTTTCTTTCTTTTTTTCTCTCCATGATACATCAATGTTATATAATTAAAATAAATGATAATTAAGCAAATTTATTAAAAATATTATATATATTTTTTTAAAGAATTATAATAAAAATGACATGTACTTTGTACACATTTATATGACTCTAATTTGAATCTTTTAGAGGAGAAGCAATTTACATGTCCTGAATGTAATAAGCGATATAGTAAACGAGACGATTTGAAAAATCACTTAAATGTGCACAATGCAACGGCGACATATAACTGCAAGTCGTGTGACAAATCCTTTCACATATTAACTAATCTGAAACGTCACATGCGAACGCATACAAGTAAGTGGAAATAATCTTGTGTTCTTCACCGAATTTTGTCTTTAGTAAATATATTTTTTAAGTCTCAAAAAATTGACAAAAAGTTTGGTTTTCCAAAGAATCTGCAAATGAAAAAAATAACGAGTAGATGATTACTATCATAGGCGAACGACCGCATATGTGTGATGAGTGTAACAAGAGTTTTAAAGATAGATTTTTGCTGAAACGACACAAACGTATTCACGAGAAGGAAAGACCATTCTCTTGCGCTCATTGCAACAAAGTTTTCCTGTCCAAGAGTGAATTGAGACGACACTTAACTGTACATTCAGGTGCGTTAGATATCGTATAAACATTCTTTTACGCTGACGAGGCTGCTCGAATTTGTGAATTTATTTTTTTCAGACGAGAAACCATTTTCCTGTGAGTACTGTCACATTCCTTTCCGACGCAAGGACAATCTAAACCGGCACATTAGGCATCATCATACCGAAGATTTTGGTTGTGAGACACGTGAAACGCCGGCCGTTGAAGCGGATTCGCGAAGCTGTTCGACGAAGAGTAATCAGCAACGGCCGAGACAAAAGCAGCCGAGGAAAATACAGCCAAAGAGTCCCGGCAAAGTCACTGCAACGTTTCCGAGTTCCCATATTGATCAAATCAACTCTCGGCTGGATTCCATGGGCAATATCACGCCTGTAATAAAGACCACTAGCGAAGTGAGCAACGCGGTGCCGGTAATCAACGGGCCCATCAACAATTTTAGGCGGCTTGAGGACAGGACCGATAAGAAAATATTCACTTACACGGAGCCGATCCCGATCGCCGAGGCCGTAGTGATTAACTGTCGAATCGAGGAGAAGTTGTACCCGCAGAGCGCCAGCAGTCACAATTATTTTGTACGCAGCTGCCTCAAAGATAGGAATTCCAGAGTGAATTCTTATCCCAATAATAAGCTCGCACCGCAAGAGAATTCTACCACGGTCACGTCTTCGCCAAGCGAGCCGCCTCTTCTTTCGCGAACGATAGGAGAGCGAAAAGATTCTACAGCTGACGTCTACGAGGAGAAGATTGTGAGATATAACGACGAGGAGAAAAGCAATCAGAACGAGGCTGAAACGGTGAGAAAAGATGAGAAAACTCGCGAAGTAGAAGAAAATTGTAATGCTTATAGGGAGAATGATGTAGTTTCTCTTCGGGAATCTAATTGTGTTTCTACGATCAAGAAACACACTACGCAGCAGTTGGCGGAAGAACAGTTGAATGAGAAATCAACGGTAAACGGCAATGATTCGGAGCAACGATATTGCCGAAGGATTCTCAGGACTGCAAAAGAAAGCAAAGCGATATGCATTGGAGACGCAGAATTGCAAAAACTGCACTGAAGGCGTGTTGATCCGCGCTTTGAGCGCAAAAGTTAAGTTGGAATAAAATTGGCAAATATATGAAATGTTTGTCACATAGTGACAATATGCTTGTACTTCGTAACGAGGTTTGTTTTTATCAAATTTATGAGTAAAAATATAATGCTCAAGTCTTAATATATACATGTTAAATTTATATAATATTGACTTAAATTATATATATTAATAAATTTGTGTTTAAGTTTTAAGGAATTATAATGTTTCTTAGAATAGCTTACTTGAATAGAAACCGATAACAAATATAAGACTGTTTATATGATTAGAAATTATGAATGCAATTAAAAATAACGCAACAACAATTTATTGACCATCTTCGCTTATCAATTCTTAAAGTCAATTACACACTATAAGCAAACTTAGCGTATCGTTTAATTATCCGATCATTTATTTACAATAATTAAATTAGCTTTAATTATCAATTAATTAGAAAATGTGATTATTAACGACACTTTAAATAAATTTTTATTTATTTTGCGTTTTTTATTTTGCAATCAGTTTCTCTCTCTTTTTTTCTTTATTCTTTCTATCTTAAGTTTCTAAGAATACGATATAAAAGCCGCTAATATAAATTAATATAGAAATTCTAGAGTATTTTAAATTTCGCAATTTTTAGAGGATTTTGCACAAAAAAAGAAATTTAGAAAAATATTAGACGATTTGAGAAACGTGTATCGAATATTTTTAATGATTAATGGGAAAAATGTAAAAATTCGAATGAATGAAATGAATTCTACCGCGTGTAGAGAGCTAAAAAATGTTAAGAATCTATTCGTAATCCTCTTCCTCGGGTTGAATCTGAGGGTATCGTCTGAGAACTTGATGCTGCTGCTGCTGCTGTTGTGGTCGTCTATGTTGAAGAGGAATGTTGACTTCTTCGGGGCTGTGGAATACTTGGTTCACCGGGAGACGGTACTGTGGGAGTCCTGTGGGACGAACCGATGCGGGAATGCTGTTCAAACTTTGAGGCTGCGGGCTCACAAGGACCTGTACAAGACCTAATCGTTAATGTGTCAATGTATGATCGATTTTAAAAGGAATAGATATCTCGCATATTTACATTTTTTTGTATAAAGAAATAGAAATAGAATAATATGCTTCAACTTGTTCGAAAGATTTTTATAAAATGTATAATTTTGGTGTGTGAATCATGAATTTTAAAAATTATTTTAAATTTGGAAAATTCAAAATTATTATTAAATTATTTTTAAAAAGGGCAAGTCGCTTCTAAAGAAATGTGCTATAAATACGCGAGTTTTAGATGAATCTTGCAAGTTATAATTTACTGTAATTTCTAATTTACAGGTGAACGAGTTCGAACGATTATGACACAATTTAATGACAATGATTATACCTGCGGGGCGGGACGACGTGTCGGAGCGGCCGTAGGAGTGATTTGATAGTCACCGACTTCCCTCTCATCCGAATAAATATCAGCGGGATAATACCTTTCGCTGTACCTCAGTGTAACATTGGGCTTGGTCTCGGCCTCTTGAAGATTCAGCGGCTTGTACAGATATTCATTGACGAAATGGTATTGCGAACTCTTCTTACAACTGATGTCGCCGCTGGGTGGCATGCAGATTAAGTGTACCTGATATAATCAAACAATGAATTTTAGTTCCATCACAATTGAATATTTCATAAAGATACGAGGTATGTGTAGATAAGCATTTGAACACTTTACATCATGACCTGTAACGATATATATTATTAAAAAACAATTATACGTAAAATAAACACAACAGCAAGTTGATGGCAGGGATTACTGTAATTTCCTAAAGTATCTAGGATTCGATCTATTGTAATTTATTATCGTAATTTAATGAGCGATATTTTTCAGCGATCAAAGACAACTATCGAGACATTAAGTACGCGAAAAAAAGGAGAATATTTGCGTTTCCACTAACTTGATGGAAGGTGAAGCCCTCCGGGCAGATCCAAGAATGCTTGGCGTTGTCCTGGCAGTAATGGAAGACCTCGCAGTTGAGGTCTTCGTCGGCGTAGTAGCCGGTTTGCTTGTTAACGCAATCGAATCTACTCTGGGGTAGAAGAAGGCTGAGACGATCAGGCTCTTCCTTCTCTTCCTCGAGTTCCTCCTGTGGAGGTCCATTGGGTCCGTACTGGCCTCGAGGAGGAGCGCGCGACGGAGAACCGATGCGGATAGCCGACGATTGAGGATAATCGCGAACATCTATCGGCGTTGCTGTCGGCTTGCGATATAACTGCGGTAGAATAATTTTTTTTCGTATTTTCTTTTCACATTAATAAGAACAAATTTTTTCATCAATCGGAATCCATTAATCTCAATTATTGTAATGTTATTATTTATAAAAAATAATTAATAATTTAATGTTAAATATGTTATTTAATAAATTATAATAATATTTGATAATATTAATATCTGATGTTGAATTGAATACAATAAAAATATATGCGTGCGCACATTTAAATGGAAATATAGATAATGTGAAGACTGACCGGTTGCTGATTTCTATAGATCGGCGTCGGCGAGGGTGTGGGTGTCACCGCATTGTCCTCGTAACTGTTATCACGGAATCCTTGAGCCGAGCTGGACGAGTAGAGCGGTCCTAAGCTACTCGGCTTCCCGGGGAACGAAACCGCCCTTGCTTCCAGATCATAGGAACTCTGCGCCGCGATGGCGGAGCCCAGTAATCCCAGAAACACCCAAAACATCCTGTGAAACACAATGTAATCAGAGAGGAAGAATTCGATATGCGATTTTATTTCGATTAAAATTAATGCCTAGAATCGAAGAGCAGGAATCATGATGAATTATTATTGACGCTATGCGTCATAATATATCAAATTCGATGTAAATCTCGACTTTCCATTTTATTAAAACGTAAGCCGCATTTTTCGAGGGTATCGATGGTCAAGGGCACTTTCCCCTCGCGTGCACACGTGCGCACGTGCGTGCATATGAATTTAATGAGTGCCGATTTGCGAGAAAGCGCGCGGCTGCGATTTCTCGAAGAAATGCTCTTTTATTCCTGTAATGACATTGATATACAATTACAGCTCGATTCTCGTTTCTCATTTTAACCTGTTGAAGGTCATTATCCACGTTCTTCATAGATGAGACAAGAGTACAGACAATTCGAAAGTTCGATGATTTAAAAATGAAAGGATCCTCAAACTAGAAATTCTTAATGAAAACATGAAATTCGAGAAGGTAAAGTAGGTAAATTTATATTTAAAAAAATGTGAAAGTAAATGGAATATAAAGAAATATAAAAAGACGATTGAAAAGTCTATAAAAGAACTCTTTAGAAAAATAAAAGAATTGTGTTAACAACATGAATACGAGAATCTCAAAGCTCATTAAAAATAATGAATATATTCGGCGATAAGAAATTTGGTCATGTGTTTTATTTGAAAATCATTCTTTTTTATCACGACTCGATCGTTTAAAGCAATTAGAAACTAGCTTTCCAGATGCGTGCTATATCTGAGAATTATTATGGAAAGCATTCGTGCTCGTTGAGCACGTCATCGTCACGACCGAAATGACTTTACCTGATCGTGAAACCGATGTTCGAGTTTCGCACACATAGAAAGTAACACGCTTTCCTCGCACCTGCTCTCGCGCACAAGCAACAACGATTCTTGCTATTCAAACTTGGACACTGCTCACGTGACCGGGTCAAGCAAATATCCTTTCGCCTTGAATGCGCTTTCAGATGATAAATTTGTTTTCGCAGGACATTATACAGTGCAGTTGTAAGCAATCTAATAATATAATTCAAATTGTTCGTAATGAACAAAATTTGAAAACTTATCAATAGATATATAGATAGTAAAATTAATATTATAAATAATATACAATTATGTTATATAATTATTATATATATAATTATTTATAATTATTTATCTATACCGTATCTATTATAGTAAGACTATTCAAAGGAATTTTGTGAATTTCTAATACAATGTTTCAACATTCGCGCAATTCATTAGATTTATCATACATATTATATTAGTTATAAAAAATTATTACATTTTTCATTCGATTCATTTTAATTTGTCGGTAGATTGAGTCAAAAATTCTTACTACATGATTTATAATAATAACATTCTTATTAATTTTCTTAGTATTTAATTGTGATGTAAATCATTTGTAAATGTCAATCTCTTATTCTTAAGTCTTCCGAATCACACGTGATGTTTCCCGATGCAATACTTGACTGATTAAATTTAAAGACTATCGATATGTATACGTGCGATTTTTTTCAAAAATTTATTAATCTACGACAAACACAAGGCAAGCTGCATTTCAAGATAAATTTCATCGGAGAGAATTTCTGTTGAATGGAAATTATAAATATGACGTTACGTTATTTATTGAACCGTACTATATCTTAAAACTGGTTTTAGGTGAGCTTTTTCGATAGAAATACGACTACAAATGAAAGTATTTAGTACAAAGTATGCTATAATATACCAGAACTTACTTATACTGTATAGCAAAATATTTTATTGAAATAAAATTGTAATTTTACGTGTTTTTGATCATCGGTTAAATAATAATTCTAGGGGTAAAAAAGTTTTAAGAATGTCGAAAGAGCAACAGCAGTTATATAAATACATAGATCGAAGATAATCTGCCATTTTCTATCCATAATAACGCGTCTATTGCATAACGTCATTTTTTCTCAAATTCGTCGCTCGCGGGACTTTTTGTCAAATCTAAACTTAATTTCACGTAAATACGTAGAATTATTAACGTATAAATATTTAATTTAATTAAATTTGCTAAATTAATATAAATTAAGAGAAAAATTCCATTGATTTTTATCTATATATAAAGTATACGTAATGCGCGCTTTGTAATATTTTATTCAAGTTAAGTTTAGTACAAATTTCATCACAATTTACATCAACAATGTTTACTTTTTAAGAAACTTTTAGGTGGAATTTGCTAAATATCGGAAATTATTAATTATTTTACAATTGTGTATGAATTATGTTAAAAGTGTTTCTTTCGTTACAAGTGTTTATCGATCACACTTTCATGTTGAATGTATTAAAAAAACAAAGAAATTCCTCTCGATACCCGGAAATCGTTAATATTCCATAGAATTAGCCAATCGCTAATCGCTGGCATAATGAGGCAAAAAAGTGTCGTGTCGTTTAACGAGCGCGGCGGCAGCCTTATGTTTGTCATGTGGATAAAGTTCCTCGATTAAAATCCGATCGGAGTGAAAGTGAGAGGGGCATTCGTATAAAAATGACGCATAACGCACAAACACACCCAACATGGGACTTTCTTGCGAGACGCGTGATCGCGCCAAGGTTCGATTCGCGTCTCCATAAAACGATGCACAATGCGATTTACGAAAGAGAATATAACTTTTACATAATTTTCCAAGGTCACGGTCGCCACTTTGTGGTTCTAATTGAATCTTTCAGCTTCTCACACAATTCGTCAAATTTTTTTTTTTCGAAAACTCAAAGTTGAAAGTATATGCCCTCTCTTATAAAGTCATATACATACATGTTACATGTGAGAAATTTCTTCACTTTCACTTTTTCTAAAAAAAGCAATTTAAATATTTTCCTTTTTGTTATTATTTTCTTCTTATTATTTTTCCTTTATATGGAGAGAGATTTATACAAGAGAAAAAAGCACACATGGACTTCATATAATTATACACATTTATATATTTGACTATGTGCGAGCTTTTCTTTCTCGAGAAGAAAATTTCTAGCTACAATAATTACTCAATAAATTTCATTTTATCGCGCATTTAATTTTTGACTCTGGAGATCTATCGGCATAAAAAATTGTTCCAATTTGAATGGGACAAAACTTGCATAAGTAAAAAGACTATTTAGTAAATCAATACGGAGCATGTTGAAATCCGCAAACTTAATTTCAAAGTTGGTGGATGTATTTTATCTCAATTTTCTTTTCTCTTTGGAATTCGATCGTCGCGTTGAATCCGATCGATTTCAGATAATCATTTTTTGCCTGTTTATCGATCGGTTTCTCCGATTTCGCTGGCAGGAAAACCGCGGGAACTTTCTCCATCGAGGAGATCGCTCGAATGATCGTTATTATTATTCATAATCTTTCCGGCGTTCTCACCGTAATCATCTGTTTTAACAAAATCTTCGTAACATGCACGCATATCAGAGAAGGGCGTTTTCCTCGCGGAATAACCGACTTCCTGCATGCGCCATGCAAAGAAAGCAATATTGCATAATGGAAAAAGAGATAGTTGTTCAGCGACTTTGCGGAAAGATATAACGCGTTGCATTGGTATAACGCGCGTAACGTCAACCGGTTGTGGTTTAAGAAAAAAATCTGGAGCAGCCGGGCGGTGACATTTTTTCAAAATTCCGCATGAAACATGTCCAACCGGCTAATCCGTTCCTCATCGAGATACCTTGTGTGCTCTTCTTCAGAAATAGATTTCGAAAATCCATATTTTTTTAGAGTTTTTTTTCATTTTCATTAAAAAAATCTATTAAATTCTTGCTTGAAAAGGAATCTAATTAATTTGCTTCTAATAATTGCATCAAATTTCTAATAAAAAATTTATTATTGATATTACTCGTCAATAATCTAATTAAAAATCTATTGTGTAGTTTTGGAAATTTTGTATGTGATTATAATTATGTAAAACAAAATTTCCAATTAATTTCATATATTAATTTCATGTGCAAATTAGAAATAATATAGATTCCATATCAAAACATTTAAAGTTTGTCAATTTCGCTATTAAAATTTGAAATAGATCTATAAAAATATAATATAAAAGAAAAAGATATTTAAGATATTTAGAATAAAAATTTATTGTAAACCTTATATAAAAGCAAATAGAAGAATTGCATAACTGAATATTATGTATCAACTTTGTAGCTTATTACGTAAATGTATTTCATTTTAAGCATGCTGTCATTTTATCTCATTTTGAAAATATTATAAGAAGAAAATCAAGCAGTTCAAATTTGCAATATAAATATATGTATATGATTTTTTTACATGATATACAGGCACTAATAATTTTAGAAAGTAATTAGCAATTGGAAATAAAGGTCCTTTTATAAATTAAATTTTAAGAGAAGCAACAGAATTATAGTCTTTGATTAATTTTAAGAGGATTTTTACAGAATATAAATTTAAGATTTAGTTACAAAGATATATACCATCAAGGACAGGCAAATTACGAAGCATCAAGACCGTCAAGCATTTTCGTGCGGAGAAAAGATCGATTCTGAAGGATATGCTCGCGCGAATGGCGGGGTATCCATATTTTGATCTGCCTCGCTTTTACTCGTACGCAGCCTCAGCGAATCGTAAAAGATATTTTTGTGCGGTATTTTAATTAAGTTATTCCTCGACTGTAGGAAAGAAAAGAGAAAAATGGAAATTTGAACGGCGAGTTGTACTTTCTCTTCGACGGCTTATATTGTTTCACGCTAGAAGCTGAACCGGATAAATCGAGAGGGAGACCCCCGTGAACGCCGTTAAAGTCTCAACTTTATAAGATTAACTTGGTCACGCATGGTGGAACAAGAATTATGACACGTGCCTGACAGGCAGTCACTCGGGCAAGAACCGGTCGGGCGAAATTATTTGCTTACGAGATAAGGAAGTCGAGCATTTAAGTTTCCATAGTTGCAATAGTTAATCCTATCGCATTCCTTAATTCCATCCATTCTTAAAATATTCATGTTGAAATATCCAATTCCAAGTTAAACTTAATTCACATTGAAAGATGGTAAAGTTAAAAATATACGATTAGAGATTTACTTTAGATAAAATAAAATATAGATAGAAACAGTAAAATTTAATATAAAATTGTCTATTAATAAATCTAATAATAATTGTCGCAATAAATTTAATAAAAATATAAAGATAATAATAAATATAAATATAAATAAAGAATATAAATTTTACTTATAAATAGATTGTTAGAAAAAAATATATGAATGAAATATATATTTATAAAAATTGTGAAATTCATTTTCATATGTTTTATAGCAATTTATCAATACTAACATCACTTTCAATTATCTCATCAGAGCGAGATATGCAAAAGTAGCATCAAAAGACGTTATAAGAAATTAATATCAAATATAGAGAATATAATGAGAATGATGACACACAAAAGAAATTGATTATAAAATTATTAACGAAAAATCAAATGAATAAAATCCAAGTTTCTTTACAAAATAAAGTAAATAGCTGATAAAACGGATAATGCACAATACGATAATGCAGAAGTAGTTTGGTCCTTCGAGAAGCATTTCACTAGCACATCATTAGTTGAAGTATCACTGATTAAAGGCCCACTTACCTGTCAATGCGACAGCAAAGATAGCGGGATAGAACGAGCGTCAAAACACCGTGAGAGACCAACAATACGCGTGTGCTTTATCTTGGCCGACATGTCACTCCCTTATATAGCATATCTTGTTGAAAGTTGCCTCCACCAGATCAAGCGAATTCGGTTCTCTTCTAAGTAGTGGGATAAACTCCTGCACAGTCGCTTCTACTGCCTTCGCAAGATGCACCTGTTTAAAGAGTCTCGGCGAGGATCGTGAGTTAAAATTGATGTTACGAGGATTAAATGTATTTTACTGAAATTTGAAAAGATGAATTAATACTCGAGAGAACACGATTTTACATTAAAAAAATTAATCAATTTTAATAAAACATATTATTGAATCTCTTAAATTATAGAAATCAAATTTACCAAATTAAACTATAAAATCATGTTAATACTGGAGGTTTAAAAATAATTAAGTATTTACTGAGATAATTAAGAAAGATAAAAAACTGTTTTTGATTGCAATTAATTGAAAAATTTCATGTCATTAAGATGACCATTAATTCTCGAACGAATTGCACCGATGAAAATGAGATATCTCGCGATTAAGATCGGCCTTTTATGTTGAAAATTAAAAAATGAAATGGGAAAAGCAGAAAACAACGGAGATATAAAGATTCGTGAAACTTGCGGAAGATTTTACGGCGCAATTCCGAAGAAAGCATAATTGCAGGCCGGAATTTCTGAGGAAGCAGGATATATCTCGCGGTACATGTAGAATTGAGATTGCGTGTCACGATTGAAATGCAAAATGCGTGAAATAAAATGGATGATGGGCGATGGGCTGTATAATGAACCCGGTTGTCAGATTACGCCTCTTTTCATGCCTTTTCTCTTCTCTCCCTCACACTTTTCATTATTGAATGATCTTGGATGTAGATAAATAGATAAGAGACCTTATTTATTCATCTCTTATATACAACTTTCAACAAGATATGCTATATAAGAGAGTGACATGTCCGTCAAGATAAAGCACACGCGTATTGTTGGTCTCTCACGGTGCTTTGACACTCGTTCTATCTCGCTATCTTTGCTGTCGCATTGACAGGTAAGTGGGCCTTTTTAATCAGTAATACTTCAACTAGGGATGTGCTAGTGAAATGCTTCTTGAAGGACTAAAACTACTTCTGCATTATCGTATTGTGCATTATCTGTTTTATCAACTATTTATTTTGAGTAAAGAAACTTGGATTTTATTCATTTGATTTTTCATTAATAATTTTACAGTCAATTTCTTTTGTATGTATCATTCTCATATATTTGAAATTAATTTCTAAATTCTTATAATGTCTTTAGATGCTGCTTTTGCATATCTGCACACACACATATGCACACAAATTTTCTGCGCCGAAATTTTTGTTATTACGTTGATTACTAAATCTATTTTTAGTAGTTCATCTACATTCCTTTATGCAATTGCGAGTCTTGATTTTATTTTGCACGCATAAACTGTAAAACTTTTATGTATAAGAGATATGTATTGTACAATACATATCTCTTATACATAAAAGTTTTACAGTTTTTGTGTGCAAAATAGAATCATTACGAGTCTTGATTCTATTTTGCACGCACAAACTGTAAAACTTTTATGTATAAGAGATATGTATTTGCATGGAGGGATATAGATGAACTAGTAAAAATAGATTTAGTAATCGACGTAATAACAAAAATTTCGGTGCAGAAAATTTTTGTGCATATGTGTATGTGCGAGATCGAGACACTTGAATAAAACATATCTGTAGATTAATTATTCTATGTCAGCATTAGAATTTTTTTGTGTGACAAGGAGAGACAATCTCCTTTTCTGTCATGTCATGTGTAATAGTATATGTTAGCATATGTACACTGCGCGACAACGATTCGTTCCATGATCCCTCTCGCGGGGCAAGGGGAGCGTAGAAGTGACCAATCAGCTGGCAGCGTGGCAGTGGCTGATTGGTTAGAGTGTACGGAAAGACCTTCGCACGTGGAAAAATTTTAATCGTAACCGTAAGGTCGTAAGATAACTGACAAATCGAATATTCGGCCTATGATGAAAAAATAATCGACTGTGATTGGTTATTTTTTTAACACTTATACATAAATTGCGTACGTAGATACGTATATATATTCGCTATCGCGCGTAACATTCATACGAGTAACAAGCTAGACGAAAACGTTACAACATATTACGTTAAAAATATTTTATGTAAGTTACATACACAACATATATATATATATATATATATATATATATATATATATACAGATTATATATTTCGGTAGATGCGGTTTATGTGCATGTGTGTTCTGGTTATTAAAAAATATTTTTCCCAGAGACGATCGTGAACTAGTTATTTTTATTAGAAATATTTCACATTAGATGCAGTTTGCATGTGTGCTGTAATTATTAAAATATTTATCTCAGAGGAAATCTATTCGTGAGCTGATTATTCAAAAATAAAATCCAAAAGCGGCAACAGAGAATTGTAAATTAAGTCGATATCGAGTTATTCGAGAATAATAAACAAGGACAATTACTTTTCCGATGTAGAAATATCGTGTAATGACATAATTAGCTGAATTAAATACATCCTCGCTCCGCGAGAAAAATAAAAAGGTGAGAGAAGGGAGATACACGATGCTAATCATTGATCTATCGCGAAAGGATTTAATTCATGATTCGAAAAACGTGTCATTGACACTTGACAGCTTTCGTGTTCTAAAAATTATTCGCTGCATGAAGAAAGAGAACATTATTAGATATTTTTCTTGTACGCACAACTTTATAATTTCTAAAATTAAAATGTTTTAATTCAAATTTGTGTGAAAGTGACTTAAAATTAGGAATAGAAGAGTCGGAATGCGTGAATGTATATTTCTGCTTCTGTCACTTTCGGTTATCAATAATTTTAAAATTATTTATATCTTCGTTAAGAGATTTCTGGATCTAAAATCTGTTTAGCTTCTAACATCATTTTTAAGAGATATCACACGAATGAAAATAACCAGATTTTCGCGTTTGTTATGTAAGATGATTGATTTTTTTCTCATCTAGTGCTGCGTACAACTTGTCACTTGGAATTAATATACTTTCGTTCAAGCGTTACGTCCCGATTAAAATTTCATACGCCAACGTAACTTTCTCACCTATTGCTACTCACAGCCAGGTCTTACTTCCTCGTTTGTAAAATGTTATAGTATAATACTCCTTTGTTTCATTTATTGCATGCAGATTTATCTCGCAATTCGATCTGTTAAAAATTTCATTCCTGCATTCGCAGGTCGGATGATGATCGTGTAAAAAAATTGTATAAAAATATCTCTTTGATATATCTCTCCTAATCAATGCTTAAGAGAGAATAATAATAGTGACGTAAAATAATATTCGATGTTCGATAAATTTGTAATTTGCATATATTGTTTGTTAATAGATCGAAATAACACTCCAAATTGAATTATTTATCGTAGCAACTCCTTGTTACGCGCAATAATTCCGTCACACGTGTTGGCGATTCGTCACTCTCGTTTGCCGGTGAAAAGAGCGACCTTCCTCAGACCGCACGCTTGACGAAAGAAAGTCCGCGATCCGTTTCCATAAAATTTCAATAAATCGGCCGCCAAGCGATGCGTCGAATTCAATGGGAAAACGAGATCGAAAGTTGCGGTTCTCCACCCACTGGAGAAACTCATCACTGACACGCTTTGCTTTGTTCAATTTATTCCGATTCTATCGGACGCTGATTATTCTTTTGGAAAGAAAGAAATTTGCTCTGTGTTTTACCTCTCCTCTTTCCCATTCGCTGCTCACTCACGTACATACATCATGATCGAGAACGTGGATGAATTAATAAACATTTCAAATTTAATTTGACTGTAGTTGTTTAATAATAACTCCTAAACAACGTGCTTGAAATTTATATCAATCTCGATATTAATTTTAAAAAATTAATTAAAAATTGATAAGTATATATTTTAATTTTAATATTAATTAAATGAAAGAACTAATCGACAATATAGAAAAGAGACAAGAATTGAGAGAATTTTGATATTTTCGAGGAACGGATTTTTTTTTAAGGATGTTATAATCAATTGTAACAGATTCAGATTCGTTATTTTTCCAATAATGATAGCGAGTGACTTTTTGAGATAGGCAACAAATAATTGGAATTATTTTCATAAAATAACTTTTTCAATAAAAATGTTGTATTTTATAACGTAATATTTCTGTATTCTCACTATTTGCGTACTTTGGTATGGTATCATTTAAAAAAAAGATATTCTATATATACAGGATATTTTAAAATCTATGGAACTTCAAGAAATTTCACCAAGGGAATCAATTTTTTTGTTAAGAAATCTGCTTTTTTTAAAGAGCGTATTTTTTCAGACCGCCTATGAGATAGGCAACCGGTTGTACAACAGAATCGAACGTGACATCTGACACCCATATATGTCGTTTAATTTTGCCTTTTAAATTGTTTTTGTCGTAGATTTTTAAAATTTTATTTCATATACGAGTAAAATAATTTCAAAGACATTTTATTAAATGTAAAAAATCAAAAATAAACCACAAGCCTCTTTATATGTCTATATATTGTATACTAATACTCTAATACTCTTTTTATCCAAATGTGTTTCATATAGATCACGATACTCCATCTGATACCACAGCGTTTATTTTTAGATTGTTTTGTTAGAATAATGCGAATATTAATTTATAATAATTTTATAATAATTTTATAATAATTTATTATAATTTATAATAATTTTTGCAAAATTGATATATTACCGATATTCAAGAAGCAAGCTAAAGATTAAATCTATATCCTTTTAAAAGGCTAAAACATGTTTTACTCGTAGAATAAGATCAAAATGCAAAGGCAAGGAATACGGAAAGGGAAATCGGCTTTTATCATCTATTATAATGAACAGTTGAAAAATTTAATAATATAAATAAAGTACTTATTTAATAATATAGATAATAGTAACATATAGGAAATATTCACTTTACAAATTGTGAAACTATATTTAATATATATAATAACATGTTAAACAAAATAAAATAAAATAATAAATAATATAATAACATATAAAAAAATTAAAAAAAAACAACTAATAATAAAAAATAAATAATTAATAATAACATTATAAAATAATAAAAATACAATAAAATATAATAAATAATATCTGCCTCTAATTTAATATTTGCCTCTTTCAATTTCTTTAATAGATGTAATTAAAAATAAAAAAGTTTAATGCTAAAACTTGATTCTGTTATGTTTATTATATTCAAACTTCCTGATTGTCATAACATTGCTGATTCTTACATAAATGTTTGCATAAATGTTTGCATGCGAAAAAAAATATAAACTCAATTATGTAATCTTTATGGTATATACATGTAAATAGATATATTAGTAATAAATATTAACACATAATTAACATATGTTAAATGTCATAGCATTAGTATAAAGTGAATAAATATTAACACATAATTAACATACGTTAAATGTCATAGCATTAGTATAAAATGAATAATTTAATAATTTAAAGTTTAACATCGCATTTAATTCAAGTTTTTTTATATATTATATAAAAAAGAAAGAAAAAAAGGTTATAACGTGTGTCACTTGTGTGTGTGTGGTGTGTGTGTACACTTTTTTTAACAAAATAATCTTTTTTTTCAATAAAATAATTCTACATAAATAATTCTCTTTAAAAAGAATATAGAAAATAAGAATAAGATACTCCGAATCACACACATACATACACATACACTATTTATCACAATACCTCGTCGAATCATCATCGAACTAATTTGATACTAATTAAATCGCAATGGTTTGGCAACTGGTAACGGAACATTTGCATGAAATGGCCTTTATTTTTACGTGATTTTTATTTTTATGTCGCCATCATTATTTTTACGTCAACTCAGAGTTCTTCGTGGCGAATACTCAGGAGCCTTAACATTATTATAAACATTTATATTTGGATTTTTAATTATTCAAAAAACATTAAAACACTGAAAATGTTTTAAAACATTTTTTATTATATATTGTTTGATTGTTTTTAATACATTATGAATCCTCAGATATTTATTCAATAATTACATCTTAATATATTAAATTTTTATTATGCATATTGTTTCAGTTACAACTTTCTTACATTTCGTCAGAATTTTCTTACTCCTTTCTTTTCCTATCAAATATATTAGCAATGGTGGAAACCTTTGGATATAAGCATTATCTATATAAATACAAATACAAATAAGATTCGCAGTTGCGATTGTAGTTTGTTAGTTGTAATATAATTTTATTTCATTTTAGATGATATTGATCGATCAATGCATAATAGTGACACGTAATTTAAATTCGAATTCAAACACTTTATGGTGCGTCATTCAAGTGAATCACATTTATAAATCGGACACCTTACAGCTATAATGAGCAATTATTTTAAAGGTAATTTGTTTAATTTATTTTGTATATTAGTTATTAATAATTTGCAGATTCCTTTCTCATTTTACATCGTGTGTTTTTATATATTATATTAATTGTTAACACATATTGTCGACAACACTTTTCCGAACTTAATCGGCATAATTTTCATAAAGAAACATTAATCAAGAATTATCCACAAATTAACGTGTCTTAAACATATGTCTTATAGACTCTTTAACATGATATCAAATTTATTTGGTGATATGATTATCTTGTTTATGATGAAATTTGTACAGAAGGCTTTAAAAACGTGGTACTAACAGAAAATTCGGGAAAACATAAAGGCGATTATAAATGGAAGCTTGTTTGGGATAGAATCTTCATTTTAACGTACTTTCATTTTGCCAGCATCTACGGACTGTATCTAGGTTTTTTACATGCTAAACTTTGGACAATCATTTGGTGTAAGTATTTTTTTATCTATCTTAATTTTATTGACTTCGTTTCTTAAAGAGTCCTCGTGTAATTTTAATATCCAAGAGAATCGTACACTAAATTAATTATTGACTACATTAAATAAATTGCGCATAATATAAGTAAATTTTAATGAATGATATAATATAACTTCTCATGAATTACTAAAATTTTATCGACTGTTTGAATCGTTATATCATTATTTTTTCAAATCAGCCTGGGGTTTTTATATCGTTGCGGCGCTAGGCACCACTGCTGGTTCTCATAGATTATGGTCCCATCGATCTTACAAAGCAAAATGGCCGATGAGATTAATTCTGACAGTCTTTCAGACCATTGCTTTTCAAGTAAGCGCGTTAATTTTTTTTCTTTATCTTTTTCTCTCTCGTCACAGTCATTTGTGTATAGAAAGGTTACACAGAGGGTGTACAAGTTTAGAATATTCGTAAATTGAGTGAAATTCAGTTAGAAAATTAAGAAACTCTTAGCTCTCACACCGTATGCGGATATAAAGGAATTTGCTAGAAAAGTAATGTGAAAGCAAAATATGAAATGATTCGATCTCGAAGTTTGTGTCCCATTTCAAGGCACAACATATTCATTTTTTTCATACACTTTTATATCCCTCTAAAAAACCTTGCAAAGATAAAAAAAATACGCTAAGTATATAAAAAATATTGTATGAAACAAAATGTTTAATAAAAAGTCTTTAAAAATAATTTACAATAATTTTTCCTCACAAAATCATTTTTCCAAAGAAATAAAACCTCAATAAATAATTTTCCTAGACAAATATTAAATATTTTTTCTAGAAAAGTATTAAAAAATAAAATATCAAAACTAAATATGAATTTTTTTCTTTTCATACACTTTTAGGGCCCTATTTACGCGTGGGTCAGAGATCACAGAGTGCATCACAAATATACAGATACTGATGCAGATCCGTACAACTCGCGCAGAGGATTATTTTTCTCGCACGTTGGCTGGCTATTAATTCGTAAACATCCGGAAGTCGTTAATAAAGGTGCTATGATAGATTGCAGCGATCTCGAACAAGATCCCTTCGTCGTCTTTCAGAGGAAGTATGTCGAGCGAAATTTTTTTACGAAAATGAGAGCTAGTTACAAGCTGTTCGTTATCTATTGATGTTGCTAATATTATTTATTACATATACATTCTTCTTTACTCAGGTGGTATGCACATTTGGCGATTCTATGCTGCTTTATTCTGCCAACATTGATACCTTGCTTGGCGTGGAATGAGACTCCATCGTGTGCATGGCATCTTATCATCTGCGCGCTCTATTTAAATCTCCATGGAACTTTTTCGGTGAATTCCGTGGCTCACAAATGGGGAACAAAACCATATGACAAGTATGCATTTGTTGTATTTCTAGAACATGTGGATGAAATTGTTTATGATAATCTATGTCGATATCTATGTTCGATATCGGTATTCTTGTGTTTACAAATTTACATTATTTACATTATTATACAGATCAATATCGCCCGTCAATAATATTGGAGTTTCTGCCATAACATTAGGCGAGGGCTGGCACAACTATCACCATATTTTTCCTTGGGATTACAAAGTCGCCGAATTAAAATATTTGATCGATTTCACTACAGTTTTCATTGATTTTTTCGCTTGTCTAGGTTTGGCTTATGATTTGAAAACCGCAAAAGTTGACATGATAAAGAAACGTATTCTTCGAAACGACGGAACAATTAATGAAATCAAGCACGAAGAATAAAATGTAAAGAATCATTTTCTTATTCTTATCATTTCTTATTATTAACGGCCCTGCTGTTGTCCGGATTCCGTGATCAAGAAGATTGTTTATAAACAACGAGAATCAGCTGGGAGTTGAAAAACAGCTATCAAGCTGTTCGGATGCGTTTTCATTTACGAGCCATAATTGTGTTATTACCCATACAGCACACGAAGATTGTATACACATTGCAGCCATTTTTCACCTCAATATTGCAACATTGCAAATTCACTGCAGAATTTGCTGCACCATTGCTGTGGGATTGCAGCAGCGTTAAAATGTCCGCTTTTAGGAATATTACAATGTAAGATTGTAGTAATGTTATGATGCAATGTATTTGTAATCGTAAAACGCGTTTTGCTACAAATGCAGACCGTTTTAAATTTAATAAATAAACTTTGAAAATATTTAAAAAATGTTTAAGAAAGATAGGAAAAAACATTTCCCTTTAAAAAATTTTACGCCTTTAAAAAGATATCTAGTTAGTGTCTAGTTAGTGTTTTTTATTAATAAATTTATTAATAATTAATTTTTTATTTATAAATATTTCTTATTAAATATTTATCTCAATAATATATGTACAATTATTTTACATACCCTCGACACCAGAATATTTTAATGCGCGCAATAAATGAACTATTTCTCATTTATCCATTCAGTGAAGAAAAATTTGTTTAATATTCTGAATCCCAACGAGGGATCAAGATTATTAAATAAATTATTTGTTTAATAATCTAGATCCCTTATTAGAATTCAGAATATTAAATAAATCAAGTCAATTTATCAGAAATTAAACTGACTCAAGATAAGAAATATAATTACTGCATTAGTCCTGTGTAGATTCTTATATATTCACTTTAGACGAAAATTCGAACACCAGTTAATTAAGTTTGATGTCGCCACGTAGCGGCAAGTAAAGAAACACATGTTATACATTTTCATAATGTTAAAATGTTGCTCCAATATTGCCAAAGTAATATTATAAAATAATATCTCTGCAATATTTCTGCAGCATTACACTGCAATGTGCAATGTTGATGCATTTGATGTGTAACATTGCAGCAATGTTGATGCATTTATGTACTATATGGGTAATCTGTTGTATAATTAATCTGTTGTTTGTGTTTCTGTGTTCGTATTAAAGTTCCTTGTTATCCTTAAAAGTATTAATTTATTTAACGCGATCCGCGCCAGCCGTTCTCTTAGTGCGCGTCTTCGATATATCTCGAAGTCCTCGCTCCGGGCGCAACAATATATATATACACAGGGTGCCAGGATATATATATATATATATATATATATATATATACATATATATATATATATATATAACATTAATCACAAATAAAATTTAAAAATTATTAATCTAGATAATATGCGGGATGTATGGAGTAAACGAAAATCATTAAAAATCTGTATGGGACGGGATAAAATATTAATTATTTATAAAATAATGTGTGCGGAAAATAATATAATTTATTATATATTAAATAATCTTTGGCCCATTCTAATAGCAAACTTTCTAGCCTTCTAGTAATGTCTGATAAAAAAAAATTATTAAAAAATATAAAATAAAAATGTGATAAAGATATTTTTTCCGAGATTATCTTTTCCGAACACCTCGTAATATGTAATGTCTCGATACTACTGTCATTCAATTATATATTGCGCAAGCATTATTTTTAAAGTGGGGAAAACATGATAAAAAGCAGCAACGTGAATTAACAGTGTCTGCATACGAGTTAGTATCATTAAATAAACTAATGTATTGATGTTTCGCTCTTATCAAGTACAATGGTGTTCGTAAGTGTTGTGTTAATATCTTTGGCATGGGTCGCCATAAGTTACTTCATCTATAATTTTTGCCAGTTGATTTCCATTAAAATGGTAAATACACTACCTGGTCCAAAGGCATTGCCACTTGTTGGAAGCGCCTTCTATTTCCTACAGAAGAATCCTGACGGTAATCAAAGACAATGATACATTTAATTTATAGAAAAAAATAAGAAAAATGAAAGGCATTTTAAAAATCTCAAAACTATGGAGAAAAAATTATTAATTAAATAAATTAATTTAATTAAAATAATTATTAATATAATATTATAATATTATATATATAATATTATATATAATATATATTATATATAATATATATTATATATAATATATATAATATTATAATAAATTAATTTAATTAATAATTATTAATTAAATAACGTTGCATTCAATTTAGTGTAGTGAGATGTAAGAGCGAATCACGTATCGTGTGGAGATATAATCCTCTAAGTTGTAAAAAATTGTTTTTTTAGAAATTTTGGTTTCTCTATTTAAGCTTGTGACAAATTACTCGTCTCCGTTTCAAGTTTGGATAGGCAACAAATTATTTATTGGAATATATGAACCGGATCAAATAAAGGTAAAAGAACAACAGTTACGTATATATGTATAATTAATTTTAAAAAATATCTCTTTTATAGATTATAATTCTGTATAATTTTACAACTATTATAATTTATCTTTCCGATGTAACTGAAGTAATTTTCCGAAATATACGTTAATAATATTCAAATAATGTAAAATAATATTTCGTGATGGAGATATTACTAAATATGTATGTGACGTTGTAGATTATTTTACAAAACAAGCATTGTTTGAATAAGGGCGTAATATATAAACTTATTGAACCGATACTTGGCAGGACATCATTGCTGACAGCTCCTAGTAAGTTATAAAGTCTTTTAATTAGAATCATGTGGAATAATTTAATTTATGTAATATTACATAAATAATATAAATCCCATACATAAGTTTTCAAAATTATCCTTTACGTATATTTATAATTAATTTCTAATAACTATGTATATACTTTTACGTATTACGTATTAGAAATATACGTATTACTTATTACTTATTACTATACGAAGAAAACACAGACATGAATATGTATAAACTATTTATAAAATTATTATATAAATATTTATAATTATATCCATAACTGCAACTTTCTTAGAACGGAAAATCAGATACATTCTTTTACTAATAAATATTTCTTTTAATTTTATTATTTTATTATTTTATTACACAGTATATGTGTTTATATATTTATTCCTTCTTTATATAATTCTTTTATAATATTCATTTCAGCATCTATATGGGCTAGGACTCGAAAAATATCCTCAATTTTTAATACAAATATGTTACGAGGCTTTTTCGACATATTTGTCGAACAATCTTTAATATTTGTAGATGAACTAGAAAAAATTGGATTAAATGGAAAAGAGATTGACTTATTTGAATCTCTATCGCAGTGTACTATGACCATTGCATATAGTAAGATCAAATATAATTTTTGATCCAATTTTTAATTATAAAAACTCTTATAGAAAATATTCGGCATTACAAAAATGTTAAAAAAATCAAAACTTTGAACAATGAAAAAAGAAAAAGAGAGATGCATTAATAATATACACGAGAGTAAAAATTAAATAATATTAAATATTACTAATTTGAAGAATTAAAAAAAAATATATATATATATATATATATATGTGTGTGTGTGTGTGTGTGTGTGTGTGTGTGTGTGTGTGTGTGTTACATATGTGTATAATATATATAAAATATATCAGAATACACATATACTTTAAGATATGTCACACATAAAGTTTTATGGATGAAATTTTTATCTTAAGTCATGAATTATGTTTGTATGTGTATATTAAATTGTCGTTTTTATAGTATAAAGGTATCTATTCCTTCGCCTCGGAAAGTGATATGTGTTTCTGAAGCCTACTTTGCACGATAATATAATTCAAGAGATAATTCTATTATGTCACATATAATTAATATATACGTATATCAGAATATATATTTTATACGTATGTATCATATATGTAATTCAAATGTTCTTTTTTTTCGGTGCCGAGACTTTTCTTTTTTTTTGTTCAAAAAAAGTCACACTTATTTAACTAATATATAACGTATGAAAAATTAATATAATCAGTTAGTAGTTAATATTTCAAATAATAAGATTTTTTTCTCATGTGGGGCTGTAAAGACACTATACTAGGTGTCAAATTGGATTCACGATCAGATATAATCAGTCAATGTTGTGAAGTAATAATAAGGTAAATATCGTTTTCTTTTAGTTTTAACGGAAAAATCTTCTTTTGACAATATATATTTTTTATAATTATTATAATTGGAATTATTTAATTGTAAGTAAAATATCTTAAATTAAAAATTCTTATTATAAAAAAAATATTTTGAAGACAACAAAGAAAAGGAAAAAGATCTTTTTTTCGATTATTGATATTCAAAAAACTTAATGTTTGCAATTATATCAAATACATATTTTGTATATTTTATGGTGAATTCCATTTGAAAAGAAAAATATTTCAGTTGCAAGAAAAGTTTGAGCTACAGATTCAAGAATGTATTCTTGTATTCTAATGTTATATTCAACCTCACTAATTTTGGACGTGAACAACAAAAGAGATTAAATTTTATATCTTCCGTCGTGAATAAGGTATACTAGAAATATATTCTTTCAATATTTTTAATTTAATTAATATTTTAATTTACACATACCAGTCTTCGTATAACTTATTATATATTATTATTACAGATGATACAACAACGACAATGTGCATTAAATGAATCGGATACAACGAAGAATAAAATAACTTGTAAGTTCGTTTTTTTCGCATATTTCAATCTCTGTGATTACAATATTATTTATCAATACTTGCCAACTAACAGCGAAATAAATTTTATTTAGAACTGCAGTTATAAAACGCGTTGTTAAAGCAACATGTCTTTTTTCCACTGATAATTTTTATCTTTTTAAAGTTATTTCGAATATTAATTTTTTTGAAACGAAAAGAATATATAATTTTTCTGCTCTCTCCGTTTTATAATTGAAAGAATAATTGATATACTATTTTATATATTTCTGTTAAATACAGACAAGGCATTTTACGATATTCTTTGGAAAGCATCTCATGAGGAAAAACTTACGCAAGAGAATATTCACGATAACGTGTTTACGATGCTAGTAGCGGTATATAAGACATTTCTATACGTGCGATTATATATTTTACATATAAATGCATAACAAATAAAATTTTTATTTATTTTTAGTCTGCCGATACGACCGCTATTACAGTAAATTTTGTGACCTTCATATTAGCGAACTTGCCAGAGATACAAGTATGTATATGTTTAATTCATTCAAGGATAGTTTACTTAATAATAGTTTACTCGTTTTATAAATCAAGTATTTTTCTAGCTTGATGTAATTTTAAAATATAAAAGATACACTTTAAATGTGATAATATATATCAAAAAAGGATCCAATATGAATTCTATTATTCAAGAGATTGCATGAATAAATAGTTTGCAGGACATATTTTTTATTATTGTTATATCGTTTATATACAATTAATATTTTTAATTTTATATGTATATTATTATATACATATATACAATTTTTGTTATTTTTCTTATTTATCTCTTTATTATTTCTATTAAAAAGCTAAATTATATATAAAACACATACATTTACATATACGTAAAATTAATATTTTAAAATATTTTTCTATATAATTTTGATATTGATATCGTTGATGATATAAATTTGGAATCTTATCTACTTTAATCAAGACATTGTAGAGAAAACTTTTTAAATTCTTTCTTCCTTTACTTTTTTAAATACATAGATTCGTAAATATATAACTGAAATATTTTTGCATGGAAAAATGGTCTTAGAAAGAAAATTTTTCTTATATTATATATATCATAATTTGTTTTCTCTTTCCAAATGTTATTAAAAAAATTATGCTTAAAATATTATTTTACCTCGTCAGAAATAGAGATATAGATGTTTTCTCTTCGATTGCTGTTTCTGATATCATATCCTGCATATTTATGAGTATTTATTTCCATACATTTATAAGCATTTATTTCCATAAAAGGAAAAGGCATATGAGGAATTGTTGGAGATTTACGGCATGACAAATCCTAGATCCGTACCAGTTAAATACGAGGATCTACAACATATGGATTATTTGGATCGTATTATTAAGGAAACGTTGCGATTATTTCCTGTAGTGCCTGTAATTGCACGACGGCTGACGGAAGATTTAAGAATGGGTTCGTTTGTAAATATATGTATATGCATATGTGCATTTATTAAAAATCGCGTTTTCTTTAATATATATACATATGTGCATTTATTGAAAATCGTGCTTTCCTTATATTATTAAATAGAAAAAATAAAAACACATGGACACATTTTCGATACATAAAGCAATATTTTCTGTGTTTTTAGGAGAAATTATTTTACCAAAAAGTGCTGATATTATCTTAGCATTGGGAAAAGTGCACCGAAGTAAAAAGTATTGGTCAAATCCATTAGTATTTGATCCAGATAGATTTCTTCCAGAGAGACTGGGAAACTCTCAGTTATGTTATTATATGCCTTTTAGTAACGGGCCTAGAAATTGCATAGGTATGTATGGGTAAATTGTAAAATAATCTTGAATTATAAATTTACTTTATATACATGTAATTGCATATGATAAACTCTTGCAGGTATGAAGTATGCGATGATTTCTATAAAAGTTATATTAGCAACTTTAATACGAACATTCGTGTTCAAAGTAGATGAAAGTATCAAGATCAGTAAGATAAAATTAAAATTCGAAGTTCTATTATCTCCCATTAAACCTCTCAAAGTTAAAATTGAGAAGCGGAATTTTCCGTCAGAAGGAATGTAGTATTTAAAAATATAATTAATTTAATGCGAAGATATATTAGATAAAATAAGTACTATATATAAGTACTATATTCTTGTGTATTTAATATTCCACATGTATTTGTTATGTCAGTACTAATATATATATTTAATTGATAGATTGCATATTAGAACGCTTCTTTATATATGTATATACAGGGTCTACCAAAAGTGTGGAAACCCCTAAATATCTCGGAAAATATACGTTTTACAGAAAAGTGTTTCCAACAAAAGTTTAAGATAGATCTATCAGTTTGACCTTGGATGGCGTCGTCAAGGTCAGGTCAAGGTCACATTGACTTTTTTAAATGACACCCCCTACATTTGATTGCATATTCTTATAGCTTAATTCAAGAGCTTTCCAAAACACTATAATAATGTTCATTTTTATTAAGTACTTTGCGAGTTATGAGGGTTGAAATAATTTCTTAATTTTACATAAACCATAAAATATCTAGTAAACCATTCATTTTTCGATTATCTTACCTTCATACTTTTATGTACAAATTAATGAGGAATCAATTGGTGTAAAGAAAACACATAGTTGTTTCTAAGAAAAAATATGTAATTTGCAATTAACAATTCCATATTTTTTCTTAAAAACAACTGTATGTTTTCTTTACACCAATTGATTCCTTTCATTATTTTGTACATAAAAGTATGAAGGTAAGATAATCGAAAAATGAATGGTTTACTAGATATTTTATGGTTTATGTAAAATTAAGAAATTATTTCAACCCTCATAACTCGCAAAGTACTTAATAAAAATGAACATTATTATAGTGTTTTGGAAAGCTCTTGAATTAAGCTATAAGAATATGCAATCAAATGTAGGGGGTGTCATTTAAAAAAGTCAATGTGACCTTGACCTGACCTTGACGACGCCATCCAAGGTCAAACTGATAGAATCAGTATATAGATCTTCTTAAACCCTACAACTTTTGTTGGAAACACTTTTCTGTAAAACGTATATTTTCCGAGATATTTAGGGGTTTCCACACTTTTGGTAGACCCTGTATATATGAAGAAGTGTTCTAATGTTCAATATATCAATTAAATATGTGTGAATAAAGTGATAAATTATATTGAGCTGTCCGAGTAAATATATATTGATTGCCTCAAAAAGATTTCTGTAATACAATTCTTAATGATACATGAGAATGAAGTCTTTTTAAAATTTCAGAATTTTCTCGCCCTTTTCAGACTAAAAATTATCTAAAGTCATATAAATAATATAAAAGTATACATTTACTCACGTAAATTGCAAGAGTAATAAATAGCGATCAGACGATTATTATATTATCGTTACTTTTTTATTTCATTGTTATTTCAAATCTTCTTTAAGAGAGCATATACAAGATAGATCCATTTTATTTTCGATTAACAGGGATGCTAATAGAGAGTTACAAAATATATATTATACACAGTTTATCATGAATATAATTAATATACAGAGCCAGGTGAGAGAGAGTGCTCTTCATTTCTTGATTCTTAATTAAATTCGAAATTAAATACCTAAATTAATTTCATAATGTGCTAATAAAAAAATAAAAAAAATCAATCATTTTCTTAGCTGTCAACAATATATAATTATTAATCGCTACGTACAAAACATGTCTATATCTTACAAAGGCAGAATTTTGAAAGGCAGAATTATAAATATTATTGACAGATAGCATGCTGAGATTAATTTTTTTATATTGTTAACATGATTGTTATTATGATATTCGAATTCAATTTAGCTAGAAATCAAGAAATGATGAACGCTCGCTTTGGTTTTGTATCTTAATTAGCATTATCATAATAAAATGTATATGTTTTTTGTTGAAATATGATAATAACAATCCTACTAGTAATATAAAAAGACATTCATTTTTTTCTAATCGCTATTTATTAACAAAATATATAATTATTAATCGCTATCTACAAAATGTACTTATATCCCACGATTGAAAGCGTTGTATAGAGATACAGTGTATGCCTAAATATGAAGCACTAAGTTTTAATGCTTTATATTTAAGTATGCTGTATTATAACAATATGATATATGCCGTATTTATATGTACTTCACGTTATAAACGTCGTGCTAATAAATATAATATACTACGATGTTTATAAATATGACGGACTAGACGCACACAATACCATCAGCTTGAGATATAAGCTCTGTCTTGGGGGGAAATCGTCTTTCCATAGTATCTTGGCGTGGTTTGTAGAAATATTTCGCGATTCGTAAATGCCACAGCAAGAGATCGTCGATCGTCTCAACGCATAGGTTTTGGTCACGTGGTGGTTTCCGATACTTTTCTGGAACGACCGCTCTTTTTGTGTTTAGTAGGTTCGCCATCATTATCCGACAGAGACGAATCCCTAAGTGACTTGCGGCCACGACCAACATTTCTTTCTTCATTTTCTGAACCTAGCGATTCCCGATTCGATTTGCGGCGTTGACGCTGTGGTGGCTGGTTATACGCCTCCATCGTTTCGCGCACGTGCTTTCGCTTCGCGTCCCAAAACATTTCCTGTCGCTGAGCAATCTCCGAATATCTACGATACGAGTAAAAACGATAAGCATCAAAATATCTAATATCTCTCTCTAATATATACTTAGTTCTTTATATTGAGAAATATTTAAGATATTTTAATGTCTCAACAGAATGTAACAATTACCTATCGCAGAAGCTCCGATTAGGTGGTAATTTCAATCGCCAACCCTTCTTTGGTTCATATATCCCGAGCTCTTCGAAAATTTGATTAATTTCATCTGATGCCAGTTTAATGAAGGATAAGACTGCGTTGCGCTTAAGATACTGATGCTCCGTAAATAATAATAGCTGCAAGACATACATACATCTAATTAATCTTTTCTTTTCTCTGAGTTCTTTCTATTCATTCATATAGCATTGTTGAGAACAAAAGTTTAAAGAGAAAACAATTCAATCTTATCAATTAATGATGCTGTGATAAAATATGAAAAGTTTCGTCAGGAGTTCAAATTTTATAATTAAAATTAGAGGTCATTTCGGAAATCTATTTAATTCCAGTGTGAAATTCCAAAGATTAAATGAGTAAAAACTAAATAATTGTAAGAGTAAATAATTTCGTTTGAGACATATAATAATTTCATGTAAAACATTTGATTCTTTTAAATGTCTCGCATAAACATAAAATTGCACTTTATAAGCAACAATCTATTGTTCTTAGATAAGACACTCACGATATAATCGCGAGCTTTGCACATAAGCTCGGAAATATTACTCTGTACAGAAAGACTATCCTTGGGATAGATTAGTTCACTGTTTACGACCCAATTACCCTGCACCAGCACAGCCACTTGCTGCATATATTTCAGCATTGTTATTGTATCATGTTCCGGCGATACAAACTCACGTAATGCTGAGAATGTTATAATTCTCACTGTAAAAAAAAACGGACTCTTTTGATTCTATCAAGTTCTCATATCATTTAAAAATCCATTTAATAATATAAAATTAATAATTATGCTCAAAAAATATTTTTTTAAAAATAAATTATACTTATTCTCTTTTTTTCAAACTTAATAAAAAAATTACCTTTTTTCATGATTATTCTAAGTTGGTCCAACAGTGGTAAGGTTGCAATATTATGGAAGTCCACCTGATTATCATATTCTCGTGAATTACATTCCTTGGGTACCAATAGAGACAGATAATTCTTTGGTAAATTCAGATTTATAGATTCATCTTCTGTTAATGAGCAGAACATCTCCATCCGTGTCAACTACAAAAAAATTAGATGTAAACAATTTATTTAATAAAGTTCTACAAATTAATAAGGGAGAAATGTCTGTAGATGTAATGATACCAATATGATATACCAATGCACATAAACATTAGATGTTATTTAATTCATAGAATTACACAATTTAATAATTAACCATATTTAATCATTCAGGTATGCTATAATTTTTTATGCCTCAAAAACAAATTTGATATAAAATGATATGAGAGAGAATAAAATGATAGAAAGTCCCTGAACATTTTTGCTATCAAAATATCTACAATTTATAATAATTATTCAACATATCGTCGATTCTTACTTCAGTTTGCGTATCATAAAATGGCACATAATTCGTGTGTATCCAAGGCTCTTCCTGGCTCTTCTTAGAATAATGTTGGAAAGATTGTTCTTGCATTCTCTTCACATTATCTGACTGATGTTTGGCAAATGTCACTTGTACCGGCATAGCATTATCCTCTTCTTCATCGCCCTCTGTATTTTAACAAATAAATTTATTAGTTAATATTACATTCTCTTATTTCTTTGTTCTTGTACCAAAAGAATTTTAAAGATTCATAAATTGTCTAGATAAATTGCACAGATTCATAAAAATATTTGTTTACCTTCTATTGTACTTTTTGTTCCATCCTTATTACGCTTGTCGTTTTCATCCAGATAATCACACTGTAGTTTCATATGTAGCATCCCGTTCAATGGCGTGATATGTAACTCATCATCCTGAAAGACTCCAACTGCTAAATTTGAGCAATCCGACATTGTGCGTTCCGAAGTCAACACAATCTTGTCCATCAATTCACTAATACCAAAAAGAAAAAAAAGAAAGTAATTCTAATAATTTTAAAATTAATACCATTTATTTAGAGATGTGTCAAACTGTAGTTTTTTTTAATCAATTAAGTATAACTATAATAATGTTCATATAGTATAGACATGTATTTCTTATAATTTATTAATTTATATTATAAGCACTTTATTGAGGGATAATTGTAATTATATTGATAAAGTATTATAACAAATATAAATAGTTTGTTGTATAATAATATATAAAAATATCCTATTAAATACCTATTAAATACTTTTTCATCATCTTTTTTAGATTTGCCGTCTGCAATGAGAGCCAACTGTTTCCCCATGTTACAATCATAACAGTTTTCGTTTAACGTGTCTATTGCAAACTCCATGTGGATCTTTTTATTTTCAGGTTTGATGGAGGTTTTCAAGATGGTAGCATTAGCATAGCCATCGGTGACATATGCAGGATATTGAACAATATACAATTTATCAGCCAGAGTCTTGGACAGAAATACAGGTATCTAAAAATAATTGTTTCTATTACTTATACAGGTAAAAAAAACTTTGGTGTATGGTATTTTATACAAAGAGCATCCTAACATAAAAAAATCTTAATTAATAAGATTTTAATCAAAATAAACATGATTGAGAGAAATAAATAAAATAAGCAATATAAAGAATAGAGCACAGAAAAACAATAAAAAAAGTGAATCAAATAAATATAAATATGTACGGTAGATATGAAAAATATAAACGCTTTTTAAAAATAGTTAAGTATAAGCGATTTTTTTTAAAAGACAAATATTTATACACGTTTCACACAATTTTTTATCATATAATATGATAAGAGGTAATTGTAAAAATTCAAATTTCTCAGACCATTCGTGCAAAAGCAGAAAAACTTAACCTAGAAATTGGGTTTCAAAATTACGTTAGTATTCGAAAGCTGAAATTTAGAAAGATTAAAAATTAAATATTTGCTAAATAAACTAACTTCCTTGACGACCGGATCGTTGTCTATCCTCGTGGTGTTCATTTTTGCTTTTCACCAGAAACAATCAGAAAATCCTGAGAACTGAGAGCGTCCGTCCGATTGAATAAAGAATGAAGAATACCACGAAGGAGCATGTGAAAACACGTGCCAATATGGGTTAGGCCGGATCTACAATAGGCAATTTAAGCCTAAAGCCTTAAAAGAAATTGACCAATCACAGTCAAGTATGAAGAGAATATTCGATTGTGATTGGTCAATTTCTTAAGTCTTACGTCTTAAGTCTCCTTAAAATCTCATTGCAGACGACGCTTTATGGTTGGTCCCTGTAACTGACGGAGTTATAAGAAACTAACCAATCGTATTCAATTATTCTTCTCACATCCAATTGTGATTGGTCAACATCTTAGTCCCGATCTACAATAGGTAATTTAAGCCCTATGCTTTGAGAAATTGACCAATCACAGCCAAGTATTCTTTTCATATTTGATTGGTCAATTTCTAAAAGCTTAGGGCTCAAATTACCTATTATAGATCGAGATATACTTATGGATGGAGCCGGAATGGTTTAGTTTTACGACGTATTCGTGATGTATTCAGACGTCAGCGAAAGCGAAAAGAAGGCGGTAAATTTAGGTAATAGAATTCAGTTTTATAACGCAAATCCGTTGCACCCCCCCATCCCCCGCGACTAAATTTTCGCTTCACGTTGACTCGAGTAGTCGTCTTCCCCCACCCCTTCTCCCACGCCGGGCACCGGGGTGACCGGGGTTCACGCGAGTGTGTGCACGGAATTCACGGAATTGTGATCGATCGTTCGTAATCATCGTCGAGTGTCGTCGCAATCTCGCAAATAATAACGACGTTTTCTCGTGTTAGTTCTTTTCGTATTTCTTCTCCCATCGGGAAGCCGGCAATCCTGCCCAGATCTCTCAAGATGGTGAAAATGGAGCACGATGTAAGTACCTTGTCACGTCGAAAATTGCTCCGATATCTTTACCTCACGATACTTTGATTGTACTGCTATTTTAAGGACAAAGTACTAAGGATCAGTCTACTTCTGACCAAATTTAAGATTATTCTTATATCGTTAATATTGCGGAAAATTTCATTTCTGACATAAGCGAGGGTGTACGTATATATATACATACGTACGTACGTATTTGCATTTGCGGACCGGCGTCCAGTAATGCCATCGATATTTATGCTATGATGGCGGAAGGCAAAGAACGTTATATGATTACGAAGTAAATTGATCATAATTTCAATTTGCTTTAATTTCCTTTTTTTTCATCCGAATCATTAGTCGAAAAATTATCATTATTTAGATATATAATAACGAAGCAAACATCATATTGAAACTTTTTTTGTCACGAAGGCTCGTTTTCACAATCTCGTTTTAAAATATTTACCGGTTTTTATATTCAAAATGATAGAAAGAAAAAAATGAATATGTGTATTGCGAATCAAATAGTTTCCAGACTTCAGCATTATTTCTTGCGTATGATTGAGACTTTTAACGTTTTAATTCCATCGTTTAATATTTCAGGATGGTAAAAATGAGCCGGAACACGTGAGAAAGTTGTTCATCGGTGGCTTGGATTATAGAACAACAGATGACTCGCTTAAGAAACATTTCGAGCAATGGGGAGAAATCGTAGATGTTGTTGTTATGAAGGATCCTAAGACAAAACGATCCAGAGGCTTTGGTTTCATCACTTATTCTCGTGCTCATATGGTGGATGATGCCCAGAATGCTAGGTAAAACGGTTCGATTATTCGTTATATATTATACTTATTAATCTTTGCATTTAGAAAAAAAGTTGTAATTTATTTTTGAAAGAGGAATTTGTATGCAGTAATACAATGGAATGTGGAGAATTAATAATTAAAAATTTTGTATTTGTTGAAAAAGTGTCATATTTATTTTGGATTTTTACACGTGGCAATATCTCCTTTATAGACCTCACAGGGTAGATGGCAGAGTAGTGGAGCCCAAGAGGGCAGTACCCAGACAAGAGATTGGCCGACCAGAAGCTGGAGCTACCGTGAAGAAACTCTTCGTGGGCGGCTTAAAGGATGACCACGAAGAGGAGGATCTTAGACAATATTTTCAGAGTTATGGTAGCATAAACTCGATTAGCATAGTCACGGACAAGGAAACCGGGAAGAAGCGAGGTTTCGGTTTCGTCGAGTTCGATGACTATGATCCCGTCGATAAGATTTGTCTCCAACGTAACCATCAGATTCGTGGCAAGCACGTCGACGTTAAAAAGGTAAGAGAATTGTTTTTAAAAACTATTTTTAAGCTAACAATATAATATATATGATGCAAGAAAAAGTGTCAGTTTCTTTTTTTTTCCTAGTATTTTTCTACATGTTTTTACAAATTCTATTAATGTATCTTATTTTTGTATAGTATTTTTTGTTTAAATTATATTAAACTTTTGTTTCTAGAAAATTATTTAATAAGAAGATTTGCTTTTTTTGTAAATCAGATTACTAGTCAAACATATTTTGTATCTTTATTAATTATAACGATTATTCTTATTGCAGGCTTTAAGCAGAGCTGAAATGGCATCCGCATCCGGGGGTGGCGGTGGTAGCGGAGGCGGTAGCCGTGGTAGCCAAGGAGTTGGCAGAGGACCGCGCGGTAGCAATCAAGGTGGTGGTAGCTGGGGAGGACGTGGCAGCGGCGGTGGTGGCGGCGGTGGCGATTGGAATAACGGCGGTAATCAAGGCGGATACGGCGGTGGAGGTAATCAAGGTTGGGGAGGTAATGGACCATGGGAGAATCAGAATCAAGGTAAAGGTTCGCAAACAAACAAACTTCTCTTCTTTTCCTAGCATTTTATAATATCCGATTCGCATTATATTTTAAATTTTTAACAAAGAGATAAGAAAAAGAATCACATATTATTTTCCGCACAAAGATAATATGAAGTCATTCTCATTATAATAAACTGTGATGTGAATAACATTAACAAAAATATATTGATGTAAATATGATAAAGGAGGAGGATGGAACCAGGGCGGACAAGGTGGTTATAATAGCGGTGGTAATTGGAGCAACGACAATTTCGGCGGTGGTTATCAACAGGGGTATGGCGGTGGTCCTGTACGCAACAATTTCAATTCGGGCGGTAGATCGGCACCTTATGGCGCCAATTCGGGTCCTAGCGGTCGACAATCTGGCGACTCGAGATGGTTACCGCCTTTTGGCGGACAAGGTTGCTCTTCACTTTCAAAAATCAACAACAGTAGTGTATTTTGCTTACTCTTTCTGGTCTTTATTTTCCTGCTATTGCACTTTTTTTTAATTGTAACAAGAAGTTTATCGAGAGATACAAATGCTGCATTAACCCTAGTGGCATGTATCTTTCTATTTTTTTTCTGTCGTTCTCAATATTGTTTAACAAAAATTTACATAGAGGATGAACTATATTTCCAACATCTTTCCGATTAATCATCAATTGTTGAAATTTAAAGCATCACATTATTTATGATACATTCTAAATAATTTCATATTATTATTCATATTATACATTCTAAATTGTGTGATTTCCAAATGAAATGTGTCATTTTATGTGACTATCAATCGTATCATTGATCAATTTGTAGCCATCTTATTTATGTTTTATGATATTGCAGGACCCATGGGTGGCGGAAATTCCGGCGGTGGCGGCGGTGGATATGGAAATCAAGGTGGCTATGGCGGTAATTCCCTTGGAAACATGGGTGGTGGCGGTGGTGGAGGAGGTAGTGGAAGAAGATATTAAAAAACGCAGAGAGCATGTCGCTAACAACCTCTCTCGCTGGTAAGCACAATACATAATTATAGTATATTATCGATTCGTTATTTCTATATCGTTTATTTTTATCGCGAGATTCTGTCAAGTAATTTCTCGCGAATTATCTTCAGTTTATTTGATCTTAAATAATACAGAGAGAAATATCTTCTTAATTTCTAAATTAAAGAAATATCACATAATTACGATTCATACAACGCAATTAATAATTAACTTTGATATATGTGAATTAATTTCTCATTTATTTGAAGCATTTATACATTAATGTTGATTAATTTATTAATCATTCAAGTCTGTTCGCGCGCATGCGTTCTTATTATTTAAAATATAATTCAAAGGTCCTTTTTATATAATACATAATGTATATATATATATATATATATATATATATATATATATAAATTTATATAATTATATCTACTCAGAGATTCTTCTTTGAAAAATTATCTTATTGCCATTATATATTTTATGGTTTGTGTGCAAACGATGGAATTAGAGCACAGAGTTATATCTAACGATTGTTGCATCCTCATGTTTATCGCATTATTCTATCTGACATAGCACTAGAAATTAATCTGGCTATTTAGTAGCAAACAATTCGATAGTGTTCTTTTTTTCTTTCTTTTTTCAGTCGATACATTTTCGAAAGTTTAGAAGCGTAGAATAGACGAGAAGCTTAGATGGAGATAACAAATTTGTTTCTATATATATTTCTACTTCTCATATCAACATCTTATAATATTTTATCCACTGAGTTTTAAAGAATAGTGTTTATTTTACTTAATATATTTGTGCATATATAAAATATGTAGGTTAATGATAAATTATTTCACTCTATTATAAAACGCGCGACAAAAGTGAGAGATTTCTTTTGAGGAATTTACTTAGTCTTCGCAATTATCAAACTTGTGTGTATTAGGACCTCCGAGGGTCTACAGGGTCAAGGATTTAAGAATCTCGGAATACGGGGCTTTGAGCATTCGAGAATCTTAGGAAAGGAATTATACTTTCTCAATCTTTATAGAGAGAATTTTACTATAGATTATGTGGGTTAGATGCAATATTTTAAATTTTAATACAACACTTGAGATGTCGAGCATTATATAATTTGTTTCCTTCGAATTTAATATTCTATAGTGAGTGTCAAATATAATAGAAACAAATTTAAGCCTAAAAATCGAGAATAATTAGAAATTTTTTAATTCAAGATTCTGGAAATATAAAAGAGATTTTAAAAACTAGAACACTCTCAAATCTTAAAATTTGAATTAATCGAACATTTTTATTTAAAATTCTAAGAAATTGTGATTTAAAATTATACACTGATTTGAATTATACAAATTTTAGTTAAATATCTTTTCAATTTGGAGATGAGTTAGTTTTCCAGCAAATTACATAGATGATACAGCATACACAACACTCGATATGGAGTGTTTTAAATGATATAATATCATATTGTTGGAATAGAAGCTCAAGTGCAAGCATATGAAATAAAATCTAGTATTTTCCAACCTTTTAAAAAATTTTAATATTTAACACATGATAATTATATTTATTTATCTTTTTATTTTATTCAAACATGATTAGCTATCAAATATTGTAATAATACTTATTGTAAATATATTTGACAAGTGATTTTAATTTCACAAATTTAGATTATTATAATATTATTACTAAGAGTCACATACATAATTTTATTTAATTTTTTATTATTACAATATGATCAATTACATATCTTTTTAGAATTTATTTATTAATCTATTTTCTTTATTATATTGGAAAAAATATAGTATACAATATATTCGAAATAAGTACAAATATATTCGAAATAAACAACTCCAACAACTGTAATATTGATTATATTAATAATAAACATAGAAAATAATCTATTGTATAATGCATTCTAGCAATACAGTCAGAAATTAATTTAACTGTTCCAACAAATATCTTACATATAAAATTACGTAATATAATATGTGATTGCTGGAAAACTATCAGTATCATTTCTCAAGTATTGGAGACTTTGAAAAGTTTGAATGTCCATACATTTTAAATCTTACAAAATTTAGACTCTTAAAATTCTAATTAAAAATTCGCAGAATTATGTATATATATATTTATTTATTTATTAACTTATTTATATTAATATTTATATCTATATTTATATAAAGTTTAAAGATTCTATAAATTGGAATGTTTGAAGAAATAGGAGAATGAGAGAGAGAAGTAGAGAAATGTAGAAATTCAAGGATTTATAAATTCTCTACTTAGGAATCTAAAAATATGAAATTTTTAATCAGAAATTTTTAAATTCCAAAATTTATATAGAAAAATTTTCGAGATATGAGGTTCGAAGAAAATAGAATTTTTAAAAGATATTCGAGTAATCTTATTAAATTACCATAAAACGAAGAAAGATAGGATACGAGAGATCTATAAATCTCGTAGAATTCCTGGAATCTAAAATAAATGTTTTGACAAAAATCCGAATGTCTTATAAAAAAGATTCAAAGATTCGATAAATTCTTTGCTCGCGACCCGACCGCGGTCCTTTGCACAGATTAGGAAACTTGACTAACGGATTTCTTGACTTTTAAACCTCAGGTGAAGCTACTACTCCTACTACTACTTGTCTTCTAGTCGCCAGTACTTCTGTACTGTTTAGTATCGGAGGCAGGCAGGCAGGCAGGCAGGCAGGCTATCAGGCTAGAGAGACAAGACAACGAACAGGCAGAAACTCAGAAACTGTCAGGCAGGCAGGACAATCAGGATACAGGACAAAAATAAAGAGACAAAGAGAAAGAGAATCATCAGTTAGCTTGCAGTGAGAGAGGCTTACATGCCTATCCTTTTTTAATCTTGCGTCCGATTTTTCCCCCCTTCTCCATTCATTGTAAACATTCTCACTATCCCCCTCGAATATACACGCGTGTCCTTTACAAAGACATGGATTCGTAAAGATCGCTCGGACAGGAAAAAAACTCGTATTTATATACATATATAGAAGATAATTCATATTAAAAGAAGAGAGAGAGAGAGAGAACGAGGGAGAAAGAGCGCGTATACACATAGCGACAGAAATGGTAACAGAAGACAATGTATACCTCAGCGTTTATTTGTGTAGGAATTAGGACTAATTAATAGGAAATATATAATTGAACTTAATCATTTTACGAAACTGTATAATTGTTTAAACTTAAAGTCGGCGAAATAAAAGTGTAGAAACCTTTTCTTTATCATGTTTTAATTTTGTGACGTGAGGCCAGTAGGTGTAAGCTCAGATTAAAAGACTACAAGAGAACATACATATACATACATACATACATACATACATATACATACATTGGGGTCTAGAACAGACTGGCATTTGCCATCCAGAATATCTTTTTCGTGTAACTTCGAAGTTTCATTGTTTAATTTTATAAAATTTATTAAAACATAAGAAAAATGCATGTATATATGTATATGTATATGGGTGTGTGTGTGTGTGTGTGTGTGTGTATGTATGTGTGTGTGTGTATATATATATATATATATATATATATATATATATATGCATACATACATGCATACATACATACATACATACATATGTATATATGCATATACCATTATTATATATGCATTAATCATATGCATAATCATTGAAATTTTTCACGCTATCAAAACTTCCTCTTCTAAGTTGCATAATAAAAATATTCAAGGTGATAACGGCAGATTAGGATTATCATAGGCAAAATTTATATCTTATATGTTTTGAAGAGACAGAAAGAACTTGTAGATGTATATTAAACTAAAAAAAACGAAGAAAAAGAAATAAATAGCTGTATTGTCGAATTTGTAGTCAATGAAAAAAAAAATGTCACCGATATCTCGGAGCGCGTCAATATTTAAATGTATATGCATTATTAAATCCTTTGTGTATATAGAATGAAACATCAATCCCAGTTTTCTACAGTTCTTTTCGTTTCACATGGAATCTCACGACTCGATTCGAGCTTCTTTCCAAACCTGTTACATTATTTCCTTATCACAGATATGTCGTAAATGATGGGCACTCTGTAAATATTTCGAATATAATATTGTAACATGTGAAAGTTTCGAACCAGTATCTTAAATTATTTATTTAGAAAAAAATACTAATAATTAATAATATTAGAACTCTAAAGAACTTGAAGATCTTAAAAATATCAAGATTTTTGAAAATGAAGTTATCTTTCGAGACTTCTTTTATTCTTTTTTAGAATTAAGTTTTTAAAAATTTTCTGGTTTAACATAATATAATAATTTAAATATTTGTAGCATTGCTTGAAAAATTATATACGAAAAAATTTGATTACTAGAATAGTAGATAGAAAAACTCGTGAAACATTGAAACTCTGTTTTAGATATAAAGATTTGCAAGATTTTCAAAGATCTCATCTTTCAATCAGTCTTTCGCCCTTAGACCTATAGTGATGTCAAAGATACTAGAGTAGTTAGTCTAGTGCAGTTTGAATTCGAATTTTAATAATGAAGATTAGCAGCTTAAATGCCAGGAAGAAGCTAGAAAGCAGGCAGGTAGCAGAGAGAGAAAAAAATAAGAGAAAGAGAGAAAGGATTCTCAGGCTGGAACAGGACTAGTGTTCGCGAGCTAGGCTTCTCGCTCTAGCCTCTATTATACGAATCACAGGTAGGAATGTTAAGATCTCATTTGCTTAGACATACATATAATACGTACAAATATAAATATATATATATATATATATATATGTGTGTGTGTGTGTGTGTGTGTGTGTATACATACATACACACACATATATATTTATGTATATAATATATAGTGTTTCGAAATTTAAAGGTAATAAGATGCAGCATGAAAATATGTGAAAAGTAAGATGTATGCCAGTTTTAAATAAGAAGTAATTTTTTTTAGTATAAGATTTTAAGTTTTTTAATATAAGATTTTAAGTTTGATCAGATATAATCGCTGGTTTAAAGAGTCATCTATGATGATATACGACACAATCTTATATTTAGCATTAATGATCGTAAAGTGTTCGGCAACTAATACTACTATACACGCGACTTATGGACAGATGACTTTATAAGCATGACTGATTATGAGTATTAATTAACTCTTTATCTGCCATATGATGCGCCGGTCGTCGTATGGCAGTTGAAGTGTTAATTAATGCTCATAATCAACCAATTTTAAATTCTTTAAAAAATTATTTTTTTGAATGAAAAAATGGTGTACATTTTTATTATTTTCTCGTGTTGCATTTTTATTATCCTCGAATTTCGAGATATGCTGTGTGTGTATATATACATATATATACATATATGTAGGGTGCTAAATGGTAAAAACTGTGTGCATGATATATTACAATGTTGTTTTACAGTGTCCTTCAGGCGAACCCACATTATATCTGGTATGCTATATACCAGAGAGAGAAAGAGAGAAAGTTATTATTTATAGTGAACTCGCGAAAGAGTTGAATGAATTGAAAAGAATCGGTAGAAATTTGATTTCTTTTTAATAAATCAAACATTGATTTTTCTCGTTATATTTAAAGTTAGGAATTGTTTCTCTAAAATTTTATATTTCTTTCCTTATATTTTATAATATTCCTCTCTTAAGAAGTATTAGAGAAATTATAAAGTATTGTAATTTAACTAAATATTTAGTATAGAATAAAGAAGAAAAGGTTTAAATAATATAAAACTATATAGTTATTTAAAAATTTTTGCATATTTTTAACGTATTTTTTTATTTTTACGTTAAAATAGAATTTGTTTTTATTTATATCAATAGCTTCTATATACGTGTTATATATATGTGTATGTATATAGGATTTACTTTTAAACGTTTCATCTCGTTTATTTTTAACTGATTAATTTTTATGAATAACGCAAACAAATCAATTTTATTTTCTAAAGAGGACAACGTAATAAATTCATGACGCTTCATCCCTTTCGACAGGGTAGCTCCTTCAAAGGTCTTAAATGGTAATAGGGATAATGCAAATAGTACATGATTTCGAAACTCTTTTGATTCTCTTTATAAGCATGTTTCTTTTTTTATAGCGTGTGTGTTTGAATGAATATATTTTTTATTCATATATCCTTCTCGAAAATCAGTTTTAATATTTTTCGCAAAAATTAATCGGTTAAAAATAAACGAGATGCAAAAAATAAATACTTTGTATACATACACAGAGTCGAGAAGTTAGTTTATAAAAATATCTCTATTCTAATATATATAATTTATTATCGTTATACAAACAATATATTATTGCATTATTATGGTGTTACAAATAACATGTTACTTCCCAATATTTCATGTCTGCGTGCGTGTAATTTTGATAACATATTAGATCTTATTGTAATCTATTTTGAATAATAATCTATAATAGCTTTAGCTGTAGTTAATACTAAAATTTAATTTGTACAGAGTATTTTGTTAATATTTCCGTGTTAAATTTGTAATACAATTTAAAAAAAGAATGTATCTGAGATATCTTGTAGCTTTAAAAGTAATATTCAAAATATTATGATCGTGTAATTCGATATAATATGCGAAATGTTCTGTAAATTTCTACCGATTCCATTTAATTCATTTTTCTTTCGCAGAGAAAAAGAAAGGGAAGGGAGATTAGATTGCAGGAGGCACATTTACGTTTTGTATCGCTGTTGCATCGTTGCTATTCGTTCGTTTTATTATATATTTTCTCTTCTTTTCTTTTCATTTCTTTTTCATGCTAATGTTCACGTACGCACAAAGGAAGTCTTTCTATAAAAAAATATCACATATAGAAGCAGGACTTTTCGAAAAACACGACATGCTTTTCTCTTTTTATATATGTCGCGTTTCAAGAGAATTAGGATTTCGTAGTTAAATATACATTATAGCTTTTGAAGGATCTTAGGCACACCGAATACATTAAACTTCAATTACGCTAGCTACTTACACAAGTCCAAAAATATTTAATACGACATATATTCAAGGCTATTGCGATTTAGCAAGAAAAGTAATTATAATTCAAAGCAATCACATTTTTTCACTTTTATGCAATTTTTAAATTCTAATGTAATATGCTAATTTATGAACCAGATTCATTTTTAATATATTGTTATTATATATTTGAAAACAAAATTGAAAGACACATATATATGTACATGTATGTATATATATATATATATATATATATATATATATATATATATACAGGTATATATATATATATATATATATATATATATATATATAAATTATATTTTATAAAAAACTAATTTGTTAAAAGAATGAACTTTTAAACAAACAAAAGAATCAAATTCTCAGGAATTTATAATTTGGATCCTTAATGATTTTCCCTTTTTCTGACATTTATGTTCATTGTTAGATTTTTTAAAAATTATGCACCCCTTTTTCTGAAATCCTTGATATTAAATCTGATATTCAAGATTTCAGGACAATGTCGATATTACAAACTTTGTAATTGAAATTCCTAAGAGAATAATTGATTGAAACTGATGGCTACTATGATCCTTTCGTGCCCGAGGTCCTTCTAAAAACTCGATATTGCCTAAGGATTTGAGAATACGATAAAAAAATTCACTTAAAAAAAATCGACGCTCTTGACCGTCATCTTAAGCGTTAATTTAGAAGGAAACGATTTAATTGAATTTAACGAATTAGCGAGATTTAGAGTACGCACAAGAGGGATGATAATAAAAAATGATAAAGTGTTGCAAATTTGGTTCGTTTGAGTTCTTGGGGATAGGCAGGATGTGTTTGTTATCGAGATTTTCTTTTACTTTTCACTGTATATTAATTGTTGTCTTTCGTTTTCATTAATTTCTGGTTTACCATTCGGGCTGGTACTAGAAGAGAGCGACGTATCTCCACCACCGTCCTTCTGAGGTCATCAACTGAGGTAAGTTTGAGTTACAATCCGTCCCCGCGTTTAATGATCAAAGATTTTGAATCGTTTCAATTATTATTCGAAAGTAGGTATTTTTTTCATAAAATCTTGAAAATTCAAGCTTCCAAAAATCCGAGTATAATAAAGAAATAAATATTTTCTCCCTAAAAAATGAGAGCGATGTATTAATAAAGATTAAAGATCAAAATTCTTAAAATCTTAAAATAGAAAAAAAATTTTTGAAATTATGAAACATTTTTTGATTCAAACTTGAACGATTTAAAGACATTTTCGGATTAGATATGGACTCTGGTTTTCTTAAGATCTAAATATTTTTACATTCACAGCTATAAAATATTAAATACTTGAAAAGTTTTTGACAAAGCAAAGATTTTAAAGATAAATTTCTTAGGATCTTGTGCGATGTATTTAAGACATATTTAATAAACTTTTTTCTAGTCTTCTACAGAGTTGCAATTTCATTTTCCTTCACAAACTCTTCAAGTACGTATCATTCTAAAAAATTACTTCAATCAATTATGATACATTACTTTGTCTACGACAGAGTTTAGTGAAATATATGGAATTAAATAACAATACAAAGAAAAAAAATATAAGGAAAAGAATATAACTATCTTACATAATTTATTTTGTTGACTAATTTTTTTAACTGTATAATTGAATATATAAGTGAAAGGAAATTAATTAATAATTACAAATATTACACGTAATTTCATGTCTTTCATTCTTCTCCTCGTTATTAAGCATCGATAAAGCGACGAATAAAATATGCGCAAAATTAAATATATTACCTTTATTATAATTACTATATAAATTATAATAGCAACTATACACTACATAATTACGCGTTTCTATTATAATTAATTGGCTTAATTTCTTTAATGATACTTATTATTTTATATATAACTATTCACCGAATTAATTTTATATTTAGTTCAGTGTAAACAATAAGAAACAAGACAAGCTTTCAAAGGTAAGTCGATTATAAACTAATTTTAACGGTCAATTTGATAATTTTACTTTGTTAATTGATGATTATACATTTGAAAAGCATATGCAGTTTTGTACATCCAAGCAATTCTTGTAGTTTTGTACATTAGGATTCTTTTCCACGAGTGTGACTCTATATCATCTTTTACAGAAAATTCTGCAAAATTCTCTTTATAAAATAAGAGATTTTTGATAAAGAAGTTTTGTTAGATAATGTCAAAAATTTTTGTATCATATTATTTACTAACACTTACAAATGTGTTTAGATTCTTTCATAGTAGATTAACATCTCTCTCTTTGTCTCTCTCTTCTTAATATTAAATTGTCCAGTAATATTCGCGAAGCATCTAATCGAATTTTGCATCTAAAACAAATATTAACAAAATTCATATAAAGTATTGCATGCTTTAGGATATTACAAGATGCCAATTCAATATTGAAATATATTTAAACGGTACAAATATTCCAAATTTAAAACTTTTTTTAAATATAATTGCAGTAAAAATTGTTCTTTTTTAGCATCAATACTTATTAATTTCAATGATTTAAATTTTATTTTATCATTATAAATTTTTATAAATGTTTCGAAATATTTAAAAATCTCGTTGTTTAAAGATATTTCAATATAATCTTGCAATGTCAATATAAGGATGCAAATATAAATTTATGCGAAAATGTTGATAGAATGTACAGATTGGATTTGTATGAAAATTAAAGATTTCAATCAATTTCACTTGGATTATTTCAAATATTTATCAAATGTAAATATAAAATAAATATAGTCGAAACAAATTCGTACAAAGAGTATCACACGCGTAAAGAATCTATTCAGAAATTAAATTGATGGTCAATTGCAAGTATTGTATTTCAAGAGAATACATATACACCCGAGGGAATAAAAAAAATCAATTTTTGTATTCTTTTAATCTTTAATATTTCGAAAATACTTTTGAAATTTTTGATCAAAATTTGAAACATTTTTCAAACGCAGCAAAAAATAATGTATTTTCTTGAAAAAAAGTTTAATTTTTGTTTATAAAAAATCAATTTTTCTTTTTTAGAAAGCTAGAGAAACGGTGAATATCTTTTCTTGCATCTGGATGTGAAAGGTATTTTTTGCGGTTATTATTTTTCTCGTAATATGACAAGAATTAATGAGAAGATTTTTATTCGTGCTGAAAACTACTGATTGTTAGAGTCGCGCTTTTATATCGCGTAATAAAAAGAAAGTTTTAACTTATTGTCAGCTGTATTTTTAAAGGAACAGCGAAATCACGTTGGATTCAATTAAGTCGTGGACATGAGATTCGGCGGATTGTCGGACGTTTCGCTTCCGCTGCTGCTGTAACGCGGTTGATCCTTTAGAGATTCGTCGGCGATGACAATAGAATTGCCAGGAACGCAGGAGTGATCTCGATTGGCGGTTACCGATCCGTAGGTATCCTTGTATAAGCAGAGGCCGCAGAATCCCGTGGCGTTATAGAGCGGCAGATTCATCAAGCCGTTTGATACAGCAAAGTTTCTGCAAAACATACTCGATTAGCGAAAAATTTTTCGCAAACTCTTGATTACACAATGACTAATCGACGTGCATTTTCGGACACTCGATATATTTTCTAATCGCGAGGTCTACGATTACTTTTTCCGCCTGTGAAAATGGTCCCGGGAAAATTGTAGGAGAGCGCGTGATCAGTTCTTGTATCTCCGTTCGCTTCGAAAGAGCTTTTATTCGGCGAAACATTAGGGGAGGGTAAACTGCGGATCGCGTGTCGGCGATCCCCTCTGCTCGTTTACGTTCCTTAATACTGTGGCTGAGTTTAATGAAGACTGTTATTGTGAGATCATCCTCCCCCCCCCCTCTCTTCCATTAGGATCTCGTAATAAAAGTTCCCACAACACTCTCTCCAATTTTTTATGTTCAATATTTTATATTTGTTTATCTATAATAGTTTATACTCACAATCTTTGTACATAGTTAGACGAGACGAATAAGTAATATAGCATGAAATAATTTCACGCATCAAGCGCATCTCGACGATAAGCTTAAAATTGAAAGTTTATTGAAATAAGCTTTTTATTTAAAATCGGTCGAAAAAAATAAACTTTCGTTATTTCGTCGTTTGCAATCCTAATAAGATATTCTTCAATATTCGAGGTTGAAATTGAGAGCGCAAAAGATCAAACCGGATGTAGATGAAGAGGGGGATGAGGAGAGGATTGCGACAAGTGGATGAGAAAATCCCCTCGGTTAGCACGGCGAGTGCATTTATCCGTAGGTTTATCGAGCGTCAGGTGCATATCGACTGAATAACGCCGGGGCGCAAGGCAAGGGTGGCGACGAAGAAGAGAAGGGGGAAGGGGGGAAAGGCCGGGATTCGGTGGACCTCGAGAGCGACGCTCGACTGCGACTCGAGCTAGGGTGATTCCCGATTGCGATATGCCGCTAAATAGCCTTAAGTAGGATTATGTCTCGTGCTATTGTGACGAAGAGGCGAGGCGAGAAAGCAAGAGGCGGAGGAGGAGCGGCTCGCACAAATTTCGGTCTTTGTGCGGGAAGCCCGACCGGGACGTCCCGACACCTCGCGTCGCATCCCTAGGAGGGTGCTCGAGTTTTCGGATCGGGCGATTCTCTTCCATCGCGAATCGTACGGGAGTAATTGTTCGCGATGGGATCGCGGAACCTGATTTCCGGTGAAAAAGCGTTTGACGATTCTCGCGCGATTTAGAATATTCAAAGGAGGGTTGTACGATCTCGTCTTTGTGAGAATCTTTAAATCAGTAACGCAAAGGGAAAGACGGAGATAAAAAGATTTATAAAAGTCCAGAATAAAATGTGGAAATAATTGAATACAAATATGTAGGGTGCATTTCGCAACTAGTGATAGAGCCGAAAAAAGATGAATCTACATAAAAGAAACATAAGTCGAGAATGTAGAATAAAACCATATAAAAAAAGCTTAGTCTACATTTTCGACTTTATGTTTTTGTAGAATTATCTTTTAGGTTGCATCATGTACACACACATATATATGTATGTATGTATATATATATATATATATATATATATATATATATATATATATGTTAAACATAATCTATATGTAATTTACATATTTAATCACATAGTTTGATATCTTTTCTTCTAACAAATAACTAAGCCTTCGATTCAACTTCTATTGGAATAAGATTCGCTTATCATTGATTGAAGAATTGAGAGAATAATTTTTTTATGTCATTTTCTCTCTCTTTTAAATTCGTCGGAATTATAGAACGATTTTAACATGGAACGACCGATGAAACTAACAGTCGTGCACTCTAATAACCGCATTAGAGAACTCGATATATCACGTCGACAAGATAACGATTCGGCTGGACGCATAGAGCGTGGGATGCGCGCGAGAACCGCCATATGCTCCGTATGGCCTCTTATTTTTCCCGTGTCAGCTTCAATAAGGCGGGGAATTAGGATTGCGCGTTTAAATAGCTTTGAGAAATAACATCGGCAAATAACCAACTTAACTACCCTGACTAAACGAATTAACCGAAACGAATCATCGGTGTATTTCAAGGTATCGGATATAATATTTCGATGCCAAGAAAATTTGCGAAGAGCTTGTCGGGAGAGGATGGAAATCAATACCGATACTGCTGATCCAGTTGCGCTTTCTCGATCCTCTTGTCTTTGGCGCGTCTGTTCTGGAACCAGATCTTGATCTGCGTCTCGGTGAGCCTAAGAGAGGCCGCGAGCTCGAACCTACGTCCCCTCGAGATGTACTCTCCTCGTCGGTATTCGACTTCCAATCTCAACGTCTGTTCGCCGCTGAACGTCGTCCTCTGTCTTCGCGGTCGGCCCTCTTTTCTCCTCCTACGCGCCACTAGAAAAAGAAGAAAAATCTCAGATTTGTTGTCATACTTTTGTGATGTCCATAAATAGGATATTTCCTGTTTCTTTAAGATTTCGATTTGTTGGAAAAATCACGGGATATTTAAAAGACATTTTACAAATATAATTTCAAATCTATTTTTGCTAGTCTTTTCGAGAATATAAGTATTTAATTTTCTGAAAATTCTAGAAATGTAAGAGATGTATATAAAAGTATTTTAGTATCAAGTATTAGGCGAGAAAAAGGAAGAAATTAAATAAAAAGCAGCTATAACTCATCTATTTAAACGAACGATTTAATGATCTCGTGATCAGCGTGAACAATTAGGACGGTCACGCGAAGCTCGTTTCCTGGATTCCCCCAACACCTGGGCGGATGCTCGCACGAGTAACAAATGATCCTGACATCATCCTCGGAAGGTGGACCTTTCGAATAATTGCAATTTCAAGATACAGTTGCGACAAGATGTACACGTGTCACGATTTCCTCCAATTCGATTTTAATCTTTACTTTTCGCGCATATTCGGATAAGATGAATCTGGAAGCGCTGTAATTTCATCCTCGCCACGTGACAGAATAATTAGAACGCATCGGTAAGCGACACCGGAAATCGTGGCTTCCCGAGGCTTCGCTCAATCCGGTCCGAAGCGGATACGGGATCCTGATTGCATCTCAAACCTTATAACCCTTTACGAGCAGTGCGATAGATTTCAAGGGAGAAAAAAAATGCACGAAAAAGAGAACATTACGCTTCATTAAAGGAATATAACTAAACGAAAGATTCTTGTTCCGGGAAAAAAATCTATAATCTCAAGTAATCCCTATTTGCATATACATATATGCCGCAGGAAAAAAAGAAAAATTGAAAAATAATTAAAAGAAGAATTTTTTTGCATTGAAAAAATGAAATTTGAAGGGAGAAAATTGCCGATATACATGTAATCGTACATCGATACGAACTGATATCTCGCTCCCCTGGAACATCACATCCCTATTCTTTGCCGCAAATTGTCGAGATCACAGAGATCAAAGTCAGGATACGCAAGTATGTATGCGGATTCCGCGATGCGAGATTCGCGAACGCGAACACCCGGCGTGCACGATATTTTCCGGCGAGTCGAGTCGGCGGTGGCTCTCGGGGAGGCTTAAGGACCGGCGAGGAGGAAAAGGAGGAGGAGGAAGAGGAAGAAGAGGAAGAGGAAGAGGAGAAGGAGAAGAGCTGATTTGTGCAGGGAATACCACGATGTGTATCTCGCATTGAGGGGCGGCCAACTGCGTCTCGTAATCTCGTCACAATAACGCGACGAGGTGTCGAAGCGGGATAAAATCGCGCGTTCGCTCTCGCGTGCGATCTTTTCTGTCCCGGGCTTCCCCGACAAACTTTCCAGATGAAGAGTGAAATTCGTTAATTCTCGCCCTCCCGTCGCTCGGACCGGGACATCCAAGTATTTCGGCAATCTGCCTGTATCGAATCAATCTCATCGAAATGCTCTCATTTTTTTTCACCCCCTCTTTTTTTCGCGAGATTTGTTGCTAAATTTTTTGGAAGTTTTACTCTTCTGTCTTGTGATATTTCAATGTTTTTTTTAAACAATCGAAAGTTTCCTCGAAAAATATATTTATCTCGCAAAGAATGCATTCGTTTAGAGATACAACGTTTTAGGAATCATATCTACTATGCAGAGAATTGGGTATTTAAAATATATTTCGGAAAATTAGGATCATTATTTTCGAAAATGGCACAATTTTCGACCTTATTACATTTAATATATTCTTATTTTATAGTATCCTGTCTCTTGAAATTTCTTTTTTTTTCAAATATGCGTCTTCGGGAAACGAAAAAAATATCGTAAATCACTTTCGACAAGTCGTTTTGAGAGAATCTGGCGAAAAGGTTTATAAATTTAAAAATCTGTCATTTTTTCTTGAAACAATTTCCGAGTAGGAAATTCGTAGCATTGTCTGTAGCTGCTGAGAAATTCGTATCATTGTCGATACTAAGGGAGAGCACTACAGTCGTTACAGAGTATCCTCTCCCTCTGGACGATGGTCGTGTCGTTCGTCCGACGTCGCATAATGCGACATCGCGAAATCTGCTTACCGATTCGCGAATACTCGAACGCAAAGATGCCTCCGATCCTAAGCTTACAGAGAGAGAGAGAGAGAGAGAGAGAGGGAGAGAGAAACGTGTCGTCCGAGCACCAGGCCTTTGGAATTGCGCGATGCGATCGCCTGCATTTCCATGTGTGCATATCTCCGTGCTGCAGCTCACACGCGAGTGAAATAGAATGTATGTCTTTTGGTCGAAAATATCGTAACATACGAGGATAAAATCTTTGTGCTAAAGTTGAAGATGAATAGTACGCGATTTTGAGCGAAAAATGCATAAATTTTTTAGCATAAATCTGATCGATAATGCCAGCTGTAAGAGAATTTTGATCGCCCAAAAAAATCGCTCGAAATCTTAAATTTCAATAAACAACTTTATCGTAAAAACGAATTTTATTTTTGTACGCGCTAAAAGATTGAAAAATTTAAATATTCTGAAAACCCACTCATCCTAATTTTCAAAACAGCTAATTTTTAGAGCCAATGTGATTAATTCTTCATTAATTGTTCAAAATGAGCTAAATTAAATTGCAACGAATAATCAAGTAAATTGGATAAAATTAAATCGCGTGTAAATGTGAAAAATTTTTAATAAAGTTTAATCGGACAAATTTGAAATACTTGATCGCGCTGCGCGTGATTAATTTTGAAATTTGTGGAAAAGAGAAAGAGTGCAGCGAGGACTTACGGAACGCTGAAAATCCTTGGAAGTGATGCTCGGCCATAGGATGATGGGGCAGACCGTTGAGATGCGGCGGTAGCGCGGACGGATGTGCGAGTTGCGTCAGGTGTAAGGATGGATGATCACCGGGTGCCCTCGGGAAGACCCCGTGCAGGAAGGGCAATCTCACGCTCGCGAGCATCGAATCCTTCTCCGTTGTCTTGTCCTCGAACACCTGACTTTTCACGGCGTCGTCCGACGTCTTTTCGGGATCTTTGGAATGCGACATCTGACAAGAAGAAGAATACTCGGTAATAATTTAATTTATTTTAATTTAATTTAATTGATTTCCGTGTGATTAATTCAAGTTTAAAAATTCATCGATGCGCTCGGACTCTCGAAAGAGAGAGTTTCGTAGAATTCGAAAGAAATTGATTGAGAGTTGGACAGGAAGAAGAGTTGGATTTTTGAGACAAAAAATTATGTTGTACATATCTTGATTGATAATGTTAATTAATTAATAAGACGCAGAGAAAATATGCGATCTCTGTACTTACATGGAACATTTTGTGCGATTCGAGCGAACCGGGCAACACGTGGGGGGTCTCCCCCGTGATTTCCGGCGAAGAGTCCAGACTTTCCCGCGCGTGATCCTCATCTTCGTCATCCTCCGTTTTCTTGGTCGCCTCCAAGTGGCCGTAGAGCCGCGCGAAGAAACGTCGCGGCGACGACGGTCTTCTCGTCTTCTTCGCAGACATTTCACGGGATCTTCAAATTCGATGGTCCATGGATCTCTTTAGACGTCGAATATCTCCTCCAGCGAAGAGAGAAAACAATTTTCGAAGATCTTTAAATGAAAAATGATTCTTCTAAATAAAGGGACAATCTGGAAAAACGCTCTCTTTATAGATAGAAAATGTTTTTTTCCGAATAAAGAACAGGTGGATTGTGAAGAAAATTCCTCTATGAGAAAGAATATCTTCTCCGTAGATGGATCTCTCGAGAGGTTTGTGTAAAATATTTGTCCCAAATGAATCTTTTGAATTTTTGCAAAATTTAAAACATTCTTTCCAAGCGAAGAAAGCTTATCTTTATCACATGCAAATACTATTAAAGCCCCATACACACACATAAAAGTTTCATTGTTAGATATCTAGTGTTCCAAGGGAGTTTTTAACTAGATTCTCTCCAAATTTTTGGAACTCGGAAAGTTTTCAAATTTCGAGGATCGACCTGCTTAATCCACCTTTTTCAAGAGTCTCAACACGTTTCATTATTTCTTCTTTTTTCATCCGAGATGTTATCTTTCACTCGATTTCCGGATAATAACTTCACTCAAAGGGACACACCAAACTTTCTCAATGCACAATCAAAGTTACGATACTCTAGATGATTGCCAGGATCGAGAAATGAGAATTCGCGAGAGGAGCCAGAGGACGTCGGTCTGCGACGCGGGATGACGGCACGCGCGTCTGAATCACCTAACCGTCCTCCATTCTCTCACCTCGTACATCGGCTAGGACGAAGGAGCAAGGTAGGGATACGTGAGATACTCCCTTCCACGGTGGATGTCTCTCCACCCTCCCATTCCCACGCGGTACTGCGCCGCCCCTGTGCGAAGTCGCACGTGCGGCCACCGTTTCCTGTAGACTGTAGACGGATAAACACGCGGATAGCTTTAAGATGTCTCCTGGGGGGGGGGGGAAGGGGGGGTTCGCGATCTTCCCAAATCCTCAATTTGCCAATAAAGTTTGTCAGATATTTAAAAGGTTGCGATGTGAATGCGCGTGAGTTGCGCATGATTATAAAGATGTAATTAATCAATAAATAAAGATGTAATTTAATTAGATAATTAAGTAAGGCTAAGAAACATAAACGCAGAAGGTAGTGCGTTTTAATCTATAAGATATCCAATTAAAAAGGAACTATCATGTATAATCATTACAAAGTATTAGCAATTATCTACAATGTAAGTTATTGTCAAGATTAGACAAAGTCATATACTATTTTATATTACATTATATTGCGACTCTGAATATAATTATATTAATAATTAATAATTTTATATATATATATATATATATATATATATATATATATATATATAATATAACATAATACAGCAATAATAATAATATAATATAGTGTAATATAAAATTAGTAATTTTTATCTAATTAATTTTATAAAACTATTTTAATTGCTAATAAGAATAATAATTAATTCTATAAAATGAACAATTTTTGCACTGCATCGCGGGAAGTTATTATTAATAAACCATGTCCCAGAGCAATTATATTATCGCAATTTTATTTGGACATTAAAACCTATTCAAATTAAATACAATAGCCTAAGACGCTTAAATAAATATCAAAAATATAATCTTTATGATTCTATATTTTAATCTCTCGACAAAAAAAAACAAATAAAATTATATAGATAATAAATAAATAAATAAATAAAATAATGTATAAAACAAAATAAAAATTATGTATATAATTTTATAAATATTATAGATATATAAGAGAGAAGGGAGAAAAAGATGTTACATAATTTTCGATATATAATATGAAAAATAATACACGAAAGAAGACAACGGAGGAGCTTCGCGAATTAATTTATTTCAACAATTGTGGTGCGCCAATCATGCATTGTGCTTTCCGAAGAAATGAAAGAGGGGCTTTTTCGCGAGCAAGAATGAAAGAAGCGAACGCGCGCGGTTTAGCGTGAATAGCGAGATTATTTGCGGGTTCATTCTGTTTTCAATTTTCTCAATGCGGCGAAACAACGCATCCCGATGAGTTCTGATTATCGGTACTTATTGGTATTCGGAAAAACTTTTCCCTTCCTTCAATTTTAATCTTTGATTGAAGGCGATATTATTCTTCTCTCCCAATGCTTTTTTTTAACAAGTAGCTGGAATTATTAAATTGTAAGAAATCTAAAGAAATTGAATTATGATAAAAGAAAAGATCAAAATTTTGATTGTTTTCTCTATATTTGGCTGCATATGTAAAAAATTAAATTTGCGAATTGCAAAATATAAATTTCGTAATATATATATGTAGGATGTTTCATCTTTATCGCATTATTTTTAATGACAGATTATTTGATTAATTTGAAATCAGTTTCCTGAAAATATGAAATATTAATAATTTTGGAGCGATTAAAAAAGTAGAGTTTGTTGCAAAATAAATTATTCAGCAAATTATAAATGGATTATAAAATTATATTCTTTAGTTAATTTTGAATGAAAATTACTTCAATAAAATTTTAATTTTAATTTAGTTATATCTTTATAATGTTAAAAAATTGAATAAATGATTTTTCATGTTATTTTTGCCGAGAAAAATTATAATTTAGATTGGAAAAAATCAAAGAGAGAGAATCTGTCATTAAAAATTAATGTGATAAAAACAAAATATAGTGTACTATTATTATAATTTAAAAAATATGTTATAATTAAAAAAAGATTTTAATAGACATTGCATCGAAGGAAATCCAGAGATGAAAATTTAAGAAAATTATAGATTTTCTTTTTAAGATGTCAACTTTGGAGTATTCCAAGAGTTCAAACTTAAACTTTTTTTTGAATTTAAAACTTTATAATCCAATTTAGCTTTAAATCTATAAATAAATCTATAAATTTAATTTTCTTGAAGTATATCCACAATCTGTAAAAATATTTTCCAAATATCATTAAATTCTGTATTTTAATCGCCATAATTATTTTAATTTTGTTTTGCCTGTAATATACCAATATACCAATATTAATCTTCAGTATTATTTCAATCTTCAATTAAAAAATATTGCGCTCATTCACATCTCATCCCTCTTTAGATTAAGCGAAATCAAACAACAATAAAGATAAAAGTAACAATAACACGCCCTCGCAAGCTCTGCTGTTAAACGGCACGACAGCTGAAAACTTGATCAGCGACACTCGTCCGCGGCATTCGGCCGCATCATCACGGATCCCATCCCATCGTCCTCGATCACGTATGTGTCTCCTCCTCCACCCCCTTCCTTTTCCCCCCGCCACGATTCCCCGGATGATCTGGATTGTTTCGCGTGAGATTCATCCGCGCGATGGAGGCGGATTCTGGATGCTGGACCAATCGGGCGACGGACGGGGATCGATGTAATTAGAGGAGCCAACCCGGCGAGAGCGCCGAGGGTGAGCGCGGGAAGCACGTGCGCGCGCACCCCCCGAGAACCCCCGCGCCCCCGCCCCCGCGGGTATATGGGTGTCTAATTCCCTTTGTGCGCCGTCTATTATTGTCGGCATTTACGATTATTACGCTCACGCTGATTTCGCGCGCGCTCGTCGTCGCGTAGCCGTTGCGTTGTCGTTGTCGTCGTCGTCGTCGGGCGCGACGCGACGCGACGCGACAATACAATTATCGTTATCCCCGCGGTCAATATTCCCCGCGAGGACGAGCTAGGCGTCGGGGAAGCCGCGGGGGTGCGCGGTCGCTTATCGACGCGTCCTCTGGAAAACGAATTTATTATTATCGTTATTATTGTTATCGTTATTGCATCCCTTCCCTTTTTTCAAACGGGGCGGTAAAATAGCAAAGCTACCGTTCAGAGTAACTCGATCGATGCTAAATGTACAGAATGTCGTAACTCTAACAATTATAGATGTATTTCTGCGTTTATTTTCCTTTTTGAAAAATACTCATAGTAAAATATTAGTATTTGAAAAATACTCATCTTTTAACCATTTAATCTTTAAACTATTTAACAAAAATCCAAGTAAACTATTCAAAATTTTCATGTACGATTCATCCTTTTAATTTCTGCCATCCAAAAAGCTCAACGACGAAAATGTGAGTGAATTGCCATATATACTCGATAAGAGAAGTTTTTAAAATTTGATGATATGTATAAGAAAAATCGCAATTCTCAATTTCTTTTTGACATTAATATGATAACCTTCATAGTATGTAAGCATGACGCGGTTACATCAATGCCGCAGTTCACCTGGCAAGCTTTTAAAGAACCATAAAAGGACATCCAAAGGCAGGATATGCCTCCGAAGATTCGGACGGAGCACGGGGAGCTTGGAGCGACGTCAAAATCACATATCTCGTCGTAAGTCTTCGTTTCATCGTTATTGGAGCCGATCGCCAGTTTTAACACGTGTGTATAGGAAGTCAAAGTGAGACTTTGGCCTTGACGGAGCCGGAGCGCGAAATCGGGCCCCGGAAGGAGGGTCGGGTGGCCTTGGGCCTGTTTTGCACTCTGTCATGCTCGCAGTGCTGCGTGTGGAATACCTGGGGTCCGATAGCGGGTTTCGCCCTGCGGGCTTTCCCGAGCTGGAACGAGTCCCTGGTGGCCCTGCTGTCCGATTGGGGTTGCATCAGCTACCTGACTTGCTGTATACCCTGTTGCTGGCTCCTCTATAAGAAAGGTGATCTTAGTATAGTAATATAGGAACCCCACGCAAAAGAAAGAGATAGAGAAAAAAACTAGAATCAATTACTTTTAAAAATAAAATAGGTTTTACATAAAAAGCGATTTTCTAAAAATATGCAATTTGGACTAACAAAGATATTTTATAAAACTTGTTAATCCTTTTTGTTCTGCACGATATAATTTAAACGTACGATTGATTGTAAACAAGATGATAGTTTTAAATATCACAAATAAATTTGAAGCGCATTAATATATCGTATTAAAATTAATATAAGGCTTGACAATGTCCTTGCGAATGGCGGCGATTCTTTCTACTCTTGCGACTTTCGTTCGTTGCGTGTCCTCTAGGGAGAACGTCTTCACTATGTACGTTAATTTTGCGCGGCTGATTGCTGATCGAAATTAAAAAGGATGATTTTGTCATTCAGAATGGTACATACCGCGGCCATCCTGAACGGATTGTCGGGAGTGATCCTTGGTCCTGCCACAGCACTGGTCTCCGCGGTTTGGTTCCCTCCTGGGAAACGCACCACTGCTACCGGTACTTTTCTATTTTATCTAATAATCAACAAAAGAAATATAATTAAAAAAAATAATTATATATATATAGCATAATTGCATAAAAAATTACAATTTTTAAAATTCATGATAAAGAATACATTTTCCATAACTGAACAAGACGTGATTCTTTTTCTTGATTTTTTTTTGTTGAATTGTGCTATTATTACTGCATTAATCTAAACAAGTTAATCAATATTGTAGGCATATCTTCTGCTTGCAATCAATTGGGAATGGCGATTTCTTATTTAATTGGGCCAGCTATAGTAGAGGACACAATCGCGTATAATACTACATCTTTGATAAATAATATAAATTCCAACAAAAGTGTCACTTTTGATAAAACGTATCCGGTGGCATTGCGAGCACAGATTATGTCTCTCATGAGAATCGGTATGTTTTTACAAAAACTGTATAAGTAAAATAATTTTGTTTATATAAAATAACTAAAAGATTATATTCCAGTAAGCAAAACATTAATAATGTCGGCAATTTGGCAGCAGATTCAAGCATAGAAATTGCAACAAATTGGCATCAACTACGCTTGTACTATACATAAGTTTACATTGTAGCTGACAGAGCTACAGAGCTTGTCTAAAATTTGACAATAGATTGTTTTAATGTTGCCAAGACTTAAAATAAAATAAAATTGTTGAATTAGTGTTAATTTTTCCTACTGTATTTAATGATTTCAGAATTTGTCGGCCAATTTCTTATCCTGATAGGCATTCTTTGTTTCTTACCGGAGGAATCGTGTCAATCTGTTGACCTCTCTGAAATTTCCGAGCGTCTTGGCCTCGTAGAATCCATCTTTCGTCTATTAAAGTAATTGTTTGTTATCCTTTCAAGATTTCAGCTATGAAATTTTGAAAAAATATATTATAATTTGTCCCTTTTTTTTGTGAAAAATTAGTGATGCTACATCACTTTCCATTTCATGAAAGAGTACCAAGTCCCTTTGGCGCAGAGGATAGCGCGTTGGACTTCTAATCCAAAGGTCGTGGGTTCGATCCCCACAAGGGATGGTTGATCCTTTTTCTTTTTTTTGTTCAGATTCCTTTCCTCTTGGACATTAAGTCGTACATTAAATTTCCTAATCTAAAAATAATTAAGTATCGATTTGAACGAAAACTACAAATAAATGAAAATATAACTTTTTCTTATTGTTTTGCTTATTTATATTTATGTTAATATATTTTGCAAAATTGTAATTAATTTTTTAATTGTAATTAATTAATTTGCTATAGAAACTTAACTCTCTAATAATTTAGTCATTTCTACAGAAATAAAAACATGTGGCGTCTCTGCTTGGCTGCCGCACTTAGCCAAGGTGTGACTGGACCTTGGCTCGCGATGATGACGATGACATTTGACGCCAGCATTACGCAAGTAAGAATACGGTGTAAAAATTTTGAGCATTTGTTTCATTCAAAAGCGATTTACATTTGACAAAATTTTTCTAAAATATCAAGTATATCAAATTGTTAAAAATTTACATTTATAAAAAAAAGTTAGAAAGTTAAATTGTTGAGATTTATTTGTCTAATCTATCTCGGAAACTTTAGAATTTATTTTTCATTATAGCGCCATAGATAATTTTTTAAATAAATGTCAAAATTCAGGAAGAGGCGGACAAGTTAGCTTTCTGGACTATCATCGTTAGTGGCGTTTTGAGCTTGATAGCGTCGCGATTGGCAGATGCATTTCAAGGTCGTCTAAAGATCACTCTTTACATACTGTTGACGATATCATCGGCAATGTTCCTATGGATACTATTGCTCGACGATCGTATCCTAGTCTTCCACAAGGGTGAATTATATGCCGCGGTCATCCTGGGGATATCCGCCAGCTGGTCCACTCCCGCCCTTTTTCTCGAACTCGCCTCCGAGATTGCATTTCCGATCTCCGAAGCCATCGTCGGTGGTTATATGATCTTCCTATCGAATCTTGTCGGCGCGCTCTTTTACTTTTCATATTTTCTTCCATGGATGAGTAAGAACGATATTTCAATTCTCTATAAATTAATTAATATTATAATATTATATTATATTTTTATATAAATAATTTATATAAATAATTGATATTATATTATATTTAATATATTCATAATTATATATAGTGTTTTTTATATTGATTATTCTTTATCTTGCTTTTATATTGCATGAGCAGATATTGATAATTAAAAAGTATCATTAAAACATGAAAAATATTATATATATATATATATATATATATATATATATATATATAATATTTTTCATGTTTTAATGATACTTTTTAATTATATATATATATATATATATATATATATATATTTTTTTTTTAATTTCTTTTCCCTTTCTCATATTTTTTATATTAAATCTTATGAATTTTCTTTAAACAAAATATTTCCAGTCTTCTTTTTCTCTTCTCATTTTTAGGAACTTATCAAAAGTTTTATTTTCTATTCCCTTTATCTTATCTTTAATATGTAATTAATTAATTAATTTTTTTTATTTTCTTTGCTTTTTACAATTAAAGATAAACATTCGTCGACATATTGGACGTTTGCAAATATCTCGATGGCAACCATACTCGTAATATACATCCAGGAAGATTATAATCGTACAAAGATGAAGTAAGTATTTAATGCATATATATTTTACTTTTTTATGCGACCAGAGAATGATTAATTTGTGATATAATGCGAAGCGAATGACGTGCAATCAAGTGCAAGAAAAAAAAAACAAAGCAAAAAAAAGAAATACAAAGAGAGTACAATTTTACGACAAAGCACATATTTTAATCTAAATCGAAAAGAGAACAAAAAAAATAAGATAAAAATTTATTAATCGACACTAAACAAACAAACAACGCACGCCCGGAAGTATATTGCCTTTCACTTTTTAATTCATTTTTTACATCGAGTCTTCTGTCTTCTTATTGCAATTATTGAATTATGATGTTCAATGTGAAATATATTATAAGAACTCTTTTTCTCACGCATACATATATTAAAATAAATTAATTTTTTCACATGCCATTAATAAAAAGACATCTCATCGATATCATAAATATAACCTATTAAAAATGAGAAATTATATGCAAAAAGAAACTAATTTTATTTCGATATATAGTATAAAAAGATCAAATGCTTTTTTTCACTTTTAACATTGTAATTCGATATTATTATGTATCGGGGAATCATAAGTCTTAGGCTGATGGCAGAGAACTAGATGTCTGTCATAGTCGTGGACGTAAAGTAAGACAGAGAAAAACGTAAGTCGTACAAGGCCATTGTGACAATGGCCTTGTACGACTTACGTTTTTCTCTGTCTTACTTTACGTCCACGACTACGACAAACATGTAGTTCTCTGCCATCAGCCTTAGCTATATTATTAAGATAACAAAAGAGTCTACATGAAAATTTATACCCCAGATCTGTGCATTTGTTTGTTTTATAAAATATAAATTTCTCTCTTTTAGTATGAAATGTACATGCATGCATTATAATATGGCATACATTATAATAATTAATTATTGCTAATATCGATATTTCAGTTCAACATCTCGAGGATCTTGGAACGAAATAAAAGATTGCAAAAGATTTCAAAGGAAGAAATACAACGCTAATTGATACCATTCAATTTTTCGATTAATAAAATTAATAAACATCCAGAGATATATCTTCATCATCGAGTTTTAGTCATAGGCGAACTACAATAGCGAAATTTATAAGAATTATAACAATACAGATATTGTGAAAATATACTGTTTCTATTTAGCCGAAAATATAAACAGAATGATTCGTAAATACGTGGCAATGTTTTAGTGAATAAATACATACGTTAAGATATAAAGTATTATTTCAACATAGATCGAATAAAGAAATCTTTTCTTTTTATCTTGACCGTTAATAAAATATTACTCTACCTGATGCAAAAACATTTGAATGTAGGGCCATCGAACACGAAATTGCATAGCTGCATGTGCACAGCATGAGACCGTATGGACCAATGAGCATCGAGTATTATGTTAAGTAAGTCAATATGGCGGCTTAAAGGTGCAATTTCATTGACGCTAAAAAGTAGCGTCAACCATTAGTTGAACAAAGAAGCAACTACTTACTTCTTTGTTCAACCAATGGTTGACGCTACTTTTTAGCGTCAATGAAATTGCACCTTAATACTCGATGCTCATTGGTCCATACGGTTTTATGCTACGCATATGCATCTACAAGACCGCAGCACACACTTTTGCATAAGCGCATAATCATAAGCATAAGAAAATTGATTGGTTCATTTTCTTATGCATATACTTGGGGACCAATCAATTTCCTTATGCTTATGGTTATGCACTTATGCAAAAGTGTGCTGCGGCCTGTACAATTCCGTGCGCGATGGAGAGAATCAGCTGATTCTTATAATTATTACGCATGCGTACAGCGCAAATGTCAGCAGACGCTATTACGCTTTAGTAACGTATATATTTTCTTGTAATAAAGGATACCATCAGATCCTTCATGCGGAAACAAAGTTTCTAAAAATGTACATATATATATAAATAGTAATACATTTATACTTATAATATATAACAGTTGATATATATTGCATGAATATTGCATATTCTTACCATAAATAATAACATAAAAAATACTGATAATTTATACAGGACTCTCCAACAATAGCCCGGTGTGTAACCTCTTAGCACGAGTCTGTTGAAGTCGGTCACGTGTTCAATAACTTATTCACTCATGCGCACGAAAATCCCGGAGAAAGCTGTCCTTTCAATTCACAATATTACTCTTGATTATTCCAGACACTTTTATTTTTATAAACATTGATCAATTCTTTATTCCGATTATTTTCTCCGATAAATTAAACATTCCAAACATTTGATAATTTCAAGTCGAACGCAGTTTGGCGATTGGATGGATCTCCAGATAATCGATTAAAATTAAAATCGCTTCGAATCGTCAAGTGGACCGATTCCATTGTTTAGTCGAGGTCAACTTGACGTAAATAGAGACATAAACAGTGTCGTGAGTTTTGATTCCTTGTTTTGATCAAACGACTGATTGACAATGATGAAGATGACGACGAATGCATTTTACAACATTGCTCTGATCCTCAAAACATCATAATTTTCATTGCGTTGGATTCCCTTTATCAATAATCCTTTATCTACTACCTACTATAAATCTATTACAAATAGGTTTTTTTAGAGATACACCGAGGATATCCAGTGATTTATATCAATCAATATCAATTAATTAAAATAGCGATACTTATGCACCATGGAGAAGCAGAAACAGGTAAGACAGCTTTCTCGTTTGGTATTTCCTGCATTACTTTTCTAGTACTTGTAATGACATGCTTGAATTAACAGATTATAATCGAATAATTATTATTGTATATTTATGCATATTTTATTAATATATATTTATATAATTGAACTATAAATTATGAATAAAAACGAACGAATTAATAGCAATGTATCATAATATAAATTCAAATTCATACTTGTGTTTTCCAGAAGAAAAAACGGGACAGATTGCGTCAATCAATCCTCCAGCATCAAATACCAGATGCTCCTACATTGGAGGAGTTTGAGTGCCTGCTTGGAGAATCACCTACAAATTACCCCAAAGGTGAAGCCGTGGAAGATATAGAAAGTGAATTACATTCAGCTGCCATCGACACAGACATTTATGAAAAGCAGGCTGCTGAAGAAGCAGCTTATGAAAAGGAGCGTAATTTACGAGTTGAAACAACAAACGAAGTAATTTTACAAGGCTACATCTCACCAAGGATACCTGTAATACATTGTACTAGGTTGAATTAATTGTAGTTTGAAATGGATTATATATTTCAGGTATTGTTGTTAGCTGACAACTCTCACGATGAAACTGATGCTGTTCAACTTGACTCAGTATCCAATGACACTTTGAATAATCAAATAGATGAATCCATCAATCCCGAAGAACTTAATCAATCGACGCAAAATACCCAGGATTTAATCAGAACAAAGATTCCATGTCAGAACACTTTATCGAAGCAAACAGAGATTGGAGAAGGCAAAAAAGAAATTTTGAATACATCGAAGGATGTCAAACCATTTACAGAGCAGCAATTGATGTCCTTATATCATAACCAGGAATTAGCATTAGCGGATGCATTTGTGACTGAGTTTACAGAGACTCAGTTAAGATGCGGGCCATTGAGGCAGCAGCATAGGCTACACGAGCTATTGATGAGTTATTTGAGAGTACGAAACCATCTGATTGTAAACTCTTATGAGCTAGAGCGTTTGAAGAAGAGCTGTCGAGAAACGCAGAAACAACTCTGGTGTTTGGAAAAAACGTCAGAGACGGAAAATGGCGAATGTCAAGACGGCAATCCCGTCAGTGCCGTCCATGAATACTCGGTTGCTCATTTTAATCAGCAAGCTCTGGTAGTACTTTCCAGGACCTTGTCGGCCATCAAAGATACTCTACACGATAGCCAAGCATTATATTGCTATGAAGCAGAGTCCTTGCGTCTGCAAATTGAACATTATGTGCAAAGAGTTGCCAGAAGTTTCAATGTGAGTTATCTTTTGTTGAAAATTGTTAGAGTGTCAAGAAATTCTAAGGTTTTTTTGACTCAAAGTTATGATAAGCTAAAACTAAGCTAAATTAAGTTAATTTAAATAAAAATGAACTAAGTAATATGTTACTAAATTTGCACACATACAAAAATCTAATAGTCTTACAATCTCCTTAATCTTTTTTAAGATGAAAAAGATTATTATTCAAATTTTTTTCTTTCAGGAGTTTGCTAATCTTTCACAGACCGCTCCAGCAAATCTTCTACCAGAGCAATCACCGTCTCAGACGGCTCCGCAGTTGATCGAACTCAGGATGTGTGTGACAGTTCTATTTAACTTTCAACGTCGAGTTCTTAAAGATGGTAAATTTGTCACAGACACCAGAGAATGGCTGTCAAAGCTAGTGGCGGTGCTTCTGAGAGTCGCCACATGGCAGGATCACCTGTTCCTACTAAATCATATACTGCGATGTCCCGGTGGCGTGATGAACTGGGCCAAGTCGTTTGTACAAGTGCCAGTACCGCAGAAAGTCTCTGGATTGAGTTCCTCGCCTTTTAATGATCCATATCTCGATCACATGATTGCCACTATCGCGGTGATTCTTTTACCGATCAAAGATCGAGATAAGTTTTTGGAACAGGTGCAGGTATCCTTGCAGGATACCACGAGTAGTCCAGGGGATACGGTATGGGTGATGCTGGATGAAGAGGGCGAAGAAGATGAAGACATTGCCAATGTCGGCGCCAATCTCTTCGAGAGCGATTTGATTTCCCTTCTCAATCAGATTCCATTAAACAGGCTCTTCGAGCAGGTGCTATTTATTCGATGTCAGAATGACAAATACGAGCAGGAGGAGAACGTCATCACGGATCATCACATGTTGCGCCTCTTCGCGTTCTATACTGTGCTCGTCAGACTTTTGAAGCAGGGTCTGAAGACTTACGACTCGCCGCGATATAGACAGTTGGCAAAAAGACTCAGCGCGTTGATCAGAGACGTCGTTCAATACGCTAGCGATCAATGGGAGGCTTTTGATAGAAGCCAGGTACATAGAACGCAATTATCTTTCGCGAATTTGTAGAATTATATAAAATTATACTGAATTAATTATATATAAAGACATATGCTTTACTTCTTATCAATTTTTATTCAGTTTTTTCAGTAAAAACTTAAATGAATATTACTTCTTTATATAACTTTTTAATTCTTTTTTTTTTTTAACTATATAACTGTTACACAGGTAACTGACGAATCGATGCTGTTGAAACTGCAAATTGAATATGATTGCTTTTTCCTGAGAGCAATCCTGTGCATATTTTCGTCGAGACGTTTAGGAGCCTGGCAATATCTCGCAGCAATCCCATATCACATTATATCATCGACTACTTTGTGGCACATTTTCTATATTCTGCATACTGATTCTACAATTGATGATGTAGCAACATCAAATATGTCAGTCTCAGGTAAGTGAAGAGCAATAAAGCACAATAAAGTAATAACTAAATGTTAATAACAAATTGTAAAGTATAAGATAATAAATGATTCTTTAGTTGAATTTTAAAAGTCAAATCTTTTTTTTCTCTTTTATTATTTTGTCTTTATGATTATTTGTTTATCTTTTTCTGCATTTCCTTCTGCATTGCTTTCTTTTTGATATTTGCGCACAAATTTTTTGACCTCCATTTAAAAGTACATTACAATATTAATAACAACAATATTTTTGATATTGCAGACTGGGAAACAGAATTAAGTTGTCGCGAACTTCATAAGCAGTTTGAAGAAAAATTGGGCAATATGCCAGGTGACGAGTCTTATTTTCTGTTAACAACCTTTGCTAATATGGCCATGGCGAGAGCCGAGAAGGACTACGATTTCGTGAGAACAGCCACAATCGATCTGTTTCAAGTATGCTAACAAATACATATTCAATGAATCGATCAAATAATCTCTATTATTATTATTATAATGACGAGATAATCTATTTATAAATAAGAAAAATTACAATAATTTCTACATTTCACAAATATCTTTGAAATATGATGCATATTTAGATATTTAATTCTTTAACTATCGAATTTAATAAACTGAATTACAGATTGGATTTCTCAGTGAGAAAACTCAAGAATCCTGTTCGAAGGACGCGAGATCACTTTTATCGAATTTGACGAGTAAATATCCTACTCTTCTGTCTGACATCTTGCACAAATTAAAGGACAATTTTGTATCAGTCGGGAAGGTATAAAATAATAATTTTTATATAAATATAAATAAAATCATAAAAATGTAAATTTTTATGTTATAATAAAGTCTTACAACTCATCATTAGAAAGAGGAGCGAAAGCTTTCTCTTATTAACATTTATTATAAAACTTCTTAAAATAATTATAATGATATTATAAGAAAATTATAAGAAAATACTACTCATGTAATAATATAAATAGTTAATTATTAAAAATAAATTTATTATTATTAAAATAAATTTACAAATAATAATAATCGTTTTTTAATGATTTCAGTTGAGTTTATATCTGTTTACGGAACTAAAGATAGGAATGTGGGCTCCACAACAGCAGGACATGGCAATTTTGTCCACTTGGTTACATCAGTATCCCTTGACTTCATCCGAAAATCATTTGGCTCGATTGATTCTTTCACATTTGAATTGGGATCTTGACGCGTAAGTTGCGCCAATGCTTTCGATACTTTTGCAGAAATTTCATTTTTGAAAGATTAAAAAAACATTTACTCTTTTTATATAGAATATTTAAATTTTTCAATATGTTCACACTTTGCTGTTTTTTATTAATTTTTAATCTACTCAAGTATCCTGTATTCTCTTTATTTCCTAATGAATTGAAGTCATAATTGTAAATTCAAAATTATTGATAATTTATATGACTGTGCATAACTCCTCCTTAATATAGAAATGACAATTTGTATCTTCCAATTGATCTACATCGACAAGTGGCGTTATTAATTGTCGAGCTTATGATGAAATATGTGCCCGACACTCCTATGCAGACGGCCTCGCTTTTAGCAGAAGGTGTAAAGCAGGTGAGTCGTCGATTATAGAAAAAGTGAAAATAAGAGATTGATCAAATATCACTTTTATTTAAATTTAATACATATCAAGATAAGCATTAGCATTAGTTTTATCAACATTTGAAAATTAATGTTAAGATTAAGAATGAACTAGAGATTGCCATAAAATAGATTATCCATAAATATCAAAGCGAATAAGAGTTAAAGTTTGTTTTCGATTTTGTTTCGATTAGGTATCTTCGATGGTGAGGCCGCAGAACAGCGAGCAGGCGTTCAGCTTGTGGTCATGGGAGATGATGAATAGACTGAGATTACATCAACTGGATCGTTCGGAATCCGTATGCCAAAATACCATTTCAAATCCGGCCGAAGGTCTTGCTTGCGTGCCCGATATGGAATCAAATTCCACCTTGGAAATTTTAGCGAAAGGAGTACGTGAGAAACAGCCGATCGCCTGCTACGCCTCCGTATTGATGACTCTATGGGGTCACTCGGTGCCACTGATCTGCGTCGAAGGTTTCAGCCAGCTGCAAACCTTACAGTGCTATTACAAATATGAGCAAGTGCTGGTGTGCTTGCATCGTGTGATACCATTGTTTCTCGAATGTCCGGATTCGTTATTGAAGAATGACAAGTTCGTTAGTTTGATTGTGCCACTCATCGCTGCCGACCGGACATACATGAAGATAGCGAAGAATTTAATTGCCCCGGAATTTCCCGGCCCGATCCTCAGACAGTTCTCGAATATGATTGAATCTCACTTATATTATTTCAAACGGTACGCATGGATGAGTTAATATGATATAAAAATGAAATTAATAATAGGAATAGAAGAGCAATAAAATAAAAAAAAAAGAGAATAAATTCATACAGTTGTAAATACTTGAAGGTAATTATTATTTATACATATTTGTCACAGGTATTGCTTAAATAGCCCGGAACGATTCGTGCATCTGTGGTTGAATGTGTTGACACTTGTTCAGGATTGGAACAAGGATCATAGCGTAATGTATTTGATGGACACTGTGATCCGTGCAGCGTTCTTTCACTTAGAAACTAGGATGACGATGGAGAACATGTTTCAAAATCTTTTCTGTGTAAGTAATCTATCTAAGTGTAATATAATTGTATATATGTACAAAGATGGTAATATTATATAGATGGTATAATTGTATATATGTACAAAGGTGGCGAGAGTGATTTTAGAATTAGCAAAGAATGCATATATACAAAAGGTGTATAATATCAAAAATTGTGATATAAACTAAGTGAAGATGTGATGCAAAAATAAAAATTGAAAATAAAAGTAAAAAATTTTTTTTACAATTTTTAATGCCTTATGTGAAAAAATTTTGTCATCTTTTTGTGCAATTTCGAGTATATTCTGTATATATTCTTATAAAAGGTTAAATAACAGTGTAATTTTACAATAAAATATTACTTCATAATTTTAACGAAATATCAATTTTGTTAGTTTGCTTTAGATGGAAGTAACGAGGTATGATACATAAGAATTAATTCATATAATTAGATTTTAATATTATATATATATGTAATAAAATTTATCACACAAATAATTATATATTATATTTATTTTATCAAATATTATAAATTATCAATATAATAATTAATAAATATATACATGATTAATAAATATGTATAATATATTAATAATTAAAAAAGTAATTTTTGTTATAATAAAGTAATACATGTAATTTTTTAAAACTTCTTAACACTAATAATAACTAATATATGCATTTATTCATACGATTTAAATGTGCGATTCTTGTAGAGTATATCGTCCACTAGAGCGCCGGGATCATTCGGGTCTTTTTTGAGCTGGGCAACGGGATCTTCCAATTCGACAAGTCTCCTTGGTGGAACCGTTCAAACGATATGGCTCGCTTATCAGATCTTGTTGACGGAGCAATATGACAGGGAGCTTAAAACCGGACTTTGGCGTGAGATCCTGCGAGAACTGTCTATGCAATCCAAAATATCTCTGGACACTGCTCTCAAGGTTTAAGATCAACTGTATAAAGATTATTACTATATGCTATAAATAAATAAAATTTTATAATCGCTACGAATTTTTTTTCAGAGAGCCTGTGCAACGGTGAAGATAACTCCATTCGGAATAAACAATCTAGCTATTTACCGTTGGTCTCAACAGGCCCTTGATACACCTTTGGATCATCCGATCTTGCCTCTCTTGTGGCAAAATTTTTTTAGTTTATTCCTCGCACGAACTTCTACTGTATCGGGGTGATTATTACTATTATTTTATACTTTACAATAGAAATTAGCACAGTAATTTTATACAATATATAAAACAAATGTATATAATTTGTTTCTATTTTTGAATTGTTCTAGATCAATGGATAAAGGTGGGTTCGGAGAAAAGTTTTTTGAAGGGATGATAAATCTAAGCTACTTGAAGAAACTGAAGAAACGGTTGCATGAAACGACAGAACATTTCCAACTCAAAGGGGAGAAAGACACTGACAATGGAAAACCAATCACGGATGAACGGCGTGTATTTTATCTCAGTACAGCAAAGTGAGCGAATATATTGGATCAGTCGAGCAAAATACTTTTCTTAAAGATGTCTTTGGAAAAAAAATAAATATATATATATATATATATATAATAAATGAATATATATATATATATATATATATATATATATTCATTTATTTATTGCAGGTTCTACAAGACACTGAGTCTCTGGCTAGAAGAACCCCGTCTTCAGGAACCGGGACTTTATCTTCCGGCCCTGCCACCGCAATATATGTCACAAAGGCTAATTTTGCTAGTGCAAGGAGATCGAGTAAGTTAAACTTGTACATCAAAGAGTCCCAAATTATTATACATCTTCGCCATTACTTTCGTCAATTTTTAGACTCTTTGGTTGGAATATATCGACTATTGGACGGTGCAGCAAAGTCAATTGAAGGCCGTACGCGAATGGGAACGTGCGATATTTCGCGATCCCGAAAGTCAATCAGGAATTCAGAGATCCCAATCCTCTTCAGCAAGCACTGTGGAATCGATCAAACCGCTTCACAGAATTTTTCGCAGGCTAAATGTCTACGAATCACCGCTTTCGCCACCATCCTTGAGTCGTAATCAACCAGTATTAGGCTGTGTAGCCAGAGAGTGTCTCTACAACTCCGCTACTGTCATCAATCTAGTCAAGCCGCATCTCCGAGTCATCCTTGACTATGCGCAAACCTACAATCTCATGATATCTGAACATACCGCGGTAGATTGCAGCTTCCTCGAACTAGTCCCGACTCTTTACCGGATCTATGAGAACCACGTGACTCTACATGCCCTTTGCGATCCAGCGCCGTCCGGTCAGAGACGTTCGAGGTCGGGCACGCCTCCCACAGTGCATTGTGCAGGCCCTGCGATTATCAAGATTACAGTACGATTGGAAATAGCAATTTATAAAAAATACAATCGTTTCTTTAATCTAGATATTAAATATCAAATATTGAATATTAATTGAAAAAAAATTGGATATTAAATTTAAATTTATTAAAAAGATTTTTATATATATATACACACCACATAATTTATATACTTTATATATTTATATATTTATTTATAAATGTGTGTTGATGTCTTTAATACTTAATATTCTTGATCTGAATAAATAATTAGATGTATGTTCATAAAGTTTTAAGCAGAACTTTTAAAATTGCATATAGGTTGAAGAAGCTCATGTCAGCGAAGGTGTGGATCACATGATAACTCAGAATCGAGCTGAATACGAGAATCTGTTAGTGAAAGCTAGTCAACCGCCACCCAGCAAAGTTACTCTTGGTTGTGTCTTCATCGATCATTTAATCGCGTAAGTTAGTTTAATCGATTGATTCTAAAATATATATTCTAATGCTATAATTATATAGTTATCACATTTTAAAATTATCTCCATAGCACAGTAGGAAATTGTACAATTATTTTTTCCCAAGTTCTTAAATATTCGCATCTTTCAGAATGTTAGAGCATGAATTAACTATTAGTCGCACTAACGAAAATACTGCGATACTCCGCAAGGTGCAGGAGAGCGGAGTCAAACTGTTTTATCATCTGGTGGAGTTCTACACGGAAGAAGCGGCATTATGTCCTTCTACGAAACAGCTCATTACCACTTGTTTGGAGAAGTTGGGTCAGGTATATGTGGAATATAAAATGTTCATCAATTCAAAGTCATAATTTTACATATCAATTTGTTAACATAGAATAGATCTAAGCATGACTATATCGAAAAAAATATTTTAATCTCGAAATGTGCTGTGAAAGATTTCTGTTCTGTTTTAGTTATTCATCAGTGGTGAAGAAGTTCAAGGTCCACAATTGCTGAGCACAATCATTCAGAGACCTAATCTCGGGGGTTTGTTGGGACCACATTTCACGCCCGTCGCTGGTGGAGCCAACACGTTCTTGCAAATGTATCAAACCGTCGTAGAATTATCCACCGGATCAAATGTTGACTTGTGCTTTGTGTTGCTCTCAAAGGTAGAGAGAATCGAGCGTAAGGAAATTATCTTTTATTTCATCTTTATGATTAATGGATTATTCTTTCTATTATAGTTTGACGTCGGTAGCTGGTTGAATTATCGCCGTCCGCGATTAAGCGAAAGATCTACTTTCATAGATCTAATTTCTAAAGCGTTGTATAACATCGGTCTGAATCCCGAAGAAGAGAAGCTGATGTTGCATGAAGTGAGAATTATTTTTATCTTCGTTAGGATACTCATTTTAATTAACAGAAAAAAACGAAAAGTACAAATAATTACAACACATAATTACAAGTAATTATAAAATTTTAATTGTATTATCGCTGCAGCTCTTTCGGAATCATCTCCGACTCATTCTCCTACACGAGTTCCCTGAACACTACGGTGAAGTGTTGAGCGCAGTACTTAAAGGATCCGAGAGCCAGAATTTGTCGCTAGATGTTTGGCGTGATTTGCTAGGAGCCCTCAGCGGCAAGCCAAAGAACATTGCACCGATATATGCTTCTAAGATCAGAGACGAAATCAGACATTATGCCACGGAGCAAAGGCTATTATCTCGCCAAGAGGTTTCAATTTTATCATCAAAAATAATTATTTTTATACAAAAAGAAAAATATTGCGTTTTGTTGTAGAAGTAATAATAAATTTCATTAGAGTTAGATAATATCATGATATTTTCGTACCGTATTTCACAGATGCACGACACTGCTGTACTCTTAAGCAGGCATTTCATGAAGGAAAGATTGCAATACGGATTGTACGGCCTTTATCCAAAGTACAGAATTTACAATGAACCGCTGACTATATTTCTGGGTATGGTCGGCCACGCCTTGGTCGTATTGACGCTTCAGGCTGATCGAGGATCGCTTGCAGATCAATGTGAGTCGATATTCTTAGAACTATGAATCTTTGGAATCTTGAAATCTTGCTATATAACTATTCGAACCTTATGTGCAACAAAAAAAAGAAAATTATTCTTACGCCAATGTTCTTTCAGTGTGCGAAAAGATCTGGCCAGTATTAAGCGAAATGTACGCTCCATGGATTACCCCGTATTGGACGAGAAATTTGCGGGAGCCTACGGCTGCGTGGATCCAGCAGTTGACGGACGACAGATCGGTGTTGCTGCCATGGATCATCACCGATGGTCCATATGCGAATCGGACAATGGCAATGTTTGCCGAGTGCATCCGTTTCATCGTCGACACTATGCCAGCGTCGAGTAAGATTCTTAGTTTCGTGTGGCAATTTTACGTATCCAATTATGCCCACGTATCCGTCAAAGATCACGTGCTGAATGTGGTGCATGGAAACTTGCTGTCCCTTCCGTGGGATCGCTTCTACCCTGCCTCCAACGATATAGAGTTAATGATTAGAGTTATTGATCAGTATCTACCAGACTGCCACTTGTTTCTCGGAAGTGTCTTCACCTGTATCAATTGGTCCGCCTGGATCAATGAGTTGATAGCCACGCAATCTCTGCAAATTGCTGCCAGGATGCACATCTGTTTGCTTAACTTGCTGGTGAAGCTATCGAATGAACCCAACGTCAGACAGGTTAGAACAGAAAGAATAAAAAATAAAATTCGAGAAATAAGAAATTAAATTCTGAATGATAAAAAGAAAAATAATATCTAATTTCTAAAAATAAAGAGTAAGAATTTCAAGAATATGAAGTCATTGCAATGATTATTGGAGAAAAATGAACTTGAAAAACGGATTATAATATTTCATTGAAAAACTGATTATAATATTTCAGAATGAGAAAGCGGTGCAGTTGGTTACGGAAGCCGAGAGCTTTTCGTGGCACTTAATAGACGCCGCGGCGTATGACCAAGTGATCAATTGGCACGTGATGAGCTGCGACCCCAGAGTAATTTTAGGCCTAGGCAAGGACCAGGCTCACGCCATCGATGTAGCTATTAACAAGTGAGACTAATATATAGTATATTCATGCATAATCATTTAATATGTGTAATATGTTTAATATGTTTAATATGTATATTACATCAATTATGAAAATAATTATTTGTTATATACAGTTTATTGAAAATAGCGGCGGCCTACGACCCTACAGTGAAACATTTTCATCCCACTACTTTGAAGAAACGACAGATGTACGTACGTTCTATGGTAAAATTGTTGATCAATTGTACCACACGACACAAGTCTCTTTTGTCAACCAATAGCAAAGTATTCACCAATACGTTGTCGCGGATGCTCGACGATATGGAGATTGTCATCACCAGCAGTAAATATCTAGATATAAACTTTTGGAGTGATTCATCTTTGACAGCTTTGATTAAAGAAAACAAAGTAACTAATGTAATTTCTTTTTCTTTACTTTTTTCTTTCTCTTTAGCCGTCTCCGAATCGCAACAGGTTGCTGAGGCCGGTCTGCTGATCACTGAATTTTTGCACTCAATCAATCAAAGCGTAGTATTGGTCGATCATCTTCGTAGCAGTTGGACGGCATGGCTCCTAGATCGAACAGCTAGCAGTCCGGTGCTGATGGGCGTATTAAGAGTGATCGGAATGGCAGTAGCTTCCTCATCCACTCTGGGCCATCTTATGGAGGCCGCGTTGGAAGCTTATTTTAAATATAACGGTAAACAACCGATCGATTACTTTCATATAAAAATTCGTGTTTTTCATCTTATGCTACAGATTTAGTTCCAAAGTATTAATGACGTTTCTATTTCGTTTTAGTAACGGAAGACGTTCGGCCCACGTGGGCGTCAGTGCTGACAGTCTTGCAGTCCGTGATACCCCGTCAACCGCCATTAGAATCGGTATTGGTGTCTGAGGGAAGGTTGTTGGCCCTTTACTCTGTATTGCTAAAGAGACTTCCATCCTGCAGGGACATCCGAGAGGAAGGCATGCTATTGATTAATCTAGTAGACTGGATCAGCGCTATTAAAACTACGTAAGTCCGATGATTATTAGCGCGAAGAAAATTAACTAGATGTAACGAGAAAATATTTTTACATGCATCCAAGGTGATTATTTAATATACAATTTCATTAATTTTTATTCCTAGAAAATGTTACAAAGAAATCGACATTAGTATTGAATTTTATTTATTCAGAGACATCGTAGAGGAGAAATTGCCTCTGCTATGGGCGAAAGCATGCGAATTGGCTTACAGGCAATGTCAATATAGCGAGAATACAGTAATCGCTGCTAGAGCCTTAAAGGGATTAGCACGAGCGTTGTTAACCGTAGCAGACGATGTGGGACAAGGATGGGGTATTCTAGGAGCTATTGGATTAAGAAAAGGCTCTCAGCTCACTGTGCGGTATGAGCTATGATGCGCTATATAATCATATGTTCTGCATTTGGATTAATCTTTTAATCATTCACTAAATCTTCTCAAATAGATGCAAATTCCTCAGTCGCGCCACAGCCGTTTACTGCCTAGCGCAATTACCGGAATCCAAGTCTGATCAGCAACTAGTAAGATACACACCTCATTCACCTGGCGTGGCGCCTTCGCGATCAACCGATCCGGATACAATGGAGATTCGACCTAGCGTGGAAGCTGTAAAGGCCATGCAGAGCTTGGAGGGAATCCTGATGAATAAGCAATACGCGGAACTACGGGGAGATGTGGAGAGAGCTATCAGACTCATTAGAGATTCTGCTAATTCCCTTCACAATGCTGTCGAGATTATTGGAGCTCTCACCGCGGAGCTTTACAATCAAAGATATCTTCACGTGTTGACAGAGTGATACTAGTTTTATATTTTGACTTAGCGACGGGCTGATGTGACCTTTCAAATTGCTTCAATGCGATTATATGACACAAATTTTCTCGAACAAAAGTTTTCAGAGCTATTTTATCAAGTCTTTCAAGATTTTCAAGTATTCTTGATTCCTTGCGATTGATTTCAATGTTTTAAGATTTTCGAAGCTCTTTTAGAAGATTTGTAAGACCGTACAAATTTGAGAGACATCGAATATTTTATCAAAACTTTCTATAGCGATTGAATCACTTGGAAACTTGCAAGACAGAAGGTCGAATGCCTGTCGCTATATAGATCTCACCAAATAATAACGCGTTTAAATCGAATGCTTATATTAGAATCAAAGAGAGATTACGAATACATTACAATTGTTTATTATATATGTATATATATTATATATATTAATCGTGGATATTTTTTATCGGGTTTTTACGGATATTAATATCCAGTGGAATCCTGATTCCTTAATGTACAAAGATGCAATGCAATTTCAATCTTTAATTTAATTGCGTAATTATAAGCTTAAAATAAGTTTTGTTATTTAAACTTTTTAGATTTGCATCGATTTTTTAGCCATATGAAGTCTATCTTTTTCCTTAATTTAAAACATAAAATTTAAGATGCATTCAATTTAAACGCACATTGATTTAGGTTGTCGACAATATTTATATAATTAATAATGTTTAAGAATAAATTGTTTGTGACATAAAATTTCCTATGCACTATACTCGCATTGCGGATGCTTTGTTACCTATTTACATATTGTACATTACATGTTGAAATGTTTGATTTATATTTACACACTGCGTTAAAATTTCTATAACACAATTGTGATTAATATTTTTTCACGGCTAATATTTTAAATCGTAATCGAAATAATCATTCAGGCACAATAATTGTCAATCAATAATTACAGAATCGATTAATTGAATGAATCTTTCAAATCTTTATATCATAAGAAATGGTTAAAATATAATTATCGATATAAGATTATCATATTAACACTGAATGCTTCTAAATTGCTGTTGTAAGATTTACAAAGATTCACTTTTTATCCTAAGTTAAATAAACGAGTATACACACTGAAGTGCGTGTGTTGCATTGTCGTTTCCAGCGAAAATGGACTTTCAGGTAATTTATTAATAGTTATAGTTATATATATATATATATCAATCTATGAAAATCGAATTATAAATTAAACATGTAAAAAGAATTTATTTCAATATATTTCAAAAATTCATTCGATTTCTCGCTTTTTACGTCATAATTTAATGATATTAGTAAAAAATTAGATTTTAATCTTACTTGTTTAAAATTTTTAAAAATTTTGAAAATAATGTAACAAAATTTAAAAATGTAGAGTAATTTAAGCAATTGAAATTAAAACTAATCACGAAATATACTATTTTTTGATAATCAAATTCGAATTTTTAAAAATATTTAATCACAATATGGACTGATTTGATCAAGTTTTATTACATTTAAAAGTTCGAAATTTTAAAGGATTTAGAAATAAGGAAGAGAGAGAGAATTTTAACAAACTCAAGAGCAATGCTATAATTGAGAACAACTTTGTTAAAAAAAATTCACGAATCTCTTTATTTCTAAAAATATTAAATGGATTAATTATTTATTTATTATATTCTTAAAACATTATGCGCGTCTCGCAATAGCTGCGAAGCCTCGCTGGACGAATAATTAATTAGCTCACATTCAAAATGCTCGCTAAAAGCGCTTCGAAAGATCGGTATCACGTCGTCGACCGTTATGTCCGTGCCTAGCTCCTTAGAAATGCTGGTTACACCTTTGCCCTCGATACCGCATGGTACGATGTGTTCGAACCACCCGAGATTAATGTTACAGTTGAGTGCGAGGCCATGGGTAGTAATATAACGGCTGCCATGGACGCCTATTGCGCAAATTTTGCGATCGCCGACCCAAACTCCAGTGTGTGGCGAAGTCATGGCCTTAATGCCGAGTTCGGCGCACACGCGTATCACCGTATGTTCCACCTGGCGTATGTACCATTTAATGCTTGTACGGAATTGCTTCAGATCGAGTATCGGATAAGCTACCAGTTGGCCGGGTCCATGAAAGGTGATAAGTCCGCCACGATTCGTCTTCCAGAAATCCGCGCCGAGGCTCCTCAATTTTTTCTCGTCTGCCTCCGTGTATACTCCTTTTCGAATTCCCACCGTGTATACCGGTTCGTGTTCTAGGAGTACTAATGTATTCGCTGATTTGGTTAAATGTTTGTGATGATGATCCGACAAAGTCTTTTGTAAATGTAAACCGACCCCATATGATAAGCGACCGGCTAATAAAACTTTTACTCGTGGATTCATTTCGTAGATTCTGTGATGTTGAATTAGCTAGTCTTTAAAGCTGAGAAATTTCGTTAAAATTCAATTATCAATTCATATATCATCAACTTTTATTGGTTACAAACTTGTCATGATCAGTTAGGTCAAGCTAATTCTCCATAGTTTTCAAGTTCTCTATAAATCAAAAGGGATACCTGCAAAGGAATGGTTATTTTAAAAAACATGTTATAAACTCTTTAGCAATTAAATCTTCAATATTTTCTTTTGTTAATTTCCACATTATAAGTTGATCATAATTTTCTAATATTGTTATTTTTATTTTAAGATACTTTTCATCATTTTAATGTTTCAGTTTTTTCATTTCTATATTATTTTAGATGCTTTTTATTGTTGTATCGACTTGACTAATTTACACATACATAAGCATCTGTGGCTGCATAAATCTTTTGAGCGTCACTGAGGGGCTGTACGTGCCATTTGCTCCTCCGCACTTCGGGATTCTTGTCGATTTTCTTTTTTAACTAAATACGCAGAAAAAAAATTTATGCCAATCTTAATTTTACTTCAACTTAATTCAACTACTTAATTTTTATCAAGTTGCAGTTAAAGCAATACATAAATAATAAGAAAATACCACTAAAGTCGTCAATCTTTCTAAACTCCAACGACCAGATCGCAGCAAGCGTTGATTAGCAAACGGCCCACAATCCAAACAATTATCCACTATTTTCTGAGCAGGAAACTCCTTAAAATCTCTTTCAAGTTTCCGTAGATCGCTATAAAATAACAAACTTATGATATTATGTGTGGAAAAAAATCATGTAAAAATAATTTGACATTAAAAGATGTCCTATTTTAAATTAAAAAATTGAGCAGATGAGTTTAATCTTTGATCCCTAAAATAAAGACGCAAAATTACTTTGCAGATCTTAAATAACTAATTCTTATATTAAATACTAGTTTTTCATAGCCTTTATCACTGCCAAAAATAATTTATTATATTATATATTATATTATGTAACAATAATTTATATAATAATAATTACTTTTTAATGTTAACACCAACAAGCATGACTTTTGGATGACAGAGAAGTTCAACAAAGGCTGCTGGTAATTTATTTAAAGAATAAATATGTAAGAGGTAACACACATTAACGTCTGGACAAATTTGTACCAGGGCTGTCTTTCCGCTGCCAGTTTGGAAACTGAAAGGCCACTCTAGATCAAAACCTAGTGGTACAACCTTCTCCTTGCTACGATTTATCTCTTCCCTGAAAAAGAATATGAAAATCAAAATCTTTGTATTTTAAAATTTTTATTTTGAATTCATAGTTTCTTTTTCTTTCTTTTGCTCCATCTATAGTCCTCATTCATACTATTGCAGATTTTTGTTTTTATTGAAAATATTTTATTTAACTTTAGTATCTGCACAATAACTTTGTTATTTTGATATAGAAAAATATGTAAAAAAGAGATGATTTGACTCAATGGAAGAACTATAACAAGAAAATAAATTTTATCAAACTTATTTAGAGTTTTTAAACCAAAAAGGGAAGTTTTAAATCTTGTTTTTCTCAAATGTATTATTTTTGAAAGTTATATGATACAAGGTCGAATTTTTACTTCTGTCAGCTATTATTTTATTTAAAAAAATATAAATAACTTTCAAATTTCGAAAAAAAATCTCATTAAAAAAACACATTTTTATCATAATAAATACTAATTTCAATAAGATTCTTCTTGCCAATTTCTTGACAGTTTTTCATTAAATGCTTCAACAAAAATATCATCTATATATTTTCCTCTTTAAAAATATCCTACATTTATTCATACTCGCATGATTGATTCATACTCACGTGAGATTATTGCATACAAAAGCACAATCAACAAATTCAGTAATATATTGAATGCAACCTTCAAAGACAATTGGAGGATATTTTTCACACGTTTTATCAATGTGATGTTGATTCGACTGGTGTTGTATATTACTTGAATGTGTACACTTTTGCTGTTAAAGAATAGAAATCAAAAATAATTAAAAAAAAAATTAAATTAATATAATACTAAATGATAGAATATATAGATATGAATATAGAATGAGTTAAAATGCATAGACAATTATATTACACGTTAAAATCTTTCCATTTTCATTCGTTTCAACATATCTTGAACATATCTTGACATCTTGAAAATTTCATACTATAAAAATATGTCTCCGAATGAGAATGTTCTAACGTCTAAGTAGAAAAAAGAACATTCTATAGCGAAATTGGTTTGCAATTATAAAAACATTAAAAAATCGACTTCAAAACATCGAAAAATGTTTCGTTCACAGATTCTACTAATTCATAGTAGAAATGCGTTCATGAACTAAATCAATTTAGGAACTCTTCTCGTAAATTGCAAGATCTGCTTTGCATATCTACGAACTTACTCTCAAAGTTATATATAAGCAATAAAGAAATAAAAATGCGAAATAATAGGTATACTAACATTTCTTTCTTTGGCACGTGTGTTCATTTCGAAAAAATAGTGGAGCACTTTCGTTTTCTTATGTTTTTTAGATTCCGTAAAATACATGCAACTGAATTCTATATTTTATCCACCTCCGATTTGCGCATGCGCGCATTTTCAAATACTCGAGTGTCCAATAACAACTACGATTGAGAAAACGTAGACTTTTAAATCATAAACTTTTATGTATATAGATAGCATGCGCTAAAAATGCTTCGAAACGTTCGACCAATCAGAACAAAAAGTGCAAAGTTCTTTATTCTGATTGGTTCAAATATTTAAAGGTACAATTTCATTGACGCTACTTTTTAGCGTCAACCATTGGTTAAACAAAGAAATAAGTAGTTGCTTCTTTGTTCAACCAATGGTTGACGCTACTTTTTAGCGTCAATGAAATTGCACCTTTAAAGTTTTCCTGGTGTAGTCAACGTCATTTAATTTTTCTTTTTGTTTCCTACAAATGCTGAAAACGATAGAATATGCATGCGCAAAAAAATATCTACTTAAATTCCGGAATTACATTTTATATTAAAGGCAACATATGTATATACAATAAATTATATATATATATATATATATATATATATATATATATATATATACACATATACAATTTCTTTTTCGAATTTATTTAAATAAGACTTTGAATGATGTCAAAGTTAATCATTCTATTATTTATATATATTACTTAAATATTATATATTCTCTTCCTCTGCTCTGATACGAATATACATATATAATGATTCTAATTTTAATGATAACATGCTTACAGATGGCTTACTTTAAATCTTCTACGTATTGACAGTACTTGTTTCTTCTCTCACTCATCTTATCTTTTCGCACATACACACAGACATACACACACACAGAAAATCTTTTTCTCATTCTATCTAAATTGTAAAGATTTGTCGCTGCCTAGCTAGCTATTTCACTGCTATTATTTATAATATACATACATTCATATACGGTATCTCATGACATATGAGAATCCGTGATAGTCGTTTGCTCTTTTCTTTACAAATTTTATCATTCACTTAAATAAAAATTAGGGCACAATAGTAATAAAGTAATATTTTTTCTCAATTAATTAATGATCAAATTTTAAAGTCAAATTCTCTCATAAATCACTAGACACGGGAATAATAGATTTTACTTTGAAAATGGACACGATATTTAAAATCACGAAATTCAAATTTAAAAAAAATTGCACAAAATATTACCGCGTCTAAAATCATTAAAAGAAAAGTAACTTTAAAGATATATCTTGCCAATTTTTAACTTTTTATGTTGCCTTATTGTACATATGTACATATGCATGCATGTAGCATATATATGCATACATGTATATATATATATATATATATATATATATATATATATCCTTATATAATATATTCTCTTATATTATATAAACGCATATGTACATACATGTGACATTAAACGGTTCATATACGATTCAAAAATCTCTGCAATAAACGTTGTGCAAACATGTTTACATAGTGTATTTTCATCATACATTTAGCGCTAAATTTTTTAGCATCTAAAATATGTATAAAATAAATTTATTATCACGATATGATCAAATTAGTGTTGACCGCGATTGATATGCAGAAATCTGCAAATTGTATAAATAAAATCCGAGTCACATTTAGCGCTAGATGTAATGCTATACATAGAAGAATAAAAGCAAATCGATGAAGCATGCGATGTAAAATGATACGAATACACTAAGAAAAAAAGTTTGACGCCGCAAAAATCTGATTGTAAACTATATATAAAGTTTAACACGAGACAAAATATCTAATCACATTTTACATTTAATTACATTCTTATTATTAAGGCTCGAGATGGGCATATGACATTCATTTTTCTCACAAGAGTCGGAGCCAGAAATCAAGAGATTCCACGATAGTATCCGTTGATAGTCCGTTGCTTACCGGCTCCGTAACTACTACTGCTGTGTGATTCTGAAGACTGGTCCAATCCTGAGGAAGAACCTACGCAATACCGATCTAAGTTCGGGCTTGAGATCGAAGCACATGACCTCGCAGAGAGAAGGATAGCAAGTAGAGGCGTGAACTGCGAAACGATGGTCGCTCATTTTCAGGATCCGCGTAAGCAGCAGTAGTAAGATCGGCGTCCAAGCTTCGCGATGAGCCTCATTGGCAAGTGCAAGAAAATATTCCAAAGCCTCGCATGCCACTTCGACCAGTCGTTCCTCGACCTTGGGCCAGTCTACGCGATGTGCTTCGTCGCTATACATCTTGAAGAGGATGCGTAGTGCGCAGGCAAGCGACTGTGTTTCCTGCTTCAACAAGTTTGGTTTTACATTTCCGCGAAAACTTGCCTTCCATAGTACGTTGCGTTGTTCGTGATTCGAATTGAAATTCTTTGCGAAACGATGTGATCGTAGCAAACACTCTACTAGTTGTAAAAGGTGATTGGTTGTCAGAGCGCAGTACATTCCCTGTTCCTCTTTTTGTTGATCCGCGCTAGCTCTGAAGAAACAATACATATTGCTATCGGTATTGAAAAAGTAAAAAACCGCCAATTTATTTATCGAATTATAAATAAACGTATGTTAGCGATCGAATAAAAGTTGAGTATTAACTTAAAAAATGTTGAGTAGAATATGAATATAGATGTATTGATGCTCAATGAGAGTTTTCAGATTCTCTAATTAATTCTTTAGGATTAAAAAATATCTTTCACTTATTTTATAGCAATACATGTGAATAAAACTTACTTTACAAGTTCTGATGACTTGCCGTTCAGCATATCGGCCTGTGCGAGTGCCAGATTTTCCTGATCTTCCTTCCGCGAAGTCGCCGGATAAAAGATAACATTGTCTATAGTCTGTATCAACTCGAGCTGGACTACGCATTTGATTTGTAACGCGGAAAAAAGCTTCGCCTTCGGCAGAGACTCGGTGTTCAGGCTCTGCGCGCTATTGCTCCGCTTCAGAATACCAATATGGAGGCCATCGGATTCACCAGTGATTACATCGAGATCGGACTCCTTGTTTGGCGACTGTGGTTTCCACGTGAGAAGAGCGGACGGCAAGGTACTTTCGAAAATATCCAAGACGCATTGACAAGTCTTCTCCCAGGTTTGCTCGTCAAACTTGATACCGTTGCTAATGACCAGATTTTCCAAACAGTTGGTGCCCGATCGGGCCAGTTGCTCGTTGTCCTGTTGAACGCACCAGAGAAGCTGAAAATACAACTGCTCCAGCAATAAGGGACCCAAAATATCGTAAAACTGCGAGAAAACATCTACAATGGCATATAGCGCATGGTTACACGTTGTTGTCATCCACTCGGCTTTCTGTAACATTTAACAGATGCTCCAATCATTTAGCGTTTCGAGAAGAAAAAAAACAAGATTACATCGGTTTTTTTCTTTGCAAAGTTTTCATTTTTAAAGGCGTACCTCGGTATGCTGCTCGGGCAGTTTCATATTATCAAAGATTCTGAAGAGAACCTGGAAGAGATCCTTCCACCAATGAGGCTTGAAAGACGCGCCATGAGTTTTAACAACGTCAAAGAGTACTGTCAACGCACGCGTCCTGACATCCAATTTACATCTGCTCACCACACAGGATAATTCAAACAGTAATGGAAACCATCCTCTTACCTAAAAGAAAAAATATGAAAAAAAATAGAGATAAATATATTAAGCAATTTTAATATTGACCAATTTGAATGAAAAATACACGAATGAATATAACGTTACCCAGGCTCGATCTTCCTCGGAAACCATCCCACTATCGTCCATCATACCTTCGGCAAACAGATGGGGATTCGCATCGATATAGGATGCGCAGGAACGTATCAACCGTATGGCCTCCATGCTGGTGTCCGGGAAAGATGCGTTGCACGCGAATTCGCTCAGGCATTTGACAGCATCCTGGAAGGAGTCCACCATAATGCTGAAATCCTCTGCATACAGCTCATCTATAGACACATTGTATCAATCCGAATTAACGACGACTATAAAATTAATCAATCAACGGACTGACTTAAACCGATCGCCGAAATAAGAAAAAGAGAAAACAGCATCTCGGAAGATATAAAAATAACCCACTAATAATTTTGCCAGTCATGGAGAAAGCCAGTTCAACGACGGATTCGTCACGATCACTGGCCGCATGATGAAAAACGCTGAAAATGTTTTTCCAACCAGATCGAATATTAGGTGCTTGCGAGTGAACGATCTGCGCCACGCACCTAACAACCATGTCTCTGATCATAGGTGACCTGGATTAAATTAAATTATTAGTCACATCACATATACAATTGAATTATAGGTACGTAATTAATATAAATTATATCAAATTAAGTCATTAATATTAAGAAAATTATCAAGTTAAATTACCTATTCTTCTTCATGATGTGTTCGAATGGCCTGAGAAAATCCTTTTGAAACCTGAAGTTGGCAAATTCGCCCTTCTCAATAAACTTTGTAGCCAGCTGCCTTAGAGAATCTACGGCAAAGAAAGCGATATCTTGCCGAGGACTGCATCCCACTCTGTCAAAATGGTCGCCGATGACTTGCCAGATCCTAGACCATTGCAATCTGATACGGCCCATATTATAATATGAGATTTCAACAATTTTTGTGAGAGAGAACATACGGGGTTGTGTGGGGTGTGCCAGCTCCTCGAGAGAGACCTATGATAACGTAATGTTTATTATTTTGTTTTATACCAAAGATATTTTATATTTAATCTTTTACACCAATTAAATATGAAGAAGACAGACCTGGCAGAGAGCTTTGACGAATTCAACGATGGCATCTCCGTCAAGTCTCGTTGAACCGGTAAAGATACGATCGACGGCCACGACGACGCTCTGCGAACTAGTCTCGCCGATTGATTCCTTTACACTGGGATCTAACGAGCTTAGATTGAGATTACTGGTTTGGTGCGAACTGGCAGAATATGCAAGATTGCCAAAGTTTGCCAACGGTGACGGGAAATGCGGTTTCGACGGCGGACCCAGCAACTGCGGCCGTACCCCAGTGCCAATCAACTGTGCCAATTCCAACTGCGAAATGCACTTGACGACATCAAGCCACGAGCTTCCTAAGTAGTTGCCATCGGTATGTGCTACCGTAATGAGAGTTTTAATGGTATCGATATTTTTCGCCTTCATCTCAGTGATGGGAGAATTAGCTGTTAGCAGAGTGAATCTCGCCAGCGCTTGCACGTAGGCATCGCGTTCAAGGCTCATGTGAAAAATGCAAGCGATACGAATGGCACATCTGCAAAGAACATTATATAAATAATAGAATATAAATGATTGCGAAAGATAATGCGAGATTTCAATCCAAAAATATATTCTTACCTGATGCCGTCCAAGCAGAGCGACGCGATTTCTGTATCATCGCAGTCCTGCAGGCCGACGCTAAAGGCCGCGAGGAACGGCGTCCAAGCCATCTTAAACATCGGACGCACGTGTTCGAGATGTTTCGCCGTGGTGAACGGCGCCTGAACATGACTGACAGATTCCATTAGGTTCTTCGCTGCTGTGGAAATCACCTCCATCTCCATATTCCATAACAATCGTCGCTTCTTCTCGCTGGAGATTAATTGTTTGCCGGCAAGCCGGTTGTTGTTGGGATTTGACTTCATCTTGATTTCGTTACCAGCGATTTCATCATAGATCCTAGAAAGGTATTCCTCGGGAAGGTCCTCATTGTCGCTGATACGTCGGTTAAGCCTGGACAGACGAACAAAGATAACGTAAAAAGATTTCCTCAATTTATCCTTACACAAACGATTAACAATAAAAATAAAATGAAAATAATAAAAGAATTAATATAAAGCGCGCGCTTCATATTATTATAAATTTGATATTACTAAAGATCCTTTTTTCGGATCAACAAGATACAACAAGAATATATGCACGCACAATTTTAAGCAGCTTAAAATGTATTATACCTGATATACTGTTCTTTGGTCATCTTATTCTTAACCTGTGGTGAGTGCAAATCAGTGGTCAGCATTATGATTGAGAAACCAAGAACATAAGCTGTATCTGCACTAGTAAAGAGGCCGTTGTTGGGGTTGCATTCACAATAGCGACTGGCAAACTTTTCCATTAGCCGGTCAATCTTCTGCGCCTCACCAGGTAGTCGAAAGCCTTCCAGAAAGTACCTCAGCGCAGTTACTAAATCGCGCTCAGCAAAGTTCATCTGATCGATGTAGTGATACATTACCTGCACAAACAAAGTAATTCGTCAAATTTTGTTACATTATACTTTAATTGGTTATATAGAAAAATTAAAATGATATTCTAAATTAATATAATAAATGATCGAAATATAATTAGTCCGACGATTGTTATCAAATGTAATTTGTCACATATAAATTGTATAATCTTTATGTATTTTCTATTACCTGATTGTGATTATGATCACCCAAAAAATCACCGATGGCCGTTTTATCAAGCCGCTCGTCCAGGTGCAACCATCTGGCTACGTCTTCCGGTGAGGTGCCGAGTAGTCCCTGTTCTTGCAGATACTGCACACCCTTACCGGGTTTCCGGCTGAAAATTTCGATGCCAGTTTCCCACACTTCCTTTTGCTGTTTCTGTACTTCGTATTGTTCCGGCGAGTCCGGTACTTCCTTGTTACCGATCAGACTGGAATTGGCCGATGAGAGACTGCCAGCGCTGCCATAGCGCGGCAGCAGGGTCTCCGGTGCTGGATCTGGTGGATCCGAGAGTGGCTGCTGATCTGCTGGCACGCTCGGGTTCACATACAAATCTCTACTCCATTCTACCATGCATTTCAGGATGGATACGAGACACTCGAGACCCCGAATGCGCATAGATTTTTCCTGGAACAGCAAGACGCTACTATTAGAAAGCTACAATGTTTCTCGATAAAGTAGTCCTCTTTTTTAATAACCTATCTTATTTTCTCTTTTACCTTTTATCTAGAATAATCTTTTATCGCTTGCAACGCACCTGATTTGGTGACGCGCCGAGTTCCAGGGCTTGGCGACCCTGAGCAATCTTAGAGAGATCATTGACAAGTCGTTCGAAAAGATTCGCCGCAGAGAGATCACAGTCGTAATTAACGTAAATATCAACAACACTTTGGGCGTCTGCGCAAATTCTCGTAAGCGCGTGTATGACCATCCATTTATGCTCGAAAGAACTGCTGGAGGTCTCGAGAATGTTCATGAAGATCTCTTTGAAGAATACTTCGATCTGCATCTTGAGATGCACTTTGAAACGTGCAAGTAACGCCAGGAATAGCGCCAGCGAGAGTTCAAACACCTCTGGCACCGAGGATACGCCATTTTTAGACAATGCGACGCACAGATACTGCTTAATAGCGATGACAAACATCTCGTTAGAGCGTAGTACCGGCCCAGCGTTCTGTAGAATTCCTAGAAGCAACTGCAGCGACAAAATTTTAGATCGAAGCTCGTGCGATCTCGGATCGGGTGTGCCATCCGGTAGCGGTTTCATAGACAGTTTGCAGAGAGCGCGGAAAACGAGAAACGCATCCTTTTGCAGCACATGAGTAAATTTGGCGGTGACCATGTTGTCATTCTCGGCGGTCGCCTCGTCGCCGTTGTCTTCCGGACCACCATTTTCCAGATTAACTTCCTCTTCCAACGGTACCACAGAATTCACCACATCGTCTAGGATACCCTTGACAATCGTTTGAGGATCTACAACGTCAGAGGCATTCTCCGCGTTTACTTCGGTCTCGGCCTCACCGTTCGCCACAACAGCAGCCTCTTGTTGTTGATGTTCGCCGTCGAGTCTCACATTCTCCTCCTCGGCCTGCGTTTCCATTCGTGCAAAGATTACATTGATCATTTGCGTGAGAGTTGCGCGAGCGGTCGTTTGGTTCACCAAATTGCGCGACGCTAAATAAACATTATAAACGGTACGGATCGTCAATAATACCGTGCCTTCGTGCACCTCCACATGCTGACTCGTCATTACAGTCAGTAGAGCTTTGATGATCTGCAGCTGCACACCCTCGTCGGTCTGCGGGCCGGTGAAGCAACCGCAGATCGTTTCAACAATACGCACAATTAACAACTTGTTTGGCTCTGTCGAATCGGGCACATTCCCGGTGAGATGGCCGTACGCTATCAACTTTTGCAGGCAGTCCAGCGCGGTTACTACAATCCGCGGCGACTTGCTCTGGCATGCCAATTCGAACGGTAAGAAATACTTTTCCGCGGTGATAACATTCGAGTCGCTTTTGGGCTGCGGAAGGGCATTTGAGGTCACCTCTTCACCTTGTACGACCGGCACCTCTTTGATCTCATTGCGGAGGTCCTCTGCAAGATGAAAACAAGTAAATACAACTATGTTGTTACTAGCGTGTTGTTACTCTTTGAAGAATCTTTGAGTTCTCACCAAGCGCAGATTCGCAAGATTTCCTGAGCTGCGAGAGATGCGATCTCTTGACATCTCGATCAGCCAATATCTTCTCCAAAGCTCGGACGATAAACATTTCTCTGGTTTTGGAGTTATTTTGCATCGTCACCACTCCCCACGTCGCGGTGGAGAATCTGTACTCGTTTAATGTTCGTACCTCAAAGTGTCAACATCAAAGCGAGCTAGCAAACAGCTATACATGTGACTTTCTCGAACGTCCATCTGGCTGCTCGCCAACATTTCTCGCCGCGTTCAATCTTTACCCTATATGTGACTCCTCGCTGTAAATTCGAGAACGTCAGTGATTGCTGGCATTAGAGTAAAGTGGCCGAGTAAAACTCTGCGCGAGCAGAAAGTACGAAATTGCTCACCTGCGCGAAGAGACGACAATCTTCAACCTCTTGATAAGAGCACCGCGGCGATGCGGTTTCTTCGAAAACGGTTTACAACATCGTTCGTCGGTGTATCTCCGAATAGACGTCAACCGCACTCACTGACTCACACTCACACTCGCAACTCACGCTCGCCGTCGCTCGCAACTTGAACGTAACTGCGGATAAAGGTGACCTCGAACCTCGAGACTCGAACTCCCCTCGCGCGGTTAACTTCACGCGACAGCGTGTCACCACGAGCGCTTCAGTGTTGGCAATGTCAGGAATCGGATTTATGGCGCCTGCGCGGTGTCAAGAAAGTACCTAGGCAAATAAAAAAGATGTGTGTCCCTGTTCGCTAAAAAATTGCTTCGATATTTATATCGATGGTAGCTCCTTTTACAAAGACTTATATACATGTATATATTATACATATAAAAATATGGATATATTAATTATATTAATTTAATTAAAAAATTGTTATACATTTAATCTGATCTGTCGTTCGAGCCAATCGTTTTCCGCGCTCTCAGTATACGTCACTGTCGTCATCATCAACACGCATGCGCAAAAAACCCGACCTATATCAACTCTGTGCGCTTGCGCGTGTGCAATTGACAATTGGATTCTAAAATTGCCATAAAAGAAATACACAGGAATGTTATGTCGGTACCTAGGAATATCCTTAGGGATTACCTTAGAGTCCGTCGAGGATTATATTCGAAAATTTATCGGAATAACGCGAGCGAAGATTCGTCCGTCTGGATCAGGTTGGCTCCTGTTCAGCTGTTCAAACTGTTCACCGCGGCAACGCCAGCTGGCGGTACAGTTCGTAGTTACGCTTTGCAATTGTCGCGATCGTGTTTGTCATCGCGAGCCCCGAGCGTGCACGCGTCCCGTCGAAATCTCCGTTTTCCGTTCATCTTCGTCATCTCCGCGTCAAGTCACGGTCACGCTCGACGCGATCTCCTCGCCGCCGAGTTTTTCTCCTCGCGATCTCTCCGCGCGCGGCTCGCGACGATCGTCGTGCGATCGTGGTGCGACCGAAGCAAGATGGCCGCCGCCGCGGCCGCCGCGTTGCTCGATGAGCTCATGGGCAGAAACAGAAACGTTTTGCCCAACGAGAAGCCCAAAGAGCTCAACTGGGAGGACCCCGAGGTGAGCCCGTCATCCGATGCTAAATGTGTACCCTTCGAACACTTTCGCTTGTTTTTCGCGCAAAATTTTTCGAGCGCCTCATTGTTAACCCTTTATTTTGACGAGAACATTTTTTTTTATTCTTCATCTCCGTTGGAATTGAAGACGCGGGCGATCAAAGACAATTACGAGTGTGAAAAGTCATTTACTAGTCGTTACAAATGTCAGGGATTAATCGTATCGTTTATTAGATTTTTAGAATTTAAACATTGTAAGATGTAGAGAATTATCGAGGAAGAAAAATAAATACAGTTTACAGTTACTTTTCCTAATGTAATATAAAGATTCTGGATACAGGCATTATTTTTACATGTGGCACTTTGATCGTATACATATATCTTTACTAATCTGTGCTTTACTAATGTATGTTTTTTTTCATTCGAATTCATCAAAGATTCCTTGTGTTTTAGTTTTGCAAGCTGTATTTGGTAAAGTTCTGTCCTCATGATCTATTTGTTAATACGAGAGCAGACTTGGGCGCATGTCCCAAGGTGCACGACGATGAAGCTAGGGAATTGTTCGAAAAGGCTCCGTATTCGTACCGTAAGCAGCAATACGAGGACGAATTTATTAGGTACTGTCAAAGTATGTTGAACGAAGTGGAGCGAAAAATCATCAAGGGAAAGCAACGATTGGCACTGATTGGAAGAACAGAAGCGGTAAGTTTTTCCATTAGAAGATTACAAGTATAAAAATTATAATTCAATGTTTTGTATATAGCCGACGTTAACCCCGGCGCAAACGCAAAGGAACGAGGAGCAGATTGCTTTGTTGACAGAGAAGATAAATAAATTAGTGGAAGAGGCCGAACAGAGTGGAATTCGAGGTAATGTGGAGGAAGCGCAGGGCCTAATGCGTCTTTGCGACCAATTAAAGGACGAGCGCGAAACCCTAAGGAAATCCAACGACAATAGTCACTACAATCAAGTGAGTATATAGACGAATAATTTCTCGAGTTGTAAAAGTTGCAATTATAATCTGTAATAAATTTTAGATTATAATTTATTGAAAGAGATTTAATGAAAAATAGAGAATATGATGCTTTGCAACTTACACTTATGTTAATTTTATGAAATTCGTTTGTAGACTGCTGAACTAGCGGCCGCGCAGGAGAAACAGATGGAAGTGTGCGACGTATGCGGCGCGTTCCTCATCGTAGGCGACGCCCAGCAACGGATCGACGATCATTTAATGGGAAAACAGCATGTGGGTTATGCAAGATTGAAGAGCGCTCTTCAAGAAATTATGGTGAAAATAGATTTTTATAAATTTTTTTTCAACATTAGATATGTCTTTGAAACTGAAAATGAAATTAAAATCGTTTAGAACAAACGCGAAAAAGCGCGGGACGAAAAGGAGCAGAGAAGGGAGGAAGAGCGGAAACAAAGAGCGCGAGCGAATGAAGAGCTTGACAGGCGGCGGAGAGATGGTGACAGAGATAGAGATCGCGACAGAGATAGGGACAAACGTCGAAGCAGGCGAATGGACGATGATAAAAATCGTCACGACTCTAGCAGTCACAGGTGAATATCTCTTCAAGTGTTAAATTATTTTTTATCATATTTTAAACCGACACTTGACGATACTCGAACAAGTCAATCTAATGAATATATTATATTGGTTATAGAAATTCTGGACACAGAAGTAGAAGTAGATCGCGAGAAAGACATCATCGGGACGAAGATAATTATCGACGTCATAGTCGAGATAAAGGTAAGCCGTGATTTGATTTTTGATAATCTTTAATGTGCTGTAAATGTTTTGTAATTACGATAATTGCGATGATAATAATAGCGATGATTATAGGAAATCGGGATCATCGGAGTTCCAGCCATCAGAATCGTCGCCGACACCGCTCGCGAAGCCGAAGTCACAAGTAACTTCTCTTGATTGGTTAGTGAGTGAGAAATGAGCCAGGTATGCACTAAACAATATAACCATATTCGTCTCAATTACTGTACAGGTACTATCTCGATCCAGGTGAGTTGCCATTCCGATGCACATAATACATATACATGATAATATAATCTGTGATGTTTGAAGCACCGCGTAAGAGTCACAGCAAGTGTTCATTTCACACTCTTTCTCTCTCTCTCTTTCTCCGTGAAACAAACATCTTTCTTCCCCTCTCTCTGATTTTCTGCTAGAATAGTCGAACGTTATAAAACTATTTGCCATATTCTTTCATTATCTTTAAGATCAGAATTCGAATAGTGGTGAATGAATATTGGATAATAGCAATCGAAAAATAATAGGTACACTTATCACTGTGCAATGCCTCTGCAAAGACACAAAAGGTTACAACAATTAATAATTTACAATAATTAATAATTTAATGATTAATTTTTTAATCGAGAAAATTGAATTTACATTTGTTCGCTTAGTCATATAAAAATTTCTTTAATTAATCTCATGTCTCATGTCAGACGATCGCGCAATTTTTTTATGATTGATAATTAATATCAATCATGCTATTATCGCAATTTTGTCTCGAAAAGAATTAAGATTTCAAAATAAATCTAAATTCAATTTCCTCGACTCTATAAATCTTAATTTCCTAAAAAACAGCAATAATTAAGAAATTTTGAAACAATCTAAAGAATATTGCATAGAACTTGGAGAAAGAGAAAATTGGATTTATTTTTTCAACTTTAATTTTTTTGCATTAAATAAAAAAGGAATCAATAGAAAATGTGAAAAATTCTTTAATCGCGTCATGCAGAAATCAAATTTGCCTTCTATATGTAATTCCGATTATTTTCTGTGGAGCAAGCTGGGAGAAGGTATATCCTATGGCTTGCTTTCGTCGATCATAATTCTGTATTCGAAGAAAAACGGCAGAAGAGCGTAAGTCCAAGAACTCGTTTTTTTCCAGGAGAAGCCCGCAAAGATTCCGGAATTGTGGATGCGCGCATATTCAAGATGAATTAAATATAAGTGTGAATAAATGCAATCAGGTTGACTCATCTAAGATGACATATATACGTACATATATATAAATATATATATATATAAAAATTTCTGCTGTTTATTTAAAAATAAAACAAATTGTTTGTAAAAATACAGCGTTTCTCTTTATTATAATATATTATCGCGTTTTTGTTTTCAGATAAAATCAAATTCGAGAACTTTCCTCTTTCGGAAACGTTTCGGGGCGTTTTCCGTTAAGTACTCATGAAAGGAAACGTCACACGTATTTCCGTTATATGAAAAAAAAACAAAGCCGATAGAATTGGACTTACTCCCTTCCGCATCTCTGGTACAGAATTGTCTTCGTTGAAAAAAAATGTTAAAGTTTGCGCGATAAGAGAGAAGGGGAAGGGAAGGGAGAGAGAGAGAAAAGAGAAGAAATTTAGCGCCGTGGGGGGGACACAGTTCTCTCTTAGTGCCCGCTTCATAGAGCTTCGTCCACTACTGCGAATGCAGTTGGAGCGCGCACAACTGCGAGTACGCCCTGCAAACGTGTGTGACTGTGACTATACGAACCTCTAGCTTCCATGTGCCACGCAATTGACGAGGTATTTATGCCGGAATGTGATAACATCAGTATATTCTTCTTTGCCAAGAGAATTTACTCCCCCCTCTTGCTTTTTTTTTATCTGAGCGGGTCCCTGACTAACTCGAGAATCATTTTGAGATAGGCAACAATTCAGAGACAAATATAGAAATCTTCAAATTACCGATATAGGATGTAATCATATCTTTTCGCGTACAAAAAGCGAAGAGTATAAAACTAAGAGTATTCGCGCAATCTTTAAAAGGGGTAAGACTGATGGACCATCGTTTAATAATAATGAAGGAAAAAGAAGCTCGACAAATATATACCTATATATCGTACTGCTCTTAATAAAAGAAATATTTTATAATATTTTTTTAAGCTAATATACCTTATACCTATAAAAGGGAAGTAATATTTATTTGACAAATTTTTTTTCCCGGAGAAATTAGATTCAATTTAAATAAAAGTTAATTTATTTACTCTTGTCGAAATTTAATTCATAATCTCCCCGAGGAAGACCTTGCGCGCTGATAAAACACACAGTCGACAGAAGGACAAGATTTTGTCTATACAAAACTATGATTGAAATATGTTTGAATATTACATCGAATCGCGAACCAGTGGCACTTATTAAAACTCGGATCGTCTACTTTCAGGAAGAAGAGAGATGTACAAAGTGCGAGGCATAAGAAGTTACGCAAGACATCACTTAACGTATTTGTTAAGGTAAAGATTTTATATAATCTTAACGGTGATAAGAGAGAGAGGGTGAGATAGAGAGAATACATGGACGAAGAAATAAAATTTTCGACAAAAATCGGAATTGATATAACTTGTGTATTGAGTAATTGTTATTTTAGGCCATCTATACATAAACAGAGCGATCAGAAAGGTAAATTATCTAATATTAACTCGCGGTATTAATGTACCGCAATTATAATATAATACTCCTAAGATTGTTATTTGGAATTAATAAAATGATGCTATATGCACATTTATATCGTTCTGTTTTTTTTATTCTATGTTGTGCGATTTTGGAATTAAAACAGATTTAATTCAGATTTAAATATCAACTTTCAACATATTTCAAGAGTCTTGAATTTTTTTTGTCATTTTTAAAATCCTTATTGTATTATATTAAATATATGAGAATAACAAAATAAAATATATAAAAGTGAACGAAAAGGAAAGATTTATAAGAGAGTTGGCGGCGTTAAATATGCAGTCATAACTTTGGAAAAATATATATATATATATATATTTATATATTATTATTTACAAATAAATATGCGAGGTACAGAGAAAGATACTGTGTCTCACGCCAACTAATAATATATATAAATAGTATATACTAATACTGGACATGGTACAATCCTCTTCTGGTGTACAATAACTTCATACAGCGATAATGCATTCATTTTAAGCCTATTCGTCTCGTTACCTGAACACATAATGTAATAACATACATGTTAATTATTATCGTCAGATTTATTGTTTATAATTTCGGTAAAAAAAAATATATCTCGTCAGATAAAATATGTATAATCAGAGGTATATAAGATTTTACTAGAATATTACAAAATGCGCGCGTAATTTGTTTCCTTATGTCATATAATCTCAAAATTGGAAAAAAAACATATGAGAAAAGTATAATCATATACATCGATATATTTAAATATGTTATTTGATTTATAAATTATATAATTAAAAGTAATCAAATAAAATAAGTACATTACAATTTAGTAAAGAAAAAGTTGATATGAATTTTATATTTAACAAAATCGTACACAATTATTTTTTTCATTGCTAAGCTTCTGAATATTAATTTTAAAGTTATTACGAGATGCAAACTTGCTGTTTATTTGATTATTCGTATTCGTGTTTTGTATTTGATGATTGATCGAATTACCTGTTCATATACGGTCCAAGCCATAGTGGTCATCAAAGTTCGTCTCAGCATTCTAGGAACGATACCTTTGAAATACCCCAAGACACCGTACTTTTTATAGACGAGAAATGTCGCATGATAAATGCCATTGAATTCATTCGGATACAATTGCATCTTCGTTTTGACAACGTCCGGCGGTTGCGTGACTACCGAAGCTAAAACTCCAGCGAGGATCCCGCAGCCAAAATGAATCGGTATCGGCGAATCGCCTGTTGCTCCTATCAATGAAGAATTTGGTTGTAAGATTGTAATCTTCAAGGATCTCTAAATTTTTATAAATCAAGAATTATGAATCAATATCGGAATTATAATAAATCATATAAGTAATTATATAATTTTTTTTTTTATAAAACACATACAGATATATGTATACACACATATATATATAATTATTATTAGTAATTACTAGATTAATCATTTGAGAAATACCTGTACTAGCAACCACGCTTTTCAGTTGTGTATAAAACATAAGGTATAAACCGCTGTAAGGCGCGTCCCGTAGAAGGGTAGGTACTAGTCCACTAGATAAACCTCTCATTCCTTCTTGTTTGTAAATCAACCTCAGAGCTTCGCTGATACCATTATATTTGTAAACGCCGCTCTGTAAAATTATGTTAATATAGTCGGGATAATATAATCGGTTAAAATTGGCTCAAATTTGATTTTGCGCAAATCATAACAATCATATTAAATATTCATTTCTCGATTTGAAATATTTAAATTCTTATTTTAATAAACTACACTAAGCGCAATTACTTGCAAAAATGTCCTTTCTCTTTTCTTGCTTTAAAATTTCTTTTCGTTCTTCATTACTCCCTTCTCAATATTTTTCTCATCCTCTCTTATGTATTTTTGTCATATCCTTTCTATTAATCATACCTCAAATCGCGTCTTGACGACAGTAATAGGAATCAGCAAAGCGCCGGACATAGAGCGTGCGGTAATGCCTAAGGAAATCGCCTGCAGGGCCGTCAATGGTTCTTCCAAATCAAAGGCGTGCTTCAACCAATGTAATGATGAGAAATATAGACCCACACCGGGAATTACCCTGGTTATCGACTGCAAAATAACATTTGTAACCGTTATCAATGTGAGTTCAATATCCAATTACAAATTAATCCTTCAGAATAAAGGACATCTTACCGGCGTCATGCCCTTCCAAAGTCCGAAGACATTCTCTTTTTGAACAATGTTTGCCACCGTGCCCAACATTCCATTTTTCGGCGATCTATTCCGGAGAAGTGTAGAAGATGTAATTGGTAATTAGTTAATAAATATCAATGTTTAGAAATATATGTGTTAAAATTTAAAATCAACTGATCAAAGTCAATTAATCAACAAAATTATATAAATTAAATTTATAAATTTTTTAAAACCTAAATTTTGCATGACTAGAATATTAATAAATATCTCTTTCTTTCTCTATCTTTCTCTCAAATCCCTTGAAAGATTAAATTATAAACTTTATATCTTAAGAATTTTGAATTAATAAAGATTCCGATTATTTGTTAAAAATAAAGTATGACTACAAATTTTACAGAATGTTAATCTTACTCGATGGAGACATTGACTCTACTTTGAAGCCTAGTCTTCACCAAATCCAGCGGTTGGAAAAGAATCGTGGAGAACGTCCCGGAGAACGAGCCTGCCAGGAAAGATTTTAAAATCGGATACTGCAAACACACAAGAGAAAATCATGAGAAACATACATTCGGATTTGTAGTGTCTGCGAATTATAGCTCCTTTAATTTCGCAAATAAATTTCTCTAATTCAATGAAAGTATCGAGAATCTTCAAAGAACATTCAAAGTTTTCAGATACATATGTCCAGTATCAACTCTAATGCAATATTTGCTCAAACACAAATTAATATTGTACGGCTATCTCATTGCACGTGAGTGAATTTGCACTCGTGCGACGAGACGATCTTGGTCGCGCGTTATCAAACGAGGATGACTCCGGGGTTATCGTCATGAGTTATTTATATGACACTTTTTAAGATAGGATACATATTTTTTTTTAATAGTGTGCGCATTGCACAATTTATCTTAATGGTTAACCATATTTTCAAAGAGTTACATTTTGTTACACAAAAAATCTATTTTGTTCCTTTCTCATAAATAAAAGAAGACAAAAAAATGAAATTTTAAAAGATTAATAAACTTCCTTGTCAACAAATTTGTCATCCGCGCGTGTCGGATGTTATTTATTTGTAAATTGTCTAATCGACAGTTTGTCTTGGTCGTCTTATCTCTCGTATTTTCTCTTTATGGAAAGTTCGCGAATTTCAATAATGAAATCTTTCGTGACGCACAACATTATATAGGATGATCCTGATAGTCATTTATAAAAAAATTTGCAACCGATAATTTTTTGATAATTTTCAACCAATTTTCAAACAACTTTCGAGATATATAAATATATTTTTTAATTATTTTGTTGTAAAAAGTCATTTTCATGGAATATTTATTACAATGAGCTATTAGTGGTTAAATGAAAATTTCTTTGTATAAATTACTGTTAATTATCATTAAATTGTCGAACAAATTTCTTTGCTAATTTTTTAAGTGACTTACTAATCAATCTAATCAATAATCTATATAAGTTACTTATCTACTAATCTATATAAGTTACTTATCTACTAATCTCACTATAAAGTTATTCCAAGAACTGTACAAGAAAGAAAAAAATAATAATAGAGAAATATACTTTTGTATATTTCTATTTTGAATGTGCTATACAGATTATTTTGTTCTGTCACTGCAAAAATATTAAAAATAAAATGTATCTTCTTTTCCCAAAGAAATACAGCAAGTATTTGCACATATCATATCTTTGAAATAATTTTGCAACACATATTGAATAAAACATTTTGTTGTTACTCTTATAAAACTGTCCTAAAAAGAACAAGATTTCTCTCTCTCTCTCTCTAGATATTTTTTTTATCCTTATATAAGATTTAATAAATATATATCAACTAAAGGACATGATAAAACTGTTTCAATAGATTATATTAACAGATTAATATTTTCGATTTGTTTGAAATTATGTAGAGACATAATGCAAAGCACATATAAATATTTTAGATCTTTTCCATCATATCAATTAAAGAAATGCCTCTGTTGTTTCATTGCATTCATAACAATTGCATGTATCATCAATATGTATAAATATGTATATATTTAATTTATTTTTTTTACTAACAATTGTTTTTCTATAGCTGTTAATGCATATACAATAAAGCTTAACATCATTCAAGATACTCAACCTAGATTGTCTAGCAATGTATTTTACATTAGTTTCGAATAAAAATGATTCACAATTCAAAATACTTACAGATCCCAGAGCTTCCATAGTAGACCAACAATTTAGAAACTTATATTCACTATTACGAGGATTTCAAATCCCTACACGTCCCAAGAAAGAATTACATTTAAAGTGTTATTTAAAAAAATGCAATTATAATTAAGAAAACATTTCCAGAATTTTTCTAGCAGTGATATGATTTGATTTTCCCAGCTATATTGGTTTTTCACTCCTACTGATTTTTAATAATTTCATCAAATTAAAAAACAAAACAATTGTCTTGTAGAGACAGAGGAGCAGTGGGGGAGAAATTTCTCTGTATACAATCGTGTTCAATGTTGGCTAGATACTGAGTCACCTTTAAAAGCACGCTAGCTTTACTTACATCCTCGTTTATCTTTGTTTCGACACTCTCGAGGTCAATCGGGTGACTCTGCATATCGGGGCATGTCCATATGGATAAAAAGGTCAAGCTTATCAGCTGTTGAAACGTGATTTAAACGTGACTTTATTTGAAAACGTGATGTACTTTGATGCTGGCATAGGTCAATCGGTATCGTCCTCATTCGATGACCCTGCTGTTTCTTTGCAAGATGATAATAGTCTGAATCATTTCTCATGGAAATCTTCCAGCTTTTACAAAGAGATCCGGAATGATCAGATTGGATGTGTTCTCTTTTAGCTGAATTCACCTGTATTTGTGAAATGAAAAAATTAAACGTCTTGAGAAATTTTACAGAGATTGAAAAGAAGCTAAATTGTATCAAAAATAGAATGAAAGATAAGAGGTAGAGAGTAGTTATAAAAAGAATATATAAAAGCATGTACAAAAACAGCGTCACTAACAAAGCATTTGTAGTTGTAATTGTAGTTGCGAGATTGAAGTTGTAAGATAAAATGCAGATTGCAAATATTTTACACATATTTTTATGAATTGGAAAAAAATGAAAATACAAGAAACGACATTATTTTCATTTGATCAAATTTAGATCTCTCCTTCTTCAAATAAAAATAAATGTATGTATAGCAAGACAGAATATAAGGAATTAAAATTGCAATTATGCAATATGTATAGAAAAAATAGGTCACTGATGATAACAGAGTAATTTGGAATAATAACAGCAAACTTTCAAAATCCAAATGTTTAAAAAATTAATGAAATGAAGTCAATGAAAGAATTGCAGTTATTACATAATCAATCATTTCATCATAAATATGTTTTTCTCTCAAGTCTGTTTCTAAAGCATCTTACATTAAAACTTAAATATTTCGTTTTTACATTTCTTATTTCTATTTTATTTTTCTTTCATTATATTATCATTACATAATTAATCAAAGAATCTATAAATGATTTTTCAAGGTTAATCACAAGATTTCCCCGTTGTAGTTGCTTTCTTCTAGTATTTAAAACAAAAAAAGATACAAAGATTCTGATTTTAAAAGAAAACACAAAATTAAGCAAGAGTTAAAATTTATATTTCAAGAAATTTAAAATTCATCAACGAGCAAAAATGATATTGTAATTTCGAAGGAAGTAGACTTCCTATCTACTATGCGTCTGGGTGAACAGAAAATTGACAAGGAACGCGATTTATCTTTATTCGCGACGACTCGGATCGATCGAAACAAAAGATTTACTTTTTTCGTAACAATAGTATGAAAAACTGAATTGCAATCGAATTAATTACAGCAATCTTTCGATGACGATACAACAATTCAAACGGACAGGTGCGTATCACTCGCAAAAGAATCGACAAAAAGCATCTTTATAAAGAAAAAATTGATAGAATCGTACTAACAATAAGCACAAAAAAAAACCGATTTAATGGAATATACTTTCGTACCGAATCAACGGACGAAACAGCGACCAAAACGTGAGGCTTACGACGATGGAGGTGACGAAGGTCGCATGATGCAAAAGTGGCCGTGGACTGATAAGGGCTATCAGGCAACGATCGCGACATTATTGTTTTACGTCACGTTATTCTTATTCTCGTGCTCTGGATTATCTCTGTGAAATAAGAGAGGCAAGTTTTTTGTCTCTTATAAATATTAATTCAATATGACTTGCGTAATTGTCTTCGATAGAGCATCATGGCCGCGATCACGAGATACTTATTTTATTTCGTAATTCATCAATTGATGTTGTGTAAAAAAAAAAGTGTTTTCATTAAATTTACTCCTTTTACACTTTTTGTGTTTCCTCTCTTTCTCTCTAATATTTTAAATACATCTGTCTTATTTTGGCTACGGGGAAACATTTTGGATGCTTTGAAACGTTTGATTGACCAATCAGGACAAAAGGAATAAAGATTTTTAATCTGATTGGTCAATCAAACGCTTCAAAGAATCCTCAACATCTTCCCGACTTTTTGTCGAACATTATTGGTTTCTATTTTCATATTCGACCAATCAGCGTCGAATTACATCGGAAAATCTAGTAATATTGAGCCGAATGTAGCCAATTACAATCGAGTATTTTCTTCATTATACTTAATTGTGATTGGTTAAATTTTTAAAGTTTAAATTACCTTGTAGACTCGGCTTTATTCACGTTCTAGTTTAGTTTCAAGACAAATCTAAAATTATTGGTTGTAAATTTCGCCAAACTTGATTGGTTATTTTGCAGGAAATTTTTGGAACCCTAGAAATTTTCTATCAGACAGCCAATCGATTCAGCGCGTTCAAAAATATATTTAGTTACCGCTAGTAAAAGACGTAAGTTGACAGTAGCTTTCGTTTCTTTTCTCCCACTCCCATCAGTAAATCAGCTGATTGGAAAAGGGGTTAGGTTAACAGGTGGAAAATATCAAGTGTGTTTATAGCGCACATATAAAGATAAAAAAATATGCCAATGACTTGTAGCATACTTGGCTGCTCAAGTAGATATTCTAAAGAAAAGAATATCAAATTTTTTCGGTAAATACCTACGTAATCTCTCCACTCATTTTCTCGTAAAATTGGGATTTTTCTGGTTTTTTTCTATCAAGTGGAATATGTCTTTGACTTAAGTAAATTATAGCTTTACATGTTGTTAAATATTTATCATTAAATTAAATTTATAAATCAATTTTATATGAAATATTGCAGCTTTCCTCTCAAAGATAAATGTAGATTGACAGCCTGGTTGAATGCCATAAAAAGAGAAAATTGGACTCCCAGTAAATATGATACAGTCTGCAATGAACATTTTACTGCAAATGATTTTTTGCCTTGTCGAGAAGCTTATAAAACATTTTTGAGACCAACAGCGGTACCTTCTATATTTCCTTCATCTATAAAAAGAAAAAAATACAAAATCAGGAAAGTAGATAATGAAAATAAGAAAAATAAGGAGGATGATGTAGAGAAAAGTAACAAATGTTATGAAACAAATTTTGCAAATATTCACAATAATGTAGATAATACAATAGATAATATAATAGATCAAAATATAAATGACTCGCATATTAATATTCAGTTGGAAATAAATGATGAAGCTATTGAGAATATGCATACAATAGTAGATGTAATAGAAGACCCAAATATATATAATGTCAATGTCAATAGTAACATCATTCTAGAAACATATAATCAAGAGACAGCTGCAATAGAAGAGCCAACATCTCCATCGATATGTAAACCGATGGAAATTGAAATAAAACGAGTAAATGATTACAATAGTTTAGACTCTATAAAATCGCACCGTATAAAGAATTTACCAACTTCTATCGAAGTAAATTTGCGCCATAAGATTCGCATGCTACAGCAGAAACTTCGTAGAAGAGATGCTAAAATAATATATCTTCGCCGGCTCTTAACACATTTAAAACAAAAGGTACAGTATATACATCATACATGAAATATTTTGTGTGCCTTGTGCTATAAAATATTTTTTTCCTTTAGCACTTGTTTCTTTTCTTTCATCATTTTGTATATGTTGCATGTTACAAATAAATATAAATAATCTTTTACAATTGCCACATAAACATTTTAATGGTTTATATTATATGCATGATTATATTAAAAAGTCAATTAGTAAAAATCTAAAATGAATAGGTATATGATTGGGATAAAACAATTTGATTTAACATTGCATTACTATAATTATTATTAAAGTATATAATTACTGTTGGTTCTCTTTCTTTTTCCTGTATTGTATTTTCTAATTGTTTCTACATTCTCATCTAAATTATATCTGCAGTTGACATTTTATTTAAAAATTTTGTTTATATGTATTTGATCCTAAATTTTAAATGATAATAATATCAATAATAATCATTGTTTTGTGTAAAAATTTATTAAAAGATCAAAGATAATGTTATAACAGATTTAAATTGTTAAAAAAATATATCAAAAAAATCAATTTTCATATTAAATATTTTAAAATTATGCATGATAATAAAGAGAATTCAATTTATAAAACAAAAATTATTAATCCAAAATTTTAAAATTTGCAACGAAAGAGCAATTCCCATAACTCAACATGTATGTATTGCTAATACTACAAGTTTTTATTTTTACACGTTTCAGAAGGATATTTTATCCGTCATACAACATTTATAAGGAATTGGACATTATTACTTTAAATCATGTGTGTAAGTATGTACAAGATTTTTTTCATAACAATTTGTAACATGCGAAATCTATTTATAAGACATCTCAACTGAATAAATTTTATTGTATAAAGATAAAAAATTGTTTCGATATAAAATATATTTATAGATAGAAAGATTAATAGAGACAATAATTATCTATCAATCAATATTTAAATAACTGCCGGCAAATAAAAAGAAAGTGACATGTATGATAACCCAACATATATATACACAGACCAAAAGCATAGACTTTTGTAGAGTGGTACATAACCATAGTGTATGCTGCGTTTTGCGTGTTGCGTCCTGTGTAGATGGGCCTTTCCAATGGGATGTTTTGATTGGCTCACGCTGGTTGACGCGACGCTTGACGCGCTCAGTAGAAACTCAGCCTAAAGCCGGATCTACATTGGTCGTAACGTCGCAAGTCGTGAGCAAATTGACCAATCATAATCGATTATTTCAAAAATAATCAACCATGATTGGTCAATTTGCCAACGACTTACGAAATGAGAAATGATCTAGTAAAGCGTTAAGGTGCAATTTCATTGACGCTAGAAACCAGCGGCAAATTAAAATCATTAGACTTTCTCTAGATTTGGCATCAATAAAATAAAGTTCAAACAGTTTCAACTTTTTCAATGAGTAAAGCGGCCTTTTCATTGACGCTACTTTTTAGCGTCAATGAAATTGCACCTTAAGTTCATATTTTTATGTTTATAGAGGACGCATCGTCCTTTCAGGGATAACCTAAAGCCGGATACTTTGTTAATCTAATGACTTTAAGACCGGTATTCATAGTCCGATCTTATATTTGAGATCGTCTTAAGTTCGAGCTTGAAATGCTACGCAGCTATTTGATTGGTTGAAGGAGGTCTTAAGTCAACCTCGGACCAGACTTAAGACGATCTTAAATATAAGATCGGACTATGAATACCGGCCTAAGGCCCAGTTCCACAATCCAGTTAATCCGAGTTTAAGTAGTGAATGGACCAATCAGGTCCCAGTTTAACGTATTAAACTCGGATTAACTCGAATTGTGGAACCGGGGCTAAGATCGCCTAAAAGAAAACTATGGCCGGTATTCATAGTCCGATCTTATATTTAAGATCGTCTTAAGTCTGCTTGGAGGTTGACTTAAGACCTCATTCAACCAATCAAATAGCTGCGTAGCATTTCAAGCTCGAACTTAAGACGATCTCAAATATAAGATCGGACTATGAATACCGGCCTATGACAAAAAAGAGTGAAAACTATGAACAACTTTGTTGTTTGTTTTATAGATTTTAAAAATGGCTTGTCGTATGCTACATATTTAGAGTTGTAAATAATTTGATAAAAAATGTTCAATCTATAAACAATGGTAACGCAAATGAAATATATCATTGTCTCTAAATCATTATATGTAATTAACATATAATGTGTATTTAAAATTAATTTATCAATTTAACTCCAATAAAATTATGAAATTTTTTTCAGGTATATTATTGTTTAATATTGTTTAATTTATTGCTTGTCAGTCATTCACATTTATTAAAAATAGTCACTTTATTAAATAATGTGAGAAACTCTATATTTTTTGCGAATAGTAAGTAGAACTTTTATGGATATAGCATTTTGATAATAGTTTATATTTACAGTAGAAAACAATTTGTATTTCACTGTGCTTTTGTTCTATAGGACCTGAAGATGAATTATGAAAGGGTGTGACAAGTATCAGTAATGCAGGAAGACGCAGAGATACAGCAAGAAGAATAGTGAAAAGAGAAAGCTCCTAAATAAGGAGCAAATTATTGTCATGGGAAAAATTCCGATACAATTCCGACAATTTCCTGGTCTAAACACTCCTGTGTTTAGAGGAAAAGAATTAATTCAACAGCTGAAACTGCTTGTAAATCTTGAAAGAAAGCAAAAACTTATGGAATTACCACAAAGTCAGACCAGACCAATGCAAATAAAATTATCGCCATTGGAATGTGGTTGGAGGAGTGTTACAATGGATGGCAGAAGCATTGAATCGGATCTTATTGGAAAAGGTTAATATTTATGCTATTATTGGATTATAATGGTTAAATCACACACATACAAAAATCATGTGATATGATGTCTATTTTCAATTTTTTTTTTATGTTTCAGTTCTAAATATTAGAATCTTATATAATTAATATCTTTGTTTTCTGTAGATACATTTGAAAGTTTTGAAACCTGGATTTTGGAAAACAAAATGATAACTTGTATGACCCGTAATTTAGCACGTAAGACTAGAATCAATTCATTTATAGTAACTGGGAATGGAAATGAATTGGCTGGATTTGCATTATTAAAAGCCAAAGCATCCCTAAACGATTAAAAATAGGGCTGGTCAAAGATTAATGTATATTCCTACATATAAGGAATACACTGGTAAGAAAATAATTGTCAATACTATATAATATAAAATTTATTTCTCCTCTTTTAATATCACTTTGTATTTTTCAGTGTTACATGATTTCTTTACACAGTTTGAGAATATAAAAATATTTGTAAAGAAAATTCATGAAGGATAATGGGCTTGTTTGTCATCATGCGATAAAAGCGTGTTGCGAGATAATTGGCATAAAGGATATGTATGCCAAAGTACAAGGAGGAATGTAAAAGCATTCTTTATTGGTTTATTGCAACAGTATGTATATAAAGTATTTAAAGGCATACACTTTTTATTTAATTTATATTAGAAAGAAACATTTTTTATTTATAAAAATATATATACATATATATATATATATATATATATATATATATATGTTAGACACAAAGCTAAAAAAAAACGTGGATTGTGTCGATTAATTAATTAATTGTTTTATTTAATTATCAATTTATATACGTATATTATTAACAATAATTTTTTGTTTACTTAAACTGTATAAGGTTGTGCATAAGAAACAATCTTTTTTATTTAGTATTTCAAGCATATTTTCATAGAACTTTAATTTAATTATTATATTATTAAAAATATTGAACAAAATAAAGAATTAAAGCTGGCTTTCTCTGCAGTCTCATGGCAGATTATATCAGAAATCATACTTTAATTATTGCAATATATCATGAAACAAATCAATCTCAAAATAATGGAAATATTTGCAGAAATATCAAATATGTAATGTAAATATTTTAATTTTTTTGTATGCGATCTATTTTTTATTCTATCGATGTTTTCATAGTGATGCACCTTGAGCACTTTGCTTCATATGTTTGCAATAAAAATATATTAAAGCAAATTATTTTGCAAATTTATTATTCTAATTTTTATTTAGAAAGACTAAGATTAAAAAAGACGTATGCATTTTTTTCAGATAATTCTATTGGAAAAAACGCATCAGACAAAACTTTCCTGTACATTTTAAATGTGCCAAAAGATTTGCTCTTTATTCCACTTACTGCAATAATGTACACTAAAAATGACAGCTCTATATTAAAAATGATAAATCTATGTTTAGTAGTTGGAAAGAAAGAGAGGAGAAATGAAAAGTGTATCTAGAGAATTTAAAAGAATAAAAATCTAAAAATAATAATACATAAAGATTAATATTATGTATTTTTTTCATGAGGAATGTGGGGCGCACATTTATGCATTTATTTATTTAGATGAGATTTACTTTAGAGCACATTCAGTATTCAACTTTAATTTTATTTTCTCTTTCTTACGATATATAAGTATAACATAATTACTTGCAAATGCTATCATTTTTGTGTGCTTACAGTGATACAGAAGCAACATTACAAGTACTATATTTACAGATAACATCTGTATAATAAAAAAAGTACCAAAGTCTAATGGTGAAAAAAGGGTAAATATTTTAGACCAGTATAAGTATCAACCAATTATTCCATTGCTCTGTTTCATTAGAGTTGCAATTTTCTTTTATAATATCATAAATATTATAAATAAGAAAAAGATTTCTATACGTTTCAAATAAATTTATATATTTTATGTATGTAATACTGCGCACACATATTAAAAGGTGATAATATCGCAGTTATAATAAGATACAATCCTGACAATGCAGTGATTTTTGGATCCTTCTTAAAATAATTTAATTTGATTTATTTTTGAGAAATGCGCACAATACTTGAGAACAAATTATTTTTGTGCCACGTATTACTTGTGTAAAATTCCACACACAGTATCATATTGTCTGCGATATATGAAAAGCTTCATCGATGAAATATCATTGAGAATATGATGATAAGAAAAGTAATATAGTACTTGTAATGAATAACCTTAATGTGGAATACATAAATATTTTATATTTTAATTTCGTATAATCAAGATGAGATAAGACACTCATGATTATTTTAAAAATGTGTCCACAAATATCATGTAACTTCAATAGCTGCACATTCGTCAAATTAATCCTATTACGTTAAATCACAGCAGCTTGTTTTAATTTAATCTAACCTAACCAATTATATTATATGCTTCTCATTAAAATGTGTAAAACTGTACGTCGCACATTTAATACGATTAATATACTACGTAATAAAATGTAATACACTAATGAAATAATTAAATATTATTTTTGAAAGCATGATAAAATCCAGGCAGCATATGCTTGTGTTTATATTCGACGTCCAAAGACATTGAGAGGTTAGGTTAGGTAATGTTAGATCGAAAAAATTTATCGTTTAACAGTTGGCAGCCCTACGAGATAGACTGTGCAGCACTGCGCGTATATAAAATAAATTTGAAATCGCTTCTAGCTAACCATCTTCACGCGATCGACTTTATTTGAATTGCACGGCATCGCATCGAATTATGATGCGGTGCCGATTTGTTCGAACGTAATTCGGGACATCGCAATGCTGTATAAGCGTCGAATGAGCACGAATTGTCACGCAAATGTGATAAATCAAATCTACTCACCGTTTACCGGCTATTCCACAGGCCGCTCCACTCGCTCGCCTCGGGACATCCAATTCCGATCTTTATGCGCACAAACTCACACGATATCATCAACGCGAACGCGCGACACTTTATTCGGCACTCCCGATACTCGCTCGCATCTGATAATCATCATCAAGAGCGCGAATAACGCGACGCAACTT